TACCACCAAACTTAGGCGATATACAACATAATGAAATGGATTCATCATTATCATAAATTGTATGGCATTCACCACATGCAGTATACTTATTGATTTCTTTTGTTAAACCACCAAATCCAGCCAGTTACTTTAGTCTAGAAACACTCAATGGAAGACGGAATGAATCATTAAACAATTCTAACATCTTGTTGACAATCGGAATCAATATCACCGCGCCTTCATCAACGACATACAATGAGACAAATAAGATAATAGCAACCACAATAAAATGGTGGACAAAACCTAATTCGGAAACACACTCAAAAGAAAAATCTATAATAAAAAAAGGGGGAATTTATTAGTATTTTTTTTAACTTCTAAGATGCCCATATTCTTTACAACACTGTATGCATCTTCATCGTCACTCATTTCACCATCAGTTTCATATTCTTTATTGTCAAAATCGTTTCTTCCAGTGTATTCATCACCTTCAATACCAAACACAGCATCAGACTCAGAAAGAGGTAGGTCCCTGGTCAGAGTGGGTGTTTCTACTTCTTCATTGTCATTCAATTCTGCCAAAATATTAATATTAGGCCAAAATAGTAAGAAAACAAAAAAAAATAGTTTTCTTTACCAAAGATAGAATCCATAGTATCTTTATTGCTCTTGACCTCAAATGTCTTTTCGATTATCTCGTTCTCTATAGTTAAATAAATTTATTCTATTAATTTTTGCTATACTGAAATAAATAAAAATATAATTATATTGCATACGGATATTGTTCTACATAAGCTCTATAATTTTCTTGGCTTGTTCATAATGCTTTAATGTCTGGACAGATATAGTGTTATATCCTCTATATCGAGCTCTGCATACTGAGCAGTAGCATTTGTATTTGTTGTCTGCATTGTGGTTGGGAGCCATTTTTAAATATCTATATATATGTGTTTGACAATAAAGAAGAGGAATGTAAAGCAGTTTATTCTATGATTTATTTAGGTTTCGTGTATTTTCAAATGATACACAAGTTTCTCCAGTCAATTATATTGCATAAACTTGTTTTTGAATACTTTATTCACAAAAACTGACTGAGATAGAATTTTATACTATTCTTTCACACATAATTAGTTTAATTTCCCTGTGTGAAAGAGGATTATTTTTGTAGTAGCTAAACAGAACTATTTTTTATTATGGGCAGTCAATAAAGTTGTTTTATTATTATTATTATTACTTTCATTTAATAAAACATGTATTAAACTAAAGATTCAATTTAATTTAATTCAATTCGATACTGTATAATAAAAACCAAATTATTTTATTAAAGCTGCAAGGAAAAACAAGCAATTATATTAGAACTGAAAGCAATAGAACAAAAGAAAGAATGTAATAGTGAAAAGAAAGAATACTTGATTTCTTTTTAAAAATAGTAATATTGCCTGTTTTGGCTTTTTACATAGTAAAAAATGGTAACAGTGTCTGTTTTGATCTTATATAGAGTCATAACTGCCATTTTTTACTTAATATAAAACAGTAGTTATGTTATCAAAGTGGTAATATGCTACCATTTTCTTTGCCGTAGCAGTATGTTAACAAGGAAAAAGAAAAACTATTATGTAGGGAAAGAACAAGAAACAGAAACAATATTTTTCTGTACACAAAAAATTCTTCTCTTACTACAAATGGCATGGCACCACATCAAAAAACCGTCAATGTCAGACTCTCATAACTGAGACATCACATCACAGCAAACTGCCAGAAAAACCCACCAAGCAGACTAATCTTCCAGTGCTAGATACCATGACATGGCTAAATGCCAGACTTAGTTATCACACATGTGAAACAATGATACATGTGTTGCTTGTTTTTGTAGTAAATGTTGACAAGTAATAAGTTATCACTGTTTTCAAGGGTTTTTAATAAGTTTAAAAGTATGAAGAAATATTTTTTTACACAAGAGAGAAAAATACAAATTCAAAAGAGAATATAAAATTAAAGATAATGAAAGAAATAAAAGAAATAAGGGAAAAACAGTACTATTAATCAATCTCAATAGACTTTACTAAATATACTTAGATAATTAAACAAGTAAAATATCAATAGTATTAAATATTAAGAGAACTTGTTGTCAGAAAATAAGACAAAATAAAATTAATATTTATTAAATACAATTATTGCAATATTTATACAAATTTTAAATAGTTTTGCAATTGATCTATTAAATAATTAAATGAATAAAATATTGAAAAATGTAATAAAAAGTTGTGAAATTGAAAATCTACTAAGTATGATTTGTTCTTTAATATTGTTAAGTACAAATAAAATATTGAAAAATAATTATTAAGTCATAATCATGAAGATACTTATGCTTGTAAAAAAATGTTAATTTCAAGTTGATTCATTCAGTTAAATATAGCAAGAAAATAAGATAAGATGTATAATTGAGTGAAGTTATCTTTGATAGAACGATGAGATTTTTCATTGTACTTATTGATGTTTTACTCTACAAATAGAAAAATACATTTTTATCCAGCCTCAGCAGCCATTGGAAAATGAAAAATATAATAAAATATAATTTTCTAGAATTACTAAGGACTCTGCAAGATCACTTTACTGCTGAATATTTGAAATTTGTTTAACTTAGACCATTTACACAATATTTCAAGGCAACAATATGACACATGATGTGTCTGTTTGTTGTGAATAGTAGCAGTATCACTTGGCAAATAAATGTAATATAAATTACAAAATAAAAGAAGAAGAATACAAAAAGAATCAGAAAGATTTGTTAATTTAATAGCTAAGAATTGATGACAGACAGATAGAAAAAATAAGAAGAAGATAAAAATGGGAATTGTGACAATGCCACAATTTGGGAAAGATAGAAAAGAGAAAATTGAAAAACAAAATAAATCAAGATTTACAGACAACACTCTAAAGAACAAGAACACTGTATATAAACAAAGAATAATAATAATAATGAACAAAAGAAAATAAGATCAAGGATAAAATGATGATTTTATTAAATGAAAAAGTTGTTTCTTTTATAAAGAAAAATGTTTGCCTAAATAACTTTTTGAGAGAAAGAAAAGCCAAATAAAAGTTTTTACTATATGCAACTGGTTTTAATAGTAGAAATAAAATAGATAAATATAATAAAAATATAGTAATTAAATAAAAGTAAAGTAAAAATATAGTGGGATGGAATAGAAGTAAAGTAATAATATAATATCAATGTAGTGAAATAAAATAAAAAATATAGTAATATTATAATAATGAAGTCTAATAAAAATATAATAAAAAATATTGTAAAGAGATATCAACAACAAAAAAGTATATAAAATTAGGAGAAAGAAGTATAGTTTTTAGTGCATGACAAGTGTTTCTGAGATAACAATGTAGATAGATATTCTAATTTTTTAAGAGCAGGATATAAGCTGGGAAATTTGAGAATAAGGGATATCAGAAACAAGATTTCCCAAGAAACCTGGGGGACCACTCTTGTCTACCAAAGACATGTCATCTAGTTGACTCATCATTGACACCAAGGCCCAAGATTCTGGTACCACCCGTCACAGCTAACTACTGAAATAAATCACCAAAGAGACTCACTGTTCAGTACCTTTTACCAGAAGCTGGCCAACGCCACATTTTTCTACAATACACGTAAAAGATTGTTGTAGCCGGCAAGTTGGGACTGAAACAAAAGAGGAGGCTCAAACCAATTGTTCTAAAAAAAAGGAAAGAGCAAATGAATCTCTTTTTGTAATTAATTTACTTTGATCTTCACTTAGATTCTCACATAGTAGAAACAATAATTCAATTAATATTCTTACAGAAGAGATATCATATGAAATAAGATCTTATGACAAACAATTCAAATAATTAGTATAAATATCAATAGCAATTATTCATAATAAAATCATCTTTTATCTATTATATTATTTTATCTGTTTGATCATACTTCTTTAAATATACTTCTTTATTATTAAATATACTTCTTTGCCTGTTTTTATATTGTTTGGTCATTGTTTTATTACTTTTGCACAATCCAATAAGATTGTCGCATATGTTGTTTAATTGTATGTATCACTGCAAAAAACGTTCTATAATAATATGTAAAATATCTGTAATAGCAGACTTAAATATAATATAATAAGTCTATATGAATTCCATACATAATTGTAAAAAAACGGACTTCTGGATTTGTCAATGATAATATTTTATATACTATTAGATAATGACTTACATTTAAAATTTGCATTTATGTAGAATTGAAATGCCATAATTCATTGGTATTTTGGTTATATATTTATCCATAGTTACAAACCCTACTCAAATATACCTTTATATAGACCCGTTTTTTTTATATAATCACCTTTTAAAATGAAATAAACTCAGGTCCATGTTTATTAATAGTAAAAAACTTTGTTAAATAGGATTCAAATAGAATTCAAATAGAATTCAAATAGAATTTTTAGAAGATTAAGGCTCACAATCGCTTTCAAAAAGCTTGCTGACATCATTAAAAGATGATGCTTTAGGAATAGAATATCATAGAAAAAATGATTTTTATTTATTTTTGAATGGTTGGAAAAACAATTTAATTATTTAATGTTTGCTACTAATACTTCTTTACATATATATATTTAGATAGTAGCACTCATATACATGTTATAATTTTATTCATTGGATAAAATGAGAGATTTTGATAACATGATATATAGTATACTTTCTTACCTTATTGGTTTCATATACCCAATGCCTTTTTTCTGCTTTATACTTCTTTGACCAAAAATAATTTTGTCGCAGTTTTTTAGACTTTCTTAGTCTTTTTTTGTGAGAGCTATATGTTAAATATTTCAAATAAAAAAGAAATTATCATTAATATATATTGCTTCATAGATATAGTCGCGAAACAGAAAATTTGATTATTTTATATTTCTGCTGTTTATTATATAATACACCCTTACACTTCACTTTACTCAATCTGCTAAATTCAATAAAAGCTTTTTAATTTAATGTCTAGACAACAAAGCAGTAGACCTCACAAGCCATTTGAAAGGCTTTCAGAAGTTGAAAAGGGAATCTTAATTGGACTTCATAAAGATGACATGAAGATTTTTGACATTGCAAAGAAAAAGGGAATATCAAAAACTACTGTCACATATATCATAAAAAAATACAACGAAACTGGATCTGCTACTAATAAGAAGCCAACAGAAAGACCTTCTAAATTAACTGCTAGAGATAAAAGACATCTCTTCTTGGATTTCAAATGGGATTGCCATCAAAACTTGGTTGAGATGGCAGACTTGATTAAGAAAAAGGCTGAAAAAAAAGTCAGTAAAAAAACTATCAACCAAATGTTGCACAAGATGAATCTAGTCTACTGTGTAATCAAATCAAAGCCTCTTCTAACTAAAGAGTACATTGCCAAACGTCGTGCTTGGTATAGAAAAATAAAAGATTGGAAAAAACAGTAGAATACTGTCATTTGGACAGACAAAGCAACCTTTACCCTTTTCAAGAAAAATGATTATAGTTATGTATTGCAAGAACTACACTGCAAAAAAATGCCCGATTCCCATACGTGATAGGATGTAAAATTTGGTGGACAGAAAACCCAAATTTGTAGTGCAGGATTTTTTTTGTAGAATAAGCATTGCAATTTTTTTAAAACGATTCTATTGGTCATAGAGCACTGAGTAGCATAAAAAATACAATAATAAACTTAAATTGAATGAAATAAACTGTACCTGAATATATATTTATCTTCTTTACTGTTTAAAAAAATAATATTATTTTAATAATTATTAAGCAATGGCACCAACCCGTAAATCAAACAAAACAAAAGAATGCAAATGTTCTGTTTGCAAGACAAGATTTGGAGGATCAGATATAGTGTCTGTACAAACATTTAATTTTCATAAAAGAAGAGACGATGCTGGAATAAATATCTTTCATAATAGATGTAGAGAATTTTCTTTTATGTTTTAATTATATTTATATTTATATTTTCGATTTAATAACATATGTAATGTAGTGACTATTAAGAGATCATTCAAAACTACTGTAAGCTATGTTCCTGAAGTTATCAACAATGATAAACAAAACTCGGTAGCCATAGACAATGATTATGATATGGATTATGACTTTGATGGTAAAAATATATATTTTTATTTTTATTTTTATTTGCTCTAACTTCTTTTATGGTTCCAGTAGAAATGAACACCAGTATAGAAGCCGACATGGAGACACAAGAGCCTATTCGAGTCTTACCTCTCTCAGAATCCGATGCTGTCTTTGGTTATGAGAATGAAGAGTTTAACTCTGACCTTGATTCTGATGGTTGCGAAGACGATTCCAGTGAGAATGATATGCTTGATAGTGAAGGTTTGCATACTTTCATAATGGATATTGGGTTCTGCTGTATAAAATAATAGAAATTAATTTTTTTTAAAAAAGACAACTTTCCTGAATTCAACTCAGAATTGAGTTTCATCCATCATTTTATCATACAGGTCCTTGCACTTTTTGTATCCTTGTACATTGTCGATGAAGGCGCCATTCTTCTCATTGCCATCATGAACAAAATACTTGAGCTTTTCAGAGATCCATTCCGTCTCCCAGTTAGCATCCCTGGTCTCAAAAGCATGGCAGGATTCAATACCTTTACAGATGGTATAAAGAAATACGTTTCTTGTAGCAAATATCACAGCATATATGAGAACAATGAATCAAATCCCCGCTTCTGTATCTTTGATAAATTTGGGAATAACTCAATGTGCAGTAATAGTTTGTTCAAGTCAGGAAATCAGTCGTCTATTCCAAAAAGAACATATGTGTATCACTCTGTTCAGAATTCGATCAAAGCTCTCTTTTCTTGGCCTGATTTTGAAACCCAAATCGACTCGTGGAACCATAGCCCGAAAGCGGAGAATACTATGTTCGATGTGTACGATGGCTTGATGTGGAAGGATTTGAAAGACACCAATGGAATTCCCTTTGTTCATGGCAACCGCTCACTGATGTTGGCCTTAAACATTGACTGGTTCCAGCCATTCGACGGTGTGACATATTCGTGTGGTGCAATTTATCTGGCTGTAAACAATCTTCCTCAAAGTGTAAGATTCAAGAAAGAAAATGTCATTCTCGTTGGGTTAATGCCAGATCTGAAAGAAGCAAAAACATCCGAGATAAATTCATACCTCAGACCTCTGGTTGACAAATTAGAAAAGTTGTACAAGGGAGTCAGAGTCCAGACATATCAATGCCCAAATGGTACCACCATCCACACTGCTCTGTTTATGGTTGCCTGCGACATCCCTGCTGCCTGAAAAGTGTGTGGATTTATGTCCCATACCAGTACAAACGCATGCCACAAATGTAATCGCCAATTCTCCCAATTAGCTGGAACGAGCTCTGTCAATTGTTCTGGATTTGATTTCTCAAAGTGGCTCCTTCGCACTAATAATGATAATTGTAAGGAAGCTGAGGTCTGGAGGAATGCAACCACTGAAGTTGAGAGACATCGTCTTGAAGTTGAAAATGGTGTTTGCTGGTCTGAACTGCATCGTCTCCAGTACTTTGACGTTGTCTGCTGCACGATTGTTGATCCAATGCACAATCTCTTCTTAGGCACAGCCAATAGGATGATAGAGAAATGGGTTGCAGATGGTCTAATTGACAATAAAAAACTCGTTGCCATGCTGAAAATCGTTGAAAACATGACATTGCCACCTGATTACACCATGCTAAGATCAAAGATTTCAAAGGGATTTCCCTTTATGAAGGCAGATGAGTGTAAATTGTGGTGTCTGGTATACTCTCCAGTGGCTCTACAAGGCGTACTACCAAAGCAAAAGTTTGAGAATTAGATGTTTTTTATGAATCTCTGCCGTTTCCTTACCAAGCCAAATGTTTCCAAAGATGATGTACAGTCAGCACACATAGCACTTGAGAAGTTTGGTAAAGGTTGTGAAAGGCTGTATAGCAAGGATCTGTTATCTCCAAACATGCATCTCCATCTTCATCTTTGCGACACAATCAAGGACTTTGGGCCTGTTTATGAGTACTGGCTCTTTAGTTTCGAGCGATACAACAGCATCCTAAAGAATATCAATACTAACAGAAGGAGCGGCTTTGAAATGACATACATGAAAACATTTATTGAAGATACCCGTAAAGGCGATTTTGTTCGCAATTTCTTGAAGACATCTGGTCCATTCAATTTCTCCGGCATCTTCGATAAATTGGTAACTGGTTATAGTCCTGCTGATTCTACAACTAGCACCGCCTTGTACAATTGGTTCTCTCTACCAGACTTTCTTGATGCTGCCAAAAATCCGAACTTGTCAATTTGTGGTAACAAGCCTTTGCCGCCATCAGTGCTGCCCTTGCAAAAAAAAGCGTATGAGATGATGCCAAGACAGGAGTATGATTGTTTGGTAGGATATTACCAAGCTATTTACAATGATCCCACCATCTCCAGTTGCAAAGACATGATTCAAGATACAGCTTTCGTCAATGACTGGATTGAAACGCTCAAATCCGTCAACCTCCTTGGCCAGACATTCAAGGAAAGTAGAGGTACAAATGGAAGAGGATCATATATACAAGCAATGTTCATAGAAGGTCGAAACGGAGCAAAGTATACATATGTCAGAGAGATTCAGTACCTATTTGTTCATTCATTTAGTCCACTCGTTTCTACTCCACATCACAGAACACCCCAAAGTAGCCAACATATATTTGCTTATGTAAAATGGTACAAGGCTTCCAAGGAGACAAGTAGAAAAATTGCAGGCATAGAAATATGGGATGTCGCGTTTTCTTTGCCTGACTTTCAAAGCATCTTGCCAGTGCACCGAATTCTCCTTCCTGTTGCAATTGTTGACCATACAACATTACGAAATATCAGCAAAAAACTTATTGTTCCTTTGCCTAGAAAACTTTACTTTTAAAATATATAATTATCCCTTCTTTTCTTTCTAATAATATTATTCAATTTTTTTAATATGATAGTGAAAAACAAAAAGAGAGCAAATTGTTTGTTTTTATTGGTTTTGAATTGCCCAGACAGGAAGGATCGCGGTCAGGGGACCGGGGACAGGAGGGACCACAATGGTTTTTAGGTATCTGAGCATTCTTTGCTTTGATTGTGGTATTGCAATCTTCTTGTCATTCTCTGCTGCCAAGAAATCAATGAACTGAATAAGCCTATTCAGCTATGTATAATTAGTTAGTTTATTTCTGTACAGTCATCTTTTTATAGAAATATATTATAGTGTACACCTTTAAAAAAAATTACCTCAGCACTTCTCCAACTAGGATGAGCAACCTGCAAAACCTGCACACGGATTATAGGAGTGACGTCCTCATCTTCCAATTCACCATCAGACATCACACTCTTCTCGAGGAGATGCAAGTATGCAATCTCATCAGGGTTACCTGGCTTGTATCCCATCTCAGTGTCAATTGCTAGTGTGGTATTTCAGATACGAAACAATAGAAATACTTTGAGACTGTATATAAGTTGTCTTTATTCATAAATAAAAAGTGTCTCTTTTTATAAGAAAACACAATCTGCTCTTGTCATTACGTCTTAGTTTCTTAAGGCTTTCTTCCTTTACTATATTTGGTTATTAGAGTGTATTTACTGCTTAACTAGTGTCGGTGTTACAATTATGACATCAAGTCATAAATCGTACTTCTTTAGCTCTTAGCTATTCTTTTCTCTTTTATACTAGAGCTTTAGGACTTCCTACTAAATTAGCTCCATATCGATCTGACACAGTTTACCCGGCAGTATGATATAATTATCTTAACAATCTTTAAGATATTATCTACAGTACTAACTGTAATAATTATTGGGCTGATTACTTAATCATTTATATATATTTTATACTGACAAGATGATAGCTACTACGCTATCCCAATATGAATATGTTCTTATATGTGATAAATCCAACATCCGAGTGTCTGGATCACCACAGCTAGCCAATTGTTAATGTAGATATCAACACGACACAAGTGAATCTAGATATATTTTAAAATAATTAGAACAGAATGCAAAATATTTAATTTCTTTTTTTTGTTTGTAATTTTACCTCAATGCAACAGCTGTTGATACAATTATTGCGCCTTTTGGAAGATGCTTGCTCAGGGGTTGCGTTGACAGCACGAAAACATGTCTTGTAATTGTTTTTTATTTTCTGCACTATCATATCCTCCCAGAACCCAGCTGTGCGAGGCTGGGCAACGATATACTGTCGGAGGTAATTAATCACCTCAACATTGTCAGGATGGTCAATCCTCTCATCTGTGTTCCATTACCTGTGGCTTTCGTTTTCAGCAACAAGCTCAGGATCATCCGAACAGAAGTTTCTCACCCACATTCTTCCATTGATGAGATTCTATATGATTATTATTATTATTATTTAGGTAGTGTGTTAAAGCATGAAGTCAGAAAAAATCATACCAGAACAATTGCACGCATTTCGCCTTTGGTGTGTCTATTTGTAGACACATTGGCAGCAGTTACTCCTTGAGTTACAGAAGATGCAACAAGAGTTTGCTGGGCAATGGCTTGGTTGTGAGCATCGACCAGAAAACGAATTCTAGTGTTGGCTTCGACAGTACGATCGTACATCATGTTGATGGCTGCCATAATCTGCGTTAGGGACTCGACAGTTATTCCAGGAGCCTTTGCCCCACTTGGACCAGCTGCAAGTGGCAATACTCTTGGAGCAATCTCACGTTGCTCAATCCGGCCGGCAGCAACACAGCTAAGTGTTCCTCGGGCATTCTGTTTGCCTTTGCGTCCTGATTTTCTAGTGGCATTGGAAGGCATGCTACAGATATTTACATATTTTTTAAAAAATAAATAAATATAAATAAATAAAGCATATATAGAAGAATATTATGAAATATTATTTTAATTATACAAACATACATGGTAAAGCACAGTAATAGTATGTGAGGTTTCTAATAAAATGTGAGGGAGGATATAATAATCTGGCAAATAGAAGTAGTATTTATATGTCCTAATACTTCTTGGGTGTACAGCAGCAAAAGAAAAGAATATAGGGACACACATTTTAAATTATAATAGACCCTAATAAATTCTGAGAACAGAATGAGCTTATTCACTACTCTTACAATTTGTTTTTTTATTTTTCTTTTTTTTTATTTTCTTTTTTTTTGTTCTCTCTCTTTCTCTTATACTGTTTACTTTTGCTTCTTTTTCTACACTATGGTAATTACTTAATATTTTCTTTTTATTTTATTTTACATGATTATTAACACTAAAAAACTTCTATTGTCTTTATTCTGTAGGGCTTCCTGCACGAGTTAACATAACACACTGGCTTACAAAGATGAATAAGAAAGCAAACAACTTTTATTGCGTGATGCTAATCATCAGCTTATTAATCTTTATATGCAAAACGATGATGATGACAACCATAAAAAGCTAATGATGGAAATAAACATGGTAAGCTTTAATAGAATATTTTCTAATCACTTATATTAACGTTATACTTTCTTTATTATCATTTTGAATTTATTAGATTTTCTCTATCTCTCTTTTGCACGCACGCATTGAAAGGATGCCAAAGAATCACTTTTTCTGATAACCAAGACTTTATAATTATTATTCTCTCATACTAATCGTATTTTTTTTTCTTTCTATTAGGAATACTTTGAGTACACCAAAAATTATATAAATGCTATCTGTAGCAATATGATCCTCTATTTGCAAAGAATAAATCTGGTCTGTACACACATGTTTTGAAAATGACAAAATCGATTTTGGTCATCCCAAGATTCTGCCCCTTCCCTTAATATTCAAAGAGGTATTGCAGTATTCCCATTTATTTATCCCAAAAGGTAAGAGATATTATTAATGATCAAAGTAGAATTGCAGTACCCAAAATCAAGAACCCAAAACCAAGAATGCAAAACAAAGACCCAATGTCAAATGTCTGGATCAAATGCCCAGACCAAATGCCAACTATCCAAGGCCCATTATTAGAGAACCTATTTTGAGATTTTTTTAATAAAATAAAATAAAAACCCATTTGTAAACTATTTCCCGTGAACTATTTTTAAATAAAAGTATAAGTATATTTTTTGATCAATCGAATAATGAAATTCAAATTGTAAATGGGGTACCCGTCCAATAAGATTGATACTTGCCAGAAGATAGTTGAGCTATCATCAGAAGATTGTTGAAATATATACCTTCTTGAATGAGTCCGAAACAAGAATAAATAGGCAATACACAAAATAAATGTAACGTTTTACTAGAAAAAAAAACTCGGAATTCAATTAAGATTTCGGATATAATGAGATATAACAGAACTCTATGACCGTGCACAGACCCATTCTATCTATAGAATCTAGGTGTTTAATATTTAGTAGCTAGTTTTCCTATCATTCTGAGAATTGTTATATAATATTCAGAATGTATTTCAAAAATCACACAGAATTTTACATCCTATCACGTATGGGAATCAGGCATTTTTTTGTAGTGCTAGAAGAGAAATATCATACAGACTGCTTGACTCCAAAGGTTTCAGAAAATGAAGGTTCTGTATCTCTTTGGGAATGTATTTGGTCTGAAGGAGTTGAACAACTGGTTACGCTTAAGAGTAACATAAATGCCCTATTATACAATGAAGTTCTGGAGAAGGAATTCATGCCCTTATATCAAAGTCTTCCTAATGTAGAAAAGGGAGACTACATTTATCAAGAATATAATATGTGTTATCATAAGACTAACTTAGCAGAAAGATTCAAGAAAGAACTTGGATTGAAAATTTTGGAGTGGCCTTCTAACAGTTCAGACTTAGGTCCAATTGAAAATATCTGAGATCTTCTTGATAACAAAATCCGCGCAAGACGACCTCAGCCTATCACATTGCGACAATTGGAAAATGTTTTGCAAGAAATGTGGAAAGCAATTAGCATAGAGACTTGTATGACGTTTTGCCTTAATATGCAAAATCGTCTATTCAAACTTAAGATGCATAAATTTAGACCAATCTCTTGTTAAAGCCTTTTCAATTTATCTATCACATCTTATACAGTTATCTGTGAGAGTACCAGAGATTTATAGAACTTTACTATCTTTTATTATAAATTTAAAGCTACAATATAAGTTGAAGAGTCTTGGTGAAGGTTAAAAATGACCAAATATTCTGTCAGAAGTCTGTATGTAAAAAGTTTAAAGAATATTACCATAGTATTTTGAATACTCGTTGATAGTGCTTGCTTTCTTGAAAAACCTATAGAGTAAGCAGTATGAGAAGAGTATAAAACACACATTGAGTAATAAAAGTGTGGGTGTGAGCAGTAAACTTACCAAATTATTAAGGCAGCCAATAAAAAAGAATGTGAAAGAGAAGAAAGTGAAAGAAAAGAAAAAAGATGCAGTTATTCTATTAAATACAAATTTAAAAACAAACAAAAATTGAGGCAAGTGTTTTCTGATAAAAATCAAATATAAAATCACACTTCTTTATAGTCTTTAGTATTTAATAATAATAAATAAATTAATATTGTATATTTTTATATCGAATAATTATTGGTATTAACTCATATGCACTTATAATAAAAATAATGTTATTATAATGATAGTAAGTATGTTTATATTTACCAAGTCTATAGTGAACATCAAAGTTTACTGTGTTCCCTAAGAAAATGTAAAACATCGAGTTTAAATAACAATTGTATATAAAAAATTAATAAATTGTATTTCTAAAATAATAGACTTTATTGCTTACTATGCCAAGATCAAAGACCAACTGCTCAAACAAATCCAACAACTCCACCAGCACCAATGGCTACAAATCTGCTGAGAAAATGTAGTTATATAGCTTTTATCATTATTATATTAACACTTATTACATTTTTTTTAAAATATTATATTAGTTTGCCAAGTAATGCAGAAGAACTTTTGGATCTTATGCAGCAAAGAATCAGAGTTCCAAGCAGTGCTCCAATAGCTGCACCACCCAAAAGAGCACGCACAAACAATGAAGATAATTCATCTGAGAGCTTTCATAAAATTGAAGATTTGTATCAAAAAATTGTTCAGATGAGTACCTTTCTTTTGAGTAGTGATCAAAATATAGCTTCAAGCGCAGTTGCTACGACTGCAAATGAAGCCGTGAAAAATATCCTTGCTATTGAACGTATTCCTACTGTGGATATAAGTATTTAGTGTTTTTTTAAAGAAATATCTAATATATAAATCATAGCAATTGATGCGGGACTACATGTTTAATGATAGCTTGTACAGTCAGTACAATAGATCAGAAACATGTTGCTCTGATAGAAACAGGCAAATAATTCAGTCTGTAATAACCTACCTTAGCAACCAAAGCAAAGCAAAGAATCTACTACCTTCCACTTTGCACAAAAAAGTTGTGGTCCATATTGCCAACAAGAAGTCAAAGGAGAATAAGTCCAAAGAACAGAAGACCATTGACAACAAATCTTCGTGGTACCGTCAAAGGTGCATAGAGATAATATATCATCTTTTATAAATGTAACTATATTAATAAAAAAAAACAAATAAATATATAGACTAGCAAAAGATGGCTCTTCGCTTTTGCCTAAAAAAAATACTTTGTGAAGACGTTTGGAGAAGGTGGTGACATTCTTCTTCAGGCTGATTATATGTCAGATCTGGACTCGAACAATAATAATAATTCTGGTTCATCAAGTTGTTTTTGGCGATTTTGGTCAACATGGAGAAGCAATGAGATACTATATAAAGAGATAAAATAGTATAATTGTTCAGTAATATATATATTCTTGATTTTATAGGCTGACAAGTTTGTTAATGAACTTGATACACATTATGAGTCACTCCCAAAAAAAAGGAATGTCAAGGCTTTTTCTACAAGCTCAAAGAAAGAAGAGCAAAAGTGCTTGAAAAGAAAAAAATGAATATACTGCCATCCTGGTCAAAAATCGAATAAACTTTCTTTTTTTTAAAGAAAAACTAATTCAAAAAAATCTTTATAGAATCAAAGGTTGTGTTTATTTAGTTATATTATGCATCTATTTTCTGAAGAAAAGGGATTACTAAACGTTTAAAGTCACTGATTATATTAAGTCTATATCTAGCAACTGCTATTGGTGAGTATAGACGATGTACTGGAAGAATGCAATCATATTTCAGAGTGGTTAAAGGCTCATTCCATAACTCAATCTTTTCTGTCATCAATGGTTGGTGACTTCCTGAAGTATAGCTTGTATACTACTCTACAAAAGCAAATGTATGAACAACATCTTTGCTATTGATGTTCAAGATATGTTGAAAGAGGTAGAGAATGCGGCCAGGGAATGCTGAAATATCTTTGCCTTTGTGTTCAAGAAAAAAGGCTTGGAAATAGGAACCAGAGGAATATTCTTGTCCAAGAAGTGATATGCGCTTGATTTTTTCAATTTGGTTGTTCATAAAGATTTGGCTTGAATGGTGGTCGGAGTAATGAGCAAAAACATTGTGACTGTTATACATGTGGCAGTAAAATTCCAGTAAACAATTCTAATGTTCCTTGCACATTATAATCATCTTCTCAAGCTTTATTGGAAATGTTGCTGGTGGTAAAGGCTCCCATCCTGAGAATAACTTGCAAGGGTTTGAAGAAAACTCAACAAACTGAGGTAAATTGAAAGCACTGCTATCAGATTGCAAAGGCAAATGAGGTTGACTGTTGGAAATGTTATGTAAGAAAGTAATAATAAATTCGTCAAGACTGGTTGAAAAGGCTCTGATATAGCTGCCAATGTATGCTTTTTCAAGAAATTGCTTCATCATTGTTGACTCAAATCCACCCTTCTGATTTGTCTCAAAGTTTTTTAGCAGACCATTATAATGCTCAAAACTAAACAGCCAAAACGCATAAACAGGGTCGAAATCATTGATATACTCACTAAGATGAAGATGCAAGTGCATGTTTGGAGTAACCACTGGTTTTTTATATAAAGTCTGACATTTGGTGCAAAATTCTTGAAGTTGCTTGTGAGCTTCTGTGGTTTCTTCAACAGTTATGGACGGCCTAGTTAGCAGACAACATGCTTTTACAAAAAGCATCCAATTGGCAAGGTGGATGGCAGGAATTACGTGCTTCAAAACAAATGGGGAATATATTATGTACCACGACTTCCACTCATCAACCTTCATAAATGAGAACCCATCACAAATTTTCTTTGTAATATGAGCATACCCAGAAGGTATAACAACTCCGTTGGCACATTCTTGCATGGTCAAAAATTCTTGTCACTGATCAGCTTGGAATCACGTCAAATGTTGATCATCCACTTTGAAGTTCCAAGATAGAGATTACATATTGGATCAATAATGGTACACCGAACTGGATCAAAGTATGATAATAAATGAAGCTGAGACCACTGAGTTCCATTCTCTTTCTCCAAAATTGTTCTTACATTGCTGTTTTGTGCTGTTTTTTATCTGAGAGCATCTCTGAGATTTGTTGCCTTTGTATGCTTTATCCACGTCTTGTAATCGAATCCAGAATAATTGAGCTTAGTGGTTTTTTTGAAAGTTTTAAATTGGCATTGATATTGGTGACAGGTGCATGTGCTCATATGACCAGTAAATCCAGACGTTTTTCTGGCAGCAGAAATATGGCAAGCAACACACATCAAGGCAGCACAAACAGTTATCTGGGTATTTATATAGTCTGTCATTGATACACTGGAAAACAGGTCTATCAATTCGGCAACAAGGGGCTCCAAGTAGTGGTTCATGCTATCTGTGCTTCCTTCTTTTGGTTCTGGCATCATGCCAACAAGAATGATGTTTTCTGGTTTGAGATGTTCACTTTGCGGGAGATTATTGATGGACAAGTAAATCGCACCACTCGAGTGGGTTTGGCCATCAAAAGGTTGAAACCAATCAATATTTAATGTTAGCATCAGAGATTGGAAATCATCAACAAATGTTGTGCCATTGCTGTCTTGTAGCTCATTCCACATCACACCGTCATAAATATCAAGTTTTGTATTTCCCATTGTTGGGTGGTTTCTCCAAAGATTAATTCTTTGCTCAAAATCTGGCTTGGAAAAATGTTGCTGTAATGTGTGCTTAAGTGAGTTGTATGGATACATCATTACTGGAGAAGAATGGCTGGCAGCTGAGAATTTGTATAGTGCACTGTTACAGGTATTTGATTCAGGAAAAATTTTAAAATTGCAATTCTTTATGGTTGTGCCTGGAGGATATATTGAATGGCATTTTGAACATGCCACGTACACTGTCATTCCTTTTGTTGCTTCGTCAAAACCAGTAATATGTCTTAGGCTGTCGATTGTCAAAGGGAGAGAACCAGCCAGGTTGCAAATGGAGAGAAGATTGTTGCAGAACTCAATAAGAATATATCTACCATTATCTACCAAAAAGATCAGTTGAAATATGACTATGAAAATAACCACAAAAACGAATATAGATGGGCATGCTATTTACTGAAAACTCATGAACTATAAAGACAAATGATAAGTTAGATTCACAATCCAGCTTTGCAACAAAAAGAAATATTAATATCATAATATTTCATACCTCTAGAAGTTACAGAACTCTTAGTGTCAACATCCAAAGTCTCGCTTTGTTTGAAATCAAAACTTGCATTTCCTTCTTCAATTTCATCACTATCAATTATAAGTGATTCAAGGTTGATGTCTTCAGAAAAAAATATCGACTCTTTTTGATGTGCCAATATGAAAGCTGATAGTGTATATTTATTATTAATGAGTTAGAATAATACATTAGCATCATATATAAGAATAAAAAGTAATAGATTTTAATAAACTTTTTTTAAAAATTATATTATTTTATTACCTTCTTCATTATCATTATCATCAGAATTTACATTGTCTGCATTATCATTATCAAAGATAAAGTCTTCTATATCAATATCTTCATTTTGTATGTCTATATAATATATTTATTAATATCAAATCTATATACGTAATCTTAGTTTTATTGGTTTTTTATTTACCTGTTGTGTTGGCTGCAGAAACTAGCAGACCATGTTCTTTATTATGTCGTCTTGCATTTTGTTTTCTTTGGCACTTTCCAGAAGGGCTGAATGCTATGCATTCAAGACATTGACAAAAAACGTAATCGTTTTTAATTCGATTGTTAGACATAGTGAATATATGAAATAATAAAAAGATATAGATTTTGAAACGCTTTTACCAAGATCTTTATATAGTGAAAAATAACTTATAAATAAATACAATACTGCTTCATGTCATGCTTATACTTTGTCAAGTATTTCTTCAATATACCTACTGCGCACTTTGTTATAACTGTCTTCACACTTTACTAAGTCATTATTCAAGACATTGACTGTGCACTTCATTAAAGTCACACTCTTTTTGATTTCTCTTTTTTTTTAAAAAAACTATATTTGGAAGGATAAGGATTGTCCAGTAAGGCAAAAATTCTGAAAAAGAAATATTCACATCTCACATGTAAATTAAAAAAATTACTCTTTTTGCTTTTTTACATTGAGGGAAAGAATCATGCAAAAATACTACTGTAGCAAATATGAAATTATACAATCTCTTGGCACACACTCAAAACAATATCACTTCAAATCTTTTATATAAAGAATTGCTCTTCCATTTACGTTTATTATATAAAAATAATAAGAAAAAATATAGTTTATTTTATTTTATCTAAAAAAGATGTATTATATAAAAAATATTTACTTTTCTTTAAGTATATAATACTTTTAATATAAATATTTTTGAGTATAATTTACAAAAATATTAAAGACATATAAAATGTAGAGGGGAAAGTGATACTGCTGTAATTTTACAGCTAAAAAAACATATTAGAAATTACAGCCAAAAATAAAATATAATTTTTATTTTTTATTTTTTTGAAAATTTAATAATACTAATAAAACTATATTAAAGTTTCATATTGGCTGTTGTGTTTGCAGACTCTGGAATATAAACTAACTGACTTAGAAATATGCGACTCAAGTCAAAGTAGTAATCTGAAACAACACCAACAACAAGTAGCTGTTATCCAAGAGCCAATACACTTCCTTAAACCATTGCAAACAATATAACATAAAAATATTTTCTCAAAAGACAGTAACAACAGAAACAAATATCAAGGAGCAAAAGATAATTTTTTTCTAAGTGAAAAAGATATAAAAGAGATAGAAAACATCAAGCTAGAAACAGCATCTTTTAACAGATACAAGAATTTCTCAATAAACCACCATACAAAAGTCTCACTTTATTCATCATTTCCATATCATCTCATATCTCTTCAATCTCAAGTTTATTATAATCAAACCAAAATATTTCATTGGCAGTCTTTTGCGGTGTATGAGATATATAAGAAAAGATGAGTGTATGTAAGAAGAGGGATTGAAAAAAGAAATTAAAGAATGGGGTTTGATGTGGTGATCCAGACATTTGGTTGTTAGATTTATTATATCTTAGAACATATTTCTATTATTATAGTAAATTAATAAGACCAATAATTATTTATTTGTTCTTGGAAAGATAGCTGATTTACTATAATAATAGGAATATGTTCTTAGATATAATAAATCCAACAACCAAGTGTCTGGATCACTACATTATCCTCATTCAGGTATTAATTAAATATCATTCAAGTACTCTATACATTTTTTATATATATACAAGTACTGTGGTGCTCAAATAACTCTTTATTTAGACCTTACTGTGTTTCTTCTTTTGAAAAGCTGTCTTTGCATAGTTCTTTCTTTTTACTGTTGATTTTATTTTATAAAACTTCACATTTGATATTGGATAAATTGCGGGTAAAAAAAAGTCTCTTTGTTACCAAATAAACTAGTTAAAGAAATTGAAAGAGAAACTAATACCAAGATAAGAGTATGAATAATTTGAATGATTAGAGAAATAGTTAAACTAAATGAAGAAAAGTAAATAATAATATCTCTAAAGAGTTAACTATAGAAGGGAAAATGTTTACTGGAGTAAAAAATTCAACTAAAGAGAAGTTTACTATAGTAAATTTATTAAGAGATAAATGAAAGAGAAAATTGAGACAAAATAATAAAATAAAAGGGGATAGTCAATCTTCTATTAAGACTTGACAGAAAAATAAATAAAATGGAAAAAAATTCATAAAAAGATATCAGAAATAATAGACAGTGTCTTGAAAAAAACTTTGTATCAGAAATATTTGACACTTGTTATTGATTGATTTTAGACAGTTATTTATACTACTTTATAGATAAAATATATGGCAAAAAAGGCTAGACACTACAGGAAAAAATGGCGGTTTTTTGCTTTTGTGACTATGTTTTCGGCCTATAATAATTAAAAAATCACTAAAAATCCAATTTGAAACTAGAAAATCTCTGTTTTTTGAAAAGGTTGACAAAAAGCAAATTGACCACCTAAAATTAAATCTCCTGATAGACAAAAGTAAGCTTTAACTACAGACTTTACATTTTTAGTAAATGTAGATTGCATTTGATGACTATTAAAAGTCAGAAGAAAAAGAGAAGAAAATATCTAAACTTTCTGCTGAGAAAATAAAATATGTTAAGACAATTTGAAAAAAAAAATGTATTACAAAAAAAAACAAATTATAGGTCTGCAAGAGAACTAAGTGACAATTTTGGGCCGCAGTTAAGCTCTGACCACACTATGTATGTTGTTGTTGTTGTTGTTGTTGTTGTTGTTGTATTTATAGTCACATCCGACTTCACCAAACCAACCAATTCTTTGACATCTGCCAGGTGGACTACCTTTGGCTTCATTTGCCTATTGTTAACAACTGGTATACCATTTACCAAACGGACTGCCGCAATCTCTACAAGAGCAAGCGGCCATCTCTTGTTGTTGAGCTTGTGCTCAAAGAAGACAACAACTTTTCTGAAGAAATCCTTGTAAACCGGGGAGTATGCAGAATTTATGTTGCGGTTTTCATCAACCTGAATCTGTAATCTGATGTTATGTGCCTCCCTTACACAATTTTGGTCGAGTGCAGAGTCAATCACACAACTATTGACAAATGCCTTGCGGCTAGTTTGTATAGCTGCTTCAATCATACTACAATCTTCCCCCTTTGATTCGTAGAAGTCTTCAAGAAGTTTCGAAAGACAAGAAATGCCTTCAAAACTATCTTGGATCGTTCTATTCCTCAAAGGCCCCCAGAACTCAATATCAGACCCAGCACCAACACGCTCACCCTCATCTGTCAACGGCCAACCAGCAGTGGAATCTTCATATTGTAAGTGTTATGCTGTTCTTGCTTTTGTAATCATGACAGTGGCTCCAGCCTCTGCTTGTTGTATTTGTGCTAAGCCAAGCATTATATTGCCAGCATTAACATTTATAGCAGAATTACTCTTGATAGCCCTTGAGTATTCACCAATTGCCCATTCCACGGATCTGGCGCTATATGCACGAGGTGGGCCATATGCGTCAATCATGAGAGGATAGTGCTGAAGAAGATGCTGGTTTATAGTGAAAATATTGATTTTGATTTTTCCACTTGTAAGCAGCGATTCCAGGTACATGTTCCATATTTCAAGTTTACTGAAGAAAAATAGTTAGAATAAATAATAGAATAACACATAGCTTTTACTAAAATATACCTTTTGATAGAGGTTTGTTCCTCTGCTGATAACTCCCAGCTCATGAGTAGGTTACATGCTTGAACCAAGCCAAGTAACGCGTTCCGGGCAGTTGCATCTCCAATACGCTCTGCCATCAGCATTGGGACGACGAACAGAAGAAAGTCTGCCCAATCGACGGCCTTGAACGACCCGGGGTTCTTGTATACATCCCTCCAATCGCCATGGAAGGATGTAGGGATGGTATTTCTTGTTTTGTACATTGCTGTACCGATCTCCTTCCGAACACCAGAAGAAAGAGCAAAACAATGGTCTGTTCCGTAGGTACCAGAAACCAAACCCCAGACCTGCTTGCTTATTCCATGGCAAAGTCCATGCATCTCATTGAGGGCAAAAAACAATGGTCCAGAGAATACCTTCAATGTTGCCATGGGGGATTGTCCGTTTAACCCTTTGCAGCTGGATGCACTGGCCTGGGAAAAATTCTGGAAACTTTCCAGCGTATGGATATTGGTGCTGGGCAAAGTTCTGAAGTATTGTCCGTGCTTGGGACATTGGCCGACAACATGACAGATACGGCAACCATCTTTGCTCATATGTCCAGAATGACATGCCAACTTTGCTAAGGTGGGAATGTCACCAGTGACCATTAAGACATGTACCTTGGCACAAATGGTCTCGTTTGGTGTCTTGACAACCATCTCTTCACTCTCCAACACCAGGAGCTCTTTCATCGTTGGTTCCATGAACGACCAGAAATTGGCAGGTGCACCTGGACCTGGGATCATTGCGATCTGGAGTATTCTGCTTCTCTCATACCAGACCATGGGATTCAGGTTAAGAATGGTGGCATGGAGGATCGTTACAGAACCAGGAACATTGTGTGGCGTGAATCCATTAACAGACAACAAAATTGCAATGTCATCTTTTCCGGAAAACAGATGTTTTGCTTGCTGGTAAACCTGGCCATCAAACACATCGGTTTTACTTCCATCCGAGCTTGACTCATGATTATGGCAGTAATGCATATCTGCTCTTGTATCCTCGTTGGCTAATGCAAGAGCAAGTTGTCTCGCCAATGGAAGCTGTATCATTGTGGCAGTAGCAACCAGATCACCACCCTCGGTTTCTCCACGTCTTGTTTTGTACTGGCTTTGTCTACAGTTGGAGCACTCAGTCTGGGATAGACTGGTAAAGAGCATACATCCCCTCTGACAGATATCATGGACTGTCTCTTCAACACCAGAGAAACGCTTCAAAAGCTTTTTGCCGAGATGAGGAGTACATGCTCTGTATGTAATACAAGTCGACGTTTCCAAAATGCTGTTGAAATGCTTGACTATCATTTCATGGGCGTTGCAGGAGATACCAAAATCCTTAATGATCTTGAGAAACTCAAGGTTCTTTGCGTCGTCTTTGTCAGGGGTAGGTGCAGGCTGACTGAAGTCAAAAACCAAAGGAGATATTTCGTTTTCAATGATATCCATGTCGTTGCCAAGTTCCGCATCATACTTTAACAAGGCAGATAATAATTAGCATTATATAATAAGACATGTATATCTATATATATATATATCTTACCATAGACGCATCATTATCATCAGTACTAAAGATATTCATAATTGGATCATTGTTATCTTCACTGTTGAGTGTATCCATGATCTGATCTTTGATTGCATCAGCACGTTCTCTGCTTGTTTATGAAGGTAACAATATAATTAATTACACTTTCTAATAGTATGTATGTGATTTGTAGATTTACTCGATAGTGTCATTTGAGACAGTGTTCAAAACAACACTGACTTGTCCAGGAACAAGCATGGTCTGTGAAGTCTGGATATCATTGTGTCTTCTATGACGGTTCTTAAAGCATTGAGCTCTACAACTCTTGGCTTTTTTTAAATTGGTGTGGCGCTCTTTGCATTGATTGCATTGGTAACTATCAAGGATTGAATTTGAAGACATTTTTTAGGTTGGAAATAAACACTTAAGAATAAAGGTATGAATATTGATAATTCCTTTTAAATAATATGCCTTTATACTTAATAGCGTTGAGATTTGTATAGACTTAATGACTACAAGTAGGCAATGACATAGATGGTACAAATATAAACTCAGGAACAGAAGCTAAAACATTGCATAATAGCTGTTATTAGAACTACAGTAGCCCAATAATAATATTGGCTGGACCAATGGGTTAAACTCATTTATATGAAACTAATAATAGACAATAGAAAATTTTTTCAGCCTTTATCTTTCTTTCACAACAATCCTTTTTCTCAGGTAAGCCAAACTCTCAACATGAATAACACAGATAACAATTCCATCTCTTTGCTACACGCCATGTACAATGAGATACTATCTTTGAAGGCAGGCCAAGAAAAGGCCAAATTTGAAATGAAGGCACAGATCGAAGAGTTGAAGCTCAAAATGAAGACGAGCATTGAAGATTTGAATTTGGAGATTACTGCTCTCCAGAGCCAACTGGAGAATAGAAACATTTCCAACCAACACACTTTGCCTTCTGTCTCTGCCATTGTAAGACAAAAAATAAAACGAGTTGAATATATATTAATATGTCATTTAATAGTCTAGTGCTAATACCATCCGCAAACCGGTGAGCATATTCCGTGAAATAACTTTAAAGCATATCTTCAAGATGATAAGTGAAGACCTTGGCATTGAAGTAACAAGTAACGAAAAGGCCACACTCGATATGTGTACAAAGCTTATATGTGATGATATGGCTGCCCATCCTTCAGTGATTGCTCTTGGTCCTAATCCTAGCTGGGGGTCTATACCAGTAGCACTTAAGAAAGAAATGTGTGCCAGGCACGCAAATATAATGAAGGATTCTGGTATAGACTTCACTAGATGTCTTGGAAACTGGGCATCAACTGCAAGAGTTGCACATCTCTGGAGGGACCGCCATAAAATATTACAGTCTTGTAAGTAATCCAGTGTAGTGGAATTGAATAGGATATTTTACTATGAAAACCTAGAATATTAAATAGCAAATAGCCAATAAAATGTATCTATAGATTTTTTTATGCTTTAACAACCAATAAAATAAACAATATTATTTATTTTTCTGTCATAATAACCAGTAAAATGAACAATATGATTTTTTTCTGTCATAACAACCAATAAAAATGATTAATAAAAATAATCTTCTATTGTAATAACCAATAAAAATTTGTATTTATTAAAATGATCAAACATTTACATGTATATTATCCAATAAAAAACTGTTTTCATAAAAGTAACATTAAAAAAAATTACTAGTGTCCAATAGAATTCCTTTCTAAGCTAAAATATTAAAGTAATAAATGACATTTAAGAGAGTACCCAATAAAAGTAATCGATTATATAATATACTTTATACAATAAAGAATGAAACGCTGTCCAATAGAAGAGCCAACAAAGGAGAATCAGAAAGCGGAGATCTGTAATATGTATTTAAACTCCAGGGGGGCAAAGTGGATATTTGGCAAAAAACCGCCACAAAGCCGCCCTGTCAAACCGCCATAAGGCAGCCATAAAACCCCACTTTTTTTTCCCGTAGTGAGATAAAACTTGATAAGATAATCATAAATAAAAATATAAAGAATAACTTTATAAATATTTCATCATGAAAAAAGAATAGATAGAGTTATAATATATAACTACAAAATAAGAAAAATATTGGAAAAAATATGTTAAAAATAAAGAGAAAAACTGTTTAGTTAACAATTTTGGTAAAGTAGTATTTGAAAAGAAGTGTTACATTTAGTGTACAGAAATAAAAATAAAAAAGGGAGAAAACAATTTTAGAAAAAATAAATGGGAAAAGATTTTAATATTCAGAAAATCAGTTTTTGAAAAAGGCAATTTTATGAAAATAAAAGAAAGAAACTAAAATTTTGAAAAAAAAATTAAAAATAGGTTTTTAAAAGAATATCTGGACTTAGTAAAATACTGGTATTTGGACTATGGTACACATAATTACTACACTATGTGTAAAGATAATGATGCATATTGAGTTATGGTGTGTGGTGCAACTGGTCAGAAATATAATATATATTATATATATAGTTATATTCTTGTGATTTTGCTTAGGATAATCCAACAAGAAAAATTTAGATAATGAATGGGACTTCAAATAGATAGAAACAGATAGATGGACAACAGACAGATAGACATACGAACAAACAGACAGATAGACACATGGACAAACAGACAGGTAGACAAACAGACAAACAGACAAATGGACAAATGGACAAATGGACAAGCAGACAAACCGTGAGACAGTACTTGTAGATTCTAACAGTGTGCAATTTAGTATTTCTTGCACAACAATAGCTCAAGCTCAGTAACAATGTTTAAAAGAAATATATAGGAAAACTGAATGAATTTTATTGCGATAAAAATATTTCTCTTATATACTAATTGATAACTGTGTTCAAGATGACAATCTAGATATATTTTATGCTAAATGATAATTATTCAGAGCTGTATACAGATTTTTGAGCATAATTACAAAATGAAATAATAAAAAATAATAAAAAATAATAAAAAATAAAGATAATCAAACTATTAAAAAATATATACTCTTGAGAAGTATACTAAAGAAGTAATATCAAGAAGGGTGAAGAAACAAATACAATGCAAAGGGAAGCAAGCTAAAAACAAAATAAAAATCAAAGAAAAAAGACAGAGAGAGAAAATAAATCCAAGAAATCAGATTCTGTTATGTCCAGAAATGATGTCACAACTTTGCACTATCTATAACTTAATAGTCTATCTATAAGTTAACATTACATCAGACAAATATACTTTTTTGAGTGATGCTGAAATAATTATTAACACTTATATCAATTGTTATGTGTGGTACTTATATTTGTGATAAATGTTGACAGGTGATATTATTATGATTTTTGAGATTTGAATGGGTTTGTAGATGTGAAATAACCTTTCTTTTCCACAAGAGAGAAAAAGACAAACTCAAAAGAGAATGTAGAATTAAAGAAAATAAAGTCAATAAGAGAGAAATAAGAGAAAAACAGTACTATTGATCAATCTCAATAGACTTGACTCAATATACTTAGATAATCAAACAAGTAAAATATCAACAGCATTAAATATTAAAAGAACTTGTTGTCAGAAAATAAGACAAAGAAAAATCAATGTTTATTAAATGCAAATATTGAGATATTCATAGTTTTTCAATTGACTTGTTGAATAATTAAATAAATAAAACTATTGAAAAATATAATAAAAAGTTGTATAATTGATGATGTATTAAATATTATTTGTTCTTTAGTATCATTAAATACAAATAAAATAAAATAATTATTAAGTCATAATCATAAAAATAATTATACTTGTAAGAAAATATAATAAAAGTAATGTTAATTTTAAGTTGATTTGTTTAGTTAAATATAGGGAAAAAATAAGATATAATATGTGGTTGCATAAAGTTCTTGTTGATAGGAAAATGCTTTTTTGTTATACTTTTTGGTGTTTTTGCTCTACAAATAAAAAAATTGCTTTCTATTTAGTCTTGGCCACCATCAAAAAATAAAAAAATAATAGAATATAATTTTCTAGAATTACAAAGAATTCTGCAATGACACTGCACTGCCAGACAACCAAAATCTTGTAAAGTGCAGACTATAATTTAAACACTCCATGTCAAAGCTGACGCGTGATGTGTTAGGTTTGTTGTAAATTGTAATGGATCACTTAGTAAATAAAATACTATGATAATAGAATAGAACAGAAGATGGATACAGCAAAAGGCGGCAAGCAGCAATAGTTGACAGGTAAGAAAAGAGAGAACAATCAATAGAATTATTGTTAAAATTAAGAGGGAGAGAAAGGTATATGAAAAGAGAATAACAAAACAGTAAAGTAATAACCAACGAGGAGACCAAAACCGACAAATAACCTTCCTAAAACCAAGGAACTAATATGTTATGTCATAAGATAGTATAGATCACAAAGAGAAGAAAACAAGAAAAAGATACTGAAACTGAATTTAATGATTTATTGAGTTGAGTTTGCTTCTCTTTTTATAGTTGACAAGATTTTAAGTTGATAATAGAAGTTTGGAAAAATAAAGATAGTAAAAATAGAATAATAAATAATCAATATGGCAAGGATAAAATATATGAATAAAAATACGGTAAAAAATATAATAATAAAGGTACTGATGTTGCGCGGAGATGTTGACAGAATGAATTATGTGCATTGTAAAAGAGGAATGTTAATAGCATGGATGACCATGACTTCGAATGAGTACAATGTAGACAAATATGTTAACAAGGGAAAAGGAAAAAGTATTGTGTATAGAAGGAACAGGGAATGGAAATGAGATTTTTTCTGTGCACGGAAAAATTCTCCTCTTACCACCGAGGGCACAGCATCACATCAACAAACCGTTGACGTCTGCCTCTCATAACCGGGACAACACGTCACGACAAACCGCCGGACAAACTCACCGAGCAGACTGACCTTCCAGTACCGGACACCACGACATAGTCAAATATTGAACTTATTTACTAAACACGTAATTTAGCAGCTTCTGCTTCCTTAGCGCAGTTGGCAGCGCGTTAGTCTCATAATCTGAAGGTCGCCAGTTCGATCCTGGCAGGGAGCATTTACTTTTTTCTATGGGTTTGTCGTTTCCGATCTGGGTTGGTCTTTCTTTTACTATAACAAAGTCAAAAGATCAAACCTACTTGGGATCAGTGAGTATATATAAAATCAAAGAGAGAATAAAAGATACTTTTTATTGATATAAATTAAATTGTCTTATATAGTTTTCTAAACTAATACTATGCATTATCTACAATAGTTATTATATTATATTTAAATATATGGAGTGTCATTGTACTGTAGTTAATTACCATCAGATTTTATGGATTCCTTAAAATAATATTCAACACTACTGTCATTCCTGATATATGCTATCTTCCAGTTCACTGTAAACATAGCCAAATTGGTCAAGCTTTAATAATACAGGAGTAAGCAAATAAGAGAGAGAATAAAAGATGATTTTTATTATTTGATTTGGGTTATCTTATATAGTTTTTGAAATGATTATTCATATTTAGCTGTCAGGAACTGATCTGGAGAGAGATAAGGACAGAGAAAACAGAGAGAGAAATATAGATAGATTCCTTTATTAAAGAAGTTGTTTACTTGATCTTTCTATGATCAAGCTCTACGAGTATTTATACAAATATTTATGTCTGCTAATTGTGAGGGATAATTATGTGATTGGTGCTATGAGTGTTTTCTCTAAGGAAATGAATACATTGATTTGATTGATTTAATAACAATATGGTCAGAAGGGATTCTGATTGATCCAATGACTGAGACTGATTGGATGTTCCTTACATTGGCTACACTCAAGTAGTATCTAGTAATATTACAAATTATTATAAGCTGATTACAAATTTCTAAAATTACAAACTGATGAATAATAGAGTGGGTGTTGTGTTGTGGTAAAATCGAATCAAATTGCCATAATGCCCAAATAAGAAAATCGGGATATGAAAATTTTGAAGCATTTTAAACACCAGAAAATGGAGGGAAATTGTGGCAAAATGAGCCCAATTTGCCACAATTTTTTATAGATGCCATATATACATAGCATTCAATGTTTACCAGCACAAACAAATAGATATGCAGTTTTTTATATATATTTTCAACAATTAAGCAAAATACTTCAAGTATATATATAAGATATACTTACGTACACACTTTTTACTTTATTTGTCTTTTCACTCAAATACTTTTTGGTCTTTTCCCTTATTTTCTTAAAAATGCGTACAATAAAAATGAAGCAAACAGCACAACCCACTAACAGCCAGAGCAAGTGCGTGTGATCTGCAACTGTGTCAGAATTCAATGGTTCAGACGTTGATGTATCATCAAGCAGTTCTGCAGAGAAGGCTTCACGAAAGGTTCAAAAAGGCAAAGAGAAAGTCTCGACTAGTGAACGAGAACAGTGGGACATGGCTAGAGAGATTGCACTAATGCAATTGATCTACAATTGTTGCCCTTTTACCAATGATCATGGCGACAAGTCCTTGGCATGGGATGAGGTTACAGCCAATGTAAACAGTGTTGAGCACACTCATCTGCACCCACTTACAGCAAAGGGTGTCAGAGCAAGAAAGAATTTGCTGTTCAAGAAGTTGAATCTGGTTGTCAACAAAGACAATGAGAGATCCTTATCTGTGTCCAACCCACACATTCCAGAGAAACTCTTAAGACTGATATATGATGTATACACAGCCGTATGTTTAAGCAGCCATAAACGCAAAAAAAACAGTTAAGCTAATTGATTATTTCTCTCTTATAGATTATGGATTATCAAGAGTTGAAGGCTGCCAAAGACAAGGCAACCAAAATAAAAGAAAAAGAAAAAAAGACTATAACAAAAAAATAATGGCCATTGCAACATATGGCCAGGAAAACTTAAGCGGTAATGACGACAGCTCTGACTCTGACTCTGACTCTGACTCTGACGTCTCTCATGACAGGAAAAATCCCCAATCTTCAAGCATGGCCAACAAGTCTGCGAGTCTTTTGAAGCAACAGTTAGACATTCTTCAACAACAACAGCACACCAACAATCTTGTACTGGAGGAGTTAAAGAAAACAAGTCAGTCAAATGCAGTTCTTGCTGAATCAAATCAGACAATTGCTGATTCAAATAAGGCCATTGCCAAATCTAATTCAACTCTTGCTAAATCTCTTTTGACAATTGCTGACTCTATTTCTGCCTTTGTTGAATCTTATAAAAATAACAAGTAAATATATAATACATTTACTCTATTTTCAAGTTTACAAGTATTTGAATTGTTTTATTGCTTATCAGGAACAGTGATGGTTTCTACTAAATTTGATGCATTGTTCAAAATAGTTTTGTAGTTATCAATAGTGTCCTGGTTGGCGTTCATACATAAGACCTTTGATATAATCATGGATATTTGGCGGCTGAAGCTTAAAAAGTTTAGAGCCTGCTGAGTCATTAATACACATATGAGAGTTCTTGAAAAGAGTTGACAGGATGTATATTGTTGCTGGCTTTGTGTTTGCAAATATCTTCATTCCATAGTTGTACTTGCAGAATTTAAATAACTGCGACACCTTTCCAAATTCTATCTCAACTTGAATTCTGATTTTTCTCATTGATTTTTTGATTTTTTTTCAGCTCTAAGCATATAAGCAACAATATCATATTACGATTGTTAAACAAAAGACAATTTTACAGGATGTATGTCTTTTTTTCCAATATCTTACTATCATTGTTGGCTTCACTTAAAGGAAAAGATTTGTAAACTTTATCTGATTTAGGGTAAGCCATATCTCCATATACTATATATTCGAATGGAACATTGTTATCCTTGGAAATATGATCAAGATGCGCAATTAGACGATCTAATGTTTTTGACTTGTCAAATATTCTAGCATCATGAGTAGATTCAATGAACGAACCAACCAAGCTGCTAGTAATATCATCGGGTATTGCAATAGTCTGGTACTTAATACAATGTATATGCTACTCAATAAAAAAAGTTGTTATTATACAATCAAGCAAAGAATTAGTGTTATGAAATAATTCACTAGTCATTTTCAAAATCCAATAATTACCTTCCAGCTGTTATAAACCAGTTTCTGATCTTTGTAAGAACTTGGACAGGAAGCTTTTTGCATAGTGCCATCCACAAAGCCAACAACATTTGGGAAGGTCTTTCCTAAAACAGTTTATGTCATTAGTAAAGTCCCATTATATCAGTAAGTAGAGCAATAAAAGAAATACATGATAATAATATTACTTTTTTTGTGTATAGCTTTTGCAAACCACTTACAGTTTTCAGAAGAAAACTAGTGAGTGTCAAACTCGAGTTCATTTTTGAATTTATTTAGCAACAATTCAGTAAACTTGTTCACTATTAAACCTAGTGTCTTGGCAGACATGCCCCATACACTTTCCATTATAGTATATTTTTGTAGGAAAGTATACCGGTACAAAATCAAAGTGAAAGCAAATTCTCTTTCAACACGGACAGTGTAACTTTTGCTACATTTAAATTCTAAATATAAAGGCAGGTTCATTGTATCACACATTGTCTTGATCTAATATAAATAAAAAAGTTAGCTATTAATAATATTACCGCAACAAAAGCTGTTTATCAACATGTATATTACTTCAGATAGAGTAAATCTAAACTCTTTCTTGCATGTATCATCACTTAGTGTCTCTAAATCAATTCTTGCAAGCTTTTTTTTTCTTGTTTCTTTGTTTAGAACAATTAGCTTTAACATCAAGCATACAGGCAATTCCAGCAGCAATCTTACGGGGACGTCATTTTCAGGATGGGGCACTACTTTTTTTTGCCGGACTAATTCGTTGTGACTACTTGTCCAAGGTCCGAGGTATTTTCTCCAATCCTTCAGGGCAAAACGATGTGTCCTGAAATTCTCAGCTCAATATTTAAATATAAAACCTTCTTTTCTATTCTATACTCATCTCGTAAGAGCTACTAATCAATTGCACTTAAAAATATTATTTTTTTCTCGGAGATAGTAAAGAGATTAATTTGCTCATTGCAGATTAGCAATTAGAAATCATGATGTTAATAAGTATTCTCTAGAAATCACTTCAATATGAATCCTATCAATAAAGAAATCCGCTTTTTCAATGGAAAGGAACATTATCCTGTCCAACAACCTCTTCCTGTCTCACCAGTTAATGGTTACAGTGACATGACAATGACAATTTCAAAGATGCAGGAATATGCACTTGCCAACAATTTTGCACTTATAACTAGAGATAGTAAACCAACTCGAGTGTATTTGAAGTGTGCCAAGGGTGGTCATTATAAGAACACACGGAATATTGAAGACAGTGAATGCAAGAGAATTCCGTCTAGTAGAAAGACTGGATGCCCCTATCTCTTGAAAATATCATACAAGAAGGCCACTAAAGAATATCTTTTTTTGAAAGCCACCAATGAGATTGAAGACTACCACAATCACCCTCTTGATAATGACTGCCTGGAATCTACCTTGAAAGGTTGTTTGTCAAAGGTTACTGTCGATGATGCTAGGGAAATCATGAAGCTTGTTGAGACCAAAACCAAGACTCGTGAGATCCAAAAGGCAATCAATGAAGAGGACAATGTCAGCCACAAGTTGTATGTGAATGACATTAACAATATCAAGGCTGCTTTTGCTCGTGCTACTGCTTCCACTTCTCAGGATGCAGGTACTGAACTTGTTAAAACCATGGAAGCTAAGGGATATCTTGTATGCTATGACGCCAGCAAATATGGATCTCTTGAAAGAGTATTTTTCTCACACCCAAAGATGCTAGAAAGAGCCCGTCGCTTTCCAGAAGTCATGGCCGTTGATGCCACCTACTCAACCAATAATTTGGAAATGCCTCTTGTATGCGTGGAAGGTGTCCATAACCTCGGGGGAGACACTCTTAAATCGTTTCCCATTGCCATCGCCTGGGTTTCGAATGAGAAACAGACAACCTACGTTTGGTTCCTTGAGCAGCTCAAGGCACTTGTTTTTGAGAATAAGAAAAGCAGTTCTCTATTTGTAACAGACAAATGTATGGCCTTAATGAATGCACTTGACATTGTATTCCCAAAAAATGTCAAATTGCTATGCTACTGGCATATGTTGAATAGCGTTGAGATAGCTTTTGCTGGAAAACTCAAGTCAGTTGCAGAGAAAGAGGTCCTTATGGAGTATGTGAACTCCATGATTCACAGCAGTACCAGAAGGGATTTCGAGGTTGCGTTGATGAAGTTCAATGCAGTATCTTCTGGTTGTGAAGTAGACGAAGGAGGGTCCAAGATAGATGTATTGGTTTACTTTGCCAAAAGATGAATAAAGTGCCAGGAGAAGTGGGCAGGATACCTGACCAGTCAGCAAATGCATTTTGGGTGTACAACTATCTGGAGAGTCAAGAGCGCACACCAAGCTTTGAAAAGAGGGATATCAGTAATTTCGTCTTTTGGGCTTGCATTTGAAGCTGTCAACTCCTATGTAGACAAGCTCAAAAGAGACTTCAATGCTATAAAAATCAGGGAATCGACAACTGTTGATGTCTTGGTTGGCTGCAACAAGCAGCTTTCTAGACTTTTTATGAAAGTCTCTAAGAGAGCATTGCTTGTTATTGATCAAGAACTTCGCTTGATCAATAGAGACAATGAATTTTGTTATTGCAAAAACAGGTTTGAGTTCGGCTTGCCCTGCAGACACTTGCTGCCAGCTGGAAGGGAGCTCACCCTTGATGATGTTCCTGAAAGATGGATCATAAACTCTGTTCTAAAAGAGACATCTTTTGAGGAAAGTTGTACAGCACACATAATTGCCGAGAGGCCAGAAGAGTGGATACAAGAGATTGTAAAGCTTGAGACTCTTTTCCGCTCTTGTGAGGGCAGCCAGCAAGTGGCCAACCTCCTTCAAAAGATCAAGAAGGTTACTTCTGAATTCGAAGGCAAAACTGGGCACCCTTCGATTAACTTTCAAGCCCCAGAAAAAATTAAATATCCTGGCAAAAGAAAGGGTGGTGCACGTCCCAAATACCTTCCCAAAGACTTTGGTCGGGCAAACTAGAGGAAGATCAGTGTTTCGTCTGATCATGTAAGATAAAAAAAATATAACATAACAAAGTACTAATATGTATCTTGAAATACTAGGCCGGCCTTAAGACAATGGTTAGGTTAAGAGCTAGAACAAGAGATGGAAAGCCTGCAGCTACACAAAAAACGAAAAACAACAAAAAACAAAACAAAAGCAAAAAAGAGCCTCTTGACCTAAGTAAGATGCTTTTTTATTTTACATATAATTGAGTTTATGAAAAAGAATCTTGTCATATATTTACATACATTTTTTAGTTGATGCTACCAAAAACAAAATAAAACAAATTAAAAAAGAGCCTCTTGACCCAGGTAATATGTGCTTTTATTTTATAGTGTAATTGAATTCATGAAAAGGAATCTAACCTTATACTAATATGCTTTTTAGTCAATGCCACCAAAAACAAAACAAAAAAATAAAACAAGAGCCTCTCGACCCAGGTAATATTCTTTCTCATTTTTCAGTGTAATTGAATCCATAAAGAGAAATATTGTTGTATACTTATATGCTCTTTAGTCGATGCCACAAAAGAAATAGGGTTTAAAAGATCCGCTACGGCTCAAGAAGATTACCAATATGACTATCGCACCTCTGTTGGCAAGAGGGTTAAATTTCAGCCTGGTTTTCCTGTCTCTCATGAGATAGTTGATGACGTTAAGAGTGGGTTTAACCCTACTTCTGATGGATGGTGTGGTTTTTGGGCCCTTGCCCATTTGATCTATAAAGATCAAGAAAAATTCTCTCTTGTGAAAAGAGATATGCTTGCTACCCTTCCAAAATACAGCAGCATTTACGCCAGCACGTTTGGAACTGATGTCAAGCAATTAGAAGACATTATAAAGCATGGTTCTGATCTCTGCATCACCAACTCCAACTCCAACTCCAACTCCAACTTCATCCCAGTGTGTTTAGATGCCAGTATGTGGTTTAGCACACCTGACTGTGCTCAACTAGCTGCGGACACCTATAAGCAACCAGTCTGTGTCTACTCAGACAACCCCAACACCCCTTCCATATTGTTCCTTCCCTTCACCCTTCCCAAAAACATATCCAAACATCAACAACCTCTGATTTTCAATCATGTTAACAATAACCACTGGACAACAGTACACCTCTCCCGCAATATCTCAAGGAAATGGCTAACCATTCCTGAGTTATTCTTTTTGGGTTGTGTCAGAAACCAGATTCCTGACAACTTTGATACTTACTGGAACAAGTTTAAAGAGTTCAATAAGTATGATTGTAGAAATGCGATGTTCTCTTTTCTTTCTGATCAAGAGGAACATGTTGATTTCACTATAACATAATCTTTTTTTCTTCTTTTTTTCTTTTATTTTTATTATATTTTTCTTTATACTTCATTAGCTGGACAACTTATTATTTATATGCTCATTTACTCTTATATTTTATTAGCTAGACAATCTTTTTTTTTATCTTTATAAATCTTATCAATCTGTTTCTTTGTGTCAACATAAGCTATCTATCACTTGTGGGTTAAATGACTCTCCGCTCTGTTTTTTCATAGAAATCATTCGTGGGAAGTACTTTACCCTATGAGTTACACATATATCCAGCGAATTAAAAAGTATAAATGTTGGGTGGTGTTACACAGATAGAGCCAAACTATCTTCGAATATGTCATATTATGCATTTGCATCTATTTATTTCATCAATTCAAGTCTTGGCTCTCTATAACTTTGGATCCAAGTAGTGTATAGATATATGTATGGGTTCTAGGATTTTTAGTTGAATTGAAAAGGTCGATCATGAGAAAACTAACGTAATATCTCAAAAATTTGCTTTTTTTCAATAAAATAAAATATTGTATTTGCTTGTAGAATCACTTTTTTCTCATTTGTTTTCTATGAAACTTTTACTGGATTCATATGTTATTTGAATATATGCAATTAAAAACTTTTTTTGGTCTTATATGAATATTTTTTATTTTTTTGTATTTTTGATAAAATATCTCATATACATGTTGTAAGGAAATGATAGAAAGAGTTTTTACACAAGAAATAAAAATAAAAAATAAAAAATAAAAACATGAATTTTGTAAATATATATTTGCTTAACTTCTATGCAAACTTTCTTAGGCATAAAAGGCTTCATTACCTTTATATCCATTATGAAAGTTTTTGAAAAAAATACAAATTATATGGATTATAATCTTTTCCACTTAAATCACACAAAATGAAAACATATGATTTATGTCTCAAGTTAAATCGTGAAAATATGACTCATTAGCAGTCACAGATATGTGATTTGTTGACGGGAGCCAAATAAATCTTATATCTTACAAATACTCAATTTTAGTTACCATTTTTGTATAATAAGTTGATTCTATTTTTGCTTCTTTGTCTTATAATATTATATCATAATTATAGTAAGAAGTAAACTTATTAGTATTTAACTATTAATTATGACTCTAAGTAGCTGCCACTTTATCTAATATATATTTTTTTAATGTAAACTACATTTATTCTACAATTATTAGATATACTTTTTAATATATGCAAAATTAATTAATACTATATGTATTCTCAGACATTTTTGCGACTTTGTTTTTCTTTTCTGAAGAAGATTTAGCAGTTTTTATTAGTATTTATCTTAAATAAGTATTAACAAAAGGTAATGTTTATTACATTAAAGGATATTATAAGCCTAATAAAGTATTTAGTAAAGAAATTTCAAATTTTATAAGGTATTTTTTCAATAGGCAAGATATGAAAAGTCATGACTTTTGGGGGACAACGTTTCCAGGGTAGGGCACAATATTTTCTATTAGGATATAATGTCTTGAAGTAACATGTTAGATAGTTTTTTATTATTCTATATATATATCAGTTAATTTATTACATATAGTATAAAACTTTAAATATAGAATTATATATATAAAACAATGCTTTTATATTTAGTCAAAGCTATTTTTTTATATGAGATTTTTTATTATCATTTTGCCCAAAAACAGGTCGTGCCTCCTAAAGAAGAAGAGGTATATGCCTGGAGACAGTTTGATGAATGCACAAAGTTTGGGAGCAATTTAGTGAACTAATACACATGAGTGGAGAAGGAAAAGACATAATTACATAGAGGAAAGAAGCATAGAAAAAGCTATTATCCTATCTTGTATAAAAGTATCTTTATTATGATAAGTATGAATCCTTAGGGACCAGATATAATTATTTGATACCGGACAGCAAGTCACAATTTGTGGTCTGGTAAAATCAAAACAACGTTTCCCATCAAAAAGGTAGTGCCCCATCCTGAAAATGTTGTCCCCCTAATATTAGCGCAATTCCAACAAGTGCTCCAACAAGCATTTTTAGATAGCTTATATGGTGTATTACATGTGTGAATGTGTATAAACAAGAAAGAAAGAAATATAATTTTGTGGAAATTAAAAAAAATCTGCAGCAATTTGAAAGTAGAGTGCCCATAGGCTGAAATACAAAAATTTAAATCAAGTGATAAGATTTTGACAAATATAGCAGTAGGCACTTTGCCACAACACAACACCCACTCTAATCATTCTAATTCCTGCTTCTTTTGTAATAACAAGTCACTATAACTTGTATCACAAAAATTAAGCATGATACTTGTCGGACATTATTTTGATGAATCCGTAAAATCTGAAGATAGTTAACCGCAGTACTTCTTTATGCGCAGTAATATCTTCCTGAGCATTAACCGCAGTATAATGACTATTTCTTTAATTAAATATAAATAATAACTACTGCGGATAATGCGCAGTATTAGTTTAGAAAACTATATAAGACAATTCAATTCATATCAATAAAAAGTATCTTTGATCCTCTCTTTGATTTTACGTATACTCCTTGATCCCCAGTGGGTTTGACCTTTTGACTTTGTTATAGTAAAAGGAAGACCAACCCAGATCAGGAACGGCACACTACTCCGCTAAAAAATTCCAGATCGAGAATGAAAAATGGAGACGCCGGGGTTCGAACCCGGGGCCTTTCGCATGCAAAGCGAATATGATACCACTACATCACATCCCCATTTCATGACTAACATAAGTGTTGTAAAATTTTCAAGCATTAATTAAAAACGTATATTTGTTTGCTGTGACGTCAACTTATGGACAGACTACACACCTACTGAGCTTTCTCCTAAATATGAAAATTTCTTGTCAAAACCAAATTTTCTATTGGCTTAGAGTATGAATTGAGATTAAACATGACAAGCTTCAGATTTGGAGGAGCAAAATAATGAGATATATGCCAAAAAAGGATTAAACGTATTTTTTGAGCCACTTAATTGAAATTCAGACAGAGAAAAACTTTAAAATGGGAGGAGAAAAATGGATAGCTCTGAAAGAGAAGATTTTATTGGACAAAATTTTTTTCTGTTGAGAAAAATGCATTTTTTTGACAAGTCATTTTGCAATCAATATTGGAAATATTTACTAATATTCACCAGAACATGCTAAACTTTGAAACGTTAAGAACACTAGAAAAACATATGGGAATTACCATATACAAAGTTAAATTATAACAATAGAAAATCTGGGGTATTTTTTCATCTCAGCTTTTTTTGTGTGTTCAAGATAAAAACACTGTTTTCCGGTTTTCTATTGGCTTGGATACAACAGACAAAAATATTATTTATTATTATTATTATAAAGACATAACAATTCATTATAAAAACATAGTAGATTTAGTAAACGTTGTACTTGTTTTCTTTTTCTCTTAATACTTCAAAGTAAAAATAAATAAACATTATATCCACAATTCCTGAACTCTACAACGAAAAGTGTTATTGTGCTGGATGTAGTCAGAACAATCTCGGCTATAGTTTTGTTGCCAGAAGAACTGCTCAACGTCATAACAAAAGGGCAAGACTAAATGCCATAAGATGTGAAAGGGGTACAATATTTGAATTTATTTAATTGTATTGTAATCCATGAAATAACATATTGTAATAGACATATCTACCCAAAGAAATATGATGGAGGTCGATGATGAACGTAAGGTTTATTTAATTCAGATACTGTTAGATATTAACCAAGTGTTATATTCTAAATGTAACTATCTTAACCCATCAACCCGGAGCCCTGGAAGAATTGTACACTCAGACAAACTCATCTGTTTGGGAAAGAGCTTCAATGTCTGACACTGAAGACGTTTCCGTTACTAATGACATGATCAGCAATGGCGACAATGATGACAGTGGAAGCAACAGCAATGAAATCAGTGAAGACGAAAGCAAAGATGATGTTATTGAGCTCGACAACAATGAATTGAATAGTGAAGGTCAGTTAGTGTTAAAAATTTTAAAAAAAGCATTATTTTTTTTTATAATAGACTTTTTTGCCACCCCCGATATGCCCCAGAACCCAGTGCACAGGTTCATTGCTAATTTTGTGGTGATGTTTGCTTCCCGCTATGTAGTTGACAAGGGCGCTGTTGTCTTGATCGAGTTCATCAACAAGCTTTTGACAATTTACGAGCAGGATTTCCAACTGCCCTTGAGCCTTCCTAGTCTTCAGCACATGACAGGTTTCTCAGCCATGACTAAAGGCATAAAGAAATTTGTTGTGTGTCAGGATTGTCACAAGATGTACAAAGAAAGTACATCTGTCCCGTCTCATTGCGATTTTGTAAAGCTTAGTGCATGCTTGTCTTGCAACTGCCAATTGACGAAAACATCAGCATCGGGTGCTTTGGTGGCCAAGCATTCATACTTGTACCAGTTCGTTGTTAATACTTTACAAATGTTTTTTCTTTGTTCAGGATTCAAGGATAAAATTAGACATTGGAATCATGAGCTGAAGATGGTGGATACAATGTGTGACATATATGACGGTGCCATGTGGAAGGAGCTCAAAGACAAAGATGGTGTGCAATTCACAAAAGATTCGCATTCATTAATGTTGACTCTCAACATCAACTGGTTTCAACCTTTTGATAACGTCACGCACTCGACTGGTGCCATATACCTGGTAGTAAACAATCTGCTTCACAATGAAAGATACAAGCCAGAGAACACACTTCTTATAGGATTGATGCCTGGCCCAAAAGAACCCAAATCTGAAGAGATAAACCATTATCTCCAGCCTATGGTAGATGATCTGATAAGATTGTATGAGGGACTGGCAATCTCAACTTTCGAGTGTCCTAGTGGTGTCTGCGTCTGTGCCGCATTGATGATGGTGGCCTGTGACATCCCGGTAGCAAGAAAGACATGTGGTTTCACCTCGCACAACAGTACATGTGCATATAACAAGTGCAACAGACATTTCCCTTGCTTGGAAAACGGTGTCAATGTTGACTTTCATGGGTTTGACTTCTCTCGGTGGGTGCTTCATGACAGTGTAGAGAACAGATTGCATGCTAAGGAGTGGGAAAGTGCTAGTACCCCCTCAGAAAAGCATCAGCTGCAGGTTGAAAATGGTGTTTGATGGTCGCAGTTGCATTGCCTTGGATACCTAGATCTAGTACGTGGAACGATCATTGATCTCATGCATAATTTATTCCTGGAAACACCAAAAAGATTGATGGATCGTTGGATCAAAGACAAAGACATCCAAGATGGCAATTTTGCAGCAATGCAGAAGACTGCAGAAACAATGATTGTACCTGATGGATATATCTCGTTGAACTCGAAAATAAAAAAGCAATTTTCGTATATGAAGGCAGACAAGTGAAAGTCGTGGGTGCTCATATACTCGCCAGTTCTGTTGAAAGATATTCTTGCAAAAGACAGATTCGAAAACTGGATTAACTTTGTTGATGCATGCTGCCTGTTGATCAAGCCAACAATCACGTCCGATGAAGTCAACACTGCCCATCAGTTTCTTCAAACTTTTTGCACCAGATGTGACGAGCTGTACAACGCTGAAATCCTCACCTGTAATATGCACCTACACCTCCATCTTCGTGATACAATTCGTGATTTTGGACCAGTGTACAGTTATTGGCTATTCGGGTTTGAGCGATTAAACCGGTTGTTAAAAAATTTGAAGACAAACAGGAAAATTGGGTTTGAAGAAACATTTATGAAGAAATTCATTGAAGGTGTATGCAAAGACGATCTTGTCAATAGTCTCCCCCAGAGTACCCGCCAGACATCTGCACTTCCTCTCCTTATCAAACTCATTTATTCCTTTACACCCACTACCATTCCATCCATCCATCAACATACCTTCTGCATATAGTCATTTGTTGAGGCTTCTGAAGATCCAAATGTACTTATAAAAGACAACGAACCTCTCTCTCCTTCCACATTCCCTCTATCATTAAAATCCGCTACCACAATGAGTGACATTCACTATGTTCATCTCTTACAATACTACAAAGTTGCGTACAACAACAAACAATTAGTTCACTTTCAACAAGCCTCAGAATCACCACACTTTGTTGACAATACAATCACACTGTTGAAATACATCAACATCCTTGGGCAGGTCTACAAGAGTAAAGGTGAATCTGGAAGTCGTGGCTCTCTTGTGCAAGCAAAGTTCATTGGAAGTACTGGTGAGCATATCATCACATACACTGGTCAAATACAGTACATTTTCACCCATTCTTTCACTTCTCCACCCTCCTCTTCATCCCTTGCCCCTTTGCTCTGCACCCATTGCCGCCCAACTCAACTCCTTCACAATTCTCAACATACTTTTGCATTTATCAAATGGTACACACTCAAAAACGATTGTTGTAAATGAGTATTGACTACTGCTGTAATTGAGAATAAGTCTGAAGGAAATAATATAAGGCCTCAGCTATTCCAGTCAAAGGTGTCTACCGATTACTTTATTATTTAACACACAGGTTTAGCATGCATGATAGTGATTATATTTCATATGATGATATCACCATAATATGGGATACATCAGTGGATTATTATAAGCATAATTATAACTCATAAACACATTTACTTTTGATGTTAATACTTCATTGGGACTACACACATTTATATAATTAATCATACATTAATTATCCCAAGATCACGTTGCTCTGATTAAGGCTCAGATAGGATCGATTACCTGACCCCAGTCATATAATTTTCCCAATCCAAAACAATATAAATAGCAGTAGTAGTTCAGTGTAGGAACCTGGTCAAACTTTGATAAAAAATCTTTCTCAATAAACAAAACCTACACAAGTTCTCACGAATCTTCGTTCCTAATTTCAAATCTTCAATTCTTCCTCTTAAAAACTTCTTCAACTTCAACCACTACAACAACGATAAATCGCGAGAGTACAAACACATCGAAACCTGCTTTCCAACATTTTCTCCTGACTATTTCCAATGTGTATTGCTAGTGCATAGAATTATGTTAGAAGTAGCAACTGCTGAGCACACAAAACGCAAAAAAGTAAAAAAGATGCTGGTCATTCTTTTGCCAAAAAAACAATACATTTAAAAAATAATAAAATATAACTCCCTTTTTCAAAGGCACAAAGAAAAGAATAATCATAGTGTTTGTATCTGTTGGTATGTTTATCATTGTCAGATGGAGGATGTGGAGGATAAGAAAACAAAATTTATTGAAACTCATCTCTAAAAGCCCAGTGAGGGAGAAGGGACGTCAATCTAGGCGGGACTGCTAAAACAGCATCTCTACTGAAGGACTTCGTCAACATCTGACGCGAATTGAAGTCTATGCGATTGTGCATAAAATCATCAACAACCGCAAGAAACTGATTGTATTAAATACAAATAAGTGATTAATCAAAGTTCTGTTTTATTTAAATCCATAAAAAAAAACAAAAAAACCTATATATAATAATGTAAATAAAAGAATTTACCTCATTGCTTCTCCAACTTGGACGCACTGTACAAATCTCATGCTTGCTCAAGACTCCAGGTATATCGTCTTTAGATTCGCTCTCAGACATCTCTTCTTTTTGTAAGAGTCTGTTGCAGCTCTTATCCATCTTTACATCAATTTCAGCCTTGAATGTATGGTAGGTCAGCTCACAGCAGTCAAAATACTAGTTTAATAAATATATTAATATAAATACATTTAATTTGCAATCAAAATGTACTTCTAACATACATCGGTCTCTTGACCTGCTCTTCTTGACCGAGAATTTGTCTTTTTGCGCGATTCATATAATTCCTTGATTTGGCGTCTCATTCCACAAAAGTTTGTGTATATACAATCGCTAATATTGGCCTGTCAAACACTAGTCCCAACAACCTTTGGAGCCAGGTATGCATGAAGGTCATGCATCAGCTGTCTGTTGGGTGGAAGTCTGTAATCAACATTAACATCCCAACTGCGCTTGCTGTCATTAGCTGCAACTAGTTCCGGCTTATTTGATTTGAAGTTGTGTTCCTTCAACTCTCCTCGGATAAGAGCCTATACTTAGTGTGAGATATTATGTTGATGAACTACTGTACATCTCAACACTTACTAAAACTCTATTGTGATCCTGTTTACTAAGCTCACCAGCGTTTGCACCAGTAAGAACCACTGGACCAACAGAAGAAGCAACAGAAGGAGCAACAGAAGGAGCAACAGAAGGAGCAACAGAAGGAGCAACAGAAGAAGCAACAGAAGGTGTTGTATGCCAATCCAGAGTAGAACCAATGGAAGAAGCTGCGAAAGGGACAGAAGCAGAAGCATGTATAGTATTAGAAGCAATAACTGCAAGAAGTTCTCCAGAGGCATTGGCAATGCTACCAAGTATTTCCAATAAATCTTTGTTGCTCTTGATGACAATGCCAATGTTGGAATCCATAGTCTTGAGGCTTTCCTCCATAGTGATGAGTCTTCTTAAAAGCTCAGCATATTCTGGGGATGAAGCTGGGGCAATTGACTGATGATTGTTGGCCATGGTCTGAAAGCTATTAAATAAAATGTTATACATGAGTTTATTGTTAATTATATTTGTTTTATATATCTATTCATTGTATATATAGAGTGTTATTAACATACAAAAGAAGTTAGATATTAAGCAAAAGAATAAAGTGTAGTTAATGGAAAGATGGTAAAAGTAAAAGCAAGAACCCATTTATTATATTACACTTGTTGCTATAAATACTCAGGATTTCTTTAATATGCGTATCTCTATTAATACTTCCTGGAATTAACGGGGTGCAAATTGGCTTTGAACATGCTTTTTTCAACTCAATCCAATATATGATTTCTGTCTTTCGGCCTTTTGGCCCTTTGGTCTTTTGGTCTTTTTGTTTTTTTTCATTTACAAGTTTTCTCTCTTCTCTCTCTTTCCAACATTTATTATATTCACAGATTTTTTTTGGTAAGATATCTTCTTCTTTAATATTATATATATATATATAACTAAAATGATAATAATTGTTTTCTATTGCTATAGACACTCGCGTTTTGTTACCTTCTGATGCATCTCCTTCACAATGTCCATCCAAATTAGCTAAGGTCAGTAAATATACTTTATGCCGTCATCCTATAAAATTATTCTGACTTTTTCCTTTCTTTTGTATAGGCCATATCGCCGAAATTACTCTCTACTATTAAACACAGTTATGAACACGGTAATATTTTATTTTGTTTCAATCTATCTCTTTTTAATAAGCACACGGCTTAACATAATTTCTATTGTAGATGAATCTCCCTCTCATGAGCACATCGCGAATCAAGAACTTTCATTTCATATGAGTGTCATTGACATAGTAATTTTTTTTTGTACATATAACAATATTATTTATTTTGTATATTAATGTATATCATTTACTGAAGACAATATTAGCGTCTCCTATGTACTCTCTTGGTCTGCCAATAAATCCTTTTGCTTCGGGTAGGTAAATGAAATATTCTACTACACAGTTCACAAAAAATAATTTTTTTTCAGCATTTTTATAGCCAAATAAAGTATATTGAGTACTATGGTTCACATTCATGACGCCTTTTCTTTTTGTCTCTGGTAAGCTATTATATTGCAAGCATAATTACATATATATATTCTTAATATCCACGACTTCTTGTTCAAACAGCTAACACTTTTCTAATTTCATAGAACAACCATTTACAAGCAAACAACACACAACTGGGCTTTTCTCTGGGAGATATTGTTTGGAGAATACTTGTTTTATCAGAACATTGGCCATTTCAAATTGTATGAAGGATAGAACACTAGCCAGAACGTTCCTGAATATTAAATATAACCACTGTACTATAAACCTAAGGATATTCTTTTCTTTCTAATAAAAACAAAATAAACCAATAATTATTATAAATAAATTAAAGATCAGAGAAGTGTATGGAAGCAAACAGTACAAGAAGAAGTCTCTAAGATTGGATAGAATAAATTCAAATACAAAAAAACCCTGTAAAAACTGACATATCCATAAATTAAATAATGTAAAATCTGGCATATCCGTATAATCGATCTTTCATTTATCATTCTTTTAATCGGGAAGCGGTAGGATATATTACAACAAAACATAATTCTGAGTTGCTGTTTTAGTGCATGTGGTAAAAACCCATATACAAAAAATGCAAACACATCCTACTATCCTGCTGTTCTGACCTTTTCCTATGTTCAAAAGTTGGTCTTACCACCTATGAGTAAGCCAGCTTTATACACTTGTAAAAACTATCTGATTGCATCATAAAACCTGGTCTTTTCACATAATTAATTACAGTTTTACACATAAGAAAACCGCACTTCTTTTCCAGTGTACTTCACAATTCTTTGCTTCCCAGTTTGACCAAAACTGAAGCCAGACTTGTCCACCTCCAGGAATCCAAGCCAGCTAATTTGGCACAACAAGCCAGCATGCGATGGATGGAATCTGGTAAGCAGTCTAATGCATATATCTATAGACTTATCTAATCTCATACAATTGCACACTTTATTACCTCTCTCTATGACCCCACATCTAGAGAAATTTTCACTTCCACCTCTTCCTTGCTTATATACACACGTCAATTATATGAGACACTGTACTCTGCTGAGTCCATTGACCTTGATGCTACTCATAATCTCATCCAGTTCTTACCCTTGTCTGACTGCCTCTCCTTGTCCAGTTCTGCCTCTCTCATTTATCTCATCACTGCTTCCAAACTTGAGTCCATATTGAATCTCACGCCCATCAACTCCAGCCCTGGTTTGGATGGTCTTCCTTATCCTCTGTGAAAATGGTTGTTCCTCTACTCATATGTGCGAAAGTTGGCTGTGGCAGTTTACCAAGATGCCCTTAGTAATTTATTTCTATCTTTCTGATTAGACACAGTGCTGGTGCTTCTCCCCAAGGCTAGCAACACTTCTATCCTCAAGAACTGATGCCTACTTTTGTTTATTAATTGCGATGCCAAAATATTCACCAAGCTCCTTGCTGCCAGGCTCCATTCTTGCATCAGACCTCTTATCACTTCTTTCTAATCCAGCTTTATATCTAACCGGTTTATTGCTGACAATGGCCTTCTTACCCACCTTGTCATGTATCATGCTCAATTGACAAAGCACCTGGGTGTGGCTTTGCTTTTGGATTAAGAGAAAGCCTATGACCGAGTCCACCCATCCTATCACTGTCTGTTCTCTCCAACTTTCACTTGTCTGTCATTTTCATTGATTCAGTCCTTTGTCTCTTCTTCTCCACTCAGATCCACGTCAATGTCAACAGCTTTGTCTTGGCTTCGTTCTCTCAAGGCGACCCCCTATCCTCCCTTCTCTTCAATTTGGCCTTTGACCCGTTACTTCCATCTATTTTCTACTCGCCCCTTATTTTGGGTTTCGTCTTCAACATTCCCTCTCGCATTTCCCCTCCTCATTCAAATCTTTCATGCAAATTTCTCAAGTTGTTGACTTACGTCAATGACTTGCTTATACTCCTCTCTTTCTCTTACAAACTCGCGCCTCTGCTTTCCCTGCTCTTCGTATATGGTAAGGCCTCCAATGCCTACATGAATCTTGACAAAACCATTGCCATTTCCCTCTCTGGAAATTTTACACCCAATTGGGACCCTGTCTTGACTTTGGCTGATATTACTAGCCTTCACAACCATAACTCTGCCAATACAATCTACTATCTTGGTTTTCCTCTTTTATCTCATCTCTGCCAACTTGACTCTTTCCATTCTGCCCCCCTCAGCAAGCTCGACCAGCACTGTCTTGTCCTTGCACAATGTTGCCTGTCTGTCCATGGTAAGAGCCTGGTCACTAACTCTCTCCTTCTCAGCACCATCTGGTACGTTTTGTACATTATGCCTGTACCACCTTCCTTCTTTACTACCATCTGCAAGTCCATTCGCACCTATCTTTCCCTTGGGTTTGGTAGCCCTGCGTGGGATCTTCTCTGTCAGCTATAACACAAGGGTGACTAAGAAATCCTGAACCCTGAGAGCCAATAAAAGGCCCTACAACTTTGCTGGATCTTGCCCACCCTTTGGGATTTGCATACTTGGGCTCAGTACATCTTTCCCTATCTCACATTTCTTTTTCAACTTCACTTTTCATCCCCTTCCCCCACAATCACACTTTTGTATCCTCTACACTTCTCTATATTTCCTTTCCCTCTACAGTCACTCTTATGCACTAGTAAACATCTCCATCCCTTGATCATTCCTTTCTCAATCCACTTCTCTCCCGCTACTGCTCTCACTCTTCTGCTGCATGACATCTGGACATTTCTTCCTTGTTTCTCTAATTCAAATCAATGGTTGCCCTCTCCACAAGGCTATCACTGGTTCCTTTTGACATTACCTTCTCACGTCTCCTTCCTCTCTTTGTTAAGCTAATATTTTCTGGAAATTGTTCTGGCAGTGGTTCATGTCACACAACACATATTACTTCTGATGGAAAATTCTCTGGCTAAGGGTCTCCACCACAGAGTTTGTATTCAACTGCACCTCCTCTTTTCTTTCTAGTCCAAACTGTTCTCTCTGTCTCTCTGCAGTGGACTTGCTACAACATTTCATCTTCTTCTGCCCCCACAAGTTTCCTGTGTGGACATTCGTACTGTAGCAAATGTGCCCATTGTGATCCATTTCTGACATTGCCTGGCTTTTCACTCATACTTGGCTTTCTCCCTCCATTTCCTCCTCTCTCCAGATTGCGATTGCCTCCATTATAATTTATACCATCTGGCATGCACACTGGGTATTTGTCTTTGACAACTTTTTCTTCCTCCTTAATGCAGTTACAGCTAAGGCAGGGACTGTCATACATAAATCTCATAACCTCATCTTCTCTTAGCTAGTGTATTTATCTCTTTCTTTCCTCTTCTGTAACTATCTTTCTCCAAACTTATTTTTAAAGGCCACGTACTATATACATTGTCAGTTCCAATAATTACAAAAAAAAGGTTTGCTCTTTACTCAATTATGATATATATACTACAAAGAAGTTTCTTTATTTAACATGTTGTTTGCTTAATCTTTAGAGAATCAAGTACAGTAAATATTTATATTGCTATATCACAAAAGAAATTAGAAACCAAATATGATTATATATGGAGCCCTAGCAATATGATTTGTCTAGAAAATTTTCATCTGTGTAATATTGCAAATTAAAAAAATCATCCAAATAGAGAAGAAAATAAAGTTCAAGTAAAATAAAATATTTATTAAAAAAATTTTGGAGTTGTTTGGAGTAACCAAGAAATGATATTACAAAAATTTGAACAAAAGGCCATGATTTATAGAACAAAAAATGTGATATGAAATAAATACCAAATTACTCAAAAAAAAACGTAGAATTTTTATTAACAATACTAAATTATACTAAGAAATAATAATACTAAACTATGCTAAATTATATTAAAAGATAATAATAATAAAATCTATGCTAATCCACGCTACAGGTAGAACCAATATGAATCAAATTTACTCAAGTTAACCATGTAAGTAGTATCATTAACTTTCATTAAATCAATCTTACACAGAGACTTGAGAGAATTGAGAGGCATATAGTCATCAATCATTTCTACTTTCAGGTAGCTATTTTTTATCTCCTTACTCGTGTAAGCAGTAGGTCAAAGAAAAGTAGTCATTGAGTCAGAAATCAGTCCAATGCTGAGAGTTGTGCCAATACTGTTCTTAATAACAAAAGCAGAAAAGAAATTATCCTTTAAAGTAGTTATGTTGCTAGTGTCATTGTTGTCTGTGAGTACTTGAGATTCTCTAAGAAATAGATTGTAAAAAGTTTTATCTTTATCATAGTTGGATTTGATAAATTCTGCAATTCCTGGTCCAGAATACTCTCCTTGTCTGTTGCTGTTAATCCATGATCCATTGGCAAAGTTATGTTGCATAATCTTCTGCTTTGCAAACTTGTGGCAGACATCTCTTGAGATGTTCAGTTGGTTAGTATGAATGAGATGCTCTCAAATATACTTGTTAAACTGTTTGTCTTTTTCTGTCTCAAAGTTCAGGACAGGTCCAAACTGTCTGATATCTTCTGTCAAATGAGTCATACTGTGGGTCTTTAGCTTGGTAGATAAGGGCAAATGCTTCGGGTTTTCAACATTTGCCATATCAAATTCATGAAGTTTGACAATCAATGAGTTCACTGCATATTTAACCTGGACGATGTACTTTTCAAATTTAGATTCAACCTGTCTAACAAACAATAATGAACATAGACGACCAAGTTAAACAAAGCAGGACAAAATTGGGTCAATTATCTTATCATTGGAAAAGTCTCTAAGGAGAACAACAGAAAGAGTCTGTAGCAGCATCTTAAAATCTCTACCAAGAAAAGATCCAGAGTGTCTCAAGAGTTGGGTAAACTTGCGAGAAAGGCCAGTTAAGATATTATGTTCCTTCAGACCATTGGCCAGTCTCTTCAGTTTGCCAGGGTACGGCTTGAGAATTTCTTTCACTAATTCATTGATTAAGTATTTTGCAGTACCAATCAGAATCGTATGCAGAATCTGGACTAGAGTGTTCTTTGATAGGTCAAACGCTTTCAATTCGAGTAGACATCCAGATAAATGGTTTACAAAACTAAGTGCCCTTGCATTCACAGACGTATTCGTTTTTAAAACATCAGGCATGATCGTCTCACGTTTGTCAGTAGAATTAGCCATCACATAATGCTCCCAAGTCCTTGGTGTATATTTCTTAAGAAGATATTCCTTGACTTTCAAAGGAATGTTTTGTCAGAGCACACACACTGTAGGAAATGACAGGATTTATACCTCCGACCTCGTACCAAGTTATATACTTGTAACTTCTGTTATTTAAAAGTCAGTCTTTAAAATACTGAGTAGGTATTGTTTGGGCACAAGCATAGTCTTAGACGGCGTCTCTTCAATTCGTAGTCGGAGAAAGACACAGGGTAGAATACTTTCTTTTTGGGAAAAAATTGAAAATCAGACCTTTTTGTGTAGCAGTTTTACTAAGTTTTTTTTGAGCAGAATTCGACTTTTTGAAGTGTATTAGAGAAGCTTGAAACTGACAAGATACATTATTATTTTTGATAAAGATTGTTAGGAAGAATCGTGTAAAAGATATTATGAAATAATAATATTAAATACAAAGATATAATGATCATATTATATTAACTTTAAAAGCATAAGAGAAAAAATTTATTGGAATTGTATAAAATTATAAAAGAAAAAAAAAGACTAAATTAGATGGAAAGTATTAAATATGTATGTATGTATGTATGTATGCATGTATGTGTTAGATGTTTTTTTAGAAGGTAACTAGGAGAGCGGTGCTCCCCTCCCCCTTTGGGGGGTCCCCCCCCTCCCCCCTCCCTTTGGGGGGGCCCCAGAGCCTACCAGAAGTTAATATAAAACCCTTCCCTATTGGAAGTCTAAGTACCGTATAGCATAATTAATAGGAACATTTTATTTGAGTGAATTATATGAAAAGAAAGGATATGTATAGATGTTTTATTAATCAAAAAAAATTGGTTAGATGAGTTTATAGTGTATGTTATATATAATTTTTTACTAAATGTCAAAGACTTCCTTAAATACAATATTGTCTGTAAATACAGTATTTGCCGTTTCATTGGAATTTGCTGGTGTATCAAGCATTATCTTGATTGTAGAAGGTTTTCTGACCCGGGATAGAGTAACATACAGCTGGCCATGAGAGAATACTGGGGCAGGGAGATATAATCCAACACTCTCAAGAGTTTGACCTTGTGACTTGTTTATTGTCATTGCGAATGCAAGACGAACTGGAAATTGAAACTGCTGGAATTCAATTTCACCATTTGATCCAGATGGATTAAGCTTTATTCTTGGAATAAGAGATACTTGCCCGGCATTGGATCCAGTCACAATTGTTGCTCTGATGACAGATGTTCAAAAAGAGTTGCAAATCAGACGTGTACCATTACAGAGGCCGTTTTTTGGGTCAAGATTGTGAAGAAGCATGATAGGACATCCTTTTTTTAAGGACAGTGAGTGAGGTGGTAGGGATCCAGAATCAATGGTATTTAGTAGCTCAACTGGATATGTCAACTGACCATCTTCATCAATTCCCTGGTCGACACTCTTAAACTCTCGTGCCTCTCCAGGAAACTGGCTCAGAAGAATATCATTGAGTTTCTTGACATCTTTATTCTTAGGAGTAAGCAAAGCACGGCCCATGAGGAAACGAGGGTTGGCTGCATTAGAGGAGAGATCATAGAAAACTGCTTTGGCCAGATCAGCAGGATTACATCCAGAAAGTAACATATGGGGCAGAATTGGGATGGTGTCATCACCGCCTGTTGTGTGGGCAGAACTACTACCAACTTGCAAGAGAAATGCTCCAAATTCCCTAAGCTCTAATGTTTCTTGTTCATTATCTGCTTGGGCAATTCGCATATTTGTTGTAAGCCACAAGGTTTTTACATTTCTCCATGCAGATGCTTTCTTGATACATTGGCTTACAACCTGAGCTTTTGTTGCCTTGGGTATAACAGGAAGAACCTGCCAAAAATTGCCTCCAAAGACAAACAACTTCCCTCCAAATGGAACGTTTTCAAGCAATGGATCGACAGCCTTCATTATATCTTACATGGATCTGCTTACAGTATTAAAAACATCTTTACTAATCATAGAAGCTTCGTCCCAGACAACCAATTCCGTTCTTCTAATAAGTTGTGCCGTTTGCAAGTTTGCATTGATGGAGCATAAGGAGTTAAGATCAACTTTCACTGGAATCTTAAACCTGGAATGTGCTGTACGCCCACCGTCTAACAGCAATGCAGCAATTCCACTTGTTGCTACTGCAAGAGCAATTTTTTCTTGTTGGCGAGTTTTTTGAAGCAAGGCATTAAAGACAAATGTCTTTCCCATCCCACCTGGACCATCGACAAAGTACAATCTTGAGGCTCCCACGTTTTCTTCAATTGCACTTAATACTGTTGTATAGACACGTCTTTGTGAATTATTGAATATCAATGTATCTGGATCTGGCAAAAGCTGGGCTTGATCGCATAAATCTTCTTGTTCTTGTATGATGGCTTGAACATCTTGCCCATTTGGGCTAAAGTGCTGGATGTCAGGCATTGGTGGAAGAACAAATCCAGTGAACAACATGAGAGACATAGAGTTGGCAGATAGATGACTTTCGATATCCCATAAACATCTGTCAAACATATCTTGTGTGGGGGCTAACGCAGGAATTCCACTACTTTCTCTTGCCAAATGAAGATTGTTGTGGTGGTTGAAGTTGAAGAAGTTTTTAAGAGGAAGAATTGAAGATTTGAGATTAGGAACGAAGATTCGTGAGAACTTGTGTAGGTTTTGTTTATTGAGAAAGGATTTTATATCAAAGTTTGACCAGGTTCCTACACTGAACTACTACTGCTATTTATATTATTTTGGATCGGAAAAATTATATGACTGGGGTCAGGTAATCGATCTTATCTGAGCCATAATCAGAGCAACGTGATCTTGGGATAATTAATGTATGATTAATTATATAAATGTGTGTAGTCCCAATGAAGTATTAACATCGAAAGTAAATGTGTTTATGAGTTATAATTATGCTTATAATAATCCACTGATGTATCCCATATTATGGTGATATCATAATATGAAATATAATCACTATCATGCATGCTAAACCTGTGTGTTAAATAATAAAGTAATCGGTAGACACCTTTGACTGGAATAGCTGAGGCCTTATATTATTTCCTTCAGACTTATTCTCAATTACAGCAGTAGTCAATACTCATTTACAACAAAGATAATCTTCAATCATAAAATCGCGATGAGCAAGCCACAAAGAAAAAGGATCTGATACTGCACAGAAAATCAAAAGAATAGCAAAGAGTCTTCGTAAAGAAAATGGGAGCTGATGAGCTGCTGCCTCTTCCATACAGTTGCTCTACTCATCATCATTCAAAAGTAATCCCAGAGCGCGACATGCAGCTTGGTTCGTTTCATACACACATCCTTCTACTGTACGTATGTCTTCAAAGCTTTTGGCCCCTTTAACATTATGCAGCAGTAATCGTAATGAATATTTTTCAATATCTCTCAGAGACACTGTGTAAACTCTGCCAATTGTTCCTTTATCAAACCTCTTACGTGCTGTCTATTTTCGTTCTTTTGTATTCCATACATAAAGAGAAGGAAAGTCGACGTAAAGAAGTTTTTCAGATGATGGGTGTGTAGCATTATAGTCGAAATATCCCATTAAAGTAGTGTTTTTTCTGGAATTTGCAACATCCTCTGGGTTAGAAGATGGATTATAATATATGGGTTGGGCATTTTCCAGATGGATTGAAAGTCTTTGATGGCTGGGATACTCTTGATGAAGCTTGAAAGAAAATATTCTCCAGCATGCTTCAGAAGCGGAGACATACTGAGCATCAAGAAGCTCATTTGTGGTATTTCAGGTACGAAACAATAGAAAAATAAAATATTTGAGAATAGAGACGTATAGAAATACTTTGAGACTGTATCTTAGTCGTCTTTATTCATAAATAAAAAGTGTCCCTTTTTATAAGAAAACACAATCTGCTCTTGTCATTACGTCTTAGTTTCTTAAGGCTTTCTTCCTTTACTATATTTGGTTATTAGAGTGTATTTACTGCTTAACTAGTGTCGGTGTTACAATTATGACATCAAGTCATAAATCGTACTTCTTTAGCTCTTAGCTATTCTTTTCTCTTTTATACTAGAGCTTTAGGACTTCCTACTAAATTAGCTCCATATCGATCTGACACAGTTTACCCGGCAGTATGATATAATTATCTTAACAATCTTTAAGATATTATCTACAGTACTAACTGTAATAATTATTGGGCTGATTACTTAATCGTTTATATATATTTTATACTGACAAGATGATAGCTACTACGCTATCCCAATATGAATATGTTCTTATATGTGATAAATCCAACATCCGAGTGTCTGGATCACCACATCATTAACTTCGTTTACATGCTCTTGTTGTTGTTGTGGAGTGGAATTGGTGGGTGTAGGCTGCACACAGACCATTGCACGGTCATGTCCTTTATATACATATTTGTAGAGGTATTTTACGGCAGAAACAGAGGTGCTAATCTCAACATTTATATGAGCATTGTATTTTGCACATATGTATCTATTGTGTGGAACAACCCATTCATTATCCATGATCTTTGGCCCTCTTCTAATAACTCTTCCATTTCGACTGCGTTGATAAATAGGATATCCGTTTCCACCATTGCTAGTCTCATTACAAAGCTTTTTAGGATAATTCTTTGAACAGATCCCATTCTTCATGCATGATGCTTTTGGATATTTCTTTCTGCATGGGCCATGCATCATGCATTTTTTTACTGTTTCATATGCCAATGGCTCAGTTTCAGGATCTGGGATTTTAGCCAAAACTATTCTGTCAAAATCTTCTATTGTTTTTGGTTTATCTTGTGGTTGCAAAATCAAAAGAATGTGGGCATGAGGAAGTCCGCGATTTTGGAATTCAATGATATATATAAAGGCCAAAACTTTCCCCAAGATATTTTTTTTGTAAGGTTAATCATGAGCTCTTTGAGCTTCATATTGAAAACCCGAGAACAAAGATCTGGTCTGTCATTAGCTTTTTGCCCAGCCAACAGGAAATTTGTGATTTCTGGTCACTTTGAATTGCAAGTGAAAGTTATGAACAAATCAGGCTTGCCAAAACGACGCATAATACTCATTGAATCTTGATAAAGTTGAGCCATATACCGGGGGCTACTAATAAAAGAAGATGGAAGAATAACTCTCTTTCCAAGATTTGCAAGATTACAATTATTATGGATAACAGCATCCAGAATTCCACTATAAAGATCTACACAGAGACGATTTTGATTGCTGGTGATGAAGTGCAGCCGATCGTGCTCAACTTTGGCATACATATCAACAATATATTGTCGAAAGAGACGGCCAAAAAGATGGAGGAGGTGCTGTGTGTTGCGTTGATACATCAAACAGTTTGAGTACCATTGCATTACTGTAACATGCTCTCCTGACAATGAGCTGGCATCAATGGTCCAACCATCTTCACCATGTGGAAAGAGTAGCACATAGTGTAAAGCATCATAAGATCGATGGTACTCATTGATGTTCTGTTGGAAGTTGGCTCTGGTGTGCAGCACAATGTCTCTTGAAGTACCCTCTTCATTATTCATAATAAGAACTGCTATTTCACTTGCAGTTGGAGCATTGTACCGTCTTTGATCCCGAGGCCCCTCAGCTACTAAACGCAAAGTGAGATCTATAGATTGTCCCTTTTCCTGAGAAATTTGATCCATTGTTCTGAAGAGATGTACGAATGGATTTGTTTCCATAAGAATGGGCTGAATCTTCTCCAAAACACTTCTCTCCAATTGTGGGGAATGGTACTGTCTTTGATCTATCTGAGCAGCACTATCATAAATATAGATCTGAGCGAATTTTAGGTGAGTGATATCAGATTCTGTCACTGGCAAAATAGATCCAATTCTATGACAAATTGTTCTGTGAATCCGGAAGTTGTATGCCCCATTGATATTGTTGCCAACAGAGGTATCAATTTTAGCTCCCAAAGAAGTAAAGCTCATTGTACTATTATAGCTTCGAATGTTTTCAAGAAACTTCTTTCCATTACGTGTTCTATAGTTCAAAAGCTCAGCAATTCCTGTAGGTGTTAGCACAATTTGGGGGAGAACATGCTTTCCTTTGTTACAACACATAGAGAACGTGGGGCTTCTTAAAGAAGAATGACTGTTTTTTTCATGTGCCCACATCATTGCCCCACAAAATCGACACTCGATATCCATATCTCTCCTGTTATCAACTGCCGGTTCTGAAATAGCTGGAAGTCGGGCAATATTATTCAAGCCTCTGCCTCGATTTCTAGATCCTCTTGCTCTGCTACTGTTATTGTTTGGACAAAATCTGCTTGTAATTTGGCAATGATCAGTTCCGTTACAGTGAGGACAATGGGGTAAAATTGATCCTCTATTCACAGTTGAAATCTCCTCGACTTCTTCTTCTCTTCCAGTCACTTCTTTATTGGATGAAGTCTCCTCAATCTCTTCTTCCATGACTGCTTCAAGAACTTCAGTAATAGTCTCATTTGCGAGTAGAAATTCAGTCAACTCAGAAACTGAAAGAGAAGTCAATGTTTCTATGTCCAAATTTTGGTCTTGGACTGGCTCACTTCTTATTCTCAAGACAGCAGCTATTTTTTTATAAACACATTTATTATTAAAAAATATATATAATACTTGCAGTAATATGCATAAGTGTATAAATAAATAGTTACTTCGGCTACTTTCTGCAGAATATTCATCTACATTAGTTCTCTTTTGAGGAATGTGGAGAGAAATGTTCTTTGGGTTCATGAGACATTGCTTATGAGTACTTCTGCTATGTCCAAGCATATGGCAAGCAGCACAACGATGTTAAGTAGATGACATTTTATTTTCTGGTTTTTTTTTTCAAAGTTAGAGTTTGGTTTGATAGTTGTATAAGTTTTTTGGCAATAGTTTGTAAAATAAATTCAAGGGGTTAATATCTCGGTATATCATGTGACATAGTAATGTCAGGAGTGGATTGGAATTGGCACTCAGTTCCAATCCTACCCAATCAGGAACAACTACTCCAACTGCAGTAGTTGGGTGAGCAAGGCCAAGAAGAAGAAGACAACCATTGCTCAGCAAGATACCGCAGCAAAAGGACTTAGCTAGAATCTAGGATACTGCAGCATCTTATAAATTAATATAAATATCACAAATATTATCACAAATAAACATTACCTTTATCTTCATATTTCATTCTATCTTATTATCTTATTGTGTGACTTCTCGCACATTATAGTAAAAGTGCTAGATTTTAGATGTGAATAAATGTTTTACAGGCAAATTCGTATATTACGTGATGCTGCTAATTTTGATTGATTTTAGATATATAGAAGATAGATGTTTTACAGGCTATTCGTATATCACGTGATGCTGCTAATTTTGATTGATTTTAGATATATAGATAGATGTTTTACAGGCAAATTCGTATATTACGTGATGCTGCTAATTTTGATTGATTTTAGATATATAGAAGATAGATGTTTTACAGGCTATTCGTATATCACGTGATGCTGCTAATTTTGAATGATTTTAGATATATAGATAGATGTTTTACAGGCAAACTCGTATATTACGTGATGCTGCTAATTTTGATTGATTTTAGATATATAGATGCTGCTATCAGCAATTCTTTTTGCAAGTTCATTTAAAGATATCTTTAAATCAAGGCACTTATTCTCAACAAGCAGGGCAACTTCTTCTTCTGTCAAATGTCTTTCTCTAGCAAGTCATTCCACCTCATTATATATATGAACTCTTCTGCTAAAGAATCGTGATTCTGTTCTGTTATCACTGTGGATTCTTCACTTTGCCCTGAAGTTCTGTTCAAGAAATCTAATTGATGGGCTCCCAGATATTCCAACAGAATATTCATGTCACATATCTGTTACAGGTAGAATTTTTTGGCTCATTTTATAATATGGTAGTATCTCTTCATTATTGTCTGGATTTGTAACTTGGGTAAAGCTTGAGAGAGCAAACGGGGCAGACGGGACTGAGGGACCAAGGGAAGCAGAAGTAACGGAGGGAACAGAAGGAGCAGTGTGGCCAGAGGATGTGGGAGATTGTGTCTGTAAGACATTTTCAAGGCATTTTCGGATTTGAGAAGGATCATTGCATAGACAAAACAAAGCTTGTAAAAAGATTTCAACTAGTACATTTCTAGTCTCTAGGCCTACACTTCTGGAATTTGCATATTCAAATTGGTTTTAGGCTTGCATTGTATTGAAGGAGCTGGTTATTGCATCAAATCTGGCTCACATAGCAGCAGCTATCTCTGATGCAACAACTTGAATACAGTCACTCACTTGAAACTTCTTGGTTGATTCACCAATGGCACCAGAAAGTTGTGCTTCAAACTCTTGGTATAGGCTTGTTGAAAATATTTCACTTATCCACAAGTAATGGTTTGGGTACTTCTTTTGCAAAATCACAGAGTCCTATTTTTATAAATTATTAAAGAGGATCATTTATCCAAGCACTATTGCTATTTTCTTACCTGAAGAAAAACGATCCTTAAATAGGCCAAAAGATCCAAAAAATTGGGACCAGCAATGTCATCTTCAACTTCTTTCTTGTGGAATTTAGCTTTCCATGATTCAATGCCTGGGAATATCATTTGTTGCAACTCAATTGGGGGAGTGATGGCGGCACGATCAAGGAAATAGTCTCCTCTGCAAATAGAAAACCTGGCTAGAACCTTGATTGCATCAACAGGAAGACCAGAAAGATAACATCCCACCATTCAGTCCAATCCCATCTACCAACTTGTCTTTGTTGATCACTGGAGACGCCTTGATTGGATACCATGTTAATGGCACTCTTTTGGTTGATATGGGTAACCTTAGATGAGCTGATCCCAACTGCTTCAAATGCCAACTTGTATGCTTTTGATTGCTCGTCGTAACTCATTGGTTTGCTTTCGTTTTGGCCGGGAAACAAGTAGCTGTTGTACCATGTTTTGCGTGTAGAAAAATCAACAAACGGTTTGTTTTCATGGTGGAATTTGGAAAAAAAATGTTGAGCTAGTGCACCAATAGGATATGATTCTTCATTGGCGTGGCAAAGAGCAGATTTGTATTGAATTTTTTCATCCTTGTTGGTTTTTTCATATGTAATTGTAGCTACTAATGCAACACATGGAGAAACACCTTGATCTTCTAGTTCCATTTTGAAAAGGTTGGGATATTGAGTATCAAGGGCAGTTTCACTTCTCAACAACATTGCATGACTCATAAGGAAACAAAGACGATTTCTAACTTCCACTGTACTATATTGCTCGAGAAAGTATTGGATATTTTTGTTAGGATCACATACTGCCAGAGTGTTCACGCAATATGAAGATTTCCATCCAAAAAATTCATCTCTTTTCAATTTTGATGCATATGCAAGATCGAATGTATATCGATCAAGAAATCCAACTAGATCAGAAAGCCCTAGAGGTTTTTAGTTTTCTTTAATGATTGTTGTATCCAACATAATCGTAGATTTAAATTAAAAGTACAGACACTCAATAAATACGTACATTGAGTTACCGACAACTAGTAACGATACTAAAAGATATACCTTCCCTTATACAAGGAAATTACGCAAAGAACATACTAAGACAAATACTAAGACTCTAGTCAATAACACTAAAAACATAAAAACTAAATCATAGAAGATAATGGTAGAGAAACAGACATTACATGATATCATCATATCATCACCAAGCTAAATACAATGTCTATATAAACGCACAATACTAATAGCAATAGAACAGCATCTCTTTTCTGATTCTTTCACTTCTTCTAATAAAACAAAGTCTCACCGTACTCTCGTCTGCACTTGTTTTATTTTATATCTTATTTTTACCTCATACATAACAATGATATGTTGTTTCTTCAATTCAGAAGGCCAGTACACAGATTTGTGCTCTATTGACATCATGACTCTGAAAAAACGAAAGAGAAAATTTCTTGTACTTCCCTCTATTTGTTTTGAGTACAATCGCATTTGTTGATAAGCTTTATGTGAAGATAAATAGACGTATAACACTATTTTAAATTGCTTACTTGATATATCAGATCTTCTAGCAATTCTGCTGTATGATGCTGCATTGCTATCACTTCCCAGCTGCTCAAAAACAATGGTAAGCTGAAACTTTACATTGGTTTGTGGAGCATTTGGCGATGACTTATACAAATAATGTCCTTTAACGATGTTGTAAAGCTTTTCAAATGAGACTTTACTCATTCTGAGCTCTTCCAAATATGTATTCTCATTTATGCATTCAAGAAAGTCAATCTTATGTTCTTTTGTTGCCAATTTTGATATATTGTATCTTTCTTGGTATAAAAATCTTTTGGCAAAATTCTTCTCTATATTGCTGTTGTCTGTCAACTATTCATCAAGAACCACCTTTGGCACAAGAGCAAGATGTTCATACATATCACTATTGTCTTGATCTGTTTTGGCAAGTTTTTCGCAAGCTAGAAGCGACTGCTCAATAGTATCTCATGTGCTTGGTTTAATCTCTCTAAGAGTCATGATAGTTTTCTGTTTTCTAATGTACCAAGGCATGATAAAATGTTAAGAAAGAGATGGTTTTATTGATTTATCAACATGATTCTCTATTTTATAGATTTCTTGAAACAAATTATCCTTTTTTTACATAATCTTATACTTCATCAGAGAAAATATTTAAATAGCAAGCCTATCACTGTGCTCCATCTACTTTTGCATAAAAGATTTTTCTTCTTGAAAAAAAAACGTTGCAAAATGTGGGTCTTTTTGAAAAATTCCGAAATTTTTTTTTGACCAACTCACTACCTGAACCCCAAATCCCGGCAAAAAGAAATAAAGCCCAGACTCTTGCTATCCAGAAGCAGAAAAGAGCAGTCAGCACGCGAAGCATGATCAACAAGAACTGTGCAAACTTGGTCGAGGGTGGCTTCACCTACAACAGGGACGAAGCTATGACTCTCGCAGAAGATCAACCGGAACGCGCCGCCTTTAAGGCCACCATTGCTGACTTAACCAGAAAGTTGGAAAAACTGGCCGCCAACTACCAGTCAGTTATGGAAAAGTTTAACAGCTTACTTGCCAAGCACAACGCCAGCACTACCAGAGCAACCTTTGCACCCACTGATAAAGACTCGCTGATGGCATCTAAGCAGGCCCCAAAAACCCTGATGAATGATGACAGCAGCAACAATTGCACCCAATGTGCCAACTGCAACCCCATCACTGACAACAGCAACAACAACAAAAGCTGCAATATCACTACAGGTAGCACTGCCACACCCACCCAGACTTCATATGCTACGCAAGCCAAGAAGGGCATAAATGCCAAACAGGCCAAGCAGAAAGTCCAAGTCCGCAGAGTCCAGGGACAACGACTTCTACAAAAACCAACTGGCCCATCTGAGTACGAATTTGTGTATCTCCTGGCCAAAAGATGTGTCAAATACCAGGAAATGAGAGAAATCCTCAGCTCTTTTAAGATCCCCACCTCCCACATCCTAGATATCCAATTCCTTGCCAGAGGGACAGTAACTCTACTCATCGATGGGGAGTTCCGCAAAGAACTCATCGCACTACTAGGAAAGGCCAAAGTGCCTCCACTGGACAACTTTGATCCCACCACCACCAATGTGATTGCCAATCCCAAGTTGAAAGAAGAGGCCATTGAGGTTAGGACAAGAAAAGCCCAGACACTTTTTGACACACGCCTGGTAAAGGCCTGCCTCTGCATGCCAACATACCTTGTCCACAGCATCATCCAACACTTCTTGTCTCCAAAGGCTGTCGTAAAGATCTCGCAGATCGCAGTCTCCGACTACCTGGAAGGCCGAAAAACTGACAGCACCATCGCCCCAGTAGCACCAACTAATGCCATGGATGGAATTGAATCCACCGAAACGCCACACACAACAATAAATTAATAGACTGAAGATCGGTTTATTTAACGCCAATGGACTACGGCCCAAATTGGTGAATGTGATAGATGCTTGTGAGACGAACGATATTGATATTCTTTTTGTTACAGAGACTTTCCTGCCTGAGAGCGCCCCTGCTCTCCAGTGCCCTTGGACCCAGATACACAACTTTGCCATTCCAACGACGTTGCCAGAGCCAATGGACGGCATCTTGCTTGAGGTATACAAATAAATTTTAGAAAGGGAACAATAGGTACTGTGAGAGTATTGTTTATTTAAGAAAGAAGATCATAGCTGTTTATATAGACATTTGGTTCCCTAATTTAAGATCTCTGTTAGTTAATGGTTGGTTATCACTGAAGCAGTGTGAAGTGTACAAGGCCTGGTGTGTGTTACGTTCCTGAGATGTGACCCTGCCAGGTTCATTAGCAATTGTAGTATCCATTCTGGATTGTGGAGTTTGTATTTCACTCAATTGTGGTGTGTATACCACATCACTACTTATAAGGCCAGATTTTTCTCATCATGTACACCCCCTTCCAATCATTAACCCCCACGTTGTATCATGTAGGATCGATCCCTATACTATACACTGCATATACTTCCCACCACGATTGACATCCTCTGAGTGTCAAGAGCGGCTGGCATTGTTACCTGTCGACGACTTCACCATTGTTTGTGGCGACTTCAACACTCAACTACACCACACAACTAGGGACACTCGAGGAGGACCACTAAGTGAAATTATGGCAAACTGGATTAGCAGTAAGGATTTAACATTGTGGAATTCGGAGTTGACCTTTGGCATCCCAACATACGAGAGAGTCCATACATCTGGCAGGGTCTTCAAAAGTATTATCGATTTCTTCTTGTCGCGAGAGGAGCAATTCCATGATATGCAAATGCAAATCCATGACGAACTCGCCTTGGACTCTGACCACCACCTTTGTGAGCTATACTTTCAGCCTGTGTTCATACCACAGCTCCCAACAGAAAACTCTGTCCGTCGACTTTGGAAGCTTCAACGACTGGAAATCGAAGAGGTCTACAAAAAATACCAAAGACGATTTGAAGTGGGTTCAGGTACACTTCAATGAGAGATCCAACAAACCATTAAAGACACTTCCATATCGTGCCCTGTTGTCTTGGAGACCTATTCAGAACGTCTCAATGAGACGATATATAAGGTTTTGGATGATTCTGTTGGGCGAGCGTCACCACGACCAGAAGTTTGAAAGAACTTTTAGAATGCCAAATTACAACACCTAGCTGACTGGCGTCAAGAACTTTACCGTTGGCGACGCCGGGTAGGCAATGACTTTGAACGCATTAAAGCCCATGCTGAGTATGTTGCAGCAAGCCAAGATCTGCGAACAGCAGTTCGGGCGGCACGACAACAAATCTGGTACGATTTCTGCAACAAAATCCAAAAGGCTCCTTCAGAGATGGTGAGCGCGTTAAAGAGAATGAAGATTTGGCGACGATCTCCGATTTCTCTGACATCTCCAGAAGGACCACTTACAGCCGCTAATAACATGATCGACCACCTTGAAGATGTTTTTGGTAGATCTACGGAAATACTGACTGAACCGGCAGTTACACCAATGGAGAGGGAAGTACCATGGGACGTAGACCAAGTCAAAGAAGCTATTCGTCGTTTGCCACAATGGAAAGCACCAGGTATTGATCATATTAGGGCAGAGATGCTCAAGTCTCTTGTATCAACTCTAGGTCCTCTACTCCACATGCTCTTCAAGCTGTGTTGGAGATGGTCGTGGACGCCTGTTGCATGGAGAACGGCACAGGTGGTACCTATCTACAAAAAAATAAAGGAGCGCACGCAGATCCCAGCAGTTATAGGTCCATCAGCTTGACCTCAGTGTTCAGAAAGCTTTTGGAGCGATGCCTGGCTGAGGAACTCCTTTCGACCATGCCAGAGTTAGATATAGCCCAGGAAGGATTCCGCGCTAGCTGCGGTACCCTAGACCAGGCTCTCTGTCTCCACGAACTAATGAGGCAATACTCTGTTCCCGACCCTGAGTGAGAGCAAGCGCTCAAACCACCAGTTGTTGTCTTCCTGGACATCAAAGCTGCATATGATAGTGTGGATCGTAACGTCATATGGGACTCGTTGCAACCTTTTGTGTCGGAACCCTTGCTAGTGCTACTTCAGAATTTATTTAACGATATTATTGTTAATGTAGTGATGAAAAATGCAGTGTCCCATGGTGTTACGCCAAGACATGGAGTCCTGCAGGGTAGTATACTTTCACCTTTCTTATATTCAATTTTTATTGATACCCTACCACGTTTACTTTGGGGAGTCTCCGCCCAACCATACTACGTTCGCATCCCCTCTCCCTCGTTAACAAGGTCCCTTTGGTTGTCCTCATACTGTACGTACGCATTTGACAGCCCAACAGCCACTCCTTTGTCACTATTGGAGGAGCTTAGGACGGTCACCTGTAATGTGTTCAGTGTTCACAGGACGGAGGGGGATGCACCAGACTATTTTCCTAAATCAATGGCTCCTATCAACTGTCTTCTGTATGCTGAAGATGTTGCCCTTATAGGCACACCCGACGATGTGCAAAAAATGTTGACTGTAGCCAAGACACATTCAAACCTTCTGGGGTATAAGTGGAGTCCATCCAAATGCGAGGTCCTCAATGCCCCTCCCAATTCTTCTTTTTCTTTATATGGGAACACTCTTCCCACTTGCACTTCCTTTAAATATTTAGGATTCCCTTTTGCTAGCCAAGGGATATATTGAGCCGACATGTTCCTTAAGTCGCAGCAAAAAGCTTGTGCAGCAATGCGTAAGCTTAGTAGCTCGGGTGTACATATGAACGGGTTTGGTCTCCCTGCGGCTCTCAGAGCTTATCTCATTTTTATCCGCCCCATTCTAGAGTACGGCTTAGCCATTGTTCCTGCTAGCCGGAGTGACGTTCAAATCCTGTAGAAAGCCCAAAATATGTGTCTCCGGACATGTATTCGACGGCCCAATGCAACGATGGGAGTTGTTCATATCGCTGCATTAGCTGCTCTACCCAACCTATTCACCCGTTCCCGTGCTCTTCAAGCCAAATTTCTTCGTCGTGCTGAAACACTACTCTCAGTCTCCTTTGTCAAAGCTCTTACCACGCAGCTGGACCTTTCCAAAGAAAAAACGACATGGGGTGAGCTTTGTCATAGTGTACTCTGGATAAAGGCCCAATTGCTGAAAGAACATCAACCTCGGTTGAAGGACCCATTAAAAGAAGCTTATGTTCTACTGTGCCAAAAAGAAATCGACATGCAACTTGTGAGCATTAACCGTCCAGTAACTGCTGCTAGAGGCTTCTGCAAACCCTTCTGGGATCCGGTCTTACTACTGCCCTGCACTCGCTCAGAACGACGCCGCCTGATCAAATGGCGAATTGCTTGGCTACCACCTACACCATCAGTTGAGTGCCAATGCGGCGCTATCAAGGGTAACCGAAAACATATGCTCCTATGCCCCACCACAATCACTCTCGTTCAAAAACTCTGGTCTTTGATTGATCCTGCTCCTCCCCCAGAGGTTCATCTCATCGACTATGCTCTCAACTGTCTCCCCCAGTCTTTCAAATCGCCTGGTACGTGGTGCGATTGGTGGCCGTGCTTGCTTGCCTTGCTACGTGCTGTTGATCAAACCACCTCATCCTACAAACTGCCAGAAGAAAAAGCTCATGGTCAAATCCTCATCGACCTTGCAGCAAAATTCCGTGCCACAAAACCAACCCATCCCCACCGCATCCCGCCGCCCACCCAAGAACCTGTTCCTGGTGATCCGTTCCCCCATCTTCTCTCCGAAATTTCCACCGTTCCTCGTCAACCCCCTCCATCTGTGCCCGCCCGAAATTGTGCCTAGGAGGACTGACTTGGTCTGGTATTGTTGTGTATTCTGGATCCATAAATGGGTCGTCCGAGTTTCTAAAAGGAATCCCTCTTTGGAGCTCCTATCCCTGCTGAAATCCGTTCCCAATTCTGGTGCCATCAGTACCTAGTTACTTATTCTCGATTCTTTTGTGTCATTTATTTTTCTTATATATTTATTTCACCTGTATTCTTACCAGCTGTATTATCTATTTTAATCTTAGTCTTTCTAAAAGCCGTTTTCCCCCACAGGGGGTTTTTTACGTGCTCTCTTTACTGTTTTTGCTGACTAGTCATCTTTGTCTTTAGCATGCGCGTTCCATATTTTTTCTTTATTTTTCTTTCACTTTTACATATTTTTTTTTATTCCCCCTCATATTTAGGGGGTTACTTTTTATTATTTCATTTATTCTTCAGCTCTCATCGGGTAGCCAATATGCTAAAATGCGCAAGGCCTAGAAAAACCAACAATAAAAAAAAATATTTTCACCTGTCCACCCTTATTTTTAATTAAAATAAATCTAAATTTTTCACATATTACATTGACAGTGATGAAGGAGACATATATCATATATATATATATTAAAGAAAATATTTATTGGTATATGAATAAAAGTTTACATTCATAGGAGAGCATTGATACATAATCTTCTATGAGAATAAAGGGTCCAGACAGAAGTCCAAACGAGAAAGAGAAAAATGCTTTGAAGTGACCTCAATAGTGACCATCTTTCTTATTGTATGTAAGAAAAAAAAAAGAGATGATTACAGCAATTGGTTTATTCAGTAAATTTCAAATTGGCTTAATCTGATATTTATTTTTCTTGATGGAGATAGAGGAAGGGAGGAATTTGATCTTGTTTCAATATACAGTATAAGGTGTTTCAATGATATAAATTAATAATAACAATAATAATAGTAATTCATCATCGTTTAAAGGTGCTCTTCTTCAAATAACATTCTTTCCATTGTTTCATGGTGTAGGTTTGAAGCGTCTGCCAATATCTAGGAATCATAATGATCATAAAAATAACAAGTAAAAAATAAAAATAAAAATAAAAATAAAAATAAAATAAAGGCAATAAAAATAATAAAATAGTAAAATAGTAAAATAATTATTTATTCATTCATTCATTCATTCATTCATTCATTTATCGATCGATTACTTGCTGGCTTGTTTGCTTGTTTGTTTGTTTGATTGCTTGTATTTTACTTTACTTTACTTTAATTTAATTTAATTTAATTTAATTTAATTTGAAGACTTACTCTTTTCATATCCATGACAGGTAAACAGAGCAGCATGGTTCGGATTTCTGATTGCTCAAGATCCTCTAGATTATCCTTTGCATTGCATAAAATGGCTACAGCCAAAAGAATAGTCATAGCAGTAACAAATAAAGATAAAGAAGAAGAAAATATGTTAAGCGAATGATCAAAATACAAACACACATTAAGGTAGTCTTGTGCTCCATGTAAAACAGTAACATGTCATACGATTATTATTATTATGACTATATATATAAATTTACCTAGACAGACAAAGGGATGAAACTCGAGTGGATCAGATACAGCAAAGTAGGCATCTAAACTCAAGATATTATTGGTATTAATCCATGTTATTGAAGGAATGATATTAAGATTATTGTAGTCGTTATATTTTACCCCAGAGAGCCACAAGATTCGAGAATGGCAATTCTTTGGAAAGGAGATTCTGTAACCAAGACGTCGACCATTCATCTAAATTAACCTCCTCATCCTCAAAATAATTACATCTAAAAGAACAAACAAATTACATTAATAAAGTTGTATTTTTCAATAATAACAATAATAATATGAGCAGTAAAGACAAGATTCAGAGGAATCGCAAGTAGGATAAAAAGAATAAAGAAACAAAGATCAACAGGCGGGTGTGACTTACAGTTCTGGTAAAGCATAGCGAAAAAGAGATAGAAAGTGGGCCACACGCTGTTTCGTAGTATTTGTTGTATTAACTTCATCTATATAATATATATATATATAAAGGTAATTATGATTGAGAACTTAAAGGCCTAATGAATACCAAGAAATTTATGTAGACTTTACCGATGGCTTGCATCAAACGCTCAAAGCAAAAGTAGGCATCGCACTCCCTGTCAAGTGCATAGAGAAAGGGAGCACAGAGATAGATGAGTGCAGGGTGATAATCGACATCTCTGTTGGTATTCAGGTATGCGGTTATGATATTTTCAAACCGTGGTAGATATTGCTGGTCGGCCATTTCTGATGTTCGTCGTTGATACCGGCCCACTTCGGCCCGGATCCGTCTCAATAAGTCAGGATCACCTTTCTCAAGCTGATCATATTCTTGACTCCGTGCCCTTGAACGAGTCAATTCTTTAGCTATAAATACACGGATTATAAAACCATAATAAATAAATAAATTATTAATTATTATTATTTTTTATATTAAAATAAGGTTTTGTGTTATGTGTTTTGGCTTTTAGCTTTTGGCTTTTGGAAAACTCACATCGGTCAGCGTCTTGTACACCGAGAAGATACATCCAGACTTCCTGCACCAACAGGCGCAATGTGAGATCAACACAGACGGTAAAAAGGAAAAAGGAATAAAGAAGGAACGAAAAGAAAAAGAAAAGTTCAAGTGGAATTTGAAGTGGGAAATTGACAGAGATAGGAATAACAAAAATAATAACAAGGGATAACTCACCCCACGAAGTTGATTTGGTACACCATGCCGAGCCAGGATTCGAAGCCGTTCAAGGTCAACATGAACTTCGGATTGCAGAATGTCAGTAAAGTCATTGAATACCGAGATTGCCTCATCCTGCTCCATCAGAGTGCTTGCAGATCTGTCACGCTGTCTTTGCACTCTACTGACGGCAGTGGAACATGGGGAGAGTTGGAGCATTTAATAAAAGTATTTAAAAGGAGAAGTAAAGAAGTAAAGAGAAAAAAAGGATAAATAGAAACAATTGCAATATATATATATATAATAAAGTAACGCTTTGAAAATTCTATTCACTATAGAATTTATCCTATCTCGAGATTTCCATATCAAGGAAAAGTTATTCGTCTCTTATTCTCTCTCTCTCTCTCTCTCTCTCTCTCTCTGGTTTTTTTTTCCCAGTGTGTATGTTTCTGCCTATCTGTTTCATTACATAAATATACTTTATATATATAAATACTTCTTGTGGTATTAATGTGTTTCTATGGATACACAATCTTGCCTTTTATTTTTAAACAAGAAAATTTGCTATAAATTATTGAACTTTAATTTAACTTGACTTGAATGTGTATATTTTGTATTATATAATTCCAATAAAATATGCCGAATATACTTTATATGGAATTGTTAAAAATAAAAAAAATAAAAAATAGAAAAAAAAATTATATGTATATAGAAAATAGAAAATGATGACGTTGTCAATTTCCCTTCACTTTTTTTTTTTTTTTTTTTTTTTTTTAAATTTAAAAATTAAATTTTTAAATTTTTAATTTTTTTTTAATTTTTTTTTTTGTTTTTTAGGTAGATATTCCCCTTGCTTACCATTCTTGTACTTGTACTTGCGTTCTCTATTTTTCTCTATATCTCCCTCCCTTTCTCTCTCTTTATTTTTCTTTCTACATTGTGTAGTGCGTGTGCATTTTCTTTATTATAAATTATATATAATACATAAGAACTGTACATACATCATACATATCCTATCGCAAAATATATAATACATTTCGATTAATATCTGTATAGATCATGTCAGACTCTGGACAAAAGTAAGATTACTCTTTTACTCAACCATCCATTTACTTGGTCATTTACTTGTTTATTCAGTCATCTATTCATTCACTCTTTTAATCTATTAACTGTTATATATATATATATATATTATATTATATTATATATATATATATTTACTTGTAATAAATAATTTCAGAAAACGCAAGTGGGATCTCGATGACAGTGGTCAAACTCAAGCAGAGAATGTAACAGCAAGCAAAATCAGTAAAGTAGACGATGAATCGAACAAAAAGATTGCCACCGACAAAGATGTGGATCCCAGTAAAGCAGCCAGTAAGTATTTCAACTGAATCTAGATAAATAAATAAATAAATAAATAAATAAATATACTTGGCTTAAAATATAAGATAATAATAATAGTAATAATAATAATTGCTTGACCTGATCTTGTTTACTTGGCTTATAGCTCTTGCTGCTGCAAAAATCAATGCAATGCTGGCTCAAAAGGGTATTCCATTGACTGAGGAAGAACGACCCAACCAATTCGAAAGACCAAAAGAAAAAGCCGATGCCGAATTCGTTAAAGATATTCCTATCAATGATCTCAAGAACAGGTACATGTTGACGCGTGGGGCAACGCAGACTCAAATCCAACGCGAAACAAATGCAGGTAAATATAATATATATATATATATATATATATATATTGATATGATTAAATTCCTGCTTCTTTTTGTTTTCTTTTCTTTAATTTAACATGATTTTATTTGAAAGATGTGACAACACGTGGAAAATATTATCCTGAAAACATCCTTCCTACTGATAAGGAACCTCCGCTCTACCTCCACGTTACTGCGTCAACCCAGGAATCACTCGATAAAGCACTAGCCCAGATCGACAACCTGATCAAGACTGCCACTGTTCCTCTTCCTGGTACAGGATACCCACCTCGTGAAGTCGAAAGACGTGGAGAAGTTAACCCAAGAATCGTAAGTAACAACAATATATCGATAGTTATCTAGAATTGTGGAATTGTGGTGCAATCTTTTATGTATTATGTTATGTTATATTAACACATCCTTTTATTCGTTTTTGTCTGTTCCTATGTTTATTAAGCGCAAGTTCTTGGAACACAAGATCTACGTTGGTATTGAGGGCAGCCCACACTTCAACATTCGAGCCAAAATAGTCGGTCCTCAGGGTGCCTACGTGAAACACATTCAGAATGAGACCGGAAGTCGGGTTCAATTAAAAGGACGTGGATCAGGCTTTTATGAAACAAATACTGGTGTTGAAGCAGAAGAACCTTTACATGTTCATATTTCGTAAGTGTGTTAATGAGGATTACTATTATTTTGTGTGTGTGTGTGTGCGTTTGTGTGTTAATGATTTAACTGACAAACATACATATAGGTGTTCAAGACAAGAGGGACTCGATCAAGCAGTAAATTTGACTCAGAATCTGATCGATACTGTAAAGTCAGAGCATGAACGCGCCAGTCAATTCCCTCCTTATTTAAGAGGACCCACTGCCGCAAACCTTGGAGTTGGAGGTGGAGGTGGCGGTGGATACAACCGCGGTTACAGAGATTATAACAACGGAGGACAAAACGTAAGGACTATACTTTTCTTTTTCTTTACTCGATCTTGTTTAGGAAGATTTGGATAAATATAGAGAGGACAAGAGTGGTTAATTTTATTATTATTATTATTATTATTATTTAATGCTCACTAAAATTTGATTTGATTTGATTTGATTTAAAATAATGTAATGTAATATAATATTTGGTTGGATGGTTTAGAACTATGGTGGATATCATCACCAGTCTAGTTATAACAATCAAGCCGGACCTCCTCTTCCTGCTGGACCCCCTCCTCTTCCTCCTTCTGCTGGCCCAGGAAATGGCGGTGGCCAGGCCGGTGTTGTCGGAGGCCATGGAGGAGTTGGTATGGGAGGAAATGGCGGAGGTGGTGGTGTTGGAGGAGGAGGAGGAGGAGGAGGCGGTGGACCATTGGCTCCCGTAGTCGGTGCAGATCCTTATGGCTATGGTGGATATGATCCTGCTGCTGCCGCCGCCGCTGCTGCTGGAACAGGAGCCGGTGGTTATGATTACAACCAATACTACGCTTATTACGGACAGCAATATCCTTATGATGCCAACTATTACAGTTACTACGGTTACAATGCTAGTACACCAGCATCATCAGGTCCAGCAAACCCAACCCCCCCGCCACCTCCTCCTCCACCACCTTCGAGTGCATCGAGTGGAACACCGCAACCTCCACCACCCCCACCACCATCTGGTCAGCCTACTCCTCCCCCACCACCCCCACCCCAGTCCAACAGCTCGTCTCCCCCTCCTCCACCTCCCCCTCCTCCGTCCACAGACGATGTTCCACCTCCACCAGCACCTAGTGAAGAATCACCAAAGTCTTACAATGCTGTTCCACCACCACCGCAGCTGTAATTCAAAACCAAAAAAAAAATACAACCAAACTGACAGAAAGGGCGAATGGACAGACAAACAAGACGAGGTCAAAAATTTACACAGACGCACACACACACACATACATTCAATCAGCCAAAGAAAGAAAGGAGATATATTTTAGAAATGCAAAAAAAAGAGAGAAAGAGAAAGTAAGAGAGTAAGATATATCTATATACGTACATACATACATACATACAAGAAATGATAATGAAAATGAAGATCAAAAATAACTACATCTTTTCAGTTTGTCTTTTTGGATCGGATGCCTATTTTGTTTAACCCACAGTCACAAGTTAGCCCTATTTTCCTTTTTATTTTATTTTATTTTATTTATATCACTGTCTTTTATATATATATATATATATATATTCTTTAAATCAAACCGCAATGGAATTACTCACAAACTTACTCACTTATACAATTTCACTTAGTCGAATCTATCTCACTCACCAACAACAGCAACAACAAAAAAATTGGTTGAATTAATGAAGTGAAATGAAATGAAATGAAATTTAAACTTTAAAGAAAGGGAAAATAATAGGGTGAGGGTGAATGTATTGAAACGAAATATTATCTATCTATCTTTGTATATTTTGTATCTATAATATTTCAGGGTAATAACAATGAGTTGTTTTTGTTGTTGTTGTTGCTGTTGTTTTTAAGTACTAAACATTATTATACAACAGGTGGAATATTTTAGAACCTTATACTCACACTGACACTCACACTCACGAATAACACCATTCATGTATACGCACACACAAACACACAGAAAATAAGATCGAAAATACTAACAGTTTATATCTTTCTCTCTTTTGCACAAATAATAATTTAATTTAATTAAACAAATATATTATATTGTATTCTATTGCATTGTATTATAAATAATGATAATATTTCTAGTCCTGCGTAATAGTAACACACACATCTAGATATATACAATAGTTTAATGTCCGGCCTTTTCATATGTGCTTGTGGGTTTATAGAGATTATTTTTTGTTTTAAAATTACTGTGCAAGTAGATGAAGTGCATTTTATATATTATCATAAAACCTTTCTTTATTTCTTTATTTCTTTTTTTTTTAGTAATGCAAGGATCTTTCATGTACCAGGCATAATAAACAAATAGGAATAATTGGTATAGCAATGGTAGCAGTAAGTTGCATGTAATGATTACACACCCAATTTATTTTTATTTATATTTTTTTGCTTTAAAAAATATTGAATAAATTAAAATAGAATTGAAACATTTGTGTGTAAAACAATATATATAAAATATATGTATATTTGTATATTTGTATATTTGTATATTTCCACCTCTACCTCTACCTCTACCTCTGCAGATAAACACATAAATACGCACACACACACACACACACACACACACACATACGCAAATACGCTTTTTATTTTTGGATTTCTCTCTTTCTCTCAGTAATTCTTTTCTTTTATATATATATATATAACATACATACATACATACTTTACAAGCTTAATGAGACTTGGCCAGCCTTTGCATTCAACCCGCTCAATGAACACAACTCATCATGAATCTATTCACGCGTCAAGTACTCTAGACCTCCAACGTTCATGGGAACTTGATCGAGACGTAGCAGATTGTCGACAGTGCCATCGCCCATTTCATTTCTTACTACGACGGCACCATTGTCGGTAAAGAATCCTATCACCACCACCACCAAAACGCATATATATATATATATATAAATAAACGGATACTAATTATATATATATATATCTTAGCTCTTGTGGTCATGTAGTGTGCGATCGATGTAGTAGCCGTAGAATACGATTGAGTCCTCAGACAATGATTGAAGACCCTACGATACCTACTTTACATTACGCATCTATTGCACAACAACCCCAGAGAGTATGTGATTCCTGCGCAGAAAGTCTTGACCGCCAGAGGAGGACAAGACGAATGGAGCGCAGTATCAGCCGACAGAGCAGAATGGCAGAGTGCCCAATGTGTGGAGTCGGTCTCTTGCACCATTCTTTGGCAGAACAAGAACACCATGTTGCCGAGTGTCTAGATAAAGGTAGTCCGCCTGTACGCAGACCTCGTTATCTCGGTAAATATATATATACATATATTAATAATAATAGAAAAATCACCACCACTACCACCACTACCACCAATTCTTCTTTTTATTATTATTATTATTACAATTACAATTACAATTGCAATTACAGTCAATTATTAATTATTAATGCTAATATAATCATATTAATAATAGTTCATCAATTGTCTAATGACTCTCCACAGCTTGGTGAAGAATGTCCAATATGCTTTGAAGACTTTGTTGCAGGTAAGATGCAAAAATTCCTAAATTATTATACATAGAATTGTCACAAAGATAAACTCTATATATATAATTGTATTATATAATCTGGCATTGTTGCTAATCTACCTTTTGGTCTGTGCACGTATTATATAAACATATATATATACACTAAACTACACTAAACTACACTACACTACACTACACTACACTACACTACACTACAATATACATCTTCTCCTCACCTATACCTACATTTACATTCATATCCATGCATGTATACATATACATAATTATATACATAATTATATAATTTGGGGCTTGTAGGAGATGCTGTTGCTCGTATGGTCTGTCTCTGCTCTTATCATGCTCATTGTCTATCAGAATGGCTTGAAAGAGGAAAAGGTTGTCCTTTACATGATCATGATTCTCTGGCATCATTTTAATTAGATGAAACTTTCTTTATATATATATATATTGTTTTTGTTGTTGTTTTTACTCTTTATTCTATTTTATCTTCATTTATCATTTATCATTTATCATTTATCATTATGCAATAATGTGTATTCTACAAACAACAAACCAGACTTCTTCTAAAGTAAATATCCTATACACCCCTCACTCTGAAATTATATGTATTTTATCAATTGATTGGGTGCTGAATACTAATGAGTGTGATTTATGACAGCCTTGAACACAATTCGCCCCCTTTTTTTTATTAGAAAGTATTTACATCAAGGGTCCAATTGACATGTCCTACTTTCTACTTTTTATGAGCAAGATTTATTTCTTGTGATGGTTGCTTGGAATCAATTGCACACAGCACAAGTATATAAACAGCTATTGATTGTAGTAAATCTTATGATAAGAATAATAAATAAAGTATTATGCAGTCTCTTTAGGATGTAGCAATTGATCCATACCCAGAAGTACGATTTACTGGATTATCATCATTCTAATAATAATAATAATAATAATAATAAAAAGATATTAATTAAAGAAGGTCAGTCTATACTTTATTGTGATTGTCAAGCTTGCCTTTGTGTCATCAGCAAGGGTTCCAAAGGTTGGTAAGAGAGACCGCCTGGCATAAGATCCCAAGGTAAAAAATGGGACGGTGCCTCCATGGACGACAACAGAAGACAGGACCATAAAATAGATGATGGGCTCAATTACTAGATAAGCAGAAGCAGTTCGGCCTTGAGGGCTGATGTGACGCATGGTTTCGGCGTAGTAGAACAGGGCACCCACACCCATCGGACCAAACCAGCCCACAAACAGAGCTTCACGCCAGGTATTTATGGCAGGAACCCAGCGATAACAAGCCATGATTATTGGCAATCTCCTCAACGAAAGTACCAGAATGGCTAGAATCAGTAGATTGCCAAATGAGAGACCGATGGCTGAATTGATAAAGCTACCCCATGGCTTTTTTTTTAATTATATATATATATATATATATATATTAGTATTATTTCTATTATATGAGCTATTTAATTTTTTTTTTTTACTTTTAATCCATGTATACATGTCATTTAAGAAATACATATATATATTTGTACATCTTATTTGGCAAATTCCCCTCAAAAACTTCTATAAAAGGATATTTCTTTATATATTTTTTTTATCTATCTTTTAACGTTGAACTTACGATTGTTGCACCAATATAGCCAAAGATGCTCAAGTTAAGGATCAAGTCAATGACCTCCATAAAGCTAGAATTCTTTGTTTCGACCCGGAACCAATCATCCCATGTGAAGGCGTTTCCGGCAATAAAGCATGCCAATAGGTCATCACTTCCAATCATAGCCACAGTTCCCATAAGAAAAAGCTTTAAAAGATTTTATTTAGTATATGTATTTCCTTTTATTTTTTCATCATCAAGAAACTTACTGCCAATGAAATTGAGAATAGCAAAAATGACTCCTTGTTAACAAGTCGTCTTTATATATATAAAAAAAATAGAGGCAATTGGTTTAAATACACGTATAACTTTTTGGTCTTCTTTGGATTACCTTGATTCGGCAAACTGTAATCCCTTGCGAGCAAGATACCCCACAACAAATCCAATAATCACAGAAAAAATGATCTGGTATCCGAGCACAAAAAGAGTCCATTTTTGCAAAGCTGGACCTATAGTCATCTGTACAAGGTAGATGGCTAGGAATAGAAACGGATATCCAAGCCCATCATTGGCACCACTTTTATGTACATTTAGATTTAGATTTAGATTCAGACATAGATTTTATTTGTATTTTGTACCTTTCTGCAAGTAGAATATGACGAATGTTCTCAGGTACATGTGTCTCAGCAAACCTGCCTTGGACAATTGAACTTGCCAATACCTTGTTTGAATATCAAACTTTAGCTTGCATTTAAAACATATTTGACCGAGAATAATAAAGAAAAATCAATAGAACCTTACCGGGTCTGTTGGAGTAAAACAAGAGGCGATTACCAACGCTTCGAGCTATATGGATAATTAGTATCAACAATAAAAAAAAATAGACTTACAAATCCAAGATTAGGAATAATCCACCATACGCATAGCCCGCTGACTAACCACATCCATATCATTACGGGTAGCAAGAGCACAAGAAGAGACCGCAGTTCGGTGCGTAAATAAGCTTTCGGAAGAGACACACCTGCGGCCATGACCTGATCATAGGTTGTGTATATGTAATTAGAGAAAATGGTGCATTACAAGCATTTTTGTTTTGTTTTACTTGGATAGCAATGATTATACGAGTAAATTCACGGGTAAAGTCTGGTGTGCTAGTCAGTTCTTGAAAGTTTAACCAATCAAGACAGGCTGGACCTAGAAGAATACCACCAGCAAGAGCAACCACTGTAGATAGATAAATAAATAAAATAAAAAAAGCATTTTTTGGTTAGTTGTAGCTATTTACTTGGTATTAAGAATTTGTTAAAAATAAATTATAACAACTTGCATGGTTCGGAAATGTATAGCCTGTCTTTGAGTAATAATGAAAAGAGAGCATAGAATAACATGAGCCCACCAAATGTGGCAGCGATAACAGAAACGGTATCTTCCATTGAACTGTTGCGTATGTGATTATGTATGTATCTTTTGCTTTTCTTTTCTTTGTTAGGCTTTGTAAAGAGAAGATTGCTCTCAAACAGGTAAAGTATATAAGTATATATTTATGTAGGGGTGATTTTTTTTTGTACAAAAAAAAGAGGGGTAAATAAAGTAGGATATTAGTTATTGTCTCTTTATAAAATATTTCTGGTATTGTGTTATGTTGTGTTGGCAACGTATCAGCTAGCTTGGAAAATTGTGGAAATAAAGATGGTAGAACAACAGATCATGAAATGGATAGAGCGTAAGAGATAAATAGGAGAAAGGGGTCTTTTTATAATGTTTTTTTTTTGGCAAAAACGTCAAAAACTTCTTCTTATTATTCTTATTCTTGTGCTTGGGGCTTTGATGTTTGTAGTTCTGTAAAGAGGAGAAATTGTAAAGTTAAATAAGAAGAAGAAGAAGATTAAAAGAAAAGAGGTGTTTAGAAGATTTAAATATCCAAATTTTCTAATTAATTAATTTTTTTTTAAAAAAAAAAGTTCACTAGAGATATGTGACTTGCCGATAAGAAAGTAATAAAAAAAAAAGGGGGGGGACATTTATGTGCGTATGTGTGATTGTGTATATGTAATGTAATGCATAGATAGCTAGTTATATATATATATGTGTGTGTGTGTGAAGGAGAGGGAGATTCTAGATGATCGATTGTGCTTCTAATGTTTTACATGGCGTATGTTTTCTTTATGACAATAATCATCTCGATCCACAAAGAAATAGTTAGCAATAGATTTAGATATAAATCTATATATAAAGGTAATTTAATCCAGTTTAATCGAATATGATCTACTCCATGGCCACAAAGTATAGTGAAAGAGGTGTTTAAAGGATCAAGGTATATAGGTTGGAATATTACAGGTACAAGAAGTGCACTACTTTAACTTGACTTATTTGGGAGTTTTTCTAGATGTACAGGAAAAAATATCCATTTTTGGGTTATTTCACCAAGAAAGATTCAGTTAAATTGGATACCCTATTCTATTTTTATTTATGTGGTTGACTAAACATGCACAAGCACAAGCACTTTCTGGGCTCAATGTGATCAAAATATAATTCCCTTCTTTTGGTCGTATACCCTACCTTGTTTTGTAGCAGTGATTATGTTTGTCTTTCAAAATACAGGTATTCTGTTCAATATATAGACCTAATAATTTGATTAAACATGTATATTATATGTATGTAGTAGGGGCTATGTGAGCACAAGTAAATATATATTTAATTAATTAATTAAGCTTTCTATTCTATTCTATTCTATTCAATCAATCAATCAATCAAGCCGTCAAATTTCTCCACACTTGTACACAACAATGGGTCAAAAGAAGAAAATCCATTCTGTATTCCAAACACTGACCCTCCAGCTCCAATCCCCCTCTTTCTCTCTTGTCTTTTTTTATTATTATTTATTTTTATAATACGATTGCCTAATTGTGTATCCAGATATAGATATAGATATATATACAGTATGGGGATGTGGGGCAAAAACTCTAAATATTTATACATTTTTATATATTATAGAGAGAGAGAAAAGATAATTATCCCTGCATGTGAATTACAAAAAATAAAAAGAAACTCAAATGTACAAATCGTTTTTGCTTTTTTTTTGTTTCGTTTGATATTATATTATCATGGTCAAATGAACTCACTACTTGACTACCCCTTTCTTTGCTTTGTTAAAAAGTGTACAAAATGAGCTGTACAATATCGATAGATAGACTTGAATTTGTCTGATTGGTGATATATATTAATAAAATAAAAGAAACGGGAAAATCTTGTTCTTTGACTCCACACGGATCATCCAAAAGTAGCTTTTTTTTTGTATCCCCCGCCGCCCCTTCTTCACCTCCTTAATCTCCCTCATTTACTTTTAGCTGATTGAATGATATATCACCTTGACTTTCCTGCTCTTTAATAATAATAAAAACATTGATAATAGGAATCATTTTCTATAATTGCATTGCATTTTATTTTATTCATTCGATTGACTGACTACCTCATAAAATTTAATTCAATTAAATTCAATTGATCATTTTTTTTGTCCTTGTATACAAAGCAACAATATTACCTCGTAAGATTATATATATATATATATATACATATATAGTTATGTAGGTTTTCTAGGCTTCTAGGTATCAAGTATTGTTTTGCTTTTACGCGACAATCCACGTGGTGAGTTAATGCTAAAGAATGTCATGCGGTTATGATTTTTTCCCAACTCACCGTACATTTTACCCCTTATTAAACCAAAAAAAGTATGTATACGAGTTACCAATAGGAAACTTTGTTGATAGATATATAAATATTAATGTTGATATTGATATTGATCTTAACCTGGTCTACCTTTTTCTCTTTTCTATATATTCCTACCTCTTTCTTATATAGATAGATAGATATATAAAAGGGAAAGCCGTATTTAATCAAGTCTGTTATATATATATATATTTTTTAAAAAAAAAAACATTTCATAAATTCACAGAATGGCTTCTCAAGTAGCAGGTTACCAGATTCACGCGGTAAATACTGTCTTGTCTAGTTAAAGCTCTATATTTTTCTCTTTCTTTGCTCATCAATATCACCATAGTCAAATCTTTTGGATCTTAGTTTAGAAGAAGCATTGGCAAATGCTATGCATGCTGGCTCATTACTTTCTGCTATCGTTCAAGCACTGAACCATAAGGAGCTCGAAACAAATGAAAGTGCAAAGGTAATATTATTAAAATCAAATTTGAATCGAATCCAACATTTAATTATTTACCTTGATTCAATGTCATGTTTAATTTTTATTTAAAATGATAATAATATTAATATTGTTATTAAAGGATGCCTATGCTGAATGCCGCAAGTTAAGGGACTACCTGGCTGAACAACTTTGGACTGTTTCTGACACAGACGGTGTAGCAAGTATCCAGGCAGCTCTGGATGCCTTGACGGAGACAGTCGACGATTATGAACAGAAGCAATCCGGATACTTTAAGGAAACCATATTTTAAAAAGAAAATATATATATATATATATATAAATGTATCAATTCAAAAACAAAATAGTTTGGACAGACTAAAAAGTTCAAATGCCTTACTAACTAGTTCTTCTTTCATTGTAAACTTGAGTTGAGAAGAGTATTATACTTATATATAAAAAAAAAGGTGATGCCTAAAAAAAACCTGTAATAAAATATTTTCACATGGTAAAAGATATCCATATGAACTAAATTTTGAACGTTTTCGTCTGTCCACATCAAATCAAATTGTTGTATAATTTTTTTTTCTTTTGGCTTTTGGTCTTTATCTCATCTCTCCCTCTCTATCTTTATCTTTATCTGTATTTCTCACGGTTTTATATATACATCAGTACTACTATTAAGTTTGGAAAAATAAAATACGCCTACTGTTTATACTTTAGACTTTACAATCCATGCTTCGTGCTTTATAAAAATAACTAAATAAATAAAATCCTCATAAAAATACTATTCGTCAAGTTCCCAAGCCTTTTTATATAAATAAAACAGAAGCAAAAGAAAAAGGAGAAAGAGAAGAAGGATCCAGAGAGGGAAAAAAAAGGGTTGGAAGGGTCAAAGGAGGAAGAAGAGGGTGGATAAAATAAATTTTTGTATCCTTCTTTCTTAATTTTGATTGATTTCATTTGATTTGATTCAAATCAATTGATCCGAGCTGAGCTGAGCTGAGCTGAGCTGAGCTGAATTGAACCAAACTGATCTGACCAGACTTGACCAGACTTGACCAGACTTGACTTGAACCAAAAAAAAAAAAAAAAAAGAAAAGAAAAGTGATAGTGACCTTATTAGTCTACGTCATCAGGTGTGCATTTAGCGTTTTGCGTTTACCGAAAATTTTTCTGCTCCGGGCAAGTTTCGCACCACTTTCCATCCCCCCTCTCTTTGTTCATCATAAAATTCCTTCGAACGTCTGCCGGACAAACAAGAACACGGCTCGAACTTATCGTCTTTTAAATTTCGAGTCCTTTGCAAAGCAACCCTATCTTGAAGATATATAGACACTTCTCTGCCAGACCAGTCCAGTTTAGTCCAGCTCAGTCCAGCTCAGTCCAGCCTCTTTGTCTTTCGACCAAACGACTCTTGAAGATACCTGTATATAATATATAATATATACATCTCATTGTAACATATTTATCATACTTTTACATACATACTTATATATATATATAAGTACATACATTTCCCAAGATTTTATAAAATATTATAATCAAAAAGTCTCTTTTATATATATATATATTATATTATACATATATATTATATTATTTCTTCATGGATCCCAGTGCTTGCCCCCAGCCTCAAGACAATTACTCGGCCGGTACACCTGCGCAAGAGGACTGCAGTACCCTGTCACCGACTTTGGCCGATATCCTGAGTGATGACCGTATTCTGCGGTTCTACCAGTGCGTCAAGGACATCAAGACCCAGCGGTCACCCAAGCAAACCGCAGCCATGTTCTTTGCACTCTGCCATGCTCTTGGTGACACAGTCTCGTTCCTCAAGGTGCCCAACATGTCCAAAATCATATTCCGCCAGGAGCAGCAGATCTTTGCCGTCAATGTGGCCGGGACGCAGCACGACGCCGTCCAGCTCTTCCACAACACCGGAGAATTGCCGGCCCTAGACCCTCTCAAGATGGACAATGGACCGATACTGCACCCCGTCGAGCACCAGAACCTCTTTGCCGCCCCAGGTCCCGCAGAACATTCACCCCAGCACCTTCTCCAGGCCGCATTGGCCTCTGTCTCCCCTGCTGCTGCTGCTGCCGTAGCCGCTGCTGCTGCCGCCAATAACAACAACAACAACAACAACAATAATAATCCTAACCAGCACCATAACAATCAACATCATAATAACCAACATCATAATACTAGTAATAATAACAATCAGGCTAGTACTAGCAACAGCAACAGCAACAGCAACAGCAGCAGCAACAACAACAACAACAACGGCAGTAATCCTGAACCTCAACCTAACCTCAAACGAAAGAACGAAAACAAAGACACGACCAAGCGAGCCAAGAAAGCCAGCCCTCGCGACAAGGAGTACGCCGTGCGCCGCAACGAACTTATCCAGGACCTCCTCAAGGTACCAGAGGCAGACTTGCTCCACCAGGCCAACATTGTGGACGACGACATCAAACTTGTGATCCAGGGCCACGAACGGAGCACGAAGTTTGGAGTGCTGCCACCTCTGCACCGCTTTGCCACGTTTGCCAACCTGCCGGCCCACTACGACTGTGACTTTGCGCCCAAGAACGCGGGCGTATATTTCAACTTTGAGTATTTCCAGCTCTACCTTGCCTACCGCGACCTTGAGCTGGAGCGGCAGCAGCAGCAGCAGCAGCAACACCAGCAGCACATCGACACCAGCGACCACCGGCCGGTTCTGGTCCAGTGTCGGGCTGACATTGAAAAGGTGCTCGTGAACACCAACTGGGAGGCCATCCGGCGCCGTCTGACGATTGGTGAGCGCATCTGCCAGGTGTGCGGCGCCTTTGGCCGTGGATTTCTCCTGCTTTCCAAGCAAGTCTCGGGTCGAAAGCTGCTCCATAACTTTAATACGGGCGAGTGGAGTGAGTTCATGCGCGAGTTCCAACATCCCGAGAGCCAGGCTCTGCTCCAGACCCTCCAGGCAAAGTACTCGCCCGAGCGGTTCTATGGCACTCGTCCAGTCCAGGCACTTCATGATGTCCACTCGGTCATAGCCTCGGCCAACTCTTCTTCGTCTGGTGCTTCGTCTTCTGGTGCTCCTATTCCTGCCTCACCTTCAGCGTCTTCTGGTGCTATTGTTGTTGTCGGTCCATCTTCATCTTCATCTTCTTCTTCTGGTCCCGGATCTGGATCTGGACCTGGATCTGGACCTGGACCTAGTTCTACTTCTACTTCTTCAAACGTCAACCACAACCATAACCATAACCATAACCACAACAATAATCATAATCATAATCATAGCCACAATCATAACAGTAACAATACTGGTGCTAATACACCTGTTGGTACAAGTACTGCTTCAAGTGCTAATCCTAACCCTAACAACAATGTCAGCAATCCTTCTCCCATATCTACCACAATACCTTCTTCTGGACCTGAGATTGCTAGAGTGGCCACGCCCCTTTCTACTCCTGTAGAACCATCTACCGAAACCCAGTAAACTGATTATCTTTTATTATCTCACTCTCTTTTTTTTTCTTTTCTTTGTTTATTCTTCCAACCCCCCTCTTTTATATTTATTTATTTTTATAATGTTTTAAATCAAGCCAAATAAAAACGGACAATCAATACAAAATCAATAATTAATAATTTTAAGAAATAATATCTATCTATATAGTAGAATGATAATCTCAACCTATAAGCCCATTCAGTACATAAATTTATCCTAATATATTCAAACTATCAAAATAATTAATAAACTTTTTTTTTTTTGGATTTTATATAAACGTCACATCATCTAACTCACCACCTTGCCCCCCTCTTAATTATTATTGATATTGATAATTCATTTTGGAATATTATGAAACAAGCTTGGGTACAATAAGCCAAACCAAACCAAACCAAAAAAGATATATTTTTACAATATTAAACAAGTAAGATAAATAAATGTATATATATATGAGATACATCAAGAAATAGAAAACAAAATTGAGCAAAGTCACGCTATGGTAAAATAGTAAATATATGAAAAGAGAAGAAGAAGAGTGTAAGGGAGGAGGTGGGGGAGTTTGTCTGTTCTTTGTTGCCGCTGTTATGCCTATGACTAATTTGTTATTATACAGCCTTACTTGCTTATTTGACTTGCTTGCTTGCTCTTCTCTTTCTCTCTCTTTTTTTTATAATTATTATTATTCTTATTTTTTTTATATGTGTATGTGTATGTGATTTGTATGCTTATTTTTTTTAACTCCAGACATCTTCCTGGTATCTTCCGGTAGACCGAAGTGTCTTGATAAAGTCATGGGCCTGCTCTTCAGTCTTGCCACCATAGGCAACCGCAAGATTGACAAAGGTCTGGTGTACATCGCGAGCCATAGACTTGGCATCACCGCAGACATAGAGGTATGCTCCCTTGTTAATCAACCCCCAGACCTCTTCTCCGGTTTCTTGTAAGCGGTGTTGGACATACACCTTTTTGGCCGACTCGCGCGAAAAGGCTGTGATCAGACGAGATGCTGTGTTTGGCTCGCCTTCCTTTTCTTCGTTTAGGGTCTCGAACAGACCTGGCCACTCATCCGCATACAAAAAGTCTTGCTGAGTCCGAGATCCAAAGAACAGCAGGGTCGGTCCAACCGGTCTGCCGGATTTCTTGTGGAAGGCTCTCTCGCGCACGAACGCACGGAAGGGAGCAACGCCAGTTCCGGGTCCAATCATGATCACAGGACAGGCTGGGTTCCGGGGCAGCTTGAAGGTCGATCGGCGCACATGGACAGGCAGGCGCACCTGGGGTTCCAGGTAAGTGTTGCGTGGACCCTGGATATCATAGGTTGGGTAACCACCAGCCTTGAGGACCTCATTTGAATTGTGGCTCCTGGCATAGACGTTGTAGAGGAAGTGGGTCGCGACACCGTACACAGTGCGCTCCGGACTGGTGGTTGGCTGGTAGGCCAGGGTGACAACGGTAGCCGAGATCTTCTTGGGTGTTTCCTTGGACGAAGACGAGATGGAGTAGTAGCGTGGCTGGAGGCGCGAGATGCTTTCGACAATCAAGTCAAACGGAACACCAGCCAAAACACCCTCCGGACTACCGCCGCCAGAAACAACGTACTCAACCACCTCGCCGAGATTACGCACAGCCTCGCTCACCTGCAGGCGGTAGGCGTCCTTGTCGGTGGCCAGCTCGTGCAGCCGAGGCTTGATTTCTTCAGGCGCAAACTCTACCAAGGCCATCAGGGTCTGACGCGAGACAGGGGCACAGATGTCAAGATAGTGGCGCAAGATGGTGCGGTAGGTGGTCGGGACCGGGAAGGGGCTCTTTTTGGCCGCAGCCTTGTCTACAGCACACACATCCACTACCTGGTCAAGCTTGTGCGAAATACCCAGCACATTGGCCAGGCGTCCGATCTCAACTTCGCTGTTCGATGGCCACAATGCCAGATGGTCGCCGGTGTGGTAGATCAGGTTGGAGTCGGTGATGTCGAACTCGATGTGGAGGCAGTGTCTGTCTGGTTCGTCAAACAGGATCCGGGATTCGATTGGAGCAAGATATGGGCGCTTGGCATCATAGATGATTTTACTATAATTATTATTATTATTATTAAGTTTTTCTTTAGTTAGTATACATTGTCCAGTCTATTCCCTCTAGTTTCTTTTTTTTTCTCTTTTTATATTCCATGATATTAACCTCTTGTCTGACTTTTCTGCCAATTCACCAAGATAAACGTTATCCGAATCCGGGCTGATTTCCAACTCATCGATCTTATACGTGGCTTCACGAGGACCTGATCGAGCGCTGTGCTCGTCTACACCCAAGGCCTCGCAGAAAGCAGGCCACATTGTCTCCTGCCAGGTCAAAAAGTCCTCCTCAAGCGACCCATCGTCATCACCTTCACCGCGTTCTCCAACACGCTGGGCACCAAGATTGATGAGCTTCTTGTCGAGGATGCGGCAGACCTCGTTGTACTGCTCGTAGGTGCGGTTGCCAAGACCGAACATGACATAGCGCAGGTTCTTTAGAGAGGTTGTGGGGTCTGACTCATCCTTGGAGAACGCCGGTTCTTCTTCGGTCACGAGCTCCCAGAACTCGACCGCATTGTCGGTCGGTTCGCCTTCACCATAGGTCGCCATGATGAAAAAGACGAGCATGTCAGGCGAAACGGTGTCGAGATAAGAAAGGTCGTAGAGCTCGATGTCGGCCGTCATGCAGCTGACGCCATATCTTTGGGAACATTCTTTGGCCAGGCGAGAAGCATAGTCCTCTGCTGTACCTGTTTGAGAGCCATAGAAGAAGATGACTCGACGGCCCTGAAAATATACAATGATAAGAAAGAAATAAAGAAAGAAAAGATAAAATTGTATAAATATGGATTTATCTCTTCTCTTTTTATATAAATATGATAATATTGATTTTCTTACCTGTTCTTGCATAATCTTTACAAAATTGCGTTCGTTCTTGGGTGCTTGAACAGGGGCAGGGGGTGGTGGTGGGGCTGCCTTGAAGAATCTTTCGGCAATCTTCTTTCTGCCAAACCAGGCAGCAGTTCCTAGACCAATTGCACCGAGGATTGCAAAGTCTAGTGAATCGATCATTGCAGGTTGTTGTTGTGCCATTTCTATTTATATTGTGATCTAGATTTGATTCTAATGATGATGAAGATGAAGATGAAGAAGCAAGAAAAAGAAAAAGAAAACGAAAGAAGGAGTTTATATAAATGTAATTTGTATAAATGTATTGTATTATGTGATAAAATTTGTAAAGACGCCTTTTGGTTTCAAGACCTATATCTATATATTCCTTCTTTTGTTACACTGATTGTGATTTGTCAAAAAAAAAGGAATAGAGACTGTATATAAGAATATTCAGGGCATTCTCAAAAGCACACACTGCAGATATCTATATATCTATAAGAAGCTTTTTACACAAAGATGTACAAAAATTATATACATCTATTCTTTATATATATTTTTATAATATATATATTTTCTTCTGAATCCATCTTTACAGATCCGCTATAAAATCGGAGATAGACAGCGATATCGCAACAAAATCATACAATGAAAAAGAGCCTTGTTGTCTAACCCAAATATCATTTTCATTATATGTGTATCTATACAAAGCCTCCCTAAAATGTCTATAGTTAAAGCGCAAAATATACATATAATTTGGCTCAATTCAAATTGCAGTAATATTGATCCCTTTTGTGATTATATTATCATTCTTGCTATCCTGTTTCTGTTTCAATTTTAACTGTAATTATATTGTATTGTATTGTATTGTCATCAAGTTCAAAAGGTCTAATTGCATAGCTTGACTCTGAAAAATACTATATATATTTAAAGTATAGATAACACATGTTTTTCTCTTTAAGCAGTGCAACAATTATGTAAACCATTTGAGATTATCATTTGGTCTTTTGGTCTCACAAACCTACCATACTAACTCTCACTGCAACATGAATTGCGTTTCTATCTTTTCATAGTACAGCATTTATGTCTTTATCAAATGAGATACCTTTCTACCAAAAAAAAACAGAAACAAAAACAAAATCAAGGAATCGATATTAAGGTGTGCGCTTTACAAATCTTAAACAATACCAACAGACATAGTAAAATGAACCTAGACAGCAAGATTTTTTTTATTGTTATAAAAGAAAGGAAGCAGAAAGAATAATCTGATAACTCTATATTGAGTTGAGTTAAATTGTACCTTTGTATTTCTTTTTTAAGAAAGAAATAAAAAAAAAAGGTGTGGATAGTAATAAATTGATATCATTGGCTAATCTCATTTTGATCCCTTTTTTTATTTCTTTAGTCTGTCCACACAAAGTGCTATTAAATAAAATGGTACAATACGCAGAGAATGTGTTATTGGATAGAAATAATATTGTCCATTTGACTTTTAACAAAAAATTTGCCTTGGACAATTATAAGCTAATTGGTTACTTGATTGTACGATTTCAGGTACACCAAAAACGAAAGAAAAAGGTGTTTTTTGTTTTGTTTTTAAAAGGTATGTTTTATCATTATAAGACATGTCATCAAACTGGATATAAAAAAGGGTGAGCAGGAGCCTGTTAATCAACACTTGGATCTTTTCCTCTGCTTCATAATCACAAGTATGACCAGGCAACGAAATAAAGAACGAAAAGTAGCCAGTACCTCAAAGGATTGTAGATACTAAAAAGGTTGGTTGAACCCTGCTTTAAATATTACTAACATAAACTTCTTGATACTCTTGGTGTTTTCTCAGAGTATCACAGACCATCAAATATACCTTGTGCCTATAAGCCCATCGCTGAACTATGCAAGACTCCATTGTCCATTCAAGCCATAGGCCAAGCATTGTATCGGGTCGGGTTTCCACAGGATCTTGATCTTATAACACACAGTGGCTCTGGGCTCATAAGGATAATACGTTATTTGTGAGTAGTACAAGAATGAACTTTTGATTATATATATATACATATACATGTTAATAATCCACGCATCTATAGCTTGGACTCAATGAGCTCGCCTCAAACCCAATTTAATTAACACTATGCTTGAAAGGACAGCTGTGGGCTACCTAATAGTAATATACAGTAAACCAGCCGTAATAAAACATGCTGTGAACTAAAAGTAGTATAGAACGCTATAATCATAAGCCTTTATTGTATTCTTGTAATAACATTCTCAAAATATTTTATGTATAAGAAACGGAGTGTTAAATCAGTAGTTTGGCTTTCACAAGAAACTTTTGAAAAAAATGGAAATCGGGTTTATGTGTAAATTTGTTGTATGTGGATCTGCGCCACACACTTTCTCTTTATAAAGAAAAGAAAAGAAAAAGGATCATTTGGATATCAGAATTCTTCTTTTTTTTTGTACATTTTTTGGGGTGTTCAAGGTGTCAAACTTTTATGGATATAATAATATTCAGTAGCATTATTGGCATTTGTTCTAAGACAAATGAATTCTGGGTATCAAAAAGACCTATTCTTTAGCTTATTGCTAATAAAAATAAAATAAAAAGAAGTTGGTTAAAGGAGTGTATATTATATATCACACCCAAAGATTTTTTTTTGTAAACCTTAAGATTGTTTTTGGAATAACGCACTATTCTATAAACAGTAGTCAAGTTGGCCAACAAACCTTCCTTATATAGAATACACAGCAGCCGTGAGGACCCCCCAACCCCCTCCCCCCATTTTGTGAAATGGCCAAAAAATGTTCCTCATTTGTAAAATCTGTATTACGTAAAATCTGGTCTGAAAAGGTTTGAAATTTTTATTTGAGAAATAAATTGAGAAACAAAAAAGCGCAAAAAAGTGCAGAACTAAAAATTAGAGCAAAAATACCCTTGCAATACTAAATAATAATGTAAGCAATATAAGAAAAAACTATGTAATAGCCCAAAAATTGTAGTAGTAACGACTGTTTACTACGATGGGAACGGAGGCAGTAAAGAAACAGCAACAGATGGAGAATATCAAAAACTATAGAAATGAAGACAAAGATTAATATTAATAATAAAATGGGACATGTTCAAACATTGAAATCTTACCTCTTGAAAGCAATAAAGAATAGATTCCACTATGACTTACCTAAAGCAAAAAGAAGCACAAAGTTAATAATAGAAAAACAAACTCAAGCTATTAAGATAAAGATATTTACCTTCGCTAAAGAACACAATGGAGCTACTCAAAATGACCGTAATCTAGAAAACAAAAGTATTAGTAAAGGCTTTATAAACCTATAAATGTACTCTGTTCAGAAAAATACCTTGTTTCAAAGTAAAAGGGCTTCTAATAGCAAAGTAGATACATATTATATTTATTAGTACTTACTTGAACTAAAAATGAAAAGAAAGAAAAAAGAAATAAAAGAAATATACTAATCCTTCAGTTAAAATGTCAAGTGCGTGATGTCGGTTGGGATTTTTTTTGGGGACTTAAAGTTTTTTTCTTGGTTTTTATTAACTTAGTATTTTTTTCTACAATACAACAAATTTTACAATGAGTGGGAATAATCACGGTCTTTACAGATATTTTTGTAGGTATTGGTCTGATACGGTGCAAAGTACTAAGAAATTGATATTACAAACAGATGAGAGGGAAAAAAACCATAAAATAAGAAACTAGAAAGCTTATTCCAAGAAAAGTCTTATCACCATGAATACCTTGGCTGCTGGCCTTCGCAAGTACGAAAGTCTTTGGTCAATTCTGAATATCCTAAGCCAATAAAATCTCTCATTTTTCTTTTTTTGCATTTGCTCTGTCGCAAAATATATTTTTTTCTTTTTCTCTGTCACAAAACTTCTTTTTTTTTTTTTTCTGTCGCAAAAGGGTTTATTCTCTTTTGCTCAGTCGCATATAAAATATTTTTGCGCAAAATCTACCCAAAATAGTCTAAGACCCTTTTTCTTCTGCTTTTCTTATTTTTATTTATTTATTTACAAGTAATCAGCCAATTGAAATAGATATTTTCGTTTGAGTAACTGTCTTAAACTCAAAACTTCTACGTATTTTTTTATTTTTGAGCTTGAACCTTATTACAGCCAATAAGCACCCTTAACTCAAAATTTGGCCAAAAAAATTACCATAAACAGGTCAAAAGTCTTTGGGTGTGATATAATATATATATATATATAATATTTAAAATATTCATATAGATTCTTTCCTGATATTCCATAATATACTTATTAAGCGAACTTTTTTCCTTTTATATCCATCCTTGGCTACACAAAAAAGTATAAAAATAAAGATCCTAAAAATAAAGATTGTATTTAAATATCTAACTTTTTATTTTTTTACCAGGTATTCAAAAAAAAAAAAAAAAAAGAAAAGAAAGAAAGAGGCATTTATTCATCATCATTTTATTTTATTTTTATTTTATTTTTAATTTTTTAAATTCTTTTTACTTTTTCTTTTTTTTTGTTAAAAAAAAATTTCTTTCTCTTGTAAGAAACACAATAAATTAACAAAAGAAGAATGGCAACAGAATTGCCACTGTATAAAAATAATGGACCAAAGAAACTACAAAGACCATCAAGGCACATCATCATAGTCTTGATGCTCAGTGCCATCCTGATCATCTTCTTACTCAATCGCCATGTCGACCAACTACCAAAACCAACACAACAAGACCAAGTTCTATGGGATGTCCAGGCAGAACTTCCTCCACCACCAAAAATCCAGCCCACTCAACCCACTCAACAACAACAACAACAACCACATAAAAACAGCTCTCAACTATCAAATGATATCAAGCCAGCCTCACCTCACTCTGACCAACACAGTAGACTCTCTCGACCCTTTGCAGATCTCACCGAAGATCCGGATATCAATCAGTCCGGGCACTACACACATCTAGTCGTCATTGGATCCGAAGCCTCCCAGGGCTCCAGACGCCAGCTCATACGCTCAAAGTACTTTGGATTGCGTGACAATCTGTTGCCATGTATGCAGTACGACACCGATATATACTACACTTTCTGGATCCATGGTGGCCTCCCCTTACCAGACACCCCCCTGCGACGCACCTACGAAAGTGAGAAAATGGAATGGAATGATATGCAAGAGATCCCAGCTCGTCTTGAGTTCGAACAAGCAAATGTCATCGCATGGGTAAATAACAATAACTGCTAAAACAATCAAATGCTTCTTTATACTAACAACAATTTCATTATATATATATTAAATAAAATAAAATAAAATAAAAAAGGTTGAAAATACTTTGCTTGTCGAGAAAAAGATCACCTATGACTATCTGATTATCCAAGACGGATACAGTTTTATCCAGCTCTCGAAAACAAAATTCGAATTGGACTCTGGGGTCATTGGCCAATACACCCACTCGCCTTACTCTCTCACAAGCGACACCCCATTAAACTTTGTCTGGGGTACCTTTGACTCCACCAAGTCAAAGTCAAAGTCAAAGAACCAGAACGAGAACCAGAACAAGAACCAGAATGTCATCGTTGGTTCCACAGCCGCAAAACTCGCTCTCTCAAAACAATCCGAAATCCACCACCTCTATCCTGACTTGCCTCTGCTGACTGGCATGTACGAACTCTACAACTCTATCCAAGACACCCTCAAGGCCGTCACGGATGCGTCCCTGGAGCCAGAGGCAGCCGCCGAAGAACAAGAGCGCCTCATCCCGGCCTTTATCCGCGAAGACGGGCCCGAGGGAACCCAGCGGTTCATCGACTGGGAAAACAACATCGAGTCAGTCCACGCCGAAGACATCGTCGTCAAAAACGTCTACCAGGATTCGGAGTTTGCGGCTCTCAGCGACTGGTCTTATCTCAAGCCCACCCGGGTGTGTCATCAGCACGGCTCATTCTCTGCCAATCATCCTCCTGTCCACCCCATGGACGACGACCAGGACATGTCCGAGGATTCTGAAGAAACCGACGATGAAACGTCCTCGAAAGACTACAGTAACAGCGGTGGTATGGGACCATCGGTTGCAGTCTTGACTTCGTCTTACATCTACGACGCCTGCATGGAACCATCTGCAACCCGTGCGGCAATGAACAAACGAGCCTACGCACTAGAACACAACTACGCCTTCGTGGCCCGCTCAGCCGAATTTGCCCAACAGAGCGCCACAGGCCATGTCCGCCGCAAAGCCGTCTGGGGAAAGATTGACGTGCTCGAAAAGGCATTGCCAAAATACGATTGGGTATTCTGGCTCGATATGGATGCTGTCATTATGGACCAAAAGCGGTCGCTTGACGATCTGCTGGAAGAACTCAAGGCCGATTACCAGAAACAAGACAACGGATTCCAATTCGATAAACAGATTGACATGATCGTCTCCAGACCTTCCAAGGATCGCATGATCAATGCCGGCGTGCTCTTGATCCGAAACACTCCCTGGGCCATGCAGTTCTTGCGCGACCTTCAGGATATGTCGGGATGGTACCAAAAGGGTCCTTCTTACGAACAAGGCGCCATGTGGGAACTTTTGCAAAAGCCAGGAAACCGTGAGCGGGTCTTGTTGCTAGACAGAGACGACCACACTTTCAATACATTCCCTTCGTACTATATTCCCGGAGACTTTGTTGTACACTTTGCTCCAGACAAATGTCCCAATGATGCTGTCGTAAAAGGACTCAATGCTGCCGATCTTATTCTCCAAGGTCAACGCATCACAGCAAAAGACATTGAATAAAAAAAAATGACCAAAATTTCTACAACTTTTCACATCTACAACAAAACACATACAACACACAGACCATACATACATACATACATTCGCACATACATACACACATACATACATACATACATACATACACACATACACATATATATATATATATATACACTACTCACTTACCCGTCCGTCCATCCATTCATATATCCATAGCAACAACCAACCAATCAACAATAAATTAAGAATTGATATATCTTTATATATATATATAAAATTTCCTTTTTTTTATATTTTATATTTTATTTTTATTTTTTTTACACCAATTGCACACAAACATATTATTTTATATACCTTTCTTTTTCTTTGTTCATTTTCATATATAAATTTGTTCAATAAAGGAAAATGTATGGTGCATGTGGTGCGTGATTTTTGGTTGTTTTCTTTTTTTTTTTGGTTTATAGAATACCCTGTCGTCTCAGTTCTTCATAAGTCTTTTTGTTAAATACATTGCCTTCAGTGTCCTCAAATTCTTCCATTGTCTCTGCCTTGAAGTCTTCCTGGACGCCTTCCTTTTTCAGTTTCTCATAAACTAGACAAAGCATATCATAAGCTTTCGCATACACTACAAGGCATTATGCACAGAATTTTTCTTACGTGTGTAGGCATCATCAATCTTTGTGATTTCATGAAAGTGTCTTGTGTTTGGAATACCAAGACATCGCATACCATGAGCATGGCGCCACTCCTGGAAATGCTTGTCGAATGCTTTGCGGCCCATGTAGACATAGTTTCCGCAGATCTCACAGGGGTACTCCACACCAAGGCCATGGAGTTTGTAGAGCCAGTAAGGAATCGGCTTGCCGTCCCAGCCCAGGGGAAGCTTGAGCGGGTTGTAGATCCGATCCTCGTCTTCCTCATCTGACTCCTGCTCGGCAATCTCGACTTCTTCCTGCTCCTGCTCCAAGATACGTTCCTTGTCAGTCAGGGCCTGCTTGCGCTCCACATTGGCCTTGGATTCCTCACGGACGTCCGATAGCGCATCGGCATAACGGATAATCAGGGTTTCTTTCCATGCCGTGGCCTTGCGCTGATCTTCCTTGGTCTTTGGTCCACCCGCATCAAGCTTTTCTTGTGCCTTGATGTGTTTCTTACCGTTCTTGTGGCCATCAAACACACTTTGCTTTGTAAATTGTTTCTGGCCTATTAATAATAATAATATTTTTTTTGGTTATTGTTATAATACCAATATCAATATTAATATATATATATATATATATCTGGATTTATATCCCACTTGCATGCTTCACAGAACAAGGCTTCTCCAGGTTTCTCTTGTGTTGACCACTCCCAGCCAGAAACTCGTCCTTCATCCCATGCTTCTTCAAACTCCTTTCGTGCACGGTTTTCTAACTCTCCCACATCAAACAATGGCTTTGCACGTTCGAAGAATGATCGTAAATAGGCAACCATTGAATCAAGATATCTATTAAAGAGAAATACAAAAATTCGATTCAATTCAATTCGATTCGATTCAATTGAGTATTTCTTGATGACTTACGCTTTGTATTCTGGGCTGGATTTAATGGATTTTGGATACAATTGGGCAAAGTTGTCAAAATCGGAAAGATACTGCAGGTAATCGAGCTTTTTGACCGACTTGAGGTTGATGTATTGAGCATGTAATGCATTAAAGTCAAAGTATCTACCAAGACCTTCTTCTCCTGAAAACATCTTTTCAAGTTCTAATTCCACCATAAAAAAAATTTAATAAGAATCATTTCTTTTATATATAAAAATCTTTGTTTCTTTGTTTCTTTTTCGTGTGTATATTTAGCTTTATTACCGTCATCGTCACTTTCGTCTTTGCGTTGATTGAGATAGATGAATTCCATTTCCGGTGGTTCGACAGTTTCGTTTGGATATTTGCGATGATGTTCTTTAATGACTTTAAGGCGTTCATAAAACTCGCTGAATTCGGATGAACCTGACAAGGCATTTATTTCGGATTGGCGAAGTCTTTTTTTTTTTAAAAAAAAAAGAAAGTAAATTACGTATATATAAAAGTATCAATTGAGTACAATTCTTTCTTTTTTTTAAAAAAAAAACCCCACACACTATAATGTTGCTTCATATATATAGATGTGTGGATTATAAAGTGTTGGTTTGTTACTCTTTTTTTTTTTTTACCCATCTTGATCTTCATAGAGATCATATAGTCTGTGACTCTTTTCGGAAATTCGCGTCAAAAAGGTATCCATTGTGTGTTCGGCGTGTAGACGTTCTCGATGAGTCTTTGCATCCTGCATGAATTGGTCGACAATTGCCTGCTCTAGGCGTTCAATGTCTTCATGAGCTCTATAAACATTTAATAATAAAGTATGCTTATCATTATTATTTATGTTCTTCTCTTTACAGCATGTATGATGTGTAGATGTATGTAAAGAATATCAAAACTATGACAAATAGTTGTGTAAAAATTAGAGTAAAGATAAAGATGCCTTACGCTCTCTGTCTCTCGAGTACGTTGTTCATTACACTTTTTTCTTAAAAGAAAGAAGAAAAAAAAGAAAAAAGAAGAAGAAGAAAAAAAAAAGGGAACAAAGGTAAGAAAGCTTTTGAGAGTTTAAAGTTGAAGCAAAACGGGACACAAAGTGCAGAAAAATGACAAAGAGACTTTCCTTAATAAATTCCAAATCCAATTTCACCACTTCAAAAAAGTAAGTCTCAGCCACAGATCACGTGCATTAGATTTTGCCCTTGAATCTCTTTCTCGTTTTTTTTTTTTATAAAAAAAATATAAGAAACGATTAATTCTCCGCCATTTCCCATTTTTCGTTTTTGCTCTTTTTTTTGTTAACCTTGAAAATAAGTTCCACCTCTCACACCAACCCCTTCCCCTCCCCCTTTCCCACCTTTTATTTTATTTTATTTTATTATATATTTGTGCTTTATTTTTTTTTATAATATAATACAGTACAGTATAGTATATTATTTTCGATTTGACATACCGTTAATTTACACCAATTCAGTAAGGTCATGTCTCGAGCAAACGACCTTCGACGTGAGTATATAAATAGTATGAAGAATTACATATAAATTTACACGCATAAAATATGTATGTATATATTGATGTGAGATTAGAAGTACTGTCAGAGTTGAATATCAATTTACTTGTTGACAAAAATGAACCAAAAGACCAAGACGACATACTTCTTCCTGAATGGAAAGACATTACCGAATTCCTGAACAAAGCAACCGATGGTAAATAATATGGAAAGAATCCTCAGATTGTTTCTTTTTTTTCTTTTTCTTCTTTATATATATATATACATATAAAATACATTCATTTAATAAATAAAAAGGAATGAAGAATTGTATTTTACATTTATGCATTAATACTTAATGTACAAAAGGGTCGTTTTTTTACATTATATAAATAAATAAATAAATAAATAAATAAATAAATAAATAAAAATGTTAAATGACAAAAAATTGGGGATTTGCTATGTAGACTTTGAGATTGGCCAACTTGTACAATTGCCATCCTTCTCTTTATTTGATGCAATGAGCGCAATTGAAATTATGGACCCCAAGATGGACACAGGCATGGTTCTTCCAGATAGTCAGAGTGGTGTATTTGATGTCTCGAAACGTATCAGTGCACCTCACTTGATTTGGATTATGGATCGTCTCTTGAGTTATGAAGTATGTCAATTGCCTTTTTTTTTTATATATATTAATCTTACCTCTCTCAGACCAAAAATTCATATAAAGACAATAAAAGTAATAGACGGTCAGAAAGGATAAATTATTATACTAAATCTATGTATATATCTATATTTATTTATTGTATAGATGGCATGGATTTCAGGACATGCTTTGTCACAGACTGTGTTTACGTGTACATATTTTCATCACATAACTGCATTGGCCGAAGACTACCACCCTCCTGCTGCTACAGACCCAGCAGAAGTAATCTACAGTGCACTTCGGACATACATTATTGCCACGGTCAAGTGCTGTCATTATGTGTGGAATGAGATGACACAAGGCAATGTATACGAGGTAACATATATAAAGAAAGCCAAGAATATGTTGTGTTGTGTTGGGTTGTACTATATAAATGTACTTGCTCATTTTCTTGCTTGCTTGCTTGTTTGTATTTCTTAGGAAGAAGACTTTACAACCAATCTTTTTGGTCTTCATTTATGTGAACAATTCTCGGATGTGCGAGTATTAAACGATATCGACACATCGCTTCATCTGATTGGACAGGTTATTGAACGAGAGCCAAAAGGTAAACATACATAAATGTATTTCTATGTCTGTGAAAGGGGTACTATTGTATATATAGATTGTGATTCTCTAAAGAAATTAAATTAAATCAAATCAAATGGTGCTGTATTGTAGATATTGAGATCAAGGATCTCAAGGGTATTGTGAACAGACTTCAAGCCAGAAAGGAATTCTTGGTCGGTCTTGTCTATCTCTCCCAGCCACACTGTTCGCATTTTAGCCAGGCCAGAGCTGAACTGAGAAATCTTTTGGATATCCTGCGATCTTCAGAACCTGATTCGATTCGAAAGACCATGAGATGTGATCATGTTTTAGAAGGAGGTAAGCACACACACACAAAAAAAATTGGAAACTTTGAAAACAAGTATTAATTATATGATTTTCTAGCATTTGACCCAAACATCAACCGTAAGCTTGTATCTCAAGCACCACCTCGTCCTATTATACTGCATTCAGATGAAGAGGTAATGTCCATAAATCCAAAGAGCCAATCAGTAATATATTGTAGACTGACATTCTATACACAGTCATATGACAATTTGATATTATTGGTTGAACGCTTAGAATCTATCTGCAATGTACCTGAATTTCCTTCTACTGGATCTCTTTTTGTAAGTAAAGAATAAAGAAAGAAACCAAGGTAATAATATTGATTTATCTAACTTTGCGATTGCAGAATTACTTTGGTTACTTTGCAGCCAAACCTTACCCTGACGCTCTTTCACGCTCGACCTTGAATGTAAGTCTTTAAATATACAATACACATCATGTTTAATCTAACCAAATAACCCTTCTTCTTTTTTTTTAAAAAAAAATTAAAGACTTCTTTCTATCACGACTCACGTATATTTGGAATGTATCCCCCTAGCCAGTTGATTCAATCTGCAATTGAAGAATTCACACAACCTCCAGAATGGTGGTTGGCACCCTCAAAGGCTCCAATCACCGCATCTCTTACACCTGAAAATTTAGACCTAGCACGGAATATGCTAGACCAGGTCATGGATCGTGCTGCTCCTGTAAGATAAATATTATATATATATATATATATACATTTATTAGTTTTGTTAATAGAAGATAAATGATAAAGGAACAATTATTATTATATTAATTGGGATATATGTATATATATATTGGAATTGTACACGAATAACCATAACAATTCTATTAAAAAAAATAGTCGTTTATAGATTTCTTCAAGATACAATGTCAAAACCGAGCACGTCAACGAAGAATACAATGTAAAATAGTCAAAGAATGGGATGCGCTTCAAGAAACGGTAAGGAAAATTATGTTTTGCTTTGGACACATTATTTACATGGATATTTTTTTTGAATATATATATATATATATTAATAATGCAACTTTTTGTTATTTTAGGTAGCTACTGTAGATGAAATGTTCCATGAAATATCGGTAAGTTTCTTTGGTTTTATTTATTTACTGCAAATATCACTTTGAATATGTATTCAAATCTTATCATTATTGTAGGGAAATGATACGATACCTTACTATATGTCTTCGTGGGTATTTAACATCAAACTCGACATGATGGAAAATATCCTTGGGCTTGGATTTGAACTCGAACTCTACGGAATACACGAGTACATTATGGTGTACTGGTACATGCAGAATGTTCTCGACAGCCGAGTATTCCTAATCAATCGTGTACAGAAGTTTATTCAACCTGCAATCAATTCGACATCTGAATCCAATAATGGTGCTACCAGCAGCAATAGTAAAAATAACATTAATAATAATAATAATAATAATAATGGTGGTGGTGGTGGTTATCGTCAACCTGTCCAAACCGGCGTCAAATCTCCTAAATCTATTGTATCGTCATCATCGGCACCACATCCTGGCTCTAAAGAAAAGAAAGGACCCGAGACCACATCTGATTCTTCTCCTTCAGACTTGTTAGAATGCCTTTCGCTCCTATACAAGGCCAAGAAGAATCTTGTGGTTGCGGTGTATCGATTGCTGCGTTGTGTTGAAAAGACAGGTCAGCTTGAGTTGCGCCCTCTTGGATTTGATGATGAGGCTACACGATTCCAGCACCGATTCAAATCGTTTGCCGGACTTGCCTCACCTCCAGCACCAAGCTACGAAACCTATGTAGAGACCCAGAACTTTGATATCAATATTTCCGAGTGGCTGTGTAGTTGTCTTGCCGAACTAAAGGAAGCAAAGGGTATTTTTGACACACTCTTGAATCACCCAGCCGCAGACACAAAGACTGAGATGTGCGAAGATGCGTTTAAGAAGGTGAGTAATTTGTTTTCTTTTTCTTTATTATTAAACCATAAACATTTTTTTTTATTCTCTTGCTTTTTTGACTGTATTTTATATATATCTTGATAATTTAGGAATTGCTGGCTATGATGCGGACATGTGTGGCCAACTCTATTGCTGCCATGCGATTATTATCCGCCAATCCAAACGAGACCAAAGTAGACATTGAATTCAAGTATCATCCTTGGTGGCCTGTTATTCAGTTGGTCAATAAATAAATTAAAAATTAATAAAATAAAGATTTCCTAAAGAAAAGAAAAGAAAAAAAAGGACATAAATGAAGGAAGTTCAAACTTTTGCCACAAAAGGGCTACCTCGGTTTCTTGAAAATGCGTTTAATTTGTTTTGTTTTTGTTTTTGTTTTTAGTTTTTAATTTAAGTTACAGTTAATCCTGTTGTGGATATACACCATATGCTGTTAGTATTCGTGATTAGTATAATATAGCATCATCATTGAGATGAACAAGAGGGACCAGCAAAGTGGCAAGAACCTTCTTTAAACTAGCCAAAGATTTAAAAGAGATGACTTGACGACTTTTTGAAAGGTATGAATTCAGCAGCTTTGAAAACCTTGGAAACTTGAGAGACTTTAGAGACTTGGAAAATTTTAGGTACTCTAGGTACTCCAGAAACTTCAATGATACCAGAAACATTCTTCTATTCAATATAATCATAAAAAAAAGATACTGTGGTAATTGTGGCTCTAAAGGATGATGTATTAAAAGAAGATTTATGGAAACTTGTAATGTAATAAAATGTAATAAAAATATTTAAAACTATTGTCTGATTAGCACACGCTTTCTTTCATTTGAAGCACCCCTTTCATGTAATTTAATTTAATTTAATTTAATTTAATTATAAATTCAAAATATAAGGCATTTCTTAATACCTCAAATTACACAAAAATAATAACAATACATATTTCGAGACAATAATATTTGGTGTAAAACGTCACAAAGTCTTTTGTTTTTTATTTTATTTTAATATATATATATATACCTTTTTCTTTTTATTTGTATAAAACAACTTGGTTGGAAAGTTATTAGTATAGCTTGTCCTTATTACACCTGTTAAAAAAAATGTCAGCACCATTGCCATACGAGATTTTATCGTACATTGCAAAATGCATCGACAGAAACACTCAGTTGACATGTGCATTAGTCTGTAGACATTGGACAGAACCATTCCTCAACGCGTATTGGAATTTCCCATTAATCAACGGTACAGCATTAAAGTCTCTTTGCAAAAAAACCAACCGAAACAACGTCCACCTTAGGAATTTACATCGTACACGGGGGTTAAATATCTACGACCTGACTGAGAAGGACATGAAGAATTTCCCAAAACTACAGCAAATCTATCAGAACATAACCCGCATCAAATACACTGAAAGTACTCGATTTGAGCCAATCTTGAGCACTATCGATTGGGCTCCCTGGAAAACAGTTATACACCTGGAGATAGATTATGACTATACTTGGACAGATCCAGTCGAGGATATTCTGTTTAAACTATCTGCAATGCATTCCCTAGTTCATTTAATATTCGATACATCTTCAGCCCACATGGACGATCTAAAAGGGCTGCACTTAAGCTGGGGCGATATGGAGCAGCTTCACGGTCACTTTCCACGGCTAGAGTATCTAGAGACCAACTGTCTACTTACCCCAATGTCGTACAGAGTATTGGAAAGAGTACTAGAATTGCCTCCTGCAAGCAATATTAAACATGTACGATTTGACAACGATGCCGTTTCTACACCTTGGATGTTTTACTTTGCCTGCAAGTACCCAAATCTAGAGACCATGAGATTCGTAGAGGGCGATAGAGAACCAGAGGATGTTGAAAGGGATTTCCAGTCAAAATACTACCAAGGTGACCTCCTCATACTGTCAACCCTCGACCGATTCTTTCCTTGTCTGAAAACAGCGCACATATTTACAGAATCATGGAACGGCTGGCCATTTTCTCTATTCACCAAGTCTCTTAAACATTTTGGGGTGAAGCTAGAGTTTCTTGTCTACAATCTAAACATATACAGCGCAGACTGGTTGGCTCTTTCAAATGAATGCTTGGAACATGTAGCAAGCTCAATAAGGATTATGTATATAAAATGGGGAGAAAACATGATCGATAAACGTATTACAGACGATTTCGTCTCATGTCCGTCACTGATTGAATTGCACTTATACACTCGGTCTCAATTCGAAATAGACGTTATCCTGGATAAATGTCCAGAATTACGGATATTTGATATTGACATTGACGGTAGTGACGAAGTAATGATCTCCGAGAACGCACAGGACATCTACAACGACACCCCAAGCATACACCCATTGCGAAAATTGACTGTCAAGTCTTCATTTATCCAAACAGAACTTTTTAAATACATATCCTTCTGATGTCAAAAACTTTTGGACCTGAAATTATGCAACATTCATTTTGAAGGAGGTGATTGGTTCGAGAATGGACAGCTACAGCTAGACATGCCGTTCTCACAATTGAGCATCCTCACGCTCGCCGAATTTTATCACCACTACAAAAGAACCTTCAACTTATTTGCTTTTGAACAGACCGGTGATTCCAGTACCGACACCAGCGCCAATCTGCTGGAGCAGACCGATCAGCTACAATTGCCTCACTTAAAATGGTATCACGTATGTTTGGATAGATCCAGCGGAAAAGAAAAACCTGCTATATGGGAACTTGGGAGTCAGGACATCGACTCTGTTAAGAAGTATCATGAAAACTATTTTGAAAACAAACAGCACGACATAATACAAGAGGAAGAGCAGGAGAAGGCAAAGAAAACGTCTGATACACGTCTGGTACCAAGAAGCGATTGGAAAAGAGATCTTCGGTGTGGCATCATTATAGTTCGAGTTAAATCTGTCGAATACTTTATTTTTGAAGGCGTTCCTGTGACACATGATCACTGACACAATGGACAATGAGCCACAGATAGAGAGAAAATGTTGGAAAAAAAAGTATTTTTTATTAATAATGTGAATATTTTATATACGTATTAGAGGAGCGTTGCTCTTCCCCTCCCTTTGGGAAGTCCTCAGAGTCCTACAGGCAATTAATATAAAGCTCTTCCCTACTGTTAAACCTTTTTATGGTACACAATTATATTCTTCTTTTCTCTCTTTTTTTTTTTAAAAAAAAAAACAAATAATGCACTAACGGTGCCAAGTCGTTTTAATTTTTAGGATTTTAAATAGCTTTAGATGATTATATGGTGCGTCTGGGGTCCTTGGTAATAGTGATAATTTGAGAAATTATATAAAAGTGACCTCAATACATGTATTAATGTTATTAGCTGACTGGCACCAAGCCATATAGTGTCTGATGTCTTTTGAATTGGATGGCTATCAACAAAAAGGCTGAAACACATAAAGCAATGTGAAGGAAAATTTATGTAGATCTACTCGATCAAATATCCAAATTCTCTCGAATATATTGAATTGGGTCACAATTTGGCAGAAATTGCTAAACTATAATATTAACTAGCTAGATACATTCATACATTAATCAGGTCTATCTTTGGTGGGTATCAAATCTAATTCCTCCTTGCTCAAATCTTTTATCTTTGTGAAAGAACAGAAATGAAATCAAATGTATTCCCGGATTGTATTTATGACATATATGTAAATAATGAGTGTGAGTAATACACTGTATATGCTGAAATCAATAGAAATGGAAACACAAGTAATTTAAACAAAGACCTGTATCGACTAGTTTTATTTCATAAGCAGATCTAATAGACACATATAGCTTGGAAATGTAGCTTATCTTTTCCAGGAAAATTGGTGGCATTGTTATTTTTGACTTTTTGCAAGACAGTGGTATGGTATATTGTAAATGAATATTTGGATGTGATAGACATTATTTTGATGAATTCGTAAAAGTCTAAAGACTGTTAACAGCATTACTCTTTTCCGCTCAATAACTTGGTCTTGAGTATGGGCCACAGTATCGTAACTCATTTTATTTAAAATATTGTATGAGAACTACTATGGATAAGGTGCAGTTTATTAGTATTGGAGAAAATACAATATACTTATAGTTCAATTCATATCAATAAAATAAAATGAAAAGGTCAAAGTGATAATATGCCTTGGCGTTCTCCGTGATATTCACTATACAAGTAAGTGAGGTTCAAGGCTCATCACAAAAAAGATATACATCTAGAATTCAAGTTGCCCCTTAGTACTTTTCGTACTACTTGATTCTTTTAATTTGATTTGGTTTGATTTGATTTTTAAGTGTTATAAACTCCTGCTAAATTCGAAAGTCACAAATCAACCTGTATACCAGCGGTGCGAAACCGCGGCACTTTGTAAATTTTCCAAAAATTATTTATATTACTATTTATTTCACGTTTAAAACAATTTGTGGGTTTGTACTTATGCTTATAAATTATATTTTAAATATTAAGAAAATTAAATAACTAGGACATAGTATAATAAAAGCCCTTACAACTTATTATTCAAGTGATAGACACAATAATATTTCATCTATTATGTACTTTTTATTCATTCTACTAGTATATTATCTAGGAATATTATGTTTAATACCTAAATCATACCAGTCAGACAAGTATCAAGCAAGCTGTACTGATGGGTTACACAGCCTTACTTAAAAGAGTATGAAAAAAAATCGGTGTTTTTTTTTGTTTGGCTGTAAATGAATGAATAAGGTCCGGATGTTTATCTTTTGATAAAGAGGTATAACGCAAAAGACAAATGGGTATAGAGATGGAGAGCTATACAAGTAACTCACAGTACTAATTATAAGATAAGAAAAAGAAGAGAGGGTGGCTTGTCGTATGGCAAACATTCTTTGGATATTGTCCTACTCTCTGTGACATGTCATCCGAGTAGTTGTACTCTTATATTATTATTATTATTATTCCATTAAACCGCCAACACCCCAAACCTTTCTATACCAGGCCGTGGTCTTCATTGTACTGAAAAATTGGAAATACCATTAAAAAAGAGTTTTTGTTGTTGACCAATTCTCTTCCATCGTTCCCACAGCCATGGCATTTAGGTTAATTACAGTCTTTCAACTTGAACTGGATGACTAGCTTATTTTTTTCCCCTTTTATTTCACCATCTTATCTGTGTCATTTTATTATTATTATTATTATTATAGTATATCTTTCGTCACCTAGCTTAGATTTTTCTTAAGCACTTGAACAATAATTATGCAGCCACTCACCCCCAATGTCTGAGCAGTGAAAATGTGAGATGCAACATCATCTACACAAAAAGAAAGTGCACAGCAATGTTAGGAAGTTCGAGGCAGATAAAACGTAGACATATGGGGAAATAAACAAGAGGTAATTTATGGATAGTCTCACGACAAGAGGGTTTTCTATGAAGAGTACGATACCGTATATTACGTGTTGAATGATGTACAGCTGCTCGCCAAAAGATATATTAGTGTTATTGTGGCAAAACAGGTTAAAATTGATGAGCAAACCGAGAGGAAACTGTAAGAAAATATAATTTCCGGATAGTCAATGTCGATATAAGTAATATCAGAGAGAGAGAGATCAATACTCTCACTGAAAAGATTGAGACTTGGTAGACGAAGAGCTGCCACATAGGTACGAGGGCTCAGGTAAAAAAAATTGACGCACAATACAAGAGAGGAGGCAACTAAATTCTGAGTAAACTTTAATACGCAGGATAGGGATGTAACAGTTTTAAGGAAAGGAATTGTTTTCACAGAAACCCAAGGATCGCTAAAGAGAGTAATATAAATACACATCAGACAATAAGGGCCGAGTCGACCATCTTCATACCATGAAACCTTTTATGAGCGGTGACCACATAGCAAGACATGGCAAAGTAGAACAAGTGGCGCCGTTGGGAAATCAGGATCGAAACCCACAATTAAGCATGTCGAATACACGAAAGAGGGTGGCAGGTCGTACTTCAAGAAGGAAATTAGGTAATTCGTAACTAACTTCTACGAAATGCATGCTCATAATATATTATAAAGGCCGTATAATAAAGGAGTGATGATTGATGGAGGATAGGCGAGATATCAGACATAAGAAACCGAACTCGGGTCATGCCAATGTGATATATATGATCAAAAGAGCAGATTGTAAGAGGTAAGACTGTCCTGACGAAGATTATAGTATAAAATTAGAGAGTCAAATAGATATCCGTTTTAGTACAATTGAATTTATGACAGTAAGAATTGAGTGAAGAAGAGGATAAACAAATAAACAAAGTTTGACTGAGTGAAAGTGGGTATCGATAATGGACCTTTTGCGCAAATAGTCCAGTTGAGTGGTTAGCAGGTTTTTTGTAGAGAGAACATTTGTGATGTTTTAGTCAATACATAATCAACCAAAGCCAAACACTATCAGAAAGGTGGATCGCAATATGTGTTGGAAGGTTACTTACAGCTGTAAAGACTGTTAGCTTAACTTAATTTGATGCACAGTCGATTTTATATTTAAAAGTTTGCCATTTGAATCAAAATATTCATTCTCGGCAAGGAAATCTTGATTCTAGTAATGAATTCAATAATGTACAAGGTTTAGTATCTTTTAAATAAGTTAAATATGACTATGTATTTAGTAGGTATTCTACTAAAGAAAAAAATGTATTCAATATACATTAATATAGCATAAATTAATCGAATTAACGATATGATTACTTGCTCAACAATAGTATAGTCTTTTGTAACAAAGAAACCAATGATTTTTAAAGTAAAATATTATTCTTGCAAAAATTGTCTAAAGGGTGTATTAGTGAGAGATTATAATTTTTTTTTTCATTTGAATAAAACACTGGAATTCAACATTGAATTATGATAAGAGCGACCTTTCTTTTTAACTTGTTTATTTACAAAACAAAATGTATGGTGTAGGTTTGCTTTAACAGAACTTCTTTATACATTTTATGTGCAGTAAAGAGTATAGTTTTGTTCTCAAATATTTAATATGCGTTAAATTCATTAAAACTGTTGATTAAGAACAGCAACGATAATATTTAATGGTTCTATTGAATGAATAAAATATATGCCGTCCTTTAAAAACAGCTCCAGAAGTGTCTTTAATTTTTCTTTAAAAATTTACTTCAAAATCATTAGATTTGAAAAAGAAATTAAATAAATTTATGCTGTAGTTGAAAAAAGAAAAAATTACAATGAAAGAATTTATATATACATGACGGCTTTAGTGACTTTGTTTGTTTGTTTTTTTAATGTGCTCTGCTGTGCTGTGATGGGATAGGATGTGGGGATAGTGTAGAATATTGATTGATTTTAATTTTTAATTTTTTTTTTGTTGTTGAAAAAAACAGCCGTCCAATTGAATGAAAAATTTTTATTAGACAAAAAAAGGATAAATAGAGAAATTGCCTTTGGTTGTCTTTCTTTCCATCATCAACTTCATTTATGGTAAGCATCTTATTCCCTTTCATAATACCCGTCCCTTCCCTCCACCTATATATATATATATATATCATACGTACTCTGTGAGAATATGACGAATGTATCCCAATGTCACCGACTACCATGACGAACTGGATTAAAAAACATGCATCACCATCTGATTCTCTACCTCCTTCAAAATCCTTTTGAATCCTCAAAGCATCTTGTACTTACAATGTATTTGCTTTATTAGATTTTCTTTATGAAAGCCATCGAATGCTTGTTTCTTTCTAGACTTTGAATCTCAAAGTACAATCCTTATAAATTCTTGAAATGGTAAGCATTAAATCAATCAATAGCTAGCTAGCAAAAGAAAAAAAAACCAAAACTCGGATGGCGAAAAGGCAGAATATATAAATTCGATAAGATGAGAACAAAGTAAAAACGTCAGTTCTGCTTCTGAATGACTGTGACGACGCCATACTCTTCGCAATTACTGAAGAATTTATTATTCTGTTCTTTTGCTGTCTTGGGAGTTGAATTAAATAAGCAGGCAATCTGTTATTTTTTTTAAATTTATTTATTAAAATCAAATTTGCTAATTCTCCTCTCTTCTACTTTGTTAGATTTCCTAAATATTAAATTATAATTTATTATTTTAAAGATCTTTAAGTATTTATTATTTTATTAAAAGAAAATTAAATAATGGGTAAGTTATTCATATAAAAATAAATAAAATAAAAAATTATATTATCTATATATCTATATGCTATATATTCGAAAAAGGATGAGTCATTAGTTAAATCCATTCTATGATACGAGGTCCACATCTGTTTTGGCACCGATGTTTGAACTTGACCTTCTCTGGGTTCTCTGGAGTTTTGATGGTTCTTATATCACCGCTGGAATGGGTGGGGATAGAGAGGAAGTATTTGGAATGAGATGGAGTAGCAGAGTGTGAATGGTTCTGGACGGCCTGAGTCTGTTGACGCTTGCTTTTAAGGAAACTGAAGCATGATGTTTGCTTATCACTGCCCTTTGTGAAATCACTATCTTTCCGTGGCTTCTAGGATTTCAATAAACTACGCTGATATGAACATATTTTATATGTATATTTATATTTATATTATATTTTATTATTATTTTCATAAATCTTGTAAAGTCATAAAACTAATATCTGGTTTTTTTCTTTTACAGTTTGTTCAAAAATATTTATTTATTTTTTTTCCTCTTTTACATGGGTCTTTATTATAAAATCTTTAAGAGTCTAATTTAGTGTATATATGTTCATATTAAATAAATAAAATAAAAATAAAAAGAATTTAAAAAAAATCACCTTGTTTCAATATTTCCTGTCTCATGTTTTGACATAATATTTTAGAAAATAATATGATATATCATTTATCTAGTCTTTTGATTTCATACATTGCCATTGGTATTTTGCTTTTTAAATAAATATCTTTATTTATTTCAAGATGCTGAACAACCTAAAGAATTACGAAGAAAAAGCATGGACCCGGACCATTGATTTTTAACTCTATCAGTACAAAGTTTAACTGGGCAAATATTCATAGTGCATAAAAATAGAAATATGATTGATAACCCTCGATTTCAAAATTGTAGATTCCTTGACCATGTTATAACATGCGTATGAATAGTTTGAATATCTGTATACCTTTACCATCATTTACATGGATAATAACACAATCTCCAGTATCCTTCATAAACAACCTTTTTTTAAAGAAAATTCAAGAGGTAGCAAGAAAGAAATATATATATAAATAAATATATTTAATAATTTGTATAGCTAGCGTGTCATATTTATGTAAGGGAAAGATCAAATCAAATCAAACTAAATTAAATCAAATCAAAAGAAGGACAAGGAAGGTTATGTTGTGTTATGTAGTATATAGTGCGATGTGGCGTGGTGTATAGGGTGAGATTGATTGTTTTTTGCTTTTTAACTTGTCGTGAGTGCGAGCTCGTCAACAGTTTCAATAACCACACTCGAGGGAGGATCTATGTTCTGGAGAGACGACAGACGCTGGGTAAAAAAATTGACGTCCTTGGCAAGTCTACAAAGAGTTGTTTTAATTTTTAATACTTAGCCTCTTAATAACCAAAGAAGATAATAATCCAAATAATCAATATGAACAACAAACCTTTCTTTGCCCTTTTCGGTGCGGATCTCAAGGCGACTGATTTGATCCGAAAGTTGTGTTGTAAATGATGTAAAGACTTGAGACATAATAAACTATAGTTATATAATTGCCGCAATTTTTTTTTGTTAGAACAATACATCATATATATCGCAAAAGAAGCTTCTCTATCTTTCATAATTTATTTTTGTTATACCTGTAGATCATGGTGAGGTAGGTACTTGCTCAGCACTTTGTGAAGTGTCATGGTTTCCTTGACAAGTGTTTCCATGTATTGGTTGGCCGCTTTTCCTGTTGTCTCTTGTTCATCCCACTGTACATTCTGCATGGCTTTCACATGTACCGAGAAACGTTCATTCATGATCGCTACCAACTTGGAGTGGATCTCGGACTGATGGTCTTTATAGTCTCTGACAATTCGATCAAACTCTGATAAAAGAACCCCATGCTTGGCTGGCATGTGTTTTCCAATACAATCTCGAAGGGATGGAATAAGTCCAATCATAAGCCCTACAGATTGTGATGCCAGGGCTTTATACACATAGACATATATATATATACATATTGATATATCAGTAACCCACACTCTCAACGTATATATTACTATATCAGCTTACCAAGATGCTTGGCCGAAATGTTTTTTAGACCAGCAGATCGCATGGCACCAGCACCCAGGATAACTTGACATACTCTTGAATTAAACAACTAGAGACAATCATTTGTTAGTAAAGAAAATGATAATAATTCATGATCCATTTTATGTAAATGTTAATTTAATCATTTTTTTTCAAGGTTGATGCATTTCCCAAACCAGTTTATTTGATTTACCTTTAATAATTCGACTAATTTTTGCATAATATCTGTAGTCATGCCTTCAAGGTTTACTACACAGCGCAGATAATCCTCAAACATCTTGATAATCAAAAGGCTGCAGCCAACCACAAAGTAACTCTCGCCATGGACCACCAAGAACTTTGTCCTCTCGCCCGTTTCGTTGGCTGTCTTGTCGCCACCATCGGGTGAGGCAAACGATCCAATCCGACCTTCACACACTCTGTCTACAATCCGTTGGAAATCTGGCGGAACTTCACTTGCCATCCACTGCTCGTTCTCAATCAATTGGGCTTCTTGTTTTACACGCTCCATGTGAAAATGATCAATAAATGCTTTTTGCTACACACCACAACCACCATCAATTACAATTGTTTTTATATATATAGAAGAATATAATAATCATAATAATCATAATACAGATATTTATTTAATTCATTCATCAATTCATTCTTTAAACACCTCTTCTTCTTTTGTAAATAGATACAAATGTATACATAGATACGTATATATTTGTGTATATATATATATAATAATCTAAGATGTACTAAAGGTATAAATTTTTTTTAAAAAAAAAACATTATTGTTCTTACCTGAGTCAACACAATTCCACGAAGTCCAAAACATGATCTTCCACAAAAGCGTTCAGATTGCTGAATAAAATTACGCAATACGTTCGAAAGTCGATAGAAATCAGTCGGGTTCAGTAGCGCATTCTGATCACTCCGGAACCCGATCATCTTTCCACATCGAACATGAGCCAGGTCAGCTGCCTCATGTACACTCTCGATAAGCTCCTTTTTAACTGCCTGGGTTCTCGATTGCTTTTCTGAAGGGTCAGAGTCAACCAAAAAGGTGTCGACCAAACGAGTGATGACTTGTTCGTACACTGTGGCTCTCTGGATAGAATAAAGCAGTCTGGCAAATAAGCTGACAAGCATTTGAAAGAATGCGTCAAATGGCATTGCCTTGAGGTGTTTAGCAAGACTTGTACTGTCAACAATAGAAATAAACAACAGACGAGTGAGTAAAATTTTGTGCATGTATGAATACATATACGTGTGTTATATGTACCTTTGGTCAGGACTATCTTCAGAAGAAACAACGGGATGATACTAGAATAAATACAGTTGTTAATTAAAAGCAATATATATATATATATATACATATCAAGACCACCTCTTACTCTATCTATTCTTTATATTGTACACGAAAAGGAATGTAAATGCTTTACCTTGCGCACACAATCTTTAATTTCTACCAACAACTGGTCGTGATAGGCCTGAAGTGTGGATGCCAGCATATTTGTTCGCAAGAGACCCTTTGTACTTGGGACCAACTGATCCCACAAAACCTTTTCTTTGTCCAAATCCACATGATACTCTTTTTCTTTTTTCCCTCCTCCCACTTCTTCATCATCTTCATTGCCATTCTTTTCGTGGGCTGGTTTATCCAACGACAATTCCATGGCCCGAATTGCTTCTTTTTTATTATTATAAACATTATTCTTCTTCTTCTTCTTCTTTTCATTCTTGCTACTCTTATCGTCATCATCATATTCATCTTCTTCATCTTCTTCTTCTTTTTCTTCGTCATCGTCGTCGTTACCATTGTTACTGTTGTGCAGATTCGACATCAAAGCACTCATAAAGTCGTGTTGCATCATAAACCCGACCGCCTTTTCCATCTCGTCCAACTGGGTCGAGAAATTGACCAGGGCACGGACGGCCTTGAGATCGACATCTCGGTCGGTCTGATTTTTACCCTGGAGTGCGGCCCTGGTTTCGTCCATCAGGTCCAGGGCGCCAAAGTAGTCTCCCTGACCAAGCAATATCTGGATCATCGGTTGGGCCGACCGGATTTCTTTTACCCGCAGGACCGTGTTCTCGAGTGTTTCAAGATTGCGACGCCGGATCTGGAGCTGGATGACCTTGAGGCCGTCCAGACACACGGTCGAGTGGATGTCCTTCATCTTTTGGCGGATCGTGTGGATCTGGGCCACGCAGTCGACGGTCTGCTGGTGCAAGGCCTGGAGGTTCGACAGGGCCTCAAAGAAGGACGACGACCGGTTCTCGATTTCGCGGATCAAATGTACCTCGACAGTATCGAGATAATAGGATAGCTTTTCTTGCAAGATGCTGTTGGTCGACACAGGCGGGTTTGGCCCGCTGTTGCCGATGATGTCGGCTCCCTCGCAGACCGCGTCAAAGGTCCGTGGGTTCTCGAGGCAGAAGTCGGGCTGAAAGAAGATGGCCGGCACGTTTTCGAGCATCGGCATCTCTCTGGCCAGGGTGCGGCTGTCCTCGAGCTCCAGTGCGAGCGCAAGGCTGTCCGACGACATAATGCCGCTGCTCGGAAGGCTGTAAGGGTTGCGGCTACTACGTCGGTTGTGGGCCAGGTTTTCTTGGCTGCTGGGGTCGAGCACAGACCCATACGGCGACGCATTGGGGGGTGACCCAATCGTTCGGGATCTTGTGGCCATCAGTTCTTCTTCGTCTTCGTCTGGTTTATTAGGGTTACTGAGATGGTGATGGCTGTAGCGCTCAAACACCGGTCGGATGTGGTCGAGGTAGGTCTTAAAGTCGGATGCCTTAATTCGTGGGATCGCAGCATGCTCGACCGAAGGTACGTCTGATTTGCCGGGCTTGGCGCTGGACTGGGTGCGCTTGGCAGGGTCATTGAGGACACCTAGGGAGCGGATGAGATGGACAAGACGACTTGTGGCAAGAGATTACCTGAAATCGCATTGAATCCAATGTCGCGGGTTGTCCAGGGTAACGAAGTTTCACTCATGGTGCTATAGTTGGAGTGATTAGAGTGGTGGCGTGCATGATGGTGATTGTGGTTGTGGTGATTATTATTACTATTGTTATTGTTATTATTATTGTTATTATTTTGATGATGATTCTGTGAAATACGATAGTTGGTGACCGGGCGGTTGAATGAAGATGCCGATCTGATGGACGGTGCAGCGCTTGATCCATAAGTGTCTTCGCGTTGAAAGGGTCGGTCGCGTCCAAGTGGGTAGCGTAAGGAAGGAGAGGAGGCGAGTGGAGAAGTATTTGGTGGAGAGGTTGCTAGTGAGGCAAGTTTAACAGTGGGTGGGCCGAGATGGCGAGAGGATTGTCCTCTATTGTCCTGGTCAATTGACGGACGATCTTGAGGACGCATTTATGAAATATAAAGATGTGTAGGTATAAAGAAGGATGCTAATATATGTAGGTGTGTATATAGATATTCAATTGTATGTATATAATATATATATATAATACTGGTATTTGTGTGTATGTGTAATTAAGCTAAATAAAAGAAAGGAGAGAAGAAAAGAAAGAAGCAAAGGACGGTGTGTGAAAAGGAATGAAGGGGAATGAAAATCTTTTGTATAAATATGAAATATATATATATTTATATTTATATATATTATGGTGTGTGTGTGTATAAGATGTAGATGTAAAGGTATTTGTTTTATTATTGTCATTATTACTGTTGGTGTTGCTACTAATCCCAATACTACTACTATTTACTATTTACTATTTACTATTTACTATCATTCTTCTGATACTATGCCAAGGTCTTTGCGTTTGTCTTCCAAGGGCTCAGGAGGAACAAGAGAAGGATTGGTCCAAGCGCTACTCATGCGCCGCAATGCGCTCGACCAACTGCTTCGGCTGGGTGTAGGCTGAGGACCATTTCCATTGCTATTAAGACTTAGGCTAAGTGTAGGATTAGGATTAGGATTAGGGTTTGGAGCTGTACTATGCCTCCGGTCCTCGACGGTCAGGTTTTTGGGGGACCCTTCGGCCTTGTAAGACACTGTGTGAGGGCGGGATTGGCGGTTGGTGGCTCTGCTGAGCAAGTTGCTCGAGAATGATCTTACGGGACTGATTGCTTCTGGGGATGTCCTGGGTGGCCGCGATGGAATGGATCTCTTTGAGCCATTATTATTATTATTATTATTATTATTATTGTTATTATTATTAGTACTAGTAGGTACAGACACAGACAAAGATCCAGATTTGCGTCCATTTGCAGGTGCAGATGTAGATGTAAATGTAGGTGCAAGTTTAGGCGAAGGCTTAGGTTTGGGTTGGTCAATGCTGAGGACGTCTTCGAGCTGCTTATTATTGACAATCCGCATAAGGATTTTGTTCATGTAGAGCTGCAAAGCTCTGTTGGTGTCCTGCAATACTTTTGTTTCTTCAGTCAACTCTAGAGAAAATGAAAGAAAGATTTAAAGAACATGTCGTTATTTTTTTATCTTGAGGAATGGACTTACTTTGGATGGTCTTTGTGTTTTCGTCTGAAATTTGCTTGGCTTCCCAATCGGACGTTCCGACAGATACAAGGTTGAGTTCTGCTGCCAGGTTCAAGCTATTGCTGCTTGCCGTACTACTTGAAGGGTTCAGACTACGTCTATTTTCCTGTGCTTTTTCAGACTCCTGATCCACCTAGACGCAAATATCGATACACAATTTTGATATTTAGAATCCAAAGATTTAATAAGCACTGCTACTGTATATTAGTTAAAGTGCGCTGGGATATATATTTCTTACTTGTAAGATTGGATCCATCATAAACTCTCCACTAATGGTCTTTTCATGCAACAGAATCTGATAACTCTCGTTTTCTTCCATTAAAGATCGGTTCAGCTGCTTCATGCTGGCCACCTCCTGCTCTAGGTGGTCGAGTCTGACCATCTGCGCTCGGACCTGCAAACCCTGTTCCTGAATTATTGTCTGGCTGTTTTCGGCTTCTCGTCTCAGATCCGCAATCATCTTGTCCTGCGACTTGACCATTCTCTGTGCAGATTTGGCCTCACGCGACAGTTTGCTGTCAATGTTCTGCAGCAGACGTGGGGCTGAAGGGGTGGTGGTCGACATTGAGGTGGCGGATGTAAAGAACCCATTTTCTATTGAATCTGATGTATTCAACTGTTCCTGTTGTTCTTGTGGCGATAATGCTGATGATGTCGATTGTGATTTAGATTGTGATAGCGATAATGATGAAGATGGTAATAAGGGGCTGCTGGTACTACTTTCAATTGACTTGGCAACACCAAGTGTGCTTTTTCGTTTGGGCGTCCGTGGTTCTGTCTGTTGGAGAGCATTCAAACTCCTGATCTGGTTGTAAAAATCGGCTTCACGTTGCTGCCAGCGCACGCGTTCTGTCTCAAAGGTCTGAAGCTATATATTTATATTAGGTAAAGATGTAAATATATATTTATAAAGCAAGAAAAGGCAATAACCATTGTAAAAACATGATTATTAGAGCAAGTGTATAAAAGGGATTGGAGGCGTTAAAAGAAAGGGGGTTTTAATAACAATTAATTAAATAATTATTATAGATATAAAAAGATTTAATATAATCTTGTGTTGTTATACACAAATATATATCTATCTATATATAATATTTATTGATGTTACCTCAAAAGCCATCTTTTTCTCGGTATCTTTCTTTGCTTTTGTGAGCTGAAGGTTCTCTTTCTGGCATTTTGCCATAGCTTGCTCGTGCGTATATATTTCTGTCTCCAGGCGCTCTTGGATATTACTATAATTTAGTGTTTCCTGTTGAAGGTTTGCTATTTTCTACCAAGATAAATAAATGAAAAAGAAAAGACGGCAAAATCTGAGCGTCAGTTTGATTATTATCACTATCTGTTTTTTTTTGTTTGTTTGTTTATTTATTTGATAAAGATGCATATACAGAAACTTACCTTTTGCAAATATTCTCTATCATTTTCTGATGAGCGCTGGATTTCTTTGTTATCTTCCAACTGCCTTTTAAGCTGTACATACAAATATATATTTATATTTATATATATATGGTCAGTTAGATATCAGGTACATATATAGGTATATAACAAAATACAGTAGGAAGGGGTTATGCTAATGGTGATGTTAGGGGGCGAGAAAAAAAAAAGAAAAAGGAAAGCTTACATCCATATTTTCATTCTCCAAGTCGTCTATTTGGTTCTTTAGTGCATACAGAACCGTGTGTATATCGATCTCATTTTGTGTGTCTGCAGTCATGTTGTGTGTGATAAGGACGGGAGCCATAAAAGGTGGCGAGTGTTTATTAGGAGGGAAAAGAAGAAGAGCTTGATGAAGCAAGCAATATGTGTTGCTAGGCAGCGAAAGGAAGGAAGGAAAGAGGGGTAAAAATATATATATAAAATAAAGGGACAATGAAAAATAAAATATAAGGAAAAGGAAAGGAAAGGGAAGAAAATGATGAAGAATAGCACGTTGATAAAATAATTTTTTTTTGTGGGACGTGTTGGCAATGCCTTTTTGCTGTAATTCCAATCCAATGTCCCAAAAGAAGAAAACCCCGCTTTTGTCCCTTGGGATTCTCGTGTCAATGCGTCAGTCAATAATGCTTCTTCAACCAATAAACATATGAAGATATATGTAGGTAGATTAAGTTAAAGAAGTGTAAGAGTCAGCATAGTCGGATCACTAAAGGATAATATTAAAGCAACAGTGGACAATTAGTTAAAGTCTTCCAGGCGATTATTATCTTTAGACTTCTTGTTTGAGTAGGGAATGTGGAAGATGCAGTACGAAGCACTAGTTTTGTAAAAGGTACCACAGATTTAATCTCATATAAGAATATTCCTCCCGCTGGTTCATTCCATCTCATGATAGGCTTTATCTATTACAATAATACTAAGAGCAATAGTATTAATGACTGTTAATATATAAAAATAAATTTATTCATTCACTCATTCTAAGGAGGTCTCTTTTTTACTTTTATTTATTTTTAATTGGTTGGCTGGATACCTTGAACCTATTAAACCATGATGATCTGAAAGTTAACAAGCCAAAATTAGCATTAGATTAACAGCAAAATCAACAGAAAAGAAGTGTAAATTTGTTTACTATCTATGAGCACAAGCTACATATCCAAATACACCTCCTTTCGTTCTCTCTGTTCTTTTTTTTTATTGTTGTACCCAAAATAAATAAGAAAAACCCACACTTTCAATCACCAGATATATATATATGAAGAGTACACAAATTGGTTTGTGGCAGGTGAACAGTGAACAGTGAACAGTGATAATGATAATTTATTATCATCATTAGGAAAGACGGGTCCCTTTTCGTAACCATCTTTTCTTCTTTCTTTTCTTTTGGTTAATCAATCAACTAATTGGTCTTTTATTCATTGAATAGGTATCAAGCTTGTAATGATTGGGTCAAAATTGTATATATTAGATTTTATTGTTATTATTAAGTAAGTAGTATGGTATTGCTTTGATGGCAATTAAAGGATAGGTAGATAGATAGATATATATAAATAAAAGAGAAAAATTAAAGAATTAAAATTAAAATTAAAATTAAAATTAAAATTAAAATTAAAATTAAAATTAAAATTAAAATTAAAATTGAAACATGAAAAATATTGTATATGTACAAGAATAAAAAATAAAAATGATAGGTAGTTTAGAAATAAATAAATAAATAAATAAATAAATCTATGAAAGAATTTCAGTGAAAACTCTCTGAACTGGACCGGCGGGAAGAATTGCTGATAAGAGAAGGTACACCACCATCATCATCACTGTTATCTTCATTGAGCGACAGGCTACTAATAGAGGATGATCTCATAGCTACTGCTGAGGGTGTAAAGAATTCGTGAGGCCCACCCAAGGCCGTTGTAAGGCATTCGGGGCTGGGGAGATCGAATTCGGCTGGCTGGCTAATGTCGACCCAGTGGTCTCGAATCTTTTCCTCAATTGGGGGGATATAGACACCAGTGTCGCTGACCATCGACAGTTCATAAACCTCGGTTGGTGCGGTATGCTGGACAGACAGAGTGGGATCCACAGCTTTTCTGGAAAATGGAGAACGGAATAATCTTTGCTGTTTTGGTTTCAGTTGCTCCTGCTGCTCCTCTACTTCTTCTTCTTGCGGTTGCGATTGTTTCTGTAAAGGTTTGATGTCTTTTGGTGTAATGGGGGATTCAATTGTATCTTGGCTTGTAGTTGTAGGTTCAATGTCAACCTTGGATCTTTGCCAGAACTTGGGCTTGAAGTATCCCTTGTAAGATGATGATTCTTGAACGGCAGTCATTGTAGTAGTAATCGTATTAAATGTATTAAAGGTAGTAGTAGTGATTATTAAGAATCGAAGAAAAAAATTAGTGTGAAAGTATTAATATATCTTTTAGGACAGGTCTTATGCCTTTATATATATAAAAAAAAAAGAAAGAAAAAGAGTGGATAAAATATAAACCCATTCTACAACAAGAACAACAAGTCACCAATGAGTTCAAAAAGTGTGTGTCAACTGGACTTAAAAAAAAACAATTGAACACAGTTTTAGTTTTTTTTTTCTTTCTTTTTCTGGTGAGACAATAAAGTTTCCAGTGAGACGAATTGAGGATATTAACCAATTAAATTCATTTTAAAATTATGTTCAAACAATATTTCTGTTGTCTTTTAATAGAAAACAACAAAAAAGGACAAGTATATATAAAGAAGCTTCATATACAGTCTATTTGATATTAGAAACCAAGATAATCTAACAGTGATTTATCTGTCAAGATTGTATATAATATACCTTGGTGTCTTTCTGGTAAAAGCTTCATCCATATGAGTGTCCTGTTGTTTTGTTTTCTCCCTTTCTTAGTTAATAATTTGTGTGCCTTGACAATTGCATTGACATTAACATTAGCACATACCTTGGTACTACTGCTATTACTATTGGTTTGTTTTTTTTTGTTTGCATAGGCTTTATTAAAACGATCGAAAGACCTGTTGACCGTGTGAAATAAATTGAATCAAATTGAATCAAATTGAATTGAGGCAAAACATAACAATCGTACATACACATACATGTTCCTCTTTGGACCTCAGGGTTTGAAATGATAATAAAACAAAAACAACGAGTGATTTAAAGATATCTTGGGATGGAAAAACTCTCTTCCCCATGACACAGAAAAGAAGAACTTAAAAGCCGTTTGTCCATATGTCCATTTGATAGACAACAACAACACCACCACCAGCAAGAATCAGAATACTAGAGATTGAGTAGCCTGATCACATTATCAGACCATTTTCTTCTGTTTTTGGTGTCCAGTGACGTTCACATCACACAAACCCTTTACCAACAAAGTAATAACATTAACGTTCAAGCTTATGCTCATGCTCATGCTCATGCTAATGATAATAATACTGATACTGATACTGATAATGCTTATATCTTTTGTAAGCCCATACTATAAAGATCGGCAAAAAGGGGTAAAAAAAAAACAAAAAAGGGGGAATACAGAGTGGGTAAATGGTTCTTGACGTCATTAGCATACAACAAGATATATAAGCAAATAAAAAAAAATCAGATACAGATACGCACTATACGCACAAGAGTATAGAAGAGATCAATAGCTCCAGATCTCTATGGTCTGACTTTATTTTTCATTTTTTACTTTTTTTGGTAAATAAAGATGCAGTAATAGGTTCGAGGGTTTTTGCCAAGGATTCCAATATATTGATTTTTTTTGTCATATACTTTATAGAGAGATATTAGAGTTTGTTCTTTATTCCATAAAGATATACATAAATACTACAGGTGTGAAGCATATATGCTACTATACAGGTAGAAATATACAACTAAAAATGATCATTCCAACCATTTTGTTCTTTAATTAAAGTAAAGAAGTATGTGTATTATTCATCTATGGTGTTAATAAAAATAAGAATAAAAGGCTAAGCATCTAGATCCAACCACCCGATTTACTGGACTCAATTATCAAAAAAAAAGTAGTTCAAAAAGACTCTTTTTTTATTATTATTTGTAAGCAGTACTAATGCTCCATAAAGAAGTAGGAAATGTTAAAAAGATATATATAAAAAAAAGACACCAGACATTATCGTTGTTGCTGTAAAATATAATGATAATAACATAGTATCGCCAAGGAGCTCTGCAAATATGGTAAAAATGAAAACATTAAAGCAAAGTTGAACACAAAGTCTAATCTATCTATTACCTCCCCCTTATCTCTTTTGGTCTTTTGGTTTAGACTTTACATCATCTGTCCTAGAATCAATCGTCACTGGTTTTAGTAGCAAACAGCCTTCATCCAGCTGAACACACACTTAAATAATAATGTGTTTGTCAATGTGAGTGATACAATAACAAATTAACTATGTAGTCTTGGAAACCAACAACCAAAAACAAGAGTTCCTGTCAACCACGCAAGAGTCTTAGCTAGAACCCTTTGATCAAACCATTGTAAAGAGAGTAGTAATTAGAGCTTTTGGTATCACATCATTTTGTAATCCTGAACCCATTCAGTTAATTAAAGACAAGAGTCTCCTTGACTCTTAAAAAAAAAAGCACCTGAGAGTCAAGAGAATTCTTTGTTTTATATTCTTTTGTTTTTGTTTTTGACAACCATGTCCTCTATACCATAAGAGCTCACGGTTTAGATTTTCCTTCAAAATTCACATTTAATACTACCATCATTATTGACATTATATCTATATATCTATATAGGTAAAGAGGTAAAGAGGTATGTTGTCAGGGAATGTCGATTTCAAATTATACTGTACTATATGTATGAATAAAAGTTTATTTTAACCAATCAGAGAGGAATTTTCTTTTTGCCCTGTTTCATAAATATAAATATAACTGGGCTTCTATTTAAAGAAATTCTTGTTTTCCATTTTTAGAAGTCGTACAATCTATTTTTGTAAGCCTATGCTTCTTTTTCTTCTTCTTTTTCTTCTGCCTTTTCTTTTGAAGGATTTCAGTTTATACATTTTCTTATAATTAAAGGATATGACTGAATCTGATTTGTTAAAGAATGGAATTGAGTGAATATGATTGATGATCAATTTTTTTTGGTGATAATATAAAATGCCTATATAGAAGAAGAAGAAGAAGAAGAAGTATTCTTACAATACCACAAAAAAGAAAGCGTCTATCTAGTCTGGTCTATTCTACCTTAAACCATACACATGTATGTACGTAAGTGATGTGTAGTTTGTGTATAGCGTGATTATCACTATATAATACATATCTATATTCAAACTATATAGAGTTTGGAAACGGCCATATCAGGGTAGGTGCTATTATTTTCCGTAATTACAAAAATACACTATACATATACACAACCACAAATCAACAGCTAAAAAATGAAAGAAAGAAAAAGAAGAAAAGCTGGTGATTATAGAGCGTAATGGCTGAATGTGAATACGCAGAAAAAAAAATAAGAATAAAAAACCAATTGTTATAACAGGATAGGTAAACCTTCAGTACTTGGGTTTTGAATAAATTATTTGGACACGACTTTATTTTGATAAAACAAAAAAGTTTTCATGGAGCCAAAATGCAACAAGTAAGCCTATGGCCATGTTCAATAGAGATAGAGGAATATCATGACCAATAATGAACTATAAAGTGTATATTATGTACATTTAGAGCTTGTATAATATGCCTTGGGCACAACCTATAACAATTATTTATCTTGTTAAAATGCATATCTTAAAAAGGGGAAAGGATGAATATGATTGTGCGTGCATAGGTGTGTTGGTATATATTAGGGTCTTTTCCATATACAGTATCTACTGTTTATCTTATAGTTTACTGGCGTCTGCAGGGCTGTTTTCATGATCCCTTTTTTGTTTTTCTATTATTTGACCCTTTTCGGATAAACGAACGAGACCTTCTTGTGCTGTTGTGGCAACCAATGTGCCTTCTCTGCTATAAATTCTGCCAAATGCAATGCCACGGCCTTCACTTGTACGTGGGCTGTGTATATCATACAAAAGCCTATTTATACAAATAGAGTGATCCAGACTAACCACCATTCCCATGGTGTCATAAATGTATCCATTAGCCTTTGCAGCAGTAAGAATAATCCCACTATCCGAGGCATATGCAATTGAACAAGCATGAAGTTTGGCATCGTCACTGTCAAGCTTGTTGTAGGACTTGAACCAGCGATACTAATAAATAAATAAATAAATAAATAAATAAATAAATAAATAAATAAATAAATAAATAATGTGACCAGAGTTAGATCTCTATTGAATTTATTTTATTTGGTTTACCTGTACTTCGCTCGGTTCTACAGTTCCTTTGATTATTTCTTCGGTGATGTGTGTATTCACCTCTCAGCACTCTATAGGCGCAACCTATCCAATTACGGATGGTGCACAGCAATTGGTGAGTAACTCATATTGTCAAGAAATATTTCTACTTACATTTTTTATTCTGTTTTCAAGATATTGGCAGAATTCAGTAGGTAGATCATCAGTACTAAGCCATTCTTTTGCTCTTTCAGTCTCTCTAGAGATTCATATTAATATTGTAAATATTATTATCAGTTAATAGACACAAAGAGAGAAGAAATAACACAAGTTTACTTACAAAGGCACATCTTCAGGCTCTGCCACATCTGGCATCTGTGCCTACCGATCAAATGGTTAGCATACTATAATATTCCCCCACAATTATACCCATAAAGAAGATAGGGAATCTTTTTTACCTGATGGACTAATCCGACTACTTGTTCCGGGGTTGCAAAGCTGAAACTAGCAATGAAATAGGGCTTTCCTCTTTGGACAGCAGTGACTAATCTTGTAGCAAAAGACTTTCCATCACGAAGCCTCTGTACTTTGTAGATTACTGGTATATCCGCATTGCAAGGTAAGATGAAGTAGCTGTGAAGAGACTATTTCAAAGTATGAAATTTAAGAAAGAAGAAGCAAATACTTGATTGTTGTTGTTATTGTTTTTTTTAGGTGGAGTATTACATAAATCCGAAATTGATCTCCTACGGTACACCATGCAGAATTCAAAGCCTGAGCAATAACCTAAAGTTTACAATTAGGTTTAAACACATAACTTCTTGAGCTACATTGACTTTTTGCCACATATACATTTATATACATATATGTATCTTTATATATCTTTATATATTTTTATATACGCTTACCTGTCCACCAAAGGCGCCGCGCGATCCTAAAGGCACCCAGAGTTCTTTGCTCATATAGAGGTTGGTATCAATCTCTTCTACTGCAATCACTTTTGCCATATCTTGGGAATGCTCCTTTGAGCTTTTATGGACATCTTCTAATTCAACACGATCGGTCGTCTTCTTCTCGATGTCATACGTGACCGCCCTTCTTGCGTGGCTCATGGCTACTGGATATTTTATCGTCTCTTAAAAAGGAAGAGAAGAAAGACAACTAATCATATTTTCATTCAACAATTTTACTTTTTTATTACTATTATTATTTCTTTAAAAGTACATATCTAATACATTTAAAGTAATATATATATATATAAATAAGATAATCGTCTAGTCTTAAAAGCTTGAATTATGTAGGTTATTATGGAATTGTGTAATTAAATAGAAAAGTCTTGCTGATACAGTGATGTGATTTTTGCTTCTTCTACTCTTATCACTAAATAGATCTTTCACTGTATTGTTTTATAATTATGGTATAGCAATGCTAGTGTTGTAGTAAAAATAAGTAAGTAAATAAATAAGAGGATTTTATTATTTATAGTATTTATACAAATGGTGACAAGTATAGCACAAGCTGCTTCTGTCATGATAACGGTTGCCTATAGCAGTTATAGTTTGAATAATATATACTTTCTTTTTTATAAGAATTCATAGATAACATCAGCCGCTTATACGTAATATACATACACAATTTTTACTCTTCAATTGTTTTGCTTATATATTTATATTACATAAGTTCTTATACTTTGTAAATAGTTCTCGCTGTCCATACTTGTCCTTCATATACAAGTCTTGTTTTTCGCACTTAACCTCTGATTCAGACGCTTTTTATTTGTAATAAAAATATAGTCTTGGTTGTTGACCTCTGTACGTTTTAAAAAGATCTTGCTGTTGATATTGACCTTGACATTGATTCGAGAATCTACCACCGGATTAAAACTGACAAGGTAAGTTGGGACTTGAAAGTGAAAGGAAAAATACAGAACGAGATAATAAGAAATCTATTTACCTGTGGGCATGGCTCGGAAAAAAATACTGCTTACATAAAAAAGAAAGAAAAAGGATGCATCAAGTATACATACCCAATGCTATCTTGCTTTTTTTTTACCGTCACTTACCTTTCGTCTCAAGGCAGATAAAAAGGCGGGACCAAACAATCACGCTTTCAACATGAAACCTCAGATGAGGCCAGTAAGAAACCATTGCACTACAACTTAAATACTTACTTATTAGTATACTGTTAAACTTATATTGTATTATTCGAAGAACCTATAGTTTTATGCTTTGTTACAATGCTTCTTGCTTACAGGTTGCCATTGTGCCTACCCGGCAAGATGGCAGGATTATTGACCGGATCGTTTAATCTTTATTGACTTTTACTCTTATACCTTGGACAATTTGAAGCCTTATTAGTGCCTTGATATCATATATCTAAATACGTGAAGTGAGGGTGGCTTGAGCCATCAGGCTTGTTTTGTTTCTTGTTGTAATTTTATTGGGTTGGGCTGAAATTTCAAGAAAATATAATAGAACGGCTGTAAAAACTTGTCTTAACTGGAGTAAGAATAGCAGCTACACAATGCCTTAATCTTTAATACTTATTCGATGTTTTTTTTTTGGAGAATATTTTTGTGCCAGTGGATTCATAGTTTTGGCTTCGTTGATATATGCGAGAGCTATGCTGTTGCAAAGATACAACGTATCTTTATAACGAATTATTGCTATGATAGTCCAATACACGCATAAACCATAACTTGCTAACTTGTGTGCAAATTGTTTACTTCATTTTGGGACGTCTTTATCCTACGACTGAAAGAAGGCATACAAGGTCCTAACGATACGTCTTTTCTTTTACCACGGATACTCTCAGCCCTTAAGTTTTACCTTCTTTTATGGTGGCAGTCTTGGGTACACCATGTCTAGTCTTTTTTTATTTGATTAAATAACCAAATAACACCAGACCAGCCAGACTTATCCTCAAATGAGAGTGGCTATAGCCTTGACTACAGTTGTTGCATAATACCCAAAAGTACGAATGAATTCTAATATCTTGTTTGGTCAATCAATCTTGAATTGGTTAGCCACGTAAATGTCGTTAAATCTTCTACGACCAAAGTATTGCCTTCATCACAGCCAATTTTTTGTTTTAAATCTCAAAACTGCTGTGCTTCTCTGGGTGCGCAGTTGTATGAATATTTTTAGTCTAGAAATAGTACTTCATTGGCATTTTCCACAGCCGCTTACATACTCTTGTACCTGTGAGAAAAAAGCGCAGATCTTTATCTCAACTAAATGTTCCTGGCTCGCTTCCACGAAACCAACCGGAAACATCCACCTCAAGTATAAATTTTACCCCATCCGCAATATAGACTTGTTAAGACCATAAAAAGTCTATCCATGCTCAGTAGCGAGTGTTAGATAACCCACTGAAAAAATTGAGGGAAGCGAATAATAGCCTTATGAAGGATCCAAAAAAGAATCAGTCTCAGAACTCAAACAAGTTTGACCAAACAAAACAAAGATATGAGACTTATATCCAGAAATATTGACCCGAACTGACTTACGCAAAAGGCTCAAGCAATCAAAAAACCAGAAACCAGGTATACATAGGGCTAAAAAATTAAACACACAAACACCTTCAGAGCCACACCAAAGGTTCAGCTGACCAAGACAAAACCGCTCTACTGGTCAAAAATGGTTCAAAAAGACCATCCAAATCTAACCAAACAACATCAGGCAAACTAAACCAAAAGCCACACCAGACCCGACCAGAAATCAAGACAATCATGGTTTTGCAGAACCCAAGACCTAGGACTTCATCAGCTCGACGCCGAATGAAGTCTACAACTCCCAGATCGTGGAATCAAGCCTGGAAGGAAGTCAACAGCAATCTTTTGATCGGGAAGGCTCAGGTCAATCCAGCCATAGTTCAGGCACCGCATTAGAATGTATACAAATGACAAATAACGTTACTCAAACAGAGGTTTAAAGACCGTATAATGTTTCCTCAATGTCGTTTAGAGAGGACAGTCCATCAAAATAGTCTTTACTGTGCCGCAACAAAAACAAAAACAAAAAATTGTTTGGAATGATACCTTAAATCCTCTTTTTACATGTCTTATCCCTTTTTAGAATCATCATCTATATAATATTGCCGCTCGAAGTAGACATATATTGGCGCAATACAAAAAAAAAGAGCAAGCTGCCTAAAAAACAAACAAAGTGCATTATTCTGACTTTTTCATGCCTGTTCACTCTATACGCGGCTCCAACAAAATATAAACCTGCGGTCGAGCCTCCATGTCCTCATCTACTTAACAACGCTATCAAAATCGACATCAACAACCATAATATCTTTTTATTTTATTACCACTGTAAAATAAAAATAAAATAATATAACCTCAGCACTCAAAAGCCATACATTATATTCTTCTATACCTGGAGTGTCATATACCACCATTATCAGACCTGGCTTTCACATCTCGAGCAAGAATCATGTTAATCTGCTTATACTCCCAAGATCTTAGATGGCAGTGACCCCATCTCATAAGTTATAGTCTTCAAAGCTTTCGTATTCCAGTATACCTTTAAATAACTGGCTCTAGACCAAAGAGATAACCTCCAACACAAAGACCTGACAGGCCAATACCTCTTCATAGGTACGCACCATAATTCTTAAATGTACAATACAACAAAGCCAATAGTAATACACCAGCTCTCTTTAACTCACTACCGTATACTCTTTACCTAACACAAATATAGTATTCTAGCCTTTTCAAAATGGAACTTGAAGATCAAGGTGTTTCTCTATGTGTTGCATTGGTGGCTACAATTACATATGGAAAAACCAACAAGGATGGAAAAATCCAATACGGACCTGCTCTTCGCCACGCCAATGGAGAATCATGTCCTATTGGTGCACTAGCTCAACATTTTTTTTCCAAATTCCACCATGAAAACAAACCGTTTGTTGATTTTTCTACACGCAAAACATGGTACAATCGCTACTTGTTTCCGGCCAAAACGAAAGCAAACCAATGAGTTACTATGAGCAATCAAAAGCATACAAGTTGGCATTTGAAGCAGTTGGGATCAGCTCATCTAAGGTTACGCATATCAACCGAAAGAGTGCCATCAACATGGTATCCCACCAAGGCGTCTCGGATGATCAATAAAGACAAATCGGTAGATGGGGATCAGACCAAATGGCTGGATGTTATCTTTCTGGTCTTCCTGTTGATGCAATCAAGGTTCTAGCCGGGTTATCTATTCGCAAAGGAGACTATTTCCTTAACCGTGCCGCCACCACTCCCCCAATTGAGTTGCAACAAATGATATTCCCAAGCATTGAATCATGGAAAGCTAAATTCCACAAGAAAGAAGTTGAAGATGACATCGCTGGTCCCAATTTTTTGGATCTTTTGGCCTATTTAAGGAACGTTTTTCTTCAGGTAAGAAAATAGCAATAGTGCTTGGATAAATGATCCTCTTTAATAACTTATAAAAACAGGACTCTGTGGTTTTGCGAAAGAAGTATCCAAACCATTACTTGTGCATAAGTGAAATATTTTCAACGAGCCTATACCATTTGATGCAATGACCAGCTCCTTCAATACAATGCAAGCCCAAAACCAATTTGAATTTGCAAATGCCAGAAGTGTAGGCCTAGAGACTAGAAATGTACTAGTTGAAACCTTTTTACAAGCTTCGTTTCGTCTATGCAATGATCCTTCTCAAATCCGAAAATGCCTTGAAAATGTCTTACAGACACAATTTCCTGTCTCCCCTGTCCACATTGTTCTCTTGTTTTATTATCTATTTGTTGTGGTGGCATTCGTCGGCTTACGTACGCTACAGCAAACCATCAACCTATTGTATCTACTTCAGCTCAAAATTTCTCTCAATCGACTAGTGACACGGTTGTGGTGCAGTGACCGGCTGAACCAAGGAGATTCCACCATCATTTCGAGTGACTGAGGAAAGTCGTGAGTTGGACAAGGAAAACCACGGTTTACAAGTTGGGCGATTGTTGAGACCTTTTCTGCGTTTGCTCATTTTTGTTGTTCCTTCAAAGGTGAGAATGGACGACGTGTCCGTAATATTATCCCATCTCAACCCACCGCACAAATTTGGATAACCTTTTCCCTTAACAAAATGTAAAGTTCTTCCGCAATTTTTTTTTTCACATTTGTTAATTTCATAGTGTTGACACGGGTGTTGTGGGTTCTCCAGTTTCGCCCACCCTAATTTATTTACCTTCTTCTCTGACCATTTCCTCTTCAATTTTTCCTCGTCATCATCAGTTATCTCTCTCTTAAAATCACCGTCCCTGAATTGCTTTCTGCCTGACCCGTAGGAAAGCAATCATACATCGCATTAAAGTCTTATATCTCTGTTCAAAACCCCCTTCCTCTTTTTCCTCTTTCTGTCCCTTTGTATCTGTGTGATTGTCCTGAGTGAAATCAACAGCGTTCTCTTAAATTCTCCTTTAAACTTATCTTCTCGTACCTTGCTGTCTATCTGTCTTGATTGTCCCGAGTGAAATCAGCAGTATTTTTATTTTCTTCTTCTACCTTACCTTCCTGTGCCTTTCTGTTTTACCTGTTTGGATTGTCCCGAGCGAAATCAACAGTGTTCTTTTATCTCCTTTCACCTTCTACCTTAACACTTTTATTTCTTTTCCATCCTCAACTGTCCCGAGTGAAATTGAACATTCAACCGCCTTTCTAAATACTCTGTATCTTTTCTACATTCACCTTTCTCTCTATTATTCCCTTTCCCACCCGAACTCGTACTCTAGAATTACATTTGTAATTCTTCTTCAATAGATTTTTATTCTTCTTTCTGACCAAGTTGCACACACAACAAACTCAACACGCGTCAGTGTTATCTAGTTATCTTGTTATCTAGTTTACGGCTAATACTTTTACCATTAGTTACCAATAAATTTACAGTATATGATTGGTGATCAAATCAGGTTACCATTATATGAATGGAGACGTTACCACGGCATAGTTCCAAAACAACTGAATTAATTGTTTTTTTTTATCTTATTATTATTATTATTATTATTAGCGGTAGACAGGTGAATTTTTTTTTATTGTGGGTTTTTCTAGGCCTTGCGCATTTTAGCATATTGGCTACCCGATGAGAGCTGAAGAATAAATGAAAATAATAAAAAGTAACCCCCTAAATATGAGGGGGAATAAAAAAAATATGTAAAAAGTGAAGGATAAATAAAGAAAAAGTATGGAACACGCATGACAGAGACAAAGATGACTAGTCAGCAAAAACAGTAAAGAGAGCACGTAAAAAACCCCCTGTGGGGGAAAACGGCTTTTAGAAAGACTAAGATTAAAATAGATAATACAGCTGGTAAGAATACAGGTGAAATAAATATATAAGAAAAATAAATGACACAAAAGAATCGAGAATAGGTAACTAGGTACTGACGGCACCAGAATTGGGAACGGATTTCAGCAGGGATAGGAACTCCAAAGAGGGATTCCTTTTAGAAACTCGGACGATCCATTTGTGGATCCAGAATACACAACGATACCAGACCAAGTCAGTCCTCCTAGGCACAATTTCGGGCGGGCACAGATGGAGGGGGTTGATGAGGAACGGTGGAAATTTCGGAGAGAAGATGGGGGAACGGATCACCAGGAACAGGTTCTTGGGTGGGCGGCGGGATGCGGTGGGGATGGGTTGGTTTTGTGGCACGGAATTTTGCTGCAAGGTCGATGAGGATTTGACCATGAGCTTTTTCTTCTGGCAGTTTGTAGGATGAGGTGGTTTGATCAACAGCACGTAGCAAGGCAAGCAAGCACGGCCACCAATCGCACCACGTACCAGGCGATTTGAAAGACTGGGGGAGACAGTTGAGAGCATAGTCGATGAGATGAACCTCTGGGGGAGGAGCAGGATCAATCAAAGACCAGAGTTTTTGAACGAGAGTGATTGTGGCGGGGCATATAAGCATATGGTTTCGGTTATTAGCGGTAGACATACGGAAAAATTCAGAATAAGTATTTCTTGGGCTTTCTTTGTAATAAATTGGATTGGTTAAAAGAGTAGAAATTTTGTTCCAAATTTTGTCCACTGTTTTTAGGCGAACAAAATTTGGAACAAAAATATAATAAGGAGAAATATACAATAATTCCATAGAAGTCTCCCAAGATTGGTACACTGCTCAATATTGTTCAGATTTTCTACTTTTTCAAGTTAATTGTAGACAGATAAAGCTTAATATGATTTGTTTAATCCGAAACATACTTATTCAAAATTTTACTGTCTGTCTACCGCTATTATATATTTAATAGGGGGTTTCACCAGCTTTGGATGTTGACTTTTGGATATAGCGGTAGTTTAAGCACCAGCCAATAATAATAATTATCGAAAAAAGACTGGTGAAACCCCCTAATGACCCTTGGTTGATATGTTTTCTCACATATACGTCAAAATTCATATGTACAATACGCTTGATTAGAGTACCCATAAATATAGTGCCTATACCCAAATTCCTCACAAGTAAGTTAGACTTCTATAATTTGGTATCAAGATAACTGCTTTTATATAGATTGATTATGTTTTATTTTTGACTTTGCTTCTATATGAACTTCGCCATCAATCATACATAAAGTACAAAAATTACAAAATTTCGGCTAAGTCCAGACATCCAGAGTATCGAACTATTTTTTTAGACGCTTGGATGCTCGTTTTTCATTTTTTGAAGATTCGTCACAGCCAAACATTTTCCGAATTAAACTACCACTACATCCAATAGTCCATTCAAAGCTGGTGAAACCCCCTAATACCTGAAAATGAAAATTGACAATTACTTGAAGACTGTTACAAACTTGCCAACCAATGCAATCGAAAAACTGCGGCTTGAATTGCAGCATAGCAAAGAATTCGAAATAGGACAGTTGCCGAAGCTGAGACAAGAGATATGGTATTGGCTCTCTGAGCCGCGCTTTTATTCTCAGTTTTATTTAAATAAAGTTTCTTTCTATCAAATCCCCTCTTTATACCTTTCGGTCGTGCGAGTGAGATTAGTTGTTATTTTTCTGTTAGTTAGTGTGATAGGTAGGGAAACAGCATCCTTGTTATCCATGGGCGGGTGTCCACCATATCTCTCGTCTCAGCTTCAGCAACTGTCCTATTGTGGGTCGTACCTACTATAATAGTCGTAGCCTTCGCTTCGACTCCAGATATGGTATCTTTCTCCATATTGTTAGCAGTAAAAATGGTCTTTACCAAGGCTGAACTCTCTTCATGCTGGTTATTTGGCTTGAGATAGTATTTCTCAAAAGTGTTACTATGAAAACTCCAGTTTGCATGCATCTTGACTTGTTCAATTGGTATTCCTCGTTGGACTGCTCTTGTGCTCGAGGCTGCTCGTAGAGAGTGGGGCGTGAACAATGTTGTACCCACCCCCGAATTTTCCATCATCATCTTTATCCACCCTATTACTGTCTTCTCTAATGCTGAAGATTGTTTCTCAACCGGGTGATTCACGTAGGCAAGGAAAAGCGAGTGATCCTCAGGTAGTTCAGTTCTCTTTGCTTGTGTACTTTTGATAAAGGTTATCAAAGTCTGTACGGGACACAATGCTGGTTCTTCTTCTAGAGATCCAAGACGAGAAATCTTGAATTGGCCTTCTTTTGGCGCCCTCGAGACAAAGGTTACCCCACTTATTGGTTCTGTGGTACTGAACAAATCGTCGCCCTTAATACCAGATCGGCTGGTCGATCGAAACGATACGTCTTGATAGTAGAGGCCTCCAATATCGAACCTGAGGCGCCACATCGTCGCCATACACAAAATCATGATGGTCTTGATCTTCAGTTGTTGTAAGGGCATGTCTTCATTTGTTGTGGTCCATGATCTGCTATACCGGACTACTAGACTTATATCCCAAGTCTGAAGCTTTTCTTCAGGAGGGATCGTCGTCATTTCTCTTTGTTTTGCCTTGAAAAAATCTTGCACCAGACTGTTTTCCGCCAAACGTTGCTTGTCAGGGTGCAATTTACCATACACAGATGCAATTGCAGATCTCCGTATATTCAAAGTAGAGTAAGTTCAGTGACGGTTTAATACCAGGTATTCTACCATGAGGGTAGGGTTGTAGTCTTCAATATTCAATGTAGGATCCATTTTCTGGCACCATTCCGAAAATTTATTCCATACCTGATCATACACCTTACTGCTACTGTCTCTGACTGTTCCTTGTATATATGTACTGGCGGCTTGGCTTAACCCAGACTTCTTCTGGTGTTTGTTAAAAATATCTATGCAGCTAAGGACCACCGTTGGCTTATTGGCAGAATCATTGGTTTTCCTACTGTTTGCCTCATTACCATTGGCCACCAATACTGACTTGGCCAATTTGGGGTCACCAGCACTGCTCTCTTGACTCGATCCTGCCTGATATTTTTGGAGGACCTGCGGGATCAACTTCCACGGTGGGTGTAAGTATAGTCCTGTTGTTGGCCACAATTGTGCGAAAGCATTGGTTGCAATGGCTGCTTGAGTCCAGCTTGTAACTCCAAAAGGTTGGCAACCAGGTCTTTTCCCATGTGGCAAATGCATCCACTGTCAATATCCCGAATCTTTTCTGGATTTTCTGGAAGTATCGTCTTGGCAAGGTCCATTCGTACAGGGGTTTTGCCTTTTGACTTAACTGGTCTGCCTGTGTATTTTCTAATCCAGGGATATGTTGGTAGTTTACCTTCAGATTGTACTCATTGCAGAGAATCTGCACGTCCAGGGCTAGTTGTTGTAGAATGGGGGATACTGTCCCTCCCGACTTCTTCTCGTACTTGAGTGCTGTCATGTTGTCTGAAAACATGTGGATTGCACAGTTTTCGAATTCTTTTGTGTGGAGTTGCAAGGCAAACAGTATCGTTTGTAACTCCCTTACATTGATCGAGAGTTCTTTTTCGTTCTCTCTCCAGTACCCAACTGTCTCCACTGCAGTCAAGGTGACTCCCCATCCTGTGTCGGAGGCGTCTACATAGATTATCACAGCTGGTTCTTGTTGTTAGACTGTGGTTGTTATCGGTAGACCATTCTTGGTTTGTGCTATGTCCAACCACCAGGTCATTTCCACTCGGGCCTGTGCTGATATTGGGCATGGACTGTCCCATTTCTGGTGATAGTGGTGTAGAGATATTGCCAGATCTATCTGGAGATGTCGTATATGGAGCAAAGCTTCTCCTATGACGGGTATCATCACTGTAATCTTCCCTAACAGCCACGTCACTCATCGGCAAGAAAAGGTCTTTGTTTGTATTTGCCATATTCTGGCTCTCAGTATGCTCATCTTCTCGGCTGGCACAGTGATCTTCATTGTCAGTGAGTTGAATGTGAACCCCAGAAAATCTTGTTTCTGCTTCGGGATCAGGTTGCTCCTCTCCCAATTGATTATAAATCCCAAGGCTTGTAGTTGATCTGTCACTTTCTTCGAGTGTTTCTCCATTTCTTATTTGGTCTTTGCCAACACACAAATATCGTCGAGATAGTAGACCAACCTTATCCCTTGTTGTCTCAGGGGCTCTAGAGCATATCTCATTAGCTTGGAGAATACCCGAGGCGCTACACTCAACTCAAATGCTAGAGACTTGTACTGATAAATTAATCCCTGGTGCTGAAATGAGAGATACTTGCGAGATTGAGAGTGAATTGGAACTACAATATAGGCATCTTTTAGGTCTATCTTGGTCATGTAATCCTTTGCTTCTATCATCTCTCTCAAGGCAGGCACACCCTCCATCTTGAAATGGTTGCACTGTATAAATTGATTGATTTTTCGGCAGTCTAAAATAGGTCTGATTTTGTTAGGTTCCTGAATGGTGAAAAACTGTGACAGGAATCGTTTGTCTTGGTTCGGCGAGAGTTCTATTACATTGGATTCGTAACATTTTCCTACACTCTTGTTCACTGCTTGCTGGTCGATCTCTGAGAGTTTGAAAGGCTTGTTGATCCTCCAGGGAATTGGTTGGTATTGGAATTGTATTTGGTACCCTTGGCTGATAATGGAGAACGGCCATTGGTGATTCGTGAGTGTTGTTCAGTTGGGGAGGAACTTTTGGAGTCTGTTCACAGGTGCAATCCAATCTGCAGGGATATTGTAGTGTTGAGTATTGTCGTTTTTTTTTGTTTTCTAGACTTTTTTTCATAGTATTGTCGGAAAGCAAGCTTCCATTTTTTAATTGAATTGTTTTTGATATTTTTTCTATTGTTAAGGACGGGTGCTTCAATAGTTCTAAGCTTGAGGGGGAGAATTGTTGGCTGCTGGTTGACTTGTTGGACACATCGTTGGTGCTCCTCGTCCTCTTGGTTGTCCTCTCCCAAAAAAGACCTCCGTGGTTATTTGTGTTATGCGTGTAACCTCTGCCCTGGTATGTTCTCTGTCCACGGCCCCCTCGGCCTGGGTACTGTCCACAATTCTGGTTGTATGCACAGGGACTGTCAGTGGCCTTTTGCAAAATGGCATCTTCGTAACGGGCCTCTTGTATTCTCTCCAGGGTCTCTGGAGAGTATGCCAAATCTTTTCCCTCAGCTTCTTCGTTTTCGTTAAGGTATCGGATGGCGTCTGGCAGATGGATGGCTTTGTCAGCAATATCTTTTGTGTCGCCGTCGAGTCCTTTGCCCATGGCATATGTATAAATTGCAAGCCGTCTAGCCTTTTCCATGGTTGCATGGACTTCTTCTGGTGATCCTCCTGTCTCGATGAGGTACCCAAGGTTCTGGTAGATCTCTATTGTGGCTTTGGTGGTTGTCCTGATCCGCTCTGCTCCTTTGTGGATGGCTGCCACCATTTGAGAGGCGTCCACTTAGTGCTTCTTAAGCTCAGGTTTGAAAATTGCGTTGATAGCTCCTGGCTGAGTCCATTGACCTCCATGGTATTGGAGAGTGTCTTTTGCGAAGCGTTTAAGGTTTTGCTTGAGTGAAATGCTCAAAGTGTTTTCCATGTCATCATGAATTTCTTTGGGGAGTTCGATCAGCTCGGATCGGTCAGTTGTTAGGCTGTCACTTTTAAGCTTCTTGTAGAGCTCAAGGAGTTTTTGGACGGTTTTTTTTACTGGGTTCATTGATATCTGACATTACTTCCACGATGCGCGGCTTAGAAAGGTATAAAGAGGGGATTTGATAGAAAGAAACTTTATTTAAATAAAACTGAGAATAAAAGCGCGGCTCAGAGAGCCAATACCATATCTGGAGTCGAAGCAAAGGCTACGACTATTGTGGTAGGTACAACCCACAATTAGCTTTTTTAAAGAATTTAATTTGGAAGAAAAGGTTGTTGAAAACATGGCTGAAGCTGCCTATTATATCAGCAGTACTGTCTTGGGGCCCAGAAAGATTAAAAAAAAATCCTTTTAATCTTTACAATAGGGATATGAAGAGCAAAAGAAAGCTTGATGGTAATAAAAATTAACTGCATTGATAACAAGTAAAACAATAGTTTGTAACGATTTGAAATATATTTTTAGGGCGTAGATATATACGCAAGGAACTTGTTGATTCCTACAACTCTATGGGTCCTGTAGAAAAAGACAGATACTACGAAATGGCGAAAGAAAATTTTGTTACACTTCACCAGGAATCTTCTGTCCTTGAAGTAAATCTTGGTGCCAAATCCATATTAACCATTATGAACACGATAAAGCTATCAGTGAACTACAATAATCTGTTTCTGTTCTGGGAGTCAGGCACCAGCTACTGTCAAGACATTGGCCGCCTTTTGTAAGGAGATACATCTTTTGTATTTTTCAACTGCATTAAGGAAAATGACGCTGTAAAGAGTTTATTGAAATTATTGGGCAACGTTGAAAGACGACCAAGTAAGTATTATATAATAGATGCATTCTTTATATACTCTATCTTAATCTATTTCTCCGTCATAGCTCAATAAATACAACCAGCAACTATTGCTGCCAATGAATACAGAAACAAGATCAATAAACGTTTGATAACCTTGTTTAATGGTAAGCACTATAAGATATCAATGTTAAAATCTATTCTAAATTATAATTTTTTTTAGAAGAAACAGAGGAATTAAGAAAAGCTTTCCCTTGGAAAATAGTTAAAGAACATAAAGATATCATCAGAGTTGTTAGATGGCCAGAAAAGATGCCTTTTAAACCACTCAGTAGTATTAAAGACATCGAGAAAGAAATATTGGTTGATTCCCTAGACAAAGGGCTCATTTCTTTTTATTATTATTTAGAGGGATTGGCCTAGTAAGCTTAATAAAAATGTGTCTTCCTCTCTATCTGCTATTATAATGTTGTGAGGTTCGGGAGTCTTTGACTTTAAATGCAGCGTGGTTATGTTTCTTCGTAGACTAGGATGACCAACACGTATATGATTGGGGATGTAGTGAAAAATAGGGGAGGTAAAGGTGGCTGCAAGCGTTGTTCAATAGGTAATAAAAGGGTATTGTTTCACTTCTTTTCTGACTACTTTTATGGACCTAAGCAACCACTGTCCTTGGCTCAAAGTATAGAAATTAAACAAAAAAGAAAGATGTTTATTCGAATTGTGATACTAAATGATTTTATTAATAATGTCTATTATAATACAACGTAACTTGAGTGTTACAGAGGTAATTCCCACTGGCTCCCACATCAGAGCTCGCCGAACTGTCTGTAGGCCCGGTTCAGACTACATCACAAGAGTCCAAGCTCAGGGGCATAGGCTCCACAGCGCTTAGCTTCCTGTTTGGCAGGCTTGGGCCTCTCCTCCTCAGTATACTTCAACTGCTCCTCTATTTGCTTACAGTATAAATAGTTTTCCTGGGGACGTTGTTGGTATAGCTTCATGTTGTTTGCGTATATGGGGGCTGCCACTCTTAAATCACCATCATCAACCATATATACATTTAAGCTTAATATCTCTGCTACTCAATAAGGACAAATCCAAGAGGGTCTCCGATCAGAGCTCATAGGGTGTATACTGTGCTTTTTTACTATAACTTTATCTTATATCCTAAATGGTTGTGAGCTTACATTATGAGCTTTATTATACTTTGCCTTTGTAAGGAACCAAACCTATTGGTTACTAAGCTGAACCAATCTCAAACTCCGGCCTATTATCAATTAGAGTATACTGTACTAGAGAAATATTCAGATCACTAGGGTTCGAACTTTCCTACCCATCTATATCCTTGTATCACACTTACTATAATTATCTACCATTGACATCTATCTAAAATTCATATAAATACCCATTGCACTTAATCCTTTAAAGATCAAGCAAACAACACGTTAAAATAAAGGAATTCTTTCTTCTTTATCTTGTTCTTGTTATCTGTTACTCTCTGCCTGACCGTGTTTCTGACAACCTTCATCATACTTTTTGTGGTATACATACCACAATTGAATGAAAAACAGACTCCACAACCAAAAACTGATTCCTTCTTGCTAATGAACCTGGTAAGTTAACAGCCTCCAGAACTGTTACACACCAGACACACATATACTACACACTCATACAGTGTAAACTAACTATTAAACAACAGGGATTTTAATTACAGAGATTTTAATAGTAGCAGATATAAACAATATTATTTGGTCTCTTTAACAAATAACACTCTCACAGTATCTAATTTTCTAATTATTGAGATACTAACACTGGAAAAATGAGGGCAATTAACATATTGTCCAGGCAGTCGGATCATAGTGGATATGTCAGGATTTTTTTCATCTCAGCATTTTTTTTCTATCTAGTTGGGGGTGTAGTTTTGATGTATTCTATTGGCTTAAGTAAAAAAAATAAAAAACTTAAAAAAAATGCGTTTTTGGTTTACTATAAAACCGTATCAAATTAAATAATTGTAGCACTTGTTTTCTTTTTTATTTTATAATTCAAAATACACATATTATGTTTCCTTCTATTCAAATGAACAACACTGAATGTCACTGCACCAGATGCAATAATATTGATCAAGGAGTTTCCCGAGTATTGAGACGTACTGCTCAGCGCCATAATAAAAGAGCTATATTTGAAGGTACTGAAATATTCCAGAGTTCTATAATTTATTCAGCGCTGTTATCTGTCCACCGAGTAAAAATCGCTTTTATTTTTATTTTTTTATTGTTTTATAAAACATAGCTGAAAAGAGAAGCATGGAAGTAGATACTGAAAATAAGACTTTTTTTATTTGAAAAGTAGAAGAAAAACTAATAATACACTATTATATTCCATATTTGTAGTAATCCCAACATATCAATCCGATTCTATGGAAGCAATGGACGGTCAGGCCTACTCACCTATTCTGGATGCCGTCTCGACATTTGACAATGACGTCTTTGTTGGTAATGACTACAATGGCAATGAGTCGGACACACCAATGACAATAACAGTGATGAAAATGGCGAAGAAGACTTTGCTAATATTGATGTCGAAGAGTTTGACAGTGAAGGTCAGTATTAAATATATATATAAAAAACTAAAAAAAAAAAGAAAAAAATGTGTGTTAATCTTTTTTAAAAAAAAAAGACCCTTTTGCTGCTTCTGGTATGCCCAAGAATCCAGTGCACAGATTTATTGCTACTTTTACAGTACTGTTCGCATCTCGTTACGTAGTCAATAAGGGTTCTGTTGTCTTGATTGAGTTCATCAACAAGCTCTTGAAGATTTATAGACAACATTTCCAACTTCCCGAAAGTCTGACTGGGCTACATAAAATGACTGGCTTTTCGTCTATCACCAAAGGCATCAAGCGATTTGTGTCATGTCCAAACTGCCATTGCATCTATGAAGAAAACATGTCCGTACCTCCCTATTGTATTTTCACAAATGTTCGTGCACGCTCTCCTTGTGGTTGTAAGTTGATGAAAGAGTCAGCTTTAGGTGCACTGGTATCAAAGCGAGCATAGTTGTACCAGTCCCTCAAGCAAGCTTTTTCTGTTCTTTTCCTTCGTCCTGATTTTGAAGAGCAAATCCGTCACTGGAACACAGAGCTTAAGATTGTCAATGCTATGTGCGACGTATACGATGGGGCAATGTGGAAAGAGCTGAAGGATGTAAGTGTTGTCTCGTTTGTTGCTTGTCTTTGCTCATTGATGTTGACACTCAACATAGACTGGTTCCAGCCGTTTGATGGAGTTAGTTACTCTTCTGGTGCAATTTACTTGGTTGTAAATAATCTACCCCGAGAGGTATGGCTCAAGCCTGAGAACACAATTCTGGTTGGTCTGATGCCTGGTCGCAAGGAGCCAAGATGCGAGGAGATAAATAACTATCTCAAGCCCATGGTAGACGAGATGAAACAGTTGTATGTTGGAATGCGAGTCCCAACCTACGAGTACCCTTCTGGTGCTAATGTCCGTGCTGCCTTGCTGATGGTTACGTGTGACATCCCTGCTGCCAGGAAAACAAGTTGATTTACAGCCCACAATAGTACATGTGCGTGCTACAAGTGTACAACCCAGTTCCCCAGATTGCCCAATACAAATCAGGTGGACTTCAGTGGATTTGATTATTCTCTTTGGAATATTCGTAGCGGTGTAGAGAACAGGTTGCATGATAAGTGAAAGAGTGCGAGTACACCCTCAGAAAGGCACCAGCTGGAGGTCGAATATAGTGTTCGATGGTCACAGTTGCAACGCCTTGGATACTTTGATCTAGTACGTGGAACGATCATTGATCCCATGCATAATTTATTCCTAGGGACGCCAAAGAGAATGATGGACCGGTGGGTCGATAAGAAAACGATTGGAGCCAAAGAGTTTGCTGCCATGGAAAAAATCGCAGAGACAATGGTCCTTCCGACGGATTATACAAAGCTGATATCAAAGATTGGAAAAGGCTTTCCTTACATGAAAGCCGACGACTGGAAATCCTGGGTACTGGTGTATTCTCCTGTTCTCCTGCATGGTGTTCTACCATTCGAAATGTACAACAACTGGATGAATTTTGTCTGTGCATGCCGCTATCTTATCAAGCCAAGAATCACATTTGATGAAGTGAACAGCGCCCATGACTATCTGGAAATGTTTTGCAAAAAGGCTACCAAACTCTACACTCCCACCATCCTCACCTGCAAGATGCACCAGCACCTCCATCTTCGCAAGACCATTCATGATTTTGGAACCGTGTACAGTTACTGGCTCTTTGGGTTTGAGAGATACAATGACCTGTTGAAGCATATCAAGACAAATAGAAAAGATAGTTTTGAGGCAACATATATGAGAAGTTTTGTTCAAAACGCATTCAAGGGTGACTATGCCAATGCTGTTCTGAAAAGTTCTAGCCACGTCCCCTTTCTCAACATTCTCTCAAAGCTTTCTCCAAAATTCACACCTACCACCACAGTCATTACCCTCTCCTCCCGTCCATTCCGATTGCAATCATTCTTACTAGCATTGTCCAACCCACATCTTCCTCCAAAGAGTAATGAACCTCTCTCTCCTTCCACTTTTCCTCTTCAGCTAAAAAAATCATCACTGATAGATGAAACCGACTATGCCCATCTGCTTCAGCACTATAAAACATCCTAAAATCTTCCCGACCTTGTCAGTTACCAATATGCCACACTCACAAACTCCTTTGTTGAAAATGAAATCCCAAAGCTGAAGTTCATTGACATACTTGGTCAACAGTACCGTGGTAAAAACGGTTCAGCTAGTTGTGGTTCTCTTGTCCATGTAATGTTTGTTGGTAGTGATAGTAGAAATACCCTAGCCTATGCTGGACAAATACAGTATCTCTTCACACACTCCTTTACACACACTTCTAACAGCAATCTCCACCTGACTCGCATGGTTCATGATCATCAACATGTGTTCGCATATATCAAGTAGTTTAATACTTCCTCTGATAGATCGCATGAGGATGACGGTCTTGAGTTTTGACTCCCCACCTTCTCCCCTGATAGTCGCCATTTCATTGTACCTGTGCACCGCATCTTTTTAGAGATTGCTACAGTCAGGATTACTACAAGTAGAAATGTTAGTAAGATGTTAGTAATTTCTTTGCCAAAAACGCTTTATGCTTAAAATAAAAAAACCCCCACTTGACTTTCCTTTTCTTATACAAAAAAAAACAGGACAAATTCCCTATATATATTGATAGTATTGTGTATGTAAAAAGTAATACGTAGATAAAAAGAGAGAAACATTTTTTTTATTTAGAGCCTGTCTCTAAGAACCCACCGAAGAAAATTGGGGCTAATGTTATCCAGAACTACGGGGTTGGACACACTAGTAGTGATCTCACGGATTCTTTGATTAGCACTTGACCCCATGGCCTGGACAGCATAAGTGTCAACAAGTGCAATGAAACGGTTGCACTGAAATACATTCGTTAATAATTCATTCAATATAATAATACACCAATACAAAAGTATTACTCCAAATTAATCTACCTCATTGCTTCTCCAGCTTGATTGTACAATATGAATGACATGTTTTATGCCATCCTCGTCCATTCCATCGGCAGACTCTCCATCTGACATTACTGCTTTTTGGAGAGTGTTGGCACAGTCTCTGAGCATTACAAGATCAATGGCCTCCTTATTGTCTTTGTATGCCAGTACATGGCGACACTCATTCTAGTAATAAGTTTTGTTAATTTGTTATTTTTATTTTTAATTTTCAACTATAAACTATATATTAGCATAATACTCACATTATCTGCACGGGCTGCTCTTCGTGTAAGAGCGTTTGTTTCCACTATCTCATCATCAGACATTCTCTCACGACGGGTTCTACTAGTGAAGTTGGTGTGCAACCTCTTTCGGAGGTCACTCCGTCTCATACTAGAGGAACCAAACATGTGCTCAAGGTTAGAAAGAAGTCTCTCGGCTATCTCCCTGTTGGGAGATTTGTTGAAAGCAACATTTGTATTCCATCTGGGCTTGAGGTTGTTGGCCAGGATATTTTCTGGCGTTCTCAAGCTAAGCTTGGGTTTTCACATAAGGTTGTGAATATGTGCCTGATAAATAAATCATGAGAAAATGAATTGATAAAATATTTTATAATATGTTACTCACATAAACTGCATTAGATTCTTCACGGGTAGGCTCATGGTTGGAGATGACTACAGGTGCAGCAACAGAGAGTTTGACTCTCACAGGAGCAGCAAGGGGAGCTCTGGCCAAACTATCTATGGCACTGATGGTGTTGGTGCTGGTGGTGGCAAGAACGCCAATTCTGCCATTCATGTTGGTCAGAGTTTGCTCAACATTGCCGCTCTGTCCTTTTACAGTAGACATATCAGCTCTCACAGTAGAAAGTATTTCCATAAGCTGCTGATTGGTAATCTCAACAGGACGAAGGGCAATTGCACGTTCACGTCTTGTGTTAGTCATTGTCTACAGAATATAATAAAATAAAAGATTATAATGATTAGTTTCAGATTATATTATTATTATTGCTGTCATTCTACAATTAAATTTATTTAAATTAAATTAAAAATAAGTCGTATCAAGTTTACATACTTGAATTGTTAGAACAAGTGTGTTAATTTGAGAGTATAAATGTAGTAAGTAGCAAGATATTAAGAGCAAGGAAAAGTATATTATATGAAAAGTATGGTTATTATATATATTCAAAATATATTTGATATGCAAATCTCTATTAATACTTCTTGTAATGACTGAGATGTAAATCGGTTTTCATATTGCTTTGGGACTTGATGAAATCATTTTAGTCTTTTGTTTTAAACACACTTTTTTCTTTTTTTTAAGATTTTTTTTTTACTTTTTTATTCGTTTTTTGTTATTTCCCTCTTTTCTCTCTCTTTTCAATTCTTGTTATATTTGCAAATTTTTCTGGTAAGATTGTTTTTGGTTCAAAATACTTCTTTACAAAGAACAAAAAAAGAATTAATTTTTTTGTCTGTCATAGGTATTCTCTCTGTTTCTCTCTCTTCACTCTTTACACTCACAAGGTTTTATGGTAAGGCACTTTCTTTGTTTTAAAAGAAATATACACTTCTTTATGTATAACTAAAAAATAACAATATATTTTAATGTCATAGATACTCTCTCTTCATCTCATTTTGATGCGCCATCTTCACAACAGTCTTCCGCATTAGCCAGAGTTAGTAAATATACTCTATGTCATCATTCCATACAATCATTCTGACTTTTTTCTTCCTTTAATATAGACCACATCGCCAAAAATACTCTCTACAATCAAACACGGATATTGACACGATAATATTTTATTTTATTTTAATCTATTTCTTTTTAATATTTATCCAACTGAATATAATTTCTATTAGAGATGAACATCCCTCTTATGAACGTGCCATGCCTCAAGAACTTCCAACCCATGCTACCGTCATTGCCATGGTAAGCCTTTTATTTACTTCTATACATACAATAATATTATTTATACTGTATATTAATGTATATCCTCTACTAAAGACTATATTACCGCTTTGCAGATAATATATTGGTCTGCAAAGAAATACTTTGCCTTTGGTATGTAAATCAATTATTCTATCACGCAATTAACAAAACGTAATTCTTTCCTATCGTTTTATAGTCAAAAAAAATTATAATCCTGTGCTTTGCTGTAAATTTTTTTATTTTTTTTGTCCATTCGTACTGGATACTTCCAATGTAAGTATTAATTAGTGCATAAAATTTTCAGTATAAAACATGCACGCAGTCTCATCACTAATTTTTTATCTATTCTTAAAGAGTACTGCTCTTACCCCTAAAAAAAGGTAACAAGCACCTCATTTTCTTCAGGTATTTGTTTTTTGTTGAAAATTTTTCATCCCAAATATAGCAAGCCGGCCGAGCAAGAAGTAGCTGGGGATATAGAATAGCTTTATTAGATTTGAACCCTGGAAAACATTCTATTCTTTCCAATAAAAATAAAAGCGTAAATCATTACCAACCTAATAAGAACGGGGAACCAAATAAATAAAGAACATATTACTGGTCCATAATTTTAAAGACGTGTTTTTTTGCTATTGATAATTGTAGGTTTTAAAGAACTGTCAGTATAGGTGGTCAGTAAAGGTGTTCAGTAAAGGTGAGGTAGAGTACAGATAAGCTACTAGAGCAATATATATGATGTAATCCGTCTTTGACCTTTCCTGTTCTGTGTCAAGAATACCAAGATAAATACGTAGTTTTAACAGCTTTTTTTATTTATTAAGCATAACGAGTATATCAAAAGTGCTACCAAACCTTACTTGCGGAACCTCTCATCTACATATACTGTAGTGTTTGTAAGTCTCGCAAATACAGTGCTAGATGACCTTAAAACCTAGTGGAAAAAAATTACAACTATGCTATATCACGTTATTCCAGTACTGTTTGCCCATATATACACGTCAGTATTTTCCTACTTTTTCCAGTCATTCCTACATTCCCTCCATCCCGCCATCCCACCATCCCGCCATCAACTTTACAAAACTACCAGAATCGCCACCACCAACAATATTATTCTTTTATTTTATAATCACTGAAAAATAAAAATCGAAATAATGGCCATATAATAAAACCTCAACACTCGGAAGTCATATACAATATTTCTCTATACCTGAAGTGTTATATGTCACCATTCTCAGAGCTGACCTTCAACTCTCCAAGTCATATAGTATTCATACCACCATAATTCCGACACCTTCTTCGATCCCAATGACGCCATTCAATTCCGTCCCATCCCATCTAATTCCATCCCATCGGACATAATTTTCAAAGCTCATGCCTTTCAGTATACTTTTACGCGACTGGGTCTAGACCAAGCGGACGCCACCTAACAAAAAGTCTCGCGATGTTAATCTCTCGTCATTAGCATGCGCCATGAATGTCAAAACTTTGTCACACTGACTACTCACACGGACCACCCACACGGACCACCCACACGGACCACCCACACGGACCACCCACTCACACCGCCCACTTCTCGCCCATATAAAAAATACACTACTATTAAAACTTGATATTTTTAAATAAAAAATAAACTCATATTATTGTTCTCACGCATTGTTTTATTCAGTTTTCTTCTAATAATAAAGTGTTTCTCTCAATCATTTGTAAAGCAGACATTGTATTTATGGGCAGACAAAAATGGTTTAAAAAAAAATTTTATTAATATTCAAATATATCGTCAGAATCTTAGTTCACCACCTATAAAGGCGGATCCATCCTCCACAGGGCGTAGACCTGTCCTGACTTCGTGGAAGAGAACGGAGTGGGGAGGAGATCGGGAACGCTGGGGTGTGAGGCTAGCTATGGGCTTAAAAAATAAAAGGTGAACAGGGAACGAAACTATCAATCTAAGCTAAGCTAAAGGGATAAACGAAAGCTATATCTAAAGACTACCCACTACGTAAACTAACTAGAGAGGGGAAACTAAACTACCCCACACCCACCACACCCACCACACCCCCCATCCACACCACACCAACACCCATCCATCCGACACGCCGCTGATTCACATAGAAAAAAGGTCAATATTAGTATATCTATAGACTATACTACTCCCTCAACACAAATGAAAAGGAAATAATAGACTTACCATGCACAAGAGGAAAACAGAGATGGTCTGGCTGACACTCTTACTAAATAACTGTGAAAAAATTTTATGCTTTCGTCATTAGATGATGACATAGCAGCATGCATAGAAAATTGTAGATCAATGGATTGATTGCTCTGATTAGAAGCAATATAAAGACTTTCATTTTAAAAACCCGAATTTCTTATATGGCTACCCATTTTCGTGAATTGATTTTATATAAAAATTTACTTGACACATATGTTATATATTAATATATTATTTCTTAAAAGAAAGGTTGTAAAACTGTATCACTTTAGTTGGAATATGAAAGAGAAAGTGGTCCATATATATATATGTATAGACTATAAGAGCATATCAAGAGACTCTTTATATTATCCCAGCTTTTTATTAAAGCAAGTCTCATAAATTAAAAATATTATTGACATGTTTAAAATGCAATTAGTTTTTTTTTATTTACCGAATTGCTATAGTCGATAAGAGCAGATATCTAGTCTTAGATTATATATATAAATGTATTACAAGAGAACTAAAAGTTTTCACAACTGGGCATAGTAATATATAATATTGAGAGTATCGGGTTTTTATATTAGATAATAAGCAAATATAATAACAAGAATGTTTTAATAAAACATATAAGAATAAAAGGAATCTATACTTTATATAAAGGTTTTGATATGGAATATATATCATAGAATTAACTTTTAGTTATATAATTAAATGTTATGAAAGAAAGAAAGCGCATATAGAAAAAAAAATTATTCTGAACACTCTAATAAACTGACATCATGTTCATCGCACTGCTTGAGATCTTTATTAGAAATAGATCCACTAAGAAAAAATTGGAAATTCAACTAGTGATTATAAAGAATGCTTATAATAGCTTTTAAAATCACTCTCTGAATCGCTCCTTTTTTGTAGTGATATAATATATTACTGAAAATTATATAAACTAAATAGGAATTAATTTAATATGTTCTTATAACAGTTTGATCCACGAAATAGCTCGATGGATCATTAACTATCGCATTGTTTTTTTCTTTTTATTAATATATTAAATGTGTGACAGATACTATATATATATGTCTTTTCCTTAATCCACCACACACACATACGCACACTCACCCAATTGTCTACCAATATATTGGCTGAACTGGTACAAAATATACTTGATTGTATGTTCCTTTTATATTTTCTTACAAACTAAGGATTATAATCCATAATTCGGACAGAATGCACTTTTTTGTAAACTGTTATTACCAATTGGTTGCGCAGGCGGTTTTTGTGTATCAATAAGCTAAAATAACATAGCAGAATCAATTGACAGGGATACTGTTCCCCATACATAGACTTAAAAACCGCCTAGTTCTCACTTACAATCGCTCAGACAGGATGATATATTAAAGTGGCCTTCACTGCGCCATAATCATAACAAAAAAAACTTTTTTTTTACGGTGGCTTGCATCCTCCTTCTACATTCTCCCATTCATCCATCCCGTCATCCTTTTTGAGAATATTCATTCCTTTTGGGAATCGTCATTCATATAATATTACATCTCATAGTAGACAGAAGTCGGCCCAGTATAAAAATAAAACATATGTATGATTAATAAGAACTACAATTTCAGTTAACCAATAAAAACCGAATATGTTATATCAGCAATATGGTCCTGTCCGGATCGGCCGCCTATTGAGCTCGATCTGGACTGAAGGGATATTTCCAACAATCTTGGGCCGTCGGAATCCAGAAGATAATAATATCGTAAAAACATATATGCTAGTAATAATAGTTTTGCTTTCTTATAAATATATAGCTTGTATCATACCTCTCTCAAATAATTCCAAAATTGTTCATATATCCTGTCTCCTCAAGATTCTAATTAAAATTAGATTGGGTTTAATCTATAGATAATAATACAAGATATATTGGAATATACTTCTATAGCCGATTTTTATTCCACGGTATATATTTACAAATCATTCACAATCGCATTGTTATTTATATTTTTGTTAATACTTTTAATGTATGATAGAAGCTATATATAATAGTATAATTTAAACTATGTTTTCTAGTATGTTTCATAAATAACACACTATCCAGATCCATACACATTCTTCTATAATTATACTTAATGAAATTGGATCAAAAAGCATCAAACATTTTACACCAAAAAAGCAAGTGCCTACAGAAAAATATTACCAAGTCAAAATGAAAAGGGTGATATTCATAAACCAAAAGTAACTTTCGAACTAAATATATATAAACTGTTATCATGTTTTGGATTATATTATCTTATATATGTTATTATTATTATTCAACACACTGGCACACACCAGAAGCTACTCCCGAACTATATACATATACGAGCCTCTATCATATTTTGGATATACTATCTTGTATATTTTATTATTATTATTCAACACACGGACACACACCAAAAGCTACTCCCAAAATATATATATATACGAGCCTCTATCATATTTTGGATACACTATCATATATATTTATTTTCCTTTTATTCAATATACGGTTACACACCAGAAGCTACTCCCAAACTATATATATATAACCTGCTATCATATTTTGGGCTTACTATCATATATTTTTCTTTTCTTTTATCCAACACACGCACACACGCACATACGCACATACGCACATACGCACACTCGCCCAATTGTCTACCAATACAATTGCTGCACTGATACAAAATATACATATTGTCTATTTCTTTTTGTGTCTTTTTACAACCTAAGGATTCTACTCGATAATTCGGACAGAATGCACTTTTTTGTGAATTGGTATTACCAATTGGTTGCGCAGACAGCTTTGTGTATCCCTAATCTAAAGGAACATAGCAGGGTCCATTGACAGGGATACTGTTACCCATACATAGGTTGAAAGACCGTCTTGTGATCACTTACAATCGCCCAGAGAGGACGGTATATTAAAGTGGCCTTCACTGCGCCGTAACCAAAATAAAATAAAAATTCTATTTAACGATGGCGTCAATCCTCTTCCTACATTCCCTCCATCCCGCCATCCCACCATCCCGCCATCAACTTTACAAAACTACCAGAATCGCCACCACCAACAATATTATTCTTTTATTTTATAATCACTGAAAAATAAAAATCGAAATAATGGCCATATAATAAAACCTCAACACTCGGAAGTCATATACAATATTTCTCTATACCTGAAGTGTTATATGTCACCATTCTCAGAGCTGACCTTCAACTCTCCAAGTCATATAGTATTCATACCACCATAATTCCGACACCTTCTTCGATCCCAATGACGCCATTCAATTCCGTCCCATCCCATCTAATTCCATCCCATCGGACATAATTTTCAAAGCTCATGCCTTTCAGTATACTTTTACGCGACTGGGTCTAGACCAAGCGGACGCCACCTAACAAAAAGTCTCGCGATGTTAATCTCTCGTCATTAGCATGCGCCATGAATGTCAAAACTTTGTCACACTGACTACTCACACGGACCACCCACACGGACCACCCACACGGACCACCCACACGGACCACCCACTCACACCGCCCACTTCTCGCCCATATAAAAAATACACTACTATTAAAACTTGATATTTTTAAATAAAAAATAAACTCATATTATTGTTCTCACGCATTGTTTTATTCAGTTTTCTTCTAATAATAAAGTGTTTCTCTCAATCATTTGTAAAGCAGACATTGTATTTATGGGCAGACAAAAATGGTTTAAAAAAAAATTTTATTAATATTCAAATATATCGTCAGAATCTTAGTTCACCACCTATAAAGGCGGATCCATCCTCCACAGGGCGTAGACCTGTCCTGACTTCGTGGAAGAGAACGGAGTGGGGAGGAGATCGGGAACGCTGGGGTGTGAGGCTAGCTATGGGCTTAAAAAATAAAAGGTGAACAGGGAACGAAACTATCAATCTAAGCTAAGCTAAAGGGATAAACGAAAGCTATATCTAAAGACTACCCACTACGTAAACTAACTAGAGAGGGGAAACTAAACTACCCCACACCCACCACACCCACCACACCCCCCATCCACACCACACCAACACCCATCCATCCGACACGCCGCTGATTCACATAGAAAAAAGGTCAATATTAGTATATCTATAGACTATACTACTCCCTCAACACAAATGAAAAGGAAATAATAGACTTACCATGCACAAGAGGAAAACAGAGATGGTCTGGCTGACACTCTTACTAAATAACTGTGAAAAAATTTTATGCTTTCGTCATTAGATGATGACATAGCAGCATGCATAGAAAATTGTAGATCAATGGATTGATTGCTCTGATTAGAAGCAATATAAAGACTTTCATTTTAAAAACCCGAATTTCTTATATGGCTACCCATTTTCGTGAATTGATTTTATATAAAAATTTACTTGACACATATGTTATATATTAATATATTATTTCTTAAAAGAAAGGTTGTAAAACTGTATCACTTTAGTTGGAATATGAAAGAGAAAGTGGTCCATATATATATATGTATAGACTATAAGAGCATATCAAGAGACTCTTTATATTATCCCAGCTTTTTATTAAAGCAAGTCTCATAAATTAAAAATATTATTGACATGTTTAAAATGCAATTAGTTTTTTTTTATTTACCGAATTGCTATAGTCGATAAGAGCAGATATCTAGTCTTAGATTATATATATAAATGTATTACAAGAGAACTAAAAGTTTTCACAACTGGGCATAGTAATATATAATATTGAGAGTATCGGGTTTTTATATTAGATAATAAGCAAATATAATAACAAGAATGTTTTAATAAAACATATAAGAATAAAAGGAATCTATACTTTATATAAAGGTTTTGATATGGAATATATATCATAGAATTAACTTTTAGTTATATAATTAAATGTTATGAAAGAAAGAAAGCGCATATAGAAAAAAAAATTATTCTGAACACTCTAATAAACTGACATCATGTTCATCGCACTGCTTGAGATCTTTATTAGAAATAGATCCACTAAGAAAAAATTGGAAATTCAACTAGTGATTATAAAGAATGCTTATAATAGCTTTTAAAATCACTCTCTGAATCGCTCCTTTTTTGTAGTGATATAATATATTACTGAAAATTATATAAACTAAATAGGAATTAATTTAATATGTTCTTATAACAGTTTGATCCACGAAATAGCTCGATGGATCATTAACTATCGCATTGTTTTTTTCTTTTTATTAATATATTAAATGTGTGACAGATACTATATATATATGTCTTTTCCTTAATCCACCACACACACATACGCACACTCACCCAATTGTCTACCAATATATTGGCTGAACTGGTACAAAATATACTTGATTGTATGTTCCTTTTATATTTTCTTACAAACTAAGGATTATAATCCATAATTCGGACAGAATGCACTTTTTTGTAAACTGTTATTACCAATTGGTTGCGCAGGCGGTTTTTGTGTATCAATAAGCTAAAATAACATAGCAGAATCAATTGACAGGGATACTGTTCCCCATACATAGACTTAAAAACCGCCTAGTTCTCACTTACAATTGCTCAGACAGGATGATATATTAAAGTGGCCTTCACTGCGCCATAATCATAACAAAAAAAACTTTTTTTTACGGTGGCTTGCATCCTCCTTCTACATTCTCCCATTCATCCATCCCGTCATCCTTTTTGAGAATATTCATTCCTTTTGGGAATCGTCATTCATATAATATTACATCTCATAGTAGACAGAAGTCGGCCCAGTATAAAAATAAAACATATGTATGATTAATAAGAACTACAATTTCAGTTAACCAATAAAAACCGAATATGTTATATCAGCAATATGGTCCTGTCCGGATCGGCCGCCTATTGAGCTCGATCTGGACTGAAGGGATATTTCCAACAATCTTGGGCCGTCGGAATCCAGAAGATAATAATATCGTAAAAACATATATGCTAGTAATAATAGTTTTGCTTTCTTATAAATATATAGCTTGTATCATACCTCTCTCAAATAATTCCAAAATTGTTCATATATCCTGTCTCCTCAAGATTCTAATTAAAATTAGATTGGGTTTAATCTATAGATAATAATACAAGATATATTGGAATATACTTCTATAGCCGATTTTTATTCCACGGTATATATTTACAAATCATTCACAATCGCATTGTTATTTATATTTTTGTTAATACTTTTAATGTATGATAGAAGCTATATATAATAGTATAATTTAAACTATGTTTTCTAGTATGTTTCATAAATAACACACTATCCAGATCCATACACATTCTTCTATAATTATACTTAATGAAATTGGATCAAAAAGCATCAAACATTTTACACCAAAAAAGCAAGTGCCTACAGAAAAATATTACCAAGTCAAAATGAAAAGGGTGATATTCATAAACCAAAAGTAACTTTCGAACTAAATATATATAAACTGTTATCATGTTTTGGATTATATTATCTTATATATGTTATTATTATTATTCAACACACTGGCACACACCAGAAGCTACTCCCGAACTATATACATATACGAGCCTCTATCATATTTTGGATATACTATCTTGTATATTTTATTATTATTATTCAACACACGGACACACACCAAAAGCTACTCCCAAAATATATATATATACGAGCCTCTATCATATTTTGGATACACTATCATATATATTTATTTTCCTTTTATTCAATATACGGTTACACACCAGAAGCTACTCCCAAACTATATATATATAACCTGCTATCATATTTTGGGCTTACTATCATATATTTTTCTTTTCTTTTATCCAACACACGCACACACGCACATACGCACATACGCACATACGCACACTCGCCCAATTGTCTACCAATACAATTGCTGCACTGATACAAAATATACATATTGTCTATTTCTTTTTGTGTCTTTTTACAACCTAAGGATTCTACTCGATAATTCGGACAGAATGCACTTTTTTGTGAATTGGTATTACCAATTGGTTGCGCAGACAGCTTTGTGTATCCCTAATCTAAAGGAACATAGCAGGGTCCATTGACAGGGATACTGTTACCCATACATAGGTTGAAAGACCGTCTTGTGATCACTTACAATCGCCCAGAGAGGACGGTATATTAAAGTGGCCTTCACTGCGCCGTAACCAAAATAAAATAAAAATTCTATTTAACGATGGCGTCAATCCTCTTCCTACATTCCCTCCATCCCGCCATCCCACCATCCCGCCATCAACTTTACAAAACTACCAGAATCGCCACCACCAACAATATTATTCTTTTATTTTATAATCACTGAAAAATAAAAATCGAAATAATGGCCATATAATAAAACCTCAACACTCGGAAGTCATATACAATATTTCTCTATACCTGAAGTGTTATATGTCACCATTCTCAGAGCTGACCTTCAACTCTCCAAGTCATATAGTATTCATACCACCATAATTCCGACACCTTCTTCGATCCCAATGACGCTCTTACTCATATTTAAAAATTTCAACAAGCAACATTTGATATATGCTACTACATAATTTGACTTAGATTCACTCGTTTAATAAAGTGCGGCTACTTCATACAAGGCTTTATGTTTTATTAAACAAAAACATCAGGCCATTTGTAGGAAAAGTATAATGTACACAAAAGAATTGTTTAGGTAACATTTATGTGTACACCGTATTTATGTGATTTGCGACCTCTATTATAATTCCCAATTTGGACTGTTAGCAGCTTCAAGTGAGTACTAACTCAGATATTACGGAAAACATTCCCGAAAATAATATATATCTGTGATGTATATGTATTCAATTATGAAACACATGGTTTATTATAAGAAATTGTCTGAGTATAGTAAAGTGGCTCAGAGTTTATAGTTTAAGTACAAACTATATTAATATATTTATATGTTTTATAAAAGAAGCTTCTTCTATTTGCTATCTACGTGTAACCTCACAATCGTTTTATCGTCTGAACTATATTTAAATTAAGCGCAGAAACTAATCGGATACATATATAATGACTATAATATATATATATATATTGAATTTTACCCGACCAAACCAGGTTCTCTTTTTATTGTATTAATCAAGGCTTTTAAACTAGTACAAGCCTTCTTTAATTATTTTTCTTTGTTTATATTATTTATTAACATTTTATTTTTATTTGCTCTATATATTTAATTTTAAAATTTGTTATCTTCGCATATCTCAAACAGTCAAATTTATATCAGCTTCTATCTGAAATATAAAAGTTTAGTAAAGCGTTATATTCACAAGTCTGAATTATTTTATTTTATGGAAAAAATATAGTCTTTTTTTTATCTTTGTGGCAACTTCGACAAGGATTTAAAATTTATTGATGCAAATACTCCCATAATTTATGTTAAAAAAAAACTAAATTGAACTAATGGGTGAAGTGATTTTTTTTATCTAGAGTTGTGATGTTTGATTTTAAGAAAAGATAAAATTATCTGATTGTTAGAGATGGTCTTAGAAATAATCAAACATATAGAATACAATCAAAGAAAAGTATATATTACAGAACAATCTTCAATATATATATCGATTGTTTAAGTCAGGGGTATTATAAGAGTAAACTGATATAAATCGCAATTGCAATATCTTCTTTAAACACAATAAGAATAAACAAATATCAAAGAGAATTAAAGGGAACAAAGACTCCGTGTCTATAAATAAAATAAATTTATATAAAAACAGATTTGATTTAATCAAATCAAAGCAGATGTTTAAAAAAATTCAATAAACAAGTGAAGGATAAATTGTTTTTAATATTTAATTATATTTTTTTTGTTTTTCTTTGGATTTTATTTTTATTATTATTATTATTATTAATATCCAATATTTAACTGATATTTAGAATGTATACTTGTTCTCAATAAGTTGTTAAGTGTTTTTTGTATAATAGTGTTTTTCTTTTTTTCTTTTTCAATAAAACTTGATATTCCAACATCGAATAAAATTATTAAAATCTTAGTTGATAAGATTCTTAGTTTTGTTCTATTTCAGTTAAATATATTTGAAAATCTCATATAAATCGAATAAATATATATATTTTATTAAACCTGACAAGATACAGCTCTTATAATAAGGATATATTTTCTTTTTCGTCTATCTTTTACAATTCTTAACCAGAGAGCATATTGTCCAATTTGACATTTCATATTAAATCCGTGTCTGATAAAATAGGGTGTTTCAAGTTTAAAGATCTTGGAATTCAAGGTTTTTATTTTCTATCCATACTCTATTAATTAGCTAATAGCATCTAATATAAAAATATATTACTGAACTTCCTTACGTAAAGTTCTGTAAAAAATAATCAACTTCTAAAAATCTAAAAGAAACCTTTTGAAGCTTTTTGATTTATATATTTTTTACAGATACTTCACTAGTTTTGGAATCCTTTTAAGAAGCTGACTTACTTTTTACGTTCGCCGATGAAAATATCTAAATTTAAAATACCCTAATGGTATGTGTCCTGTCTTTTAATACTACTCAAATGGAGACTGAAAACATCACTTCCCCACTGCAGGAGTAAGTAGCGGATTTCAATTTTCAAGCTAATTCATACTCCGAATATTCGATTTATTTAAAGGCCCGCCGCGTCTCTTATTCCACTCGTTTTTTATCGTCTCTAGCTCTTCACTGCACTTGTTTTCAGCAAAAACGAATTACTAGAACGCAAGATAATCAAGCATTTAGTTGAATTACATAAAGCACAAAGATATAAATTTGTGTTATTTCAAACTGAGGTTCTAATTTCTTTTTTTCTGGACTTTGTGATACATTTTTTTAACTTTAATAAAACAGTACATGTCACTGGAAAAGAGGTGCGGTTTTCTTATGTGTAAAACTGTAATTAATTATGTGAAAAGACCAGATTTTACAATGTGATCAGATAGTTTTTACAAGTATATGAAGCTGGCTTACTCATAGGTGGGAAGACCAACTTTTGAACATAGGAAAAGGTCATAACAGCAGGATAGTAGGATGTGTTTGCATTTTCTGTATATGGGGTTTTCCCACATGCACTAAAACGGCAACTCAGAGTTACGTTTTGTTGTAATATATTCTACCGCTTTCCGATTAAAAGATCGATTATACGGATATACCAGTTTTTACAAGGTTTTGTTGTCTTTTAATTTATTTTATCCAATCTTAGAGACTTCTTCTTGTACTGTTTGCTTCCATACACTTCTCCGATCTTTAATTTATTTATAATAATTATTGGTTTATTTTGTTTTTATTAGAAAGAAAAGAATATTCTTAGGTTTATAGTACAGTGGTTATATTTAATATTCAGGAACGTTCTGGCTAGTGTTCTATCCTTCATACAATGTGAAATGGCCAATGTTCTGATAAAACAAGTATTCTCCAAACAATATCTCCCAGAGAAAAGCCCAGTTGTGTGTTGCTTGCTTGTAAATGGTTGTTCTATGAAATTAGAAAAGTGTTAGCTGTTTGAACAAGAAATCGTGGATATTAAGAATATATATATGTAATTATGCTTGCAATATAATAGCTTACCAGAGACAAAAAGAAAAGGCGTCATGAATGCGAACCATAGTACTCAATATACTTTATTTGGCTATAAAAATGCTGAAAAAAAAATTATTTTTTGTGAACTGTGTGGTAGAATATTTCATTTACCTACCCGAAGCAAAAGGATTTATTTGCAGACCAAGAGAGTACATAGGAGGCGCTGATATTGTCTTCAGTAAATGATATACATTAATATACAAAATAAATAATATTGTTATATGTACAAAAAAAAATTACCATGTCAATGACACTCGTATGAAATGAAAGTTCTTGATTCGCGATGTGCTCATGAGAGAGAGGTTCATCTATAATAGAAATTATGTTAAGCCATGTGCTTATTAAAAAGAGATAGATTGAAATAAAATAAAATATTACCGTGTTCATAACCGTGTTTAATAGTAGAGAGTAATTTCGGCGATATGGCCTATACAAAAGAAAGGAAAAGGTCAGGATAATTTTATAGGATGACAGCATAAAGTATATTTACTAACCTTAGCTAATCCGGATGGACATTGTGAAGGGGATGCATCAGAAGGTAACAAAACACGAGTGTCTGTAGTAATAGAAAACAATTATTATCATTTTAGTTATATATATATATATAATATTAAAGAATAAGATATCTTACCAAGAAAATCTGTGAATATAATAAATGTTGGAAAGAGAGAAAAGAGAGAAAACTTGTAAATGAAAAAAAAAAAACAAAAAGAACAAAAGACCAAAGGGCCAAAAGGCCGAAAGACAGAAATCATATATTGGATTGAGTTGAAAAAAGCATGTTCAAAGCCGATTTGCACCCCGTTAATTCCAGGAAGTATTAATAGAGATACGCGTATTAAAGAAATCCTGAGTATTTACAGCAACAAGTGTAATATAATAAATGGGTTCTTGCTTTTACTTTTACCATCTTTCCATTAACTACACTTTATTCTTTCGCTTAACACCTAACTTCTTTTGTATGTTAATAACACTCTATATATACAATGAATAGATATATAAAACAAATATAATTAACAATCAACTCATGTATAACATTTTATTTAATAGCTTTCAGACCATGGCCAACAATCGTCAGTCAATTGCCCCGGCTCCATCCCCAGAATATGCTGAGCTTTTAAGAAGGCTCATCGCTATGGAGGAAAGCCTCAAGACTATGGATTCCAACATTGGCATTGTCATCAAGGGCAACAAAGATTCATTGGAAATACTTGATAGCGTTGCCGATGCCTCTGGAGAACTTCTTGCAGTTATTGCTCCTACTACTATACATGCTTCTGCTTCTGTCCCTTTCGCAGCTTCTTCCATTGGTTCTACTCTGGATTGGCATACAACACCTTCTGTTGCTCCTTCTGTTGCTCCTTCTGTTGCTTCTTCTGTTGCTTCTTCTGTTGCTTCTTCTGTTGCTTCTTCTGTTGGTCCAGTGGTTCTTACTGGTGCAAACGCTGGTGAGCTTAGTAAACAGTATCGCAATAGAGTTTTAGTAAGTGTTGAGATGTACAGTAGTTCATCAACATAATATCTCACACTAAGTATAGGCTCTTATCCGAAGAGAGTTGAAGAAACACAACTTCAAATCGAATAAGCCGGAACTAGTTGCAGCTAATGACAGCAAGCGCAGTTGGGATGTTAATGTTGATTACAGACTTCCACCCAACAGACAGCTGATGCATGACCTTCATGCATACCTGGCTCCAAAGGTTGTTGGGACTAGTGTTCGACAGGCCGATATTAGCGATTGTATATACACAAACTTTTGTGGAACGAGACGCCGAATCAAGGAATCATATGAATCGCGCAAAAAGACAAATTCTCGGTCAAGAAGAGCAGGTCGAGAGACCGATGTATGTTAGAAGTATATTTTGATTGCAAATTAAATGTATTTATATTAATACATTTATTAAACTAGTATTTTGACTGCTGTGAGCTGACCTACCATACATTCAAGGCTGAAATTGATGTAAAGGTGGATAAGAGCTGCGACGGACTCTTACAAAAAGAAGAGATGTCTGAGAGCGAATCTAAAGACGATATACCTGGAGTCTCGAGCAACCGTGAGATTCGTACAGTGCGTCCAAGTTGGAGAAGCGATGAGGTAAATTCTTTTATTTACATTATTATATATAGGTTTTTTTGTTTTTTTTTTATGGATTTAAATAAAACAGAACTTTGATTAATCACTTATTTGTATTAGTACAATCACTTTCTTGCGGTTGTTGATGATTTTATGCGTAATCGCATAGACTTCAATTCGCGTCAGATGTTGACGAGGTCCTTCGGTAGAGACGCTGTTTTAGCAGTCCCGCCTAGATTGACGTCCCTTCTCCCTCACTGGGCTTTTAGAGATGAGTTTCAATAAATTTTGTTTTCTTATCCTCCACATCCTCCATCTGACAATGATAAATGTACCAACAAATACAAACACTATGATTATTCTTTTCTGTGTGCCTTTGAAAAAGGGAGTTATATTTTATTATTTTTTAAATGTATTGTTTTTTTGGCAAAGGAATGACCAGCATCTTTTTTACTTTTTTGCGTGTTGTGTGCTCAGCAGTTGCTACTTCTAACATAATTCTATGCACTGGCAATACACATTGGAAATAGTCAGGAGAAAATGTTGGAAAGCAGGTTTCAACGTGTTTGTACTCTCGCGATTTATCGTTTTCGGGTGTGTACCATTTGATAAATGCAAAAGTATGTTGAGAATTGTGAAGGAGTTGAGTTGGGCGGCGATGGGTGCGGAGCAAAGGGGCAAGGGATGAAGAGGAGGGTGGAGGAGTGAAAGAATGGGTGAAAATGTACTGTATTTGACCCGTGTATGTGATGATATGCTCACCAGTACTTCCAATGAACTTTGCTTGCACAAGAGAGCCACGACTTCCAGATTCACCTTTAATCTTGTAGACCTGCCCAAGGATGTTGACGTATTTCAACAGTGTGATTGTATTGTCGACAAAGTGTGGTGATTCTGACGCTTGTTGAAAGTGAACTAATTGTTCGTTGTTGTACGCAACTTTGTAGTATTGTAAGAGATGAGCATAGTGAATGTCACTCATTGTGGTAGCGGATTTTAATGATAGAGGGAATGCGGAAGGAGGGAGAGGTTCGTTGTCTTTTATAAGTACATTTGGATCTTCAGAAGCCTCGACAAATGACTGTATGCAGAAGGTACGTTGATGGATGGATGGAATGGCGGCGGGTGTAAAGGAAGAAGTGAGTTTGGTAAGGAGAGGAAATGCGGATGTCTGACGGGTACTCTGGGGGAGACTATTGACAAGATCGTCTTTGCGTACACCTTCAATGAATTTCTTCATAAATGTTTCTTCAAACCCGATCTTCCTGTTTGTCTTCAAATTTTTTAACAACCGGTTTAATCGCTCAAACCCGAATAGCCAATAACCGTACACTGGTCCAAAATCACGAATTGTATCACGAAGATGGAGGTGTAGGTGCATATTACAGGTGAGGATTTCGGCGTTGTACAGCTCGTCACATCTGGTGCAAAAAGTTTGAAGAAACTGATGGGCAGTGTTGACTTCATCGGACGTGATCGTTGGCTTGATCAACAGGCGGCATGCATCGACAAAGTTAATCCAGTTTTCGAATCTGTCTTTTGCAAGAATATCTTTCAACAGAACTGGCGAGTATACGAGCACCCACGACTTTCACTCGTCTGCCTTCATATACGAAAATTGCTTTCTTATTTTCGAGTTCAACGAGGTGTATCCATCAGGTACAATCATCGTTTCTGCAGTCTTCTGCATCGCCGCAAAATCGCCATCTTGGATGTCTTCGTCTTTGATCCAACGATCCATCAATCTTTTCGGTGTTCCCAGGAATAAATTATGCATGGGATCGATGATCGTTCCACGTACTAGATCAAGGTATCCAAGGCAATGCAACTGCGACCATCGAACACCATTTTCGACCTGCAGCCGATGCCTTTCTGAGGGGGTACTAGCACTTTCCCACTCTTTAGCATGCAACCTGTTCTCTACACCGTCACGAAGCACCCACCGAGAGAAGTCAAACCCACGAAAGTCAACATTGACACCGTTTTCCAAGCGAGGAAAATGTCTGTTGCACTTGTAACATGCGTATGTACTGTTGTGCGAGGTGAACCCACTTGTCTTTCTTGCTGCCGGGATGTCACAGGCCACTATCATCAATGCGGCACGGACGCGGACACCACTAGGACACTCGAAAGTTGGGATTGCCAGTCCCTCATACAATCTTATCAGATCATCTACCATAGGCCGGAGATAATGGTTTATCTCTTCGGATTTGGGTTCCTTCGGGCCAGGCATCAATTCTACGAGAAGTGTGTTCTCTGGCTTGTATCTTTCGTTGCGAGGCAGATTGTTTACTACCAGGTATATGGCATCAGTCGAGTGCGTGACGTTATTGAAAGGTTGAAACCAGTCGATGTTGAGAGTCAACATTAATGAACGCGAATCCTTTGTGAATTGCACGCCATCTTTGTCTTTGAGCTCCTTCCACATGGCACCGTCGTATATGTCACACATCGTATCCACCATCTTCAGCTCGTGATTCCAATGTCTACTTTTATCCTCAAATCCTGGACGAAGAAAAAACATTTGTAAAGTATTAACAACGGACTAGTACAAGTATGAACGCTTGGCCACCAAAGCACCCAATGCTGATGTTTTTGTCAATTGGCAGTTGCAAGATAAGTGTGCACCAAGCTTTACGAAATTGTAATGAGACGGGACAGATGCACTTTCTTCGTACACCTTGTGACAATCCTGACACACAACGAATTTCTTTATGCCTTTGGCCATGGCTGAGAAACCTGTCATGCGTTGAAGACCAAGAAGGCTCAAGGAAGTTGGAAATCCTGCTCGTAAATTGTCAAGAGCTTGTTGATGAACTCGATCAAGACAACAGCGCCCTTGTCAATCACATAGCGGGAAGCGAACATCACCACAAAAGTAGCAATGAACCTGTGCACTGGGTTCCGGGGCATATCGGGGGTGGCAAAAGGGTCTATTATAAAAAAAAATTAACACTATTTTTCTTTAATTTTTTATCACTAACTGACCTTCACTATTCAATTCATTGCTGTCGAGGTCAATAATATCGTCTTCGCTTTCGTTTTCATTGATTTTATTGCTGTTGCTTCCACTGTCATCATTGTCGCCATTGCTGATCGCGTCATTGGTAACGGAAACGTCTTCAGTGTCAGACATTGAAGCTCCTTCCCAAACAGGTGAGTTTGTCTGAGTGTACGATTCTTCCAGGCTCCGGGTTGATGGGCTAAGATAGCTACATTTAGAATATAACACTTGGTTAATATCACGGTATCTGAATTAAATAAACCTTACTTTCATCATCGACCTCCATCATATTTCTTTGGATAGACATGTCTATTACAACACGTTATTTCATGGATTACAATACAATTAAATAAATTCAAATATTGTACCCCTTTCACATCTTATGGCATTTAGTCTTGCCCTTTTGTTATGACGTTGAGCAGTTCTTCTGGCAACAAAACTGTAGCCGAGTTCGTTCTGACTACATCTGCACAATGGCACTTCTCGTTGTAGAGTTCAGGAATTGTGGACATGATGTTTATTTATTTTTACCTTGAAGTGTTAAGAGAAAAAGGAACCAAGTACAACGTTTACTAAATTTACTATGTCTTTATAATGAATTGGTATTTCTTTATAATAATAGTAATAAATAACATTTTCGCCTACTGTATCCAAGCCAATAGAAAACCGGAAAACAGTGTTTTCATCTTGAATACACACAAAAAGCTGAGATGAAAAAATACCCCAGATTTTCTATTGTTATAATTTAACTTTGTACATGGCAATTCCCGTATGTTTTTCTAGTGATATAATTATCGCCTTTTTACCTTGAACTTTCTGGATCCATAAAGAATATATATATTTAGATATTTAAAATAATAAAATGGAAGTTATTTAACAATCAAGTTTGTTCGCATAGTTCCTTGTTGCTTACACCAGCTGGACCGCATATTATTCCCTTCTATATTTCATTTTTGATTTATTGTTATTGTTAGTAGTAGTAGTAGTAGTAGTAGTAGTAGTAGTAGTAGTAGTAATGAAATGTCTATTTTTATAATGCACTTGATGCAATTAAACCTTTTACAATAAACATAAACTAATATATTCTAATTACTCAAAAAAAAAGTATTTGACAAGTCCTTATTGGAGGAGAGTTTACTTTTATGATTTATCTTTATTGATAACAAATTCTAAGAAATGAAAATATATATTAGATTTTTGTGCCTTTCAAAAAGCTTGTATAAAGATAAAACTTACTTTGAGGGAGGGTATTTGCCCATTTAATGTATTGTGTCATAGAAAGGTCAACTGTATCGCACGGTATCTTGACGAGCAATACAGACAAGAGCTGCTAGTATACCACGGAATCTTGACGTGAATATACTAACCTAGACTGCTACTAGAGGAAGTGACGCCCCCATGATATGACACAATACTCGCCATACCTTCCATCCCAGTAATTACAGCTGTACATTACGGAGCCTAAGCGTTTCATACAGAGAAAATCAGATTCAAAGAAATAAAACAATTAACATTAGACAGTGCATTTTAAAGAGCCTGTACAAAAATAAAACTTACTTCAGATGATGGACTTAAAATTTTTCGCGTCGCATCATAACAAGGTCAACTGTACTTCATGGAATCTTGACGTGAAATACAGACAAGAACTGCTGGTACATCACGGAACCTTGACGTGTATCTACTAGCCTAGATTGCCTTTTAGAAGACTTAATTCCCCTGCGTTATGACACAGCGCGTGGCTTTTATATAAATTTAAAGAATAAACATTAAATTCGATTAGCTAACTGAATTAAATTGCGTCTTTTAAATACAAACCATTGACCAATGTAAATGTTCATTCAAAAGTTATTGTAATGCTATTACAATCAACGCCTCATAATTATATAAGTTCAAGTGTCTGTTGGTTTACGCAAAAAAAATGATGTAATCAATCACGTGATATTTAAATTCTGAGGTGATGACTTAATTGGTCTAGAGACAACAAAACGATCAAGAATTATCAAAATGAGCTCAGCCAATAAAATTAATTTTTGTCTATTACTACTTATTGATCAAGGTACGTCTTGTAACGGTTAAGTATGTATTTAAAGCTGTTGCTGTTTTTTTATAAAAAAAAAATAAGATGGTGCTCGTGGCATGTCGTTCAGAGAGAAAATAAAATAGAGATGTACCGATATAATGGGTTGGCTGTAATACTTTTCAGTATGGTAAGGAACCGTGGTGTAACCCATGTTCACGAAACAAAATGAAACCGATTAGTAACCCAGTTCATTAACCCTCTATTACCCCGAGCTAGTTACCCCATGCATTACAGCCAAATCTCAATAGGATAGATAGGGTGTGGGCTTGTAATAACTCGATACAAAATTGCTACAAATACATACCCTTTTTAGTACAATGAATAATAATGGGTTTAGATAAATGTAAAAAGTACCATATTTATTATATACTTTTATGCATACAACTTGATAGTAATATATCACAAAGCCAGCCTTAGTCACTGCAACGCTTTTGTTTATTATTACAGCTACTCATTTTTTGTATGTACATAAATGAGCTTCTTTATTTATTTTCTAGGGTATGTAAGCCCTAATTATTATCACTTGTGAGCAGTAATGTTCGGAACATTCATATACATACAGTCAAAACTCGATATAGTGATACTGGTGGATTCAATTTTTATCACTATCACTATACCGAAAAATAGTGATAATAAGCAGGCACGGGCCCAAATTTTTCAAAAAATTATCACTATATCGCGATTATCACTATATCGAGCTTTGACTGTACTAATTATTATCATGGATTATATGTATACTGCCGAATCAATCAAGATTAAAACTTTCTCTAATCACCCCACGTCTTAGATTTTCTATCTACTTTCTTTTGAAAGCATTAGGATTGAAATTGTATACTTAATTTAAACAGATAACTATTATATACTTTGAAAGTTATTGAATCTACGGCTGAAATAAAAGTTTTTGACCAAAATGACAGTTAAATACAGAAAAACAGCTGTATATCTAAATTGGTTAACCAAAGATTTCTCAAGTATATAATCGATCTGGTGAGGCATATAAAGATCTATCATTTAAAGGTTGCTTGACATTGGCTGCCCAAATATTGATCAAAAAGTCGAATTATTTTACTCTAAAAAAAAACATTAATATTGACATTTGGGCTATTCTCGCTGGAAAATGTGTGGCTCAAAATTCAATTTCATTGTAAATACCAGGTTCTGTAATCATTTAGTACAAAGTGTTTTCAAGATAATCTTGGAACTCTGGATCCCATTAATACAGGTCTGTAATATGTATGATTTTTTTGGATTAGGCACTACATGCTTTAATTGGACTTTCATACATTTATTTGGATAGACAAGATTCGAGTACCCATCGAAATACCAGTATGACAGCAAAAATACATCGAAAAGAGAGTCAGAGATATAGATTGGTGCGTCTATCTGATATTCTTAAAATAAATGACAGTGTAATTGGTGTTAATGAACTTTTATATTTCGATTAAATATATATAAAAAGGAATACAGAATAAATAGAGTATAATGGTGCATGATACATTGCCAGCATGATTTTTAAGATATCCAAAGAGTTTGTATAGCTACGCATTAACAAGGTCTCATATAATTGCACACCTCTTTATGAAAATATTTAGTCTGTTATATGCTTAATAATTTAAAGAAAATAATGTGATAGCAGTTTTGTAAGAAAAATAAAGGATGAAGCAATAAAGCTAATTACATTCTGATATACACTTTTCTTGAAAGTATGGATGACATTTTTGAGAGAAAGCGCCTTAATTGATCCAATTTAAATCGATATTAGACCTTAAAGATCTTGTGAATAAAAGGATCCTATTTTTATGAAAAGACAAACTACTAAGAGTCCATATTTTTATTTCTGATATATTTTAAAATAACATTTAAAATAAAGAAAAGAGATATCGACTGTAAGTAACCAAAAGCCAAAAGCCAAAAGCCATTTTTCATTCGATGCATTCGAGCTTGCGATATATATATATATATATATATGTACGTGATATAAGGATGTATATTAACCACGAGGATGTAACAATTTCTCTTTGTTGCACAAAATCGATTATCTATATAGTGACAGTGACAGTGGTAGTGAAGTGTCAAGTACAATAAATCAGCATTTATTTTAATCAGTATAAGATAACTAGTAAGTGTTGGCTTATAAACCATTTAATACTTCATCAGATTATATATGTGTGTATATAATTGTATGCATGTAATAAAAGGGTCGATATTAATATTAATATTTTATCAATATATATATTCAAGTGGTTGTATTATTAAAGATGTTAGTTGATTTCTTCTAAACAAGAGAATTTCTTCGATACTAAAATATGGATATGAATATGAGTATGAATAATTAGATAATAAAGAATCAAGAATTGAGCCATTTTTCTTTTGGATCGAATAATCCAACCTGGCAAATTGAAATAGCAACATAAATAAAATAGAACATGGGAATACAACTATAACAGAAAAATAAATATCAATAAAAATAAATAGAGAGATAGAGAGAGCAATAGTGAGAAATAAAGATTTAAGGGGAAGAGAGAGAATATAGAAAAAAAAACATAATACAAAGATATAAAAAAAAAAGTTAAAGAAGTAAAGTAGCATACATGATAAATAATAAAAGTAAAATAAATAAATAAGTAGAAATCATAACTAAAGAAATAACATATATAAGTATGTTGTTTCTTTTGTTTAGTTGTGAATTTCTCTAGAGGTGTAAGACATAATGGTGTCTTGATTTTCCTCTTCATGGTTATTCAACCCAGCCTGAGTTGGATAAGGTTGACCTGAAATGTGCGAGGTCTCTGGTTTCTCGGACACAGACAATCTGCTTGTAGAACCACTTTCTTGCTTAAGATCTTGAAGGCCATTATTGTTGTTGTTCTGTCGTCGGGTGTTTTTGTGTGAGTGCGACCACGAAAAGCGTTCGTTGCCTGCAACATAAACAGAGGGAGGAACCATGTCACCTGAACTCTGGACACCAAAGTACCGTTGGCGAGAGGTAGGGTTACGGAACAAGAACATAAAGATATGATCTGGGATCAAGCGGATGATTACACCAATAGGAATCGAGAGCAGACCAATGACAATCGAAATGGCCCACTCGACACCACCAATTCGGGTAACCTGGAAAGCAGCTCCACCAAAGTTGACAATGATAGCCTGGCATGCAACGCAGAACACAAAGATGAACATAAAGAATTTGTTGGCTATAATGTTGTGGAAAATATTCAAAGAGTCATCAATAGAACGGCAACTATTATTATTATTGTTATTATTTTGGAAAGAAAAAAAAGTTAGTAAATACTATAATCTTTATATCTATGTAAATAAACTTACTTGATTTCATTGAATATCTGACAAAACACAAAAGTGTTAAAGACCAGGGTCTGGAGAATACCACTCTTGGGGTCGTAGCTAAAGATGTCGCTGTATAGCATAACTATGGTAACGATCACTTGGAAAATAGCCTGACCGATAATCATCTTCCACATCTTAAAGGTAATCAGTGGTGAGGAACGGGACTCGGGACCACGCAAGAGGAGTTCTTCGGTCGGTGGGTCGGTAGCAAGTGCGAGTGCTGCAAGGGTGTCCATGATCAGATTGACCCAGAGCAGCTGGACCGCAGTCAGAACAGAATCTTGAGAATCACTGACCACAGAAGAAACAAAGGTAAGAATAACAGCTGTGACATTGACGGTCAATTGGAATTCCAAAAACTTCTTGACTGCATCGTTCACACATCGGCCCCACATAATAGCCCTCACGATACTCGAAAAGTTGTCGTCCATCAGAATGATACTCGAGGCCTCCTTGGCAACCTCAGTACCCGAGATACCCATCGAAAATCCAACGTCGGCCAACTTCAGGGCCGGGCCATCGTTGGTGCCATCTCCAGTAACTGCCACAATATCACCGAGTTCTTTGAGACGTCCGACCAGAATCTGCTTGTCTTGGGGACTCGAGCGGGCAAGAACCTGGAGGCGGGGTAAGATAGCATCCATTTCTGAAGGCGGCAGATTGCGGAAAACAGGGCCCTCCATAACAATACCACCTTGGGTGTAGATACCACACTGCTTGGCAATACTCTTTGCGGTCATCATGTTGTCTCCAGTAACCATACGAACAAACACACCGGCTCTCTGGCAGGCCTTGACAGCTTCGGTAACACCAGGACGCAGTGGATCTTCGATACCAACAACACCCAAGAGGGTTAAGCCATTCTCACGGACAATCTCATCATAGGAAACCTCAATTTCTTCGCCAATGTTTGAAGAAGAAGAAGAACTAGAAGAAGCTGAAGACAAGACATTTTCGCCAGAAGGAGGCCATTGTTCAAAGTCACGATAGGCAATACCAATGGTACGCAGACTACGGGAAGCATAACTCTGGATGATGTGTACGACTCTGGTCATGTCTTCGGTGTTGAGCTTGCGGGATTTGACATCGTAATCGTGTTCAGAAAAGGCGTACTGGGAATCTTGGAGTGTGATGATGGTCGAGCACTTGTCAACAAGGATTTCGGGAGCACCCTTGACATGAGCACGATAGATGAATTTGCCAGTTTTAGTGGGGTGAGGAATCTTGATTACGGTTGCCATGGCTTTGCGGTCCGAACTAAAAGGAAACAGCTGCTCGATCTCCCAGCGAGACCGTAAGGCTTCGATGTCTTCACTTCCGATTTCGTGGCTAAATGCCAAAAGGGCGGTCTCGGTCTTGTTTCCCACAAGAACCTTGGAACCATTATCATCCAGGCTTTCAAAGGCCGATGAATTGACAGCAATACCTTGGTTGAGCAAATTGAGGATCTGGCGTGGAGCCTTTTGGCCTACAGCAATGATGGGATGGAGGTCTTTACGGTTTGGAGGAACTTCTTTGATGAATCTAAATGACGATCCAAAGGTACCGGCAACAACTGACATCTTGTTCTGGGTGAGAGTACCAGTCTTGTCAGAACAAACGGTTGTAGCATTTCCCATCGTTTCACAAGCAGCCAAAACGCGGACAAGGTTATTGTCTTTGAGCATGCGCTGAGTAGCATAGGCCAGAGCTGTGTAATGTGAGAACAAAAAGAGAAATAGAGAGAGAGAAAATTCCATAAATGGAAAGAACGTAAAAAAAAAGAGGAGTTAGACTCTGTACGATTATATTTATATATAAAAGTGTGGGACACCAATCATAGGTCAAGACTATCCTGTTCAGCTAAAAAAAAAAAAAAAAAAAAATAGAAAATTATATGTATATATAGACTTACCTAGTGTTACAGCTAGTGGTAAGCCCTCGGGAACAGCCACTACGACAATGGTGACCACAACAATAAGAATGTTCATGATTCCTTGGACGATCGCAGATGCAGGGGAAGGAACACCATAGCGCCACTTGACAAAGTAACGGATCAAGAGGACGACCAACATCAAGAGACCGGCAGCCGAGCCGAGTTTAGCAATAGTTTCTGCCAGATGGTTGAGTTTTTCTTGCAATGGAGTGGTTTCTGCGTCTGTGCGAAGAGCCATCATGGTGCGGCCATAGTAAGAGTGAACACCGACGCTTGTGACAAGATAAGTGCAGACACCTTCGAGTACTTTGGATCCAGAAATGATGAATGGGTCAGGTAAAGATTTGTGCTGAGTACCGGGATTCTTGTTTTCTGTTGTGGCTGTAGTAGGTTTGAGCTCTGAAATGCTATTCTTTTCCGAGATTGAGGATGTTTCTGGGTGTTGTTCTTCTTGTTTCATCATGCGGTAACAGACTTCCCAGGCTTGTTTTCGAACAGCATCGGATTCACCAGTAGCGGCAGACTCGTCACATCGCAGGTTGTGGCCTTCGATAAAAATACCATCAGCAGCCACGATATCTCCTGGTTCTAAATGGAGAACGTCGCCCACTTGAATATCATGCACCGAAATCAATAAGGTGTTCTTTTCACGGGTAGCCTACACATTAAGGTACAATACAATACATTAGATTATATTATAGTATAGTATATTGTAGTATATTACACTTTAGCTTTGAAGGCTGAGCAGAATTCAAACAATAGTAATATATATATTCAAAGGCTTTTACTATTGCTATTCTTATTCTTATTACCTTTACGAAACGGTCTTCCTTCTTTGCGTTTAGTTTACGAAACTGCTTTTCTTTTTGGTAATCGTTGGCACTTCCGACAGAGACGACGATTATGATTGCTACCATAATTGCGACACCTTCGACCCACTTGACACCTGGGATAGTATTTCCCATTGCGTCTACTTCAGGAATATCGACATCGTCATAGATACCAACGCCCAAAGAGATAATAGCAGCTACAGCCAACAAAATCTAAAACATGTACACAAGCAGATAGATAGATAGATAGATAGATATGTAAATATAATTGATGTAACTGAGGAGTACAAGAATTTAGATACTAAGGTTTTTTCTTTTTTTTTAAAAAAAAAAAAGTATAAAGCTTACGAGAGTCTTGTCTTTCATGGCCATCCACATGAGTTCAAAGATGGATTTGACTTTTGCTGGTGGCAAGACATTGGTTCCAAAGATTGCAGATCTTGATACGAATCCTTTGGCTTTACTGCTAGTTGAATTTGCACCAGTAGAATGATTTGTCTGAACAGGCTGAAGAGGTGATGTTGAAATCTTTTGGCTTTGGCTTTGGCTTTGGCTTTGGATTTGAGGTTGGGATAGATCGGCTAGTGTTATCGGAGTTGTGATGAGTTCAGAAGAATACAAGCCGTTGATGATGTCTGCATGGAGTCCTCTAGCGATGCCTTGGAGACCACCAAAGGTCTTGAGGAGAGGTATGTTTTTTGGATCGACGAGGACTGCAAGCTGTTCTGGATCAAATGCGAACAAATTGTCGGGGTTATTGTGGGCAATAGTAGGGTCCTTGATGGTGATCTTGACTTCGGATGGAGAAGGGTCGGTGATAGTTTGTGTTATTGGCTGTGTTGATCCATTGTAAGATTCGTTCATCGTCAAAGCCTTTTCGCTAGGAACAGCGAGTTCTTTTGAGGACTCCATTATTATTATGATTTGTTTTTTGGCTTTGGACTTTTTATTTTATTTTTGTTTCTTTCTTATTTAGCTTGAAAGTTAACTGTTGGTTGTTGTGACTTGGCTTCTTTAGTGCTTATAATCAATATTTAAATAGAGAGAATTGAAAAGGAAAGAGTTGGTATCTAAAGAGAAAGAAAGAGAAAGGAGAAGAGTAGGGAAGGAAGAAAGAGGATAAAGAGGGCTTATATATATATATATACATATAATTTCTTAATAAAGATATCTATAAAGGTGTTTTCTATTGGCTCAAGTAAAGTTTTTTTTTTTAAGAAAAAAAAGAAGGATTAATGCTTATAGAATTCGAGTATAGAATTCTTCTAAACGAGAATTTGGATTTCAGTTAAAATGATGTATAAAAAATAAAAAGTCGTGGAAAAACTAAAATAAGTGATTATGTTCTCTTTTAATTTTTTTTTTTTTTGAAAAGAAAGAAAAAATCGGGTAGTTAATTATATTATTAATACTTTTGAATTATAATTGTAATTATAATTATAATTATAATTATAATTGTAATTGTAATTGTAATTGTAATTATTATTAAGGTTGTTGGAAGGTTCTTTTACTGCACAAAAAGACAAGTGAGATATAAAGATATAAATGTGCATACAAGAACCGCACCACTTTTAGATAAGACACGCGCTTTGGGATCTATGGAAAAGTCTGAGGCTGATTTCTTATTATTCTTTATTAGCTTTTGTGGTTAACTACTTGTAGATAGATAAATAAGATTTATATACATAATTATTCATTTTTTATTCTATTTGTTAGATAAATAAAATGTAACCAGGTATACAAAGGTTTCCTTTAATGGAAAGAAAAAATAAGAATCTTCATTGGCAGAATTAATGATGAGTCGCTATAAATGCGTCTGTGTGTCTTTGTGTTTATTATTTCTTATTGTTTGCTGTAGTTTGTGGCTCTACAATAAATTGAAACAGATAAGAACAAATTTGGGACTGTTTCAATTTTTAAAGGTTAAAACAAAAAGAAAATACGGAGGGAGGGAGAAAGTGCTTTTTTTCTTCTTTTTTGTTTCAATGCCAAGAACTGTTTCTTGAGAAGCAAGCCACTAGATCTGTTACACGACCTGAATTTGATGGAGATCACAGAACGGAGTGCTAAGAACAAAAGCTTTCTAAATAGAATAAGTGATCAAGTCCTTTTTTTCTTTTTATTCTTTTCTGTTGTTCTTTTATGATTGCCAAATAACGCAAAGGATTCCTTTTTGAGTTTCAAGCTTATAAGCTTTGTATTTATTTGTCTAGTAAGATAGAGCTTTATATTTTCATTGTAGCTTTAAGATATTATGTAAAGATGTATATTAATCTCAATGATAATGATAATGATAACGATAACGCCAATATATTGTTATTTTTTTTGTGAAATAATGGACATACTAAAGTCAAATCAAATGAGTAGATCTATGTTTTATATATTTAGATATTATAGCCAATAAGAAGAGGAAGAAAGAAAAATTATAAAAATTAAAGATGACATCAATCAATAAAATCAAACAGATGCATCAAGGTAACTATATATATAGGTATATAAGAAAAATAGAAAGATCCATGTAGACGGGAATTTAAGAAACAATACTCTGTACATTAATTGTTCTCACTTTATTTCTCACTCACTTTCCTAATTTGGTACATTGTGCTTAAAATGAGTGGATGGTACACAAAGAAGAACAAACCAAATAGAACAAGTTATTATATTGTATTGTATTTTTATTTAATGCTGGTATTGATATTGACATTAATACTAATACTAATACTAATATTAAATAATGGTAATGGTAATGATAACGATAATGATAATGGTAAATATAAATAATAATAAGAATAATAAGAATATAACAAGGCATTCTTTTTTTTGGGAGAGGTTTTTTTTCTAGAGATCAAAGAGAGACCGGATTTCTTTGGAAGTTAGCTTAGTACTCTTGATCATTCCATCACCTAAAGCACCTTTGACCATTTGTGCCTATCAAAAAAAAAGAGAGAAAAGTTAGTATAAATTTTGAAACAATTTTGAATCAAAATCAACTAACTATTTAATCAATTCATATCTTTGGTTCAATTTTTACTTTTTTATCTTGTAAGCTCATAATCTTTTGCTCGATTGTCTTGTCGATTATGAGACGGTACACATGTACTGGAAGTCGTTGTCCGATACGATGAACTCTATCAATAGCTTGTTCTATAGATCAAACAGGCATAGATTGTTATTATAAGTATAATTAATATGATGATAGTGATAATGTTTAATGTTTAATGTTTAATGGTAGTAAGTTGTTATGGTAACGTCGATCAAATAAAAGTTAAAACTTCACCCTCTCCATTGATTCCGGTCTATTCCATTTCGATCGAATAGTATATACATATACTAAAGTCCCTTTTTTTCTTTCTATCCTTCTATCTATATATTTATCTATTTATTACCTTCCACTGAAGGATTCCACCAAATGTCCATCAGAATCACCCGATTAGCGGCCGTTAGATTCAGTCTACAAGAAGGAAAAAGGAAAGAGCAAAATTATGCACACACATGGGTTGTCAATTTTCATTTATAATGCTTGATCTTCGTTTCTAGTCCTTCGAGGCATTTTTCTTTAAAGAGTATAAAAACCTTGATAACTACTATGCATATATTCGTATATTACTCACCCTAAAGAACCACATTTTAGAGATATCAGCATGACCACACACTCTGGGTCTGTCCTTAATGCCTCTAGGCTCTTTTCTCTCAGCTGACTGGGCATCGATCCATCATCTGTTCGAATATATAAATAAAATTATTATTGTTTCAATTCTCGTTTCAATATCAGATATGTACAAGTTATATACATATTCTTATTTTCTTTGACTATTTTCCTTACATCTACAGTACTTGAATCCACATTGTCGTAAAGGTTCTTCCATTAGATTCAACATTGACGTAAACTGAGAAAATATGATCGTCTTTTCAGTAGGGTGATCTCGTCTAGACATCTGCAGGATTTCAATCATTTTTTCAATCTTTGTACTTGTGAGATATGTCTTCATTTGACCATTGTGTCCATCATTTGAACCATTTGAAACATTTGAAACATTTGAGGCTGATCGAATACGCTGTTCTAGTTGTCCTTTACAGGTTGAACAATATGATCCTGGTTTTTCAGACTCTTCAAATGCCAATTGCCTTTTCACAACAGATAACAAGCCAATAATTAAGATATTAATAACAGATATAATATTAAATTCTCCTTCACTTGATCGCATTTCTTTTTTTTTTTTGGTAAATGGGAAATATACACACACACACACGCATTACTACCAATCAAAAGTATATCCATCTACCTTTATAGCTATCCGAGTATTTAACTACTAGTCTATTTTTATACATATATGTATTACCTTGCGCACAATCCACACGTCCGAGATGTTGCCAAAGAGGATACTGATGATGATGATAATAATAATGAAGAAGATGATGATGACGATGAAGACGACGATGAGATCTGTCGGTTGAATGCAGATTGACCTACTTGTCCAGCACCATCCCAGCCAAAAGCAGCTGCAGTCTGGTCCGTATTAACTTGCCGGATCTTTTTTAACAAACTCTCGCTACTATTGTCTTTTGTATATCGCTGCTTTTTGTAACTGTGGCTATTGTTTTTGTTTTTGCTGTTTGATGATGATAATGATGCTGACAAAGGAGAAGAAGAGTACGAAGAAGAAGACAAGTTGGAGACTGCATTGAAGATTCCGTTTGTCTCTAGTTCTGCATCATCTCCATCTGGCTCGATTGCCTTGAGAACAAGCTGAGGATGATCACAGGCTAGATAGTATCAAATAAATTCAAACGTTTCAAGACATGAGATACATGTATAAAAGACATGTAAGAGTGTAATTCAATTTCATTCATATAAGTATCTAAATGTCTATATACTTTACCTTGTCTTAGACGCAAGAGCATACACAGCATATTGAGATAATTTCGATCTCCTTTTCCGGAATGAAAGATCTTCTGGACAGTATCCCGTGTCTTGGCCGTCAACAGCTCATACAATCCACGCTCTTCTGGACTAAAAGATAATACGATATCCTGCTTGTCCCTCAAGGGTAAATGTAATACTCGTTTGATTGGGGATTCACTACTCGTTTTGCCATTGCTTTTAATGGTATTATTTGATAAACTAGTCGTAAAAGTATTACTTCCATTTCCATTCTCACTCGAGTTCGAGTTCGAGTTCAAGTTCGAGCTTGCGTTTGCGTTTGCGTTTGCATTCATATTTGTCACGGTTTGTGAAAATGTAGAATGAGTTTGTGGATCGGTTCCTTCTCCCCTTTCTACTCTTTCTGGCAAAGCACTCAAGACTTCTTTTGTTCTTCGGAGCATGACGGCCATGAGGACCGCCTTGAGTCTTTCAAGCGCAATCTGTCCCTGGCCAGAGAGAATTGGAATCGAAATAGTCTTTTTGAACGTCTGATAATCCGCCAGAGGTTGGATTCTTAAGAACCGTATCAGGCTGTAGATTTCGTCGACATGGTTCTGAATAGGTGTTCCAGTGAGGCACCAGCGCTTCTCGGCATCGAGCTCGGAGCATGAAGTGGCAGAACGTGTGCTTTTGTTTTTTATCTGCTGTGCTTCGTCTAGAACGATCCGGTGCCATTTGATTTGGAAGAGTGGACCACATCCAGGTCGTAAGGTTGAGAATTTGCTTGTACTTGCCGTACTCTTGATTTTACTTTTGGATTTACTTTTGGGTTTGAGTTTGGTTTTAGCCTTAATTTTAGTTTTTGACTTTCTTCTATCTTTGGTTGTTTCTTCTCCTTCTTCTTCGCCGTCGTCATCTTCTTCGTCTTCTTCAGTTCCTTCTTCCCCATCTTCGCCTTCTTGTTCTTCGTATTCCTGACCTTCATTTTCTTCATCTTCTTCAATTTCTGTTTCTTCTGTTTCTGAATCAATTATTGTGGTGGCAGTGGATGTGAGTGGAGAGGTGGCCACACTACTGGACACACTAGGAGTCCTAGTTTCTGTGCTCCAACCTGGCAGGCTTCGTTGCACCAGTCCGTCTTTGGATTCGACTTTGGAACTTCTTTGTTTTGTCACAGGCTTCCGTCGACCTTTCTTTTCTGAGCTGGGTGTGTCAGAAGCCACGACTTGGTAGGTTGTGACAACGACATCATATTTTAAGAATTCCATTGGATCTTGTATTTTTTTTCCTCGTGTCAGTATTACCTTTTTATTATAGCTTTATACACAGATATACACCCAACCCCACCCCCACACCCACACCCACACCCACACCCACACATAGATAAATACATATTCGTGTATGCATGCATACATTTCTGTATGTATTTATGTATGTATTTATGTGTATCTCTCTCTCTCTCTCTTTTGAATTATCGTAATAATTATCATCATCATCATTTATTCTTCTTCTTCTTATTATTATTATTATCTTCTTACCTTTTGTTCTATTTGGTCCATGGTGTACCATCACTTTCATTTTTCCCGGCACTGTCTTTGTACGAATCTCGGTTGCCCATTGTTGGATGAGAGCCAAGGGTGTGATAATTAGTGTCACCCGACGATCCTTATCGAATACCTCGGAATGACTTTGGGTTTGATTTTGGTGGTGTGGATCACAGGACGGCATAGTAGAAGCGATCAATGCGATTGTTTGGATGGTTTTTCCTAAACCCATCTATAGTAAGAGAGTCACATTGAAGATATCACACAATAAAGAGGTACATATATATATATGTACATAAGAAAGAGAGAAAAAATTTGATCGTTTTAAGCGATACTGGTTACTCTTAGCCTTGCTTTTTTTTTGTTCGAAAGATAGTAATATAATTGTATAAATATAATATAAAATGCATAAGAGAAAAGATTATTCACTTACATCCTTTATAACAATAACAAAAACAACAACAAAAACAACAAAAACAATAGCAAAAAGACCAACAACAACAGTAGCAGTAGCAGTAGCAGTAGCAGTAGCAGAAGTAGCAGCAGCAAAGTAACAGTAAAAGCAACCAAAAAAAAACAGTAACAATAATTGTAACAATAATAAAAACATATAATTGTTTCAAATTAATTCACATACTTTATGTATATACATTTTGTATGTGTTTGTGTAACATAGTCATTATTCTATATACTACCTTATACTACCTTATATTACACACATACACATATAAAAGAAAGAAAAAATAAACTTACATCAGCTAGTATACCACCCAAGCTCCTTTCATTGTCCTCTCGGTCTATCATCCATGCAACACCGCGCACTTGGTGAGGAAGGAGGACGATGTTGAGACCTTGTACATGAGAATCCTCATCGTCATCCTCGTCAATCTTTTCTTGTTCATTATTATCATTATCGTAGTCATCTTTGGTTTTTGCTATTGGACCTAGTATCATCACTTCTGGATCCGCTGTTAATTTTGATGCTGTCGAGACACTATCACGATGAATGGCTGCTGCCTTTTGGTTCTTCTTCTTCTTGGTCAGTTTGACATCGCTCGGGATACTCTGCAGTAGCTCTGCGATATCCAGCCGTGCCTGTTTTTCGACAGAGGTTTGAGAGTTGAGATGATTCCGATCCATCAGATATGCTGGCAAGTTTCGTCGACTAGGTCTTCCGGCCGGAAAATAAGACGATGACTGTCCATTGTTTGTTGTCGAGGCAGAAAGAGACGAAGATCTGGATTCCTGAAGGTGTTTGTGAGGATTCTTGTATCGACACTTGTTGTCGAAGAACGGAGGATCTCGGAGCACATGGCCGTGTTTTTCAAATCGTACAGATATTGATTCGACATCGGTTGGACGACAGTACACAATAATGTAGAGTGGGATCCGAGATTGTTTGACCTTTCCGCGCGGAACGATGCCTTCACACCATATATGCTCACTCTCTATCAAAGGACCTAGTACATTTGTTTCTTTAAAAGGTACCCACCCATACTATATATGCATACATATTTTGAAACAATAACAATAACAATAACAATAACAATAACAATGGTCAATAAAATAAAATATTTGATCTTCGAACCAATCACTGTAAACCAACTATAGGACTTTTACGTCTATATGTATAATTTTTAATTAAAAGAAGTGATACCCTACAAATTGATGTCCAGTGGCAAATGAAGTGATTACGATGGCTAATTATTATCATTATTTTGTTGTCGTTGTCGTTAAAATAAAAATTTATAAAAAATAGTATATTATAAAAGTTGTTAGTAGCACAGATCAAATATATAGATAGTATGTGTGATTGTTTGTAGATTAGACTTACAGTAGTTTGTGGCGTTTTTGATACCCTGAAAAACCATTCGTACTGGTTCAAATTGCTCATCTTTGACAAGGGAAATCTTATCACTTGTGACTATATCTGTGCGTAACATTCCAATACAGACATCTTTATTTGTCATGTCTTCGTCAATGTAGACATCATCATCTCTCTCGACTGGTTTTTTTGGTTGTAGTTGCAATTGGAGTTGTGGCTGTAGCTGTTGTGCCTGTATCTGTAACTGTGGCTTTGGCTTTGGCTGCGACTGTAGTGGTTGTTGGTGTTGGTATTGGTGTTGGTGCTGTGATTGCATTGCTAGCAGGCTTTGGCTTAGAATTGTTCTCGTTTCGGGATTAGCAAGCAAGTCCATTCGAGGAGAGAATGAGTGAGTCTGTATTGGAAATTGCTGATTAAAACCAGCGTTGAAGTCTTGCCAAAAAGTCTATAATATATTATTATTATCAAACAATCATTTATGTATGCATATATGCATGCAGGAATACATTTAAAGAATATTTAAGAACATTAAAGAAGAAAAAAAAAGAAAAAAAAAGTTAGAAATAGAGAGTGAAAAATCAAAGTGTAAATACATGTATGATATTATACATTTAAAGACATATGTTTATTAAATACAAGGCAAGACAAAGAAGTGTCTTGTCTCTTTCTTTATTGTTATATTATTAATCCTGCTAATTCTATTACTGTTAACAATATAATAAAAGTAAAGTAATTTTAAAGAAGAAGAAGAAAAAAGACAATTGAAAATAAAAAATAAAATAAAAATGAATGTTTACCCTGTGTGATGACGGGACTGTCTTTGTGGAAAATAAAGTGCGATCAGTCAAGGCCATGTCGTCGATTTTCCTTCTCTTCTGGTCGTTGAGTTGGTCTGTAGAATGAGGCTGACTTGGGTCTGGCATCTTCAAGAAAAGGTCTCTGAATGAGATGAGACTTGGAGATTGAGCAGAGGTGGAACTAAAGTGGTCAAACGGAGGTAGCTTATCGCCGGGATTCATTCTCTGCTGACACGTTTATGCATAACGTGATACAAGGTAAACAGAAAATAAAAATAAAAAAATAAAAGAAGTATAGTAAAGTAAATTAAGGGAAGAAGTAGAAGCAGAAGAAGAGGGCCCTTTTTTTTGTATATGTATTATTATTAATATTAATATTATTATTTTAAATAAAAATAAAAATAAAAATAAAAATAAATATTGAATAAATTTTACTTTTTTTTTTATGTTTTTTTTTTTTTCTTTTTTTCTATTATTTATGATTATCAAAAATGCTTATAATCACAACATTTGATTATTTGATCGTAACTTTTTCTCTTTCTTGCTCTTTCTTTATCTTTACCTTTCTACTTTTTATTTATTTACGGTTTTTGTAAGCGCAGTATTGTTGTTGATGTTGTTGTTGTTGTTATTATTTTATTGACCTTGATGTCCTCGTGACCTTTTACACTATATTTCGAATGTTTCAATTCAATAACCGCATTTAGAAAAAGAAAAAGAGAACAAAAAAGCACGACTTCACCAAGTATAGTGTAAATCAGCAAGGTCATATGATTCGCTTATTATCCCTACTATATAATATTGCTATTATTCTTTTATATATGTATATATGTGTACCTAATTGCATACATGCATATACATGTATGGCTATTTTATATTCTATTTTAATTCTTTTTTTTTATGTATATATAGATATAAAAAGGAAAGATAAATAAACTAATCTTGGATCAATTGAATGGAGTTGGGTAGACTTCTTTAACTTTAAAGAAGTTTGACTCTCTTTATACATAAAACTGACGACAATTATAAATTCTCAAGTAAAAATCCATCTATAATATTAAATGAAACAAATAAAAAAAAAAGAAAGAAAGAAAAAAGAAACAGATTGAATATGAATTACTTTCGACCATGTGACATGTTGATGTGTTACAAGAAAATAAAATAAAGAAATATGCCATTCTTTCCTTGTTTGCCCATCAAATAGTCTACGGTCGACTAATAATTTTTTTTTAGTTTTTGTTTTAGTCTTGATTTCTATTGGATGAGGTTGAGAGCGAGCGTTTCAGGTATGAGTATTCACAATCACAATCATAATCATAATAAAGTTGATAAAGAAGAAGATCTATATAATATAATTTGAACATGCTAAGAATCGATTAGATTATATCTGTATGTGATTGGGATTTCAATTTTTCTATAAAAACAATAGAAATAGTAAGGACTATGGCTTATTATCATTTCTTTAGATATACGTATATTGGTACACTTTGTCTTTAAAGACCCTAGATGGTACTGTTGAATGGTCTCAAGTCCTAAAACTTTCTTTATTTTATATCAATTTTTAAATGCAGTATATAAAAAGGACAAATTTAATAGGGAGGTAGAAGATAAGAAGAGGTTTGGCGTTCATTTACCTAATGTGGATCAGGTATACATACATAAACCAAATTGTAAAATAAGATAATAATAACAATTCTTGTTATTATCATTTTGTAGATTATTGGCTTGGATTGGCTACAAAGATAGATATACAATTGACCTACATTGATATTCCCTCGTTTTACTCTACTATACTTTACTACAACTTTTCATTTTGGCTGCAGAATAATGGTCAGTTTTGAATTTTCAGTAAAACTGTCAAATTTTATTTTACCAAAACATTATACCCTCCTTATTTCCTCCCTCCAAACCCGAACCAAATCAAGCCAAAATACATAGGCAGAAATAAACAGAAAATTTGTAAGTTTTGGAATATACAAATCAATAAAATAACAAGATACCCAATACTAAACACAAGCACAGGTACAAACATAGACACAAACACAAATACTAAGATATCTAACAGGTGGCTTAGGATCCCCCTATAGCTCCTTTCTTTCTTTTCTTTTTATTCTTTTTTTAATAACACCTTTAAGAAATTATATCTATATATATATATCTACATATCTACATACTCACATACATACATTTACATACATCTTTATTTATATATATATTATGTCGCTGTGAAAAATATGGCACACATACATACAAATAGCTTTCTTATCAGTCTGTATTATATACAATACATAATCAATAATAAACCCCCTCTCCCTCAATCATATCCCTTTTATAATTTAAGCCAATTATCTTTGTTTCTTTTTTAAAAATTGAACAAAGACAACGACAAAGGCATAATGCACATATTAACATGTTTAATAACCGCAATATATAGAAATTCTGCCATTTTTGGTTGCATATATCATACTAGAAAGCAAAAAGGCAAAAAGGCAAAAAGGCGAAAGTAAAGAAGAAGAAGAAGGATAAAAGAAAAACCCCCCCTCGACAGGTAGTTACGTCATGAGACTATTATTTTTCTTTCTTTCTCTCTCTCTCTTTGTTCTTAATATTTTCTATATATTAAATTTACCTTCTTTATAATACCTACTACAGAATATATACAGAATTTAAATTATAATATAAAATATAATATTTTTATTTTTTATTTTTATTTTTTATTTTATTATTTTATTATTTTATTATTTATTGTTGCTGTTGTTATCCTTCTTGTCTTGTAAAATCCATAGACATTTCTTTAATAGAATACCACAAGAACATTTAGTAACACCAAAAATATAAATAAATAACGCCAACAACAATAACAACAAAGAGAATAAAACAAAAGCAAAAAATAAAACAAAAAGACAATGGACCATTTTGAGGCTGCATCTCAGGATGACTTTACGTTTCTAGAATATTCAGCCGACACCCAAACCTCTCAATACGACTACAATGATTTCACTCAGCAGACCAAGACAGATCGCCACGATCCCGAACCTGATCTCTCTCTCGCTGCCCTGTCCCTTGGAAACCTGACTCAGACAGACGAAAGCGAAAATGCAAAGGCCAACGGAACGGCCTCATTCGTAAACGAATTCCAGTTTGAAGACACGGACGACTTTGATGCCTTTGGAGAAGGCTTGGGTCCCCTTGAAGAAAAAGACCTACCAAGTCATGCTTGCAATTACTGCGGTATTCACGCACCTGCATCCGTTGTAAAATGCGTGACATGTGACCGCTGGTTCTGTAATGCTAGAGGCCACACTTCTGGATCGCACATCATCAACCATCTAGTACGTGCCAAGCACAAGGAGGTTATGCTCCACCCCGAATCACCCTTGGGAGAAACAGTCCTAGAGTGCTACAATTGTGGATGCAGAAACGTTTTCTTGCTTGGCTTTATCCCTGCCAAGAGCGATACCGTTGTTGTTCTTCTCTGCAGGTAGGTTAGACAACACAATTCGATAAAACACACATTTGTACGTGTGTTTGTGTTTGTGTTTGTGCTTGTGATAAATACTTAGATAGATGGGTAGATAAACATATACACAAGCACAAACACATAAAGACAGGCATATAAAATATGTACAAATGTGTGTATTGGTGTAAGATATATAGATATATTTTGAGTGACATAAAAAAAATTGTTCTTAGACAACCTTGTGCAGCCGTGCCTTCTTCAAAAGACATGAATTGGGACACAACTCAATGGATGCCCCTGATTGGTGATCGTTGCTTCCTCACTTGGTTGGTCAAGATACCTTCTGAACAGGAACAACTCCGTGCTCGCCAAATCACCTCCCAACAGATCAACAAACTAGAAGAGTTATGGAAAGAGAACAGCGAAGCAACCCTAGAGGATTTGGAGAAACCAGGTGTCGATGATGAACCTCATCCTATTTTATTAAGGTAATTTCTTCTTCAATTGATATCATTGTGGATTGTTTCTGATAAAAAGAAAAAGGAGTATACTATGCTTTTATATATATATTTAAACTAATATTAATATTAATAACAATAATATAGATATGAAGATGCTTACCAATATCAAAATATCTGTGGACCACTTGTAAAAATGGAAGCTGATTATGACAGAAAATTAAAGGAATCTCAGGTAAGCAAAAAAGAAAAGGACTACTCAAAGGAAAAGAAGATGAAAGTATTATAATACTAATCAATGTTATTTGTGGGTGTAGACTTGTGATGATATTGTAGTAAGATGGGATGTGGGTCTCAATCAAAAGAATATCGCATGGTTCTATTTCCCCAAACTCGAGATGGGAGAAGTCAAACTTGCAGTTGGAGATGAACTTCGTCTTCGTTACCGCGGTGAATTGCACGAACCATGGGAAGGAGTTGGTCACGTCATCAAGATTCCCAACAGTAAGTATATCTTACTTGAATTATATCTATATATTTGATTTATCTACTTATGGCTATTACTCTTCTTATCTTTTATTTTTGGTTTAATTAGATGTCAGCGATGAAGTTGCTCTTGAATTACGCCTGCTCGATCGCGCACCTGTCGAATGCACCCACAACTTTTCGGTAGACTTTGTCTGGAAATCAACCAGTTTCGATCGCATGCAGCTTGCCATGCGTACCTTTGCCGTAGACGAGACTAGTGTCAGTGGTTACATTTACCACAGACTTCTTGGACACGATGTCGAGCCACAGGTGCTCAAGACTCAGATGCCCAAGCGATTCTCTGCACCAAACCTGCCCGAACTCAACCACTCTCAGGTCTATGCTGTCAAATCAGTCCTCCAACGCCCTCTTAACCTCATCCAAGGCCCTCCTGGAACCGGAAAGACCGTCACATCGGCCTCGATTGTCTACCACCTCGCCAAGATGAATCCTGGCCAGGTCCTGGTTTGTGCACCCTCCAACGTAGCCGTCGACCAGCTGTCCGAAAAAATCCATCAGACCGGTCTCAAGGTCGTCAGAGTGACTGCAAAATCCCGCGAAGAACTTGATTCGCCTGTGTCTTTCTTGACCCTCCACGAACAAGTATTGAACAACGACACAAATGTCGAATTGCAAAAGTTGATCATGTTAAAGCGTGAGCAAGGAGAATTGAGTGCGTCTGATGAAAAGAAGTACAAGTCTCTCAAGCGCGCATGCGAAAAGGAAATTTTACAGGTAAGGTATAAATATATATATACGTGTGTGCGTATGTGTCCATTTGTTGTTTTTACAAACATTTACCTTTACTTTATTTAAATAATAATAATTATATGTAGAACGCTGATGTTATTTGCTGTACTTCAGTTGGTGCCGGTGACCCTCGTGTATCCAAATTGAGATTCAGAACTGTGCTTATCGATGAGGCGACTCAGGCATCAGAGCCAGAGTGTATGATTCCGCTTGTGTTGGGCTGTAAACAGGTTGTGTTGGTTGGTGATCATCAGCAATTGGGTCCGGTCATCATGAACAAAAAGGCTGCCCGTGCTGGTCTGTGCCAGTCTTTGTTCGAGCGTCTGGTTATCCTCGGCATCCGTCCTATCCGTCTTCAGGTCCAATACCGTATGCACCCCTGTCTATCAGAATTCCCGAGCAACATGTTTTATGAGGGTACTTTACAGAACGGCATTACCACACAAGAACGTCTGCGAAAGAATGTCGACTTCCCTTGGCCTGTTCCAGAGACACCCATGATGTTCTACGTCAATCTAGGCAACGAAGAAATCTCGACATCCGGAACCTCTTATCTCAACCGTACCGAGGCCTCAAACTGCGAAAAGATCGTGACGAGGTTTATGAAAGCAGGTATCCTTCCTTCTCAGATCGGTGTCGTGACTCCTTATGAAGGCCAGAGATCGTACATTGTTCAGTACATGCAGTTCAACGGTTCGCTCCGTAAGGATCTCTACAAGGAGATCGAAGTTGCCAGTGTGGATGCATTCCAGGGTCGTGAAAAGGACTACATTATCTTGAGTTGTGTGCGCAGCAATGAGCACCAGGGCATTGGCTTTTTGAGTGATCCTCGTAGATTGAATGTAGCCTTGACTCGTGCCAAATACGGTGTTGTGATTCTCGGCAATCCAAAGGTTCTAAGCAAACATCCTTTGTGGCATCACCTGCTGGTCCACTACAAGGAAAAGGGCTGTTTGGTAGACGGTGCACTGAACAACTTGCGAGTGTCGATGATCCAGTTCAGCCGGCCTCGTAAGGCTTACCGCAAAGACGATAAGTTTAGTCAAGGATTGGCTCATCAGATTGATGCCAGAGAAGCTTTTTCGCGTCCTCCCTTGGCAAGCGAGAACCGCCGTGGTGGTAATGGTGGCGGCAATGGTAGTGGCAATGGCGGCAGCGGTGGAGGCAGTGGAGCAGCAAGAGGTGGAGGTTATGACCAGGACTTTATGCAGACACATGGACCTGTGGGTTACATTCCATCAGATCTTGGCTCTTTCCCTTCTTCGCAATTCAACATTCCATTCATCCCGTCTGCAAGTGGACCATTTACACAGGATCTTTCTCAATCGAGTGTGTTTAACCGTAAGAACATGCGCCAGAACACAATAACCGAGAGCCAGACATCTCGCTATATTCCTGGTTCGTCGACCTTTGCAACCCATTCGTTTGGATGGCAGATGGGAGGACCCGGGGGATCCGGAGGTAGTGGGTCTGGTAGTGGTAGTGGTGCTGCTGCTGCTGGTAGTGCAAATGGAGCAGGAGGAGCTGCATCTCAAAATCTTTACAGTAGCCAGGCATCGATTGGGCTTGCGTTGTCTCAGAGTGATCGTTTGCGTATGATGACTGACATGGCCAGTCAGACAAATACTCAACCTCAGGGTATGATGACTCAAGACAGTATGAGCTATGGTTTTGATGATTACAAGTCTCAAGATGTGTCTTCCATGATGAGTCAAGACTTTGATTTGAGAAGCCAGGCAAGCCAGGCATACACCCAGTATTAAAGAAAAGAGAGGCAGCAAAGAAACAAAGAAGGAAGGAATGAAAGAAAGAATGAAAGAAAGAAAGAAAGAAAGGGAAGACAAGACAAGACACGAGAAGAAATGAAAAGGATAAGAAAGGAAATAGAGGTTGCCAACCCGAGATTGAAGGATACAGATGATGATGATGGTGAAGCAGAAGAAGAGGAAGTAAAGAAGAAGTGAGAGCAAGAGAGAAAGAGAGAGAGAGAGAGAAAGATAGAGATGTGGAAGGCAATCTAGGGTACCTTTTCTTTTCTTTTCTTTTCTTTTCTTTTCTTTTCTTTTCTATTCTTCTTTCTTTCATTCTTTCTTTCTTTCATCTGTTATTTTTTGTTACTTTTTTTGGGGGGGAGGAGAGTTTAGCTTGGGCCATTTTGCGTTTCCACCCCCTCCCTGTTAGGGCCAGTCGTTGTCTCTCCCGTTTGCTTGTTTAGGAAGCCTTTTAATTTTTTTTTATACACATATATTTTGCTCTCTCTGGATATAACATCTTTATTCAAAAGATGCACGCTTCTCTTCTCTATAAATGGGATTACCAAATAAAAATAAAAAATAATGAATCAAATCGTATTGAATTAAACCCATTATATTTCCCTCTTCTTCTTTCCTTCTTTTAAAAAGGCATTATATATATATCTATTGAGTATATATGATATAGGGTATAGTTTATGAATTTGCCTTGAAGATCTTGTTTTTTTTTCTTATCAAAACAAGAACAAAATTATTATGATTTCTGAAGAAGAATTTAGTGCAGAAATGTATTGACAGTCAAGAGGTTCAATGAATGACAATTTGAAAGGAAATAGAGTGACTTGCAAAGGGGGTTTTCAAAAGTGATTTGCAGAAGGATTGTGTAGTGTGGTGTATTGCCAATAAAAGAAACACATCATGAAGTAAAGACTTTGTTTTTTTTTTGTTTTATATATGAATTTGTATGTATTTATTTGTGTAGCTGTGTAGCTGTGTATCTGTGTATCTGTATATGTATGGTTTTTAATTTGGATAGCCAAACTTGTCGCGGATTTTATCTAACTCTCCTTCTCTGCGCTTTTTGCACACTCTGTCAAGTCTCTCCTGAATTTCATCTCCATAACGTTTCTCAACATAAGACTTTTCGGTAGATATGGTCAAGATATCTCCTATAAAAGTGAAAATGCCACACACTTGATTAGACTTCAATTCCAAACCCACTCTAGTATAAGCACACCATGTTTGTGTTGTTTACCATTCAAAGTATCATCTTCAATCAGGCGTAGATACGCGTCTATACAATTATCCATTGTGATCGTTCCGAATTTATCAACAACTGTCTTTGATCCATAGGCTAGCATAGGTGTCTCTGGTTACACGCACGCACAAAAGAAATAAAGAAATAAAGAAAATGTTAAACAAGTACAATAATAGCTAAAAATGATATAATATATACTTACCAACAAAATGAGGTGCGACACAGTTTACTCTGATATCAGTGGATCTGAATAGATTTCCGTAGCTTTTGGTGAGTCCAATAATCTACATTGATTATCCAAAAACAATATTAATTAAGAAATACGCTCATATACACACGCATTCACACAGACAGAAAGATATAGGGGTTTTCCAATTACAACCAATAACATCGTTACTTACACCATGCTTGGATGCTGCATAAAGCGGGCCAAGTGGGGCAGCACAGAGACCAAAGATCGACGAGGTATTGATCACGCACCCTGCCTTCTTCTCCTTTAGGAAATGTTGAATTGCCACTCGATTTGCTTTTGCAGCGCCTGTCAGATTAACCTCAATAGTGCGATATATCCCATCTAAATTCATACCAAAGAAAGACATTATTAGATAAATGCAAATGAGCGGTAAAAAGTATAGATTGTTCCTTATTATTCTTTATAGTAAATGAAATCAATTGATCGACTAACCTTGTTCAGAATCATCAATGATACTTGAGCTGTCCATCATACCAGCCACAACAATTACGATATCAATTGATTTTCCTAGTTTCTCTTTGACTTCTGAATAAATCAATATGTGAGATGGCCAGTCGGTTATGTCACATTTATGGTAAAGGACTCTTGAATCATCGGATTCCTCATCTTTACTGCTGTATAAAAGATAATTACGATATTTATACAAGTATAAACATACATATATTTTGGTTAGCATCTGACTATACCGCCTTTGTTCCTTCCAAATGTATGATTCTCTCTTTCTTTCTTTCTCTCTTATTACCTTATCTCTTTAATAAGTTCCTCTTTCAAATCGTCGCCATTTTTTTGGTTTCTTCCAGTAAATACAACATAGGCTCTGTAAAAGAAATAGAAATAAAAAAGAATTATGAATATACATATATTGGTTTGTTGCTTCTTTAATATTTATAAGATTGAAAATATTATGTAACCGAGTTTAATCTTACCCTAATTTCAATAATTTACAAACAAGCTCTTTGCCGATTCCTAAAACCAATATATATATATATATATATATATATATAGTCCACAATAATAGAGCAAGGATAAAAGGTACAAAGTAAGAAATAATAGAAAACAAAAAGGTAGACAAAGTTTAGTATTGTGATGATTAGTAATAGTTATCTATCTATTCTTACCTGAGGTACCACCGTATACTAATACCACTTTGTCTTTGATTTGCATTTTTGCTTCCCGAGAGCTTGTTTATCTAGTGTGATTGGTGTGCTTGGTTTCTGTTCTTTTTTGTTTTATGTATATTGGACTTGGAATTGGTATCGTTTTTGATATTCGGAATTAAAAGCGAGAGAAGAAGTATAGAGCAAAAGAAGTAAGAAGAAGAGCAAAACAGTAAAAGATGAACAAGAGAAAATATTTCTTAAATACTACAATAATTATTATTTTGTACTTGTATTTATATTTCCGTAATGCATATATAGATATATATATATATATATATATATTTTAGATTTTAGATTTTATTTTTATCTTTAGGTATAATTTTGTGGATACACAGGTACACTGGTTATTATCCAAAGAGGCTGTCCTCCTCCAAAGTGTTCGGCTTTTGACCTTTTATAGATTAAGATTGTGTAATAAGATTGTGTATTTTAATTGAATTGCTAATGTGAGAAAATCAAGGTCTTTTGTATACCTTGTTTGGAACCCTCTTTTCGTCTGACCACGCTTTGATCTATATACATCTATGTTTTTGTATAGTTTATCTTATTCCATGGTCAATATATATATGTAATAAATTCACTTTCACTTTCACTTTCACTTTCACTTCATATTTTCCCCCCTTCTCCTTCTGTCCCTTCTTCTCTCTTTACAAATATATATATAAATCTCCGTGGCATTTTTCTTTTTTTTTCTTTGATTCTATAATGATACATAATATGATATTAATAGCCTTAAGCATCTATAGCACTTATCCGCAAACTCGTTCATCTACCAATGCACTCATGCACGCGCAGAAAGAGATATATGTATATAAACCGACATTGCATTGAATTTTTAAGTATCAAATGTTACGAGATACGAATAACTTCTTTGATATTCTTTTATTTATTTATTTATTTTGGGGTGTACAAATATATATATATATATATATATACTTTGCAGTAAGATAAAACCATAAAGTCAAAAACAAAATTCCTTGAGACAAAATATGACAGCTCTTTAAACATATAAACTACAAAAAAAAAGGGCTTGTATCTGTCTAGAGCTACAACGGACCCTGGAACACTGTGGATGTGCTACACATATGCCAATATATTAATATATACATATATAAATATATAAATATACTTTGTCCTAAATATAATGGTGGTCACAATAATGTTAATGTTAATTCTAATTCTAATGCTAATATTAATGTTAATATCAAAATTAATAGAAATATCATTAATATCATTAATATTATTAATATTATTAATATCAAATTATTGAGCTTAATTCAGATCATCCTAATTGAATATAAGGTTTACAACAATATCAGTAACAAGGAAATAAACAAAACAAAATGCAAAAAAAAAAACACAAATATGTATACTATTACAAGGACAATAAAGAGAGAAAAAAAGCGCATTAATATGATTATAGTACAACACTGCTAGAAAACACGTTCGCCTCCTTAGTATCAGCAAAACAAGGAGACAAAATGAAAATGCTCAAGACTTACAAATAATAAAAATAAATAAATAAAAAAGGCACAAAAGATAAACGTCCAAATGTTTTTCTCCTCTATTTCTCTCATACCCCCTCCTTAACAATAACCATAAAATATAACAAAAAATATATATTTCCCTCTCAAGTAAATACAAAGATATCCGACAGCCTGGAATATTTAATCATTCAAGTCTTAGCCATGTATTCTATCTGGTTTTTTGTTTTTAATTCCTCCACTGACTCAAATTTCTACACAAACCCCTTACTTATCTCTCTCTCTCTCTCTCTCTCTTTGCATATTAAAAAAAAAGCAATATTTAATATTAATTGTAATTGTAATTGTAATTGTACAATATGAAACTTATTTTGAAACATATCTTTTAAAAATAGAATATTAAAGTCAAGGATAATAATGATAATAATAGACGTTGTTAAATCAATTAAAATATTAATGTCAATAGGGGAAATTCCTTTTTTCTTAAAAAAAAACAGAAGGCTTCCTTAGTCAGAATTTCTTTGATTTTCTGGTTTTTTTTTTAAAAAAAAAAGAGAAAAAGACTAATAAAAAGCACTGTGTGACTCTACTTTCCAGTTATTGGGTTGAAATATCGAATGTCCTTGATGAGCAAGATTACACATATTTTCAGATTAAATCATTATAATCTCGTTTAATTTATAGAGAAACCCATTCTGATATGCATAAATATGTAGTCTATTGCGTTCAGTTATATATTCTTTTGACCTACCTGTAAATAGATTTGTCTAGTAAGCGTTCTTGCTTTAAATAGGTACTCTTATTATTATAACTATTATTATTAAGAGTATTATATACATATGCCCAACAAAACAACAACAACAACGACAACAGAAGCAGGAGCAGGAGCAGCTGAACTGTGACATCAATTCACAAGGCTTCTCCTGTGCAAGTCACCAGACTGATCATTGTGGCTGTACTAAGAACTGACCCATTCATAAAATCCAATCCAATCCAATCCAATCCAATCCTTTTAATTTTACTTTATTTCTGTGGTGGGAATTCAACTTTGGTTCCTGAGGATGAAAGAAAGCCCAAGATAAAAACACGCCATTAGGTTTGCTAATGTTCCCTCAAGTTTTTGTGAGACGGATTATAATATAATTCACATCTGATTTATCTTATATAAAGTTATAATTTTTTTGAAGTAAATATACCCTCTCAGTACAACCATCTAATTTCATTTGTTTTATATTCTTCTTATCCTGTCAGTACTCCTACTCCTACTATTAAAGTGCACCTTTTTGGTCTCTCTACTTAAATATTAAAGGTTCAACTTCTTAAAAATAATGTTTATTTTTTTTTAAAAAAAAAAGACCCATAAATCTTTATGTCTTTCTAATTTTACATATAAAAATTGACTTTTATAAAAATAAAATAAAGAAAAGGGTGGACCTAATGGTAATGAACCGTGGGGTGGACCAAGTTCAACGAAAATAAAATTGAAACTCGTTATAAAACTCGGGCCATTAGCCTTCTTCTAACCCGGTTCCCTGATACCTAATACCTGATACCTAATTATACCCCAGCTATTTATTCCGCTCATAGCTCAGATAATTATATTATTTAAATACAGTCACATAATTGATATGGCGCTCAAATGAGATAATACGGATATTTAAATGCTTTATAGGAATTTCTATACACCGAAACAATTCATTGGAAGGTGGTTGAAGCAATTTTTGAGCTTTAAAAAAAAAAAAAAAGACTTTAGACAATTCGAGTCAAATTATAATAAGGACCCGACTAAAAAAGAATAAATTAAAATTTCTAGCAAGGTAAGCGCCACACCTTGACAGCCACATCAAAACAAAATTCCAATGAGATAATTTATAATACAAAATCTGTATAAATACGTATATTTATATATTAATTAATCTTTGGTTTTGTCATGGCAACGTGAACGCGTTCAGATGCCCAAATATAGTAAAAATCTCCAATTTTTTTTTTTTAAATTTTATTTTATTTCTTTTTTATTTTTTATTATTGTTTGCCTCTTTTGACACAATTACACATTCTTGAGATTAGATTCCTTGCAATATGGAATTTATCGATGCTGTTAATCGTACTCATTCCTTACTCAAACAAGTCTTTACTAGTCAGGATGAATTTTTTCTGGCAAGTTGTTCAGCCAATATATCAGAGATTCCATGGTAACAAGATTAAAATAAGAATGATAAATGAATAAAATAAAATAAAATAAAATAAAATAAAATAAAATAAAATAAAATAAAATAAAAATCAATGCCAATTACCAATTACCATGTTCATTTACATTACGATTGTCTATTATTACCATTATGAAAAATGAAAAAAATAAAAAATGAATATAAATAATATTATTATTACCATTAATTGATATTGATATTGATATTGATATTAATAAATGAAATAAAATAACCCAATGAAATAAACCAATGAAATAAAATAAAAAGGTCTTGGGTAGCAGTTTCCTTGGCAACCATTCTTCAGGAACATTCTACAGGTCTTACAGAAACAGCTGTATTATCTAATCTTGAGATACAGGCAAGTTTACATTTTTTCTTTTAAAAAAAATAGGGAGAGAGTGGGGATAGTAGTAGATGTTGTGGCGGTGGATAGAGGAGGGGGTGATCTTAAACTGACAAGACTTATTTTACTTTGGTTTACCTTTTTTTTGGGGGGATTTTATTAGTGGGAGCGTAATTTTATAAAAAAGAATCGAGGAATTGAAGAGGGTGAGTATTTAATAACTTATTCTGAAAGGCAATACAAGTTTGTATTTCTGTGCGTGTATTTAGCAACAACAACAAAATGATGTATAAAAATATTAGATGCTACGAAAATTCAACCTATATACGAGAAAGACGAATCCCAAGGAAGGGTTTTGGAAGCCAAAGTATCTTGGTTGGAGTGTTTCCCAGAAATTAATATTTATATCCTTTATTACTATTACTATTATAATTATTATTACCATCATTGGAATTGGTATTGGTTGGTTGTTCAGATTTATTTATATAATACCCAAGCAAAGAATAATCATTTGTCCTTAACTAAAGATCTTCCTCTCCTTTGCTGTGAGAGGGGGTTATAAAAAATCATTACGGCTGTTGACCGTTCAAGCTGAGATGGACTCTATGCCACTGGAGTTGTACTTGCATCCAAAATTCAATGCATTGGCTACTTCTGAGATATATTCTCTTCAGGGTCAGCCTCCTTTTCTAAAGGTACATCTTACCTTACATTACATACCTACATACCTACATACCTACATACATATGCGTGTGTGCCTTTATTTTAACTGTGTAAAAGCCTGCCAAATTCTTAAGAGAGAAAAAGATGATATGCTTCTTGTCGCATTCAAAAAAAAATTAAAAAAAAATGATACGTGTTTCAATTAAGAAGAATTAGTGATCAAGTAGAATCAACAACAACAAATATGTCCTTTAATTAACTAACCACATCCTGTTCTTTTTATTAATACTTTTATTTTGCATTGTATTGTATTGTATTGTATTGCTATTACCATTATTATTAGGACCGTAAAGTTCGAATGATTTGTCCACCCAAACTTAACAGGCCTGTACCTTCTCTCTTTGATGATCCTTCATATGCTTCAATTTACAGAATCGCGCGCGTTCCTGCGACATCACTCATGATGTTTGAATTGACAGCCAAAGACAAGCCTTTTATTACAAAACAATTCAGTCACTCGATCCAATCGATCCAATCGATCCTTGGGTCTCATCCTCATCTTCAAGCTCATACGTACCCAGATGCGCCAAAATTCAGCTTGTGGCTCAAGGTTACACATATAGAAAATATTACACATACGTCCAGTGTGGTTGCAATGGAAGCTACAGAAGATCCTTCGAATCTCAAGCGTCTTAAGCGCGAGGATATTTACCTTGCAGACATGACAAATGAAAATGCACCGATCATGCTGTCCTTTTATGACGACCAAACCAAATTGATTGCAATGATAAAACGAGTAAGTTTACTTGTCACATCCAAGTTTTCTTTTTCTTTTTTTTTATTGGGTTTTTGGGTTAAAGAAATAAGCAGCAAAATATGATATTTAACGAGGAGAGAAAGAGAGAAGAGCAATGGTACCAAGGGCATGGAGTTGATTAATTTTATTAATTCACTTTATTCATACTCTGGGGTAATTTTTTTTTCTCTTTCATTCCAACTATCAAACTATCTATTATAATATATATATATATATTTAAATGTAAAAGGGAGATTATATTGGTTTGTACAATCCTGGTATTCAAACTGGCCGGCTTACGAATAGTCAAAAAGAATATGCCGATGTTATTCTTGAGTACACTTCAGATACGGTGCTGTTCTTTATGTCCGAACAAGAAGCTCAGCTGGCTCAGGTAGCCAAGGTTAACAACAACAGCTTTTATGACACTTTATTATCGTCATTATATACATTAAAATCCAAAAACATTGGGGCACAACATCACCAACAAGCTATACGTGAGAATGAAATTATGACGAGAAATGAAGAGGTAACCCACACATAAATAGTATATACTTTTGCCTTTTGTTCTTTTCAGTCTACCCGGATTTGTAGAATATCCATTAAAAGTTAATAATAAAAATAGAGAAACCCGGAATTGAAATAATAAATAAATAAATATATATGGATAAATAAGAAAGCTTTTGGCTTAGCGCATATCTGATTGGTATTTTCTTTATAGGGATTTATGGATTGTGCTAGTTATCCTAAATGTATCAAGACGAATGAACTTGTACAAAGCATGTTGAACGTTACACTCTTTGGACGAATTGTGGCGCTTGGAAATAATGTAATATATGGCAGTTTTAACCACCTTGCTTTATTATTATTATTATTATTTAAAAAAAAAAGAAGAAATAGTCAAAGAATCAAGGCAACTAATACAAAGGTTACCAAACCATATTCACGCACATACACACACACATATATATATAAACATTAGGCTTTGTTTCATGATCCAAAAGGCAAAATTATGGATCGCTATCCTATGCGAATTATGGATGAAACCGGTGAGTTGATTACATTAGATCACAAGTACCTCTTTTTTTTTGCTTTTTGGAATACAATATTAAATTGCTTTTTCTTTTCTTTCTTTCTTGATTGGTCGGTCGGTCGGCTTTTAGGAAAAGTAGATGTGACACTGTGGGAAGAAGTAGGAAGATCGGCGCGAAAGTGGAGAGAAGGGCAATACGTTCTCTTGTCTGATCTCAGTACTTCTTCCATTCATATGAGTGAAAAGGGCCCTCAGTGGTATGTGAATGGAAGTGCTCAGTGTGGAACAAAGGTCTTTAATGGTGAGTAACTTTAGTATACTAATACTATAGTATACTAATACTATAGTATCCTAGTACCCTAGTACCCTAGTACCCTAGTACCCTAGTATATGATATATGTATTTTGGTTCCTGAGATTCCAATTCTTGTTTATGAAGTGGAATGGAACCAAAATAAAGAATCGTGTAACTGACCTTAATTCTCTTTTTAATGTAACAATAACAACAACAACAACAACAACAACAACAAAGTGTCCCTCATCGCTGGCCTATTGACCAGTTCAGAATTTAGACGCACAAAAACGATTAAAGCATGTGTTTACGAAGGTGTCGATCACTGGCAAGCTGAGATACATATAGTTGGCTGGGAATTGCATCTCAGGACAGACCCGGAAAGAGCAGTATTGAGTGACGAGAACGAGAGTTTCACAAGACTAGACGAGACTGGCGAACAAGAAGACCAATATGATGATGAATTTGGATTTGGATTTGGATATGACTACGTCTCTGGGCAAGAACAAGATCAAGAACAGGAACAAGAGGAATATGACCCATTTGGACATTGCACGAGGAGATTAGGTGATGCTATCATTACCAGTGTTCGTAAGTAGACTATCTAATACACATACACAAGGTGGCTATAGACACAAGATCATTAGATGACTTGCAAAGAAACAAGAAAATGAAGAAGTAGAAGAAGGGTAACAAAACCTAAAACGAAGACTGGAGAATAATTATTGCTGTTTAATGGTTTATGTGGTTTGTGTGTTTACTCCTTGTTCTCTTTATGGATTCTTATATGATTTCTCTGCTATTGCTACTTAATAATATAATTATTGACGTCTTGGTGATTTAACTTTAATTTTCTATGTATATATTTGTAGACGATGCTTGTCTCCACCCGATTACCAGATCGGATACCATAACAACAACTGAAACAGCAACTGGACAAAAGATATTATTATCTGAGCAGGAGGAAATGGATGAAAAAGGCAGGCTGATGTGTGAATTTTGTAGATGCGACATCACGCCAAATCAAGTTGTACAAGCTTTTGAAAGTAAACCCAGTAGTAATAGTAATAATCTCAAGAATAAGAATAGCAAACCACGAATGGAATTATTAGCAGAGAATAGTTGGAATGGATGGCTTGAGTGGCGCTTAGACGATGGCACGGGGATGATTATGGCCAGTGGCTGTGAAGAGGTTAACAATCGATTTCCAAAAACAACAAACAAAAACTAATCCCTCAACTTAATAAGTAGAAATAGTCAAGACGATATATTATTTATCTATTTTATGATGATGCTTACTTTATTTTTATTTTTATTTTATTTTATTTTTTATATATGTATTTTTTCTTGTGTATCGGTTTTATTTTTAATCTTTGCACAAATAGGGTATTTTGAACATACCTGCTCAACAGTTCAAGAAGATGTCTCACGATACCCAAGTAACATATCTCGACACCACAATCGGAAAACCTTTCTTTTGCTCACTCACTAAGATGGTAAGGTCTCTTTTATTTTCATTCTTCTTTTTCAAATTACGTATAGACATACATAGATACATTTGGTACAATTAGTACACTTAGTACACTTGGTACACTTGGTACACTTGGTACATTTATACATTTGGTGCATTTTCTGTACATTTTATATATTTTGCTTAATCCTGTAACAAAATCAAGCCGAGCTTGAAAAAGGAAACCCAAAAAGAAAAAAGAAAAAAGAAAAAACAGCAACAAGAAACATTGCTGTGTGACATTTGAATTTTTAAGTCTTGTCCCGCTAATTTTTTTTTCTTGTTATTATTTCATACATATCTTTATTAGTCGTCTGGCCATCATCGTATAGATCGGGCATTGCGCCTACAACAAGTTTACCTTGGTGAACTAAAGATACCACCAACAGAAGGACCCTTTTCTTCTTTTCCCGGACTATAACATAAATGTCTCGAGTCCTACAGAAAACTAATCCTTAATGCGTTCAATTACAATAGAACTTCTTTTTTTTGTTGTTGTTAAAGAGAATTAAATATGTGTATATTAATAAATATCATAATAAAAGACAAGACCCTTGCTTTGGGTTTGATTTGATTTGATTTTTTTTTCAGCGCACTTATTTCCAATAATATTCTTATTTTATTGAACTTTCTGAACGATACTTGTTATTTGAAGGCTGGAGAGATAAATAGATAGATAGATAGATAGATAGATAGATGGAGGTTTGTAAGGACAACGTGGTATTTCCAACTCGCCCTTTCTTGTTTCCTCTTTCGACACCGACATAATTTATTTTCTTTTAAAAAAAATGTATTTTTATGAGTGTGACATTTCACGAGTTGGGTAGATAAATATATATTCTTCTTGACGAGGTGAATTTCTCTTTTTTATTAAGATTCGTGTCCGCAATAATTTTTTTTTATTTGGCTTTGATCATTTTCCTATTTTATATTTTATTTTAATATTTCTTGGGGTATATAAGCAAACGACTCTTTGTGAACCAGTTTCGTTTTGTTTCTCTCGTTCACCACCAATCTCTTCCCTTTCCTTACCAAAAACAACCCACAACCCCATTCCTTTTTGTCTCAATTTCTCTCTCAATAAACCTACACCATGAAGTCTGTCTTTTTCTCTACCCTCGCCGTCCTTGCTGCCGTCGTCAACACCGCCTCTGCTGCCACCGTACGTCTTTCACCTCTATCCACCTACCTATTCATCTGCATATTTTAGATATAGATATCTTCTTGTGTTTATTTTTGTTTTATTAGAGACAGAATATACACATATATGACAATTGGAATTAACAATATATATTGTATTCAAATCATTACATCCAATTAGTTCATCACTCCCTGGGCTAATTCCACCTGGGTAAGTTCTCTCTTAATGATATTGTTATTATTATTAGAAATAATAATTACTAGGAAACAATAAAAAAAAAGTATCGAATCAAATCAAAGCAAATCAAAATCAAAATCAAAATCAAAGCAAATCAAAATATATAATCATTAGCCACAGTATAAGTTTATTTCTGTACTTCATAAAATAAAATTGTGTATCACACAAGACAAAGCTTATCAATTTTTAAATATATTTATGTACCAATTTACTTATTCTCTTTTTTTTTCTTTTTTTAATTAATTAATTAATTAATTAGACTGCTGGTGGTCATGGTAACATTACCTGGACCGCTTCTGCTGATGAGGCTGCCTTGAACTGTGAAATCCAAATGCTCAACGGTGAAGTTGGTAACGCCAACCTCGTCGCCTACGTGACCAACCCCGCTTCCCCCATTGCTTGCTCTGCTGGAAAGTTCGATGTAAGTTTTCTTTTTTCTTTTGGAATTAGTTTTTTTTTAATATATGTATTTATGTAATTCTATAGATTTACCCCCTCAATGACTTTGCTTCTGGCAAGTACTCCCTCCGTATTGGTCAGTCTGCCACTGGCAACTGGGGCTACTCTGGTGTCTTCAACTTTGTTGGTGGTGGAACCATCGCTCCTCTCGTTGTTGTTTGTAAGTATATCTTTTCTTGGGAAAAATGAAAAATGAGAATTAATTTTTTTTGGGTGTATATTTTGACTTGGTATAGCCGGTACTTCTGCTTCTGGCGTTGCTGCTTCCGGTGCTGCTGCCTCTGGTGCTGCTGCCGCCTCCGGTTCCGCTGCTGCTGCCGCCTCTGGTGTCCCTACCCACGCTGCTGCTGCCTCTGGTAAGGCTTCTGGCTCTGCTTCCGTCTCTGGCTCTTCCGCTGCTGCCTCCCAGACTGTCTCCAAGGACAGTGCTGGTGTCCAGATCACTGCCAAGAACTCCTTGTTCATTGCTGCTGCCGGTGCCGCCCTTGCATTGGCTCTTTAAGAAAAAGAAAATCCCAAGAAACCAGCAAACAAACGAACAAACAAAAAGTTGTTAGAAGTCCTAATAAATATAACGAAAGAAACCCTCTCTAGCAATCAAACAAACCAAACCAAAAAAAAAACAACAACAACGGAACCTTCCCTCTTTTTTTTTCACTGACAAACAAATAATCCGCTCTCACTATCTCACTACCCCCTCTTTTTTTTAATTCAATTTTTGGCATATTTTTTCTATTATAAAAAAAAGCAAGAAAAAATGAACTTTTTCTTTTTAATTACTACATTTTGCTTTCTTTTTCTCGTACAAAAGAAAACCAAAAACGACTGAGGAAGACATATAAAGAGAAGAAGTAGAATAGATAATTAAACTAACTAATTTTGGCTTGTCCTCTTTATTTATCTACCTTTTTTTCTATGTCTCTATCTTTCTCGGTGCTTATATTCTATAATACAATTCTATATTTCTTTTTATTTTTAAATACATAAATCGATATATTTATATGTATACATATCATATTTGGTTGAGTTTTCTACAAAGCTGTTTTCTACAGAATACTGGTCTTCGCGCTCAAGATCTGCAGGAAATTAAAAACAAAACAAAAACTACATATTAATGAACCCTTAAAAAAGAAAAGTAGGATAAATTATTATTGATAGGAAGAGGGGGAAGAAGTAAGGAGTAAGAAAAAGGGGGTATGAAAGAAAGAGAGAAAGAAAGGTTTACAAACCGTCAGAATTCTTATTTTTATTGGATTTTACCCGCCTAAACTACACCACATTCTGACACACATCACACACACACACTACACAAGTTTATGATGTATACATGCAAAGATACCCTTGTTTCTTTAAATTGCATATATTTGAATGAATATTCTCTCTTTATATATATGTTTTTTTTTCTTAAAAGCTATGGTGACTTATCTGTCGAATCGAATTAGAAAGACAATTTTTTTTTAAAAATTTACCAAAGATCATTTTGTTGTTTTATATATATAAATGTAACATGAAAACAAATTAAGCAACATTAGGGGAGAAGAGACGGAGAAGAGGGGGAGAAGAGGGTTGAGATTAAAGAAAGGTTCAATTTATTTGGTGGCGTGCTTTGACAAACACAAACACAAATACTAATCAAATAAACTCAGAAACCATATTTCTTTATCTCTTTTTTTATTTATTTATTTATTTTTGTAATCTCATAATTTACACTACAAAACCAAATGACACTATAGTCTAACGCACGCATTACATACACATCTGGCGTATAAGTCAATGTTAATGTTTATTTTAATTTTTTTTAAAGTTTTGATCTAGCAGTTTGTTACCTTGACGATATTAAACTTGGTCTTTTTTTTTTTTTAAGAAAAAAATTATAATATATATATATAAATATACATATATTGCCATGGTTACAAAAACGTTAGAGAAAAAAAAGAATATATACATATATACATGCACATATGCTCCTATACATATGTACACTACCTGTGCATACTTTTTTCTTCTTCTTATTTTTCCTATCTACTGCAGGTCCCGAATATATGTATATAACAGGTCCCCAATCATAATACTCTAGTGCAAGCTGCAACAGATTATATATATATTTGGTTCCCTCAAACTATATTTGCATAACAACAATCGAATTGAACGGTGAGCCCTTGACTAGGAGAGATTTATTTTAATTTTTTAATTTATTCAAACTTTTGTGTATCTTGTGAATAGACTGGGTTATTTTAAATAAACAAACCAAACCAAACCAAGTCAAACCAAATCAAACCAAAAATTGGTTACATATATATATATAATTACTATGTGAGTGTGAGCTGTATTTATTTCTTTGTTCTCGAGTCGGCCAAGTCCTTGTTTTTTTAAATGTTAAAGAAAGAAAGAAAGAAAGAAAAGACAATTGGAGTGAATAGTATTTATCGTCCAATACATATATGCAGGGATATCAGTAACCGGTTTAGACTTGCACCTGGATCTACTGTACTGTCAACTCTACCAGTTTCTGTATTAAATATCTGTCATCTATTTAATACCAGTCATTTATTGAATACCAGTTTATATATATATATATATATTAGACAGATAAGTAGACCGATAGGCTGATAGGCATACAGATAGACATACAAAAAAGAAATATATAGAAAGAAAGCGTAATTGGAAGACCAAGGAAATTTCAGAACATAAAATGGGTGAACAGAATATTATCATATAAATTATTACTATAGAGTTTGTAATTAATGTATATAATAATAAGAACAACAACAAACTTAAGCATAATGATAATAATAAAATATTTTATTGGTTATCATTTTCCCTTTTATGTTTAAAGAGGCTTCATGATACATTACTATAGGGCCTGATTTGATATTCGGAAGTCTCGGAAGAAAATCTTTGTGAATCCTAAAGACACATTTTTATTTATTTTTTGGAAATTCAGGAGAAACTTGTTTGTTGGACAAGAACATATATTGTTGTACTAAACACAATACTGCCCTGTACTGCCATGTACTGTACTGTACTGTACTGTACTGTACTGTACTGTGCTATGCTGTTGTGTACTGTGTGCCCTGAATTTAAAGAAGAGGCAAGATATTGAGTACTGAACAAAGGAGTTCATGTCTTGGCTCATAAGAAGAAGAAGAAAACATTGGTACCTTTCAATAGTATATATTATCAAAGTATTGGAAATGTAATAATGGATCAGAACAGCAAACAGCTAAATTTAACAAGGCTTAAAGGTTATTATAATATTAAGCTCAAAGGCAAAACGTGAGTTGGTTACTATGATACGACTATCAAAAAAAAAATAGAATTCACCCCCTTTGTGTGTATGTGTAATGTATAATATAAATAAATCTGTCTTGTCTGTCTGTAGAATCTTGACTTTAGTTTTGACTCCGTTGATTTAGATAATTGCTCCATAGCCATTTTCTATTCTTCTTCCTCTTCTCCTCTTTACCTTTCCTTTTCAACATTTGGCTTTTTCTTTTTTCTTTCTTTTTAGTTTCTTAACTTCACGCCCTTTCCTTTCATTACATATACAGCTATACATCTATCAATTTAATTGTAGATATATATCCTTTATATTTGTGTGTATATTTTATTTATTTATTTATTTGTTTGTTTGCTTGTTTTATTTGATTTTGATTTTGATTTTGTTGTAAAGCTTAAAAAAAATATATATATTCAACTACCCCCAAGAATTCCCATAGCTTCTTTGATTGATTGTTTGACTGATTAACCAACCGTACAAATGGCGATAAAAAACATCACCAAGTCCCTCCGACGTATTCAAAAGAAAGAGTCTGTTAATTTACCACCAGCACAAACATCACAACCACAACCACCACAAACATCACCACATACCCCCACTTCTACCCACACCCCCATATCAACCAAATCAAATTCACCTTCTAACCAGGATTCACTCTTGCATGGAATCGGCCCTTATACATTCTGCCATGCACTTGGAAACGGGAAATTCAGTCGAGTTATGCTAGCCAAGCACAAAAATGGAACTCTTGTTGCAATTAAGGTAAGTCATCTATTCTCCCCCTTCTTCCTCCTCTTCCTCCTCCTTCTTCTTTTTTCTTTCTTTCTTTATTTATCTTTCTTCTCCTTCTTCATTTTTACATATATAATAATAATAATAATAATAATAATAATAATAATAATAATAATAATAGTGTATCATATAATAGCCATTAGCCATTAATCATAAATACAAATACAAATGTATATTGATATTGATATGATTTTAGATGATAGACAAGCAGGCTCATGACTACCGTGTCATGTCTCGGCTGGTGCGAGAAATCTATCTGATGGAAGCACTGGATCATGAGAGTGTAGTCAGACTCTACGAAACGTTCGAGACCTGCGACACTTTGTATTTGGTGATGGAATATGTCCCTGGCTGTAATTTAGACGAACACTTGCAAAAATCGGGAGGTTCGATATCTGAGGATGAGGCACGCTTAATATTCAGGCAGATGGTAGTAGCCGTAAGCCATTGTCATTCTCGTTGGGTTGTCCATAGAGATCTCAAGGTAAGAGAATATATATATATATATATCTTTGTATTCAACTTTATCAATTTTTTTTTTGGGTAGACGCCTAATGTGCTTGTTGCACCCGACGGGATCGTCAAGTTGGCTGATTTTGGGCTCGGAAATCGGTTTGGGTTGCAGCGACTGCGCACCATCTGTGGTATGTTTCAATAATAATAAAAATGAAAAAAAGGGCTGTATGAACCTATTTACTTACTTCTGTATTGAAAATATTGGTGTTAAAAGGATCAATGCTGTATTATAGTCCAGAAATCATCAGTGGTCAAAAGTATTATGGGCCTGAGGTTGATTGTTGGTGTCTTGGGATTGCTTTGTTCAGAATGACGGCTGGATTTGAGCCCTTTTCACATGCACACAGTAAGTCCTCTTTCCTTCTTTCTTTACTTTACTTTATGCTCCAATAATCATAATAATCATATAATACTATTCTTATTTTTTCTTTCTTTCTTTCTTTCTTTCTTTCTTTCTTGTCGTCCCACTCGTCGTATGCTTCGAAATTTCTAAAGTTTAATCTACCTTTTTGTATGTGCGTCTTTATTTATTTATTTTTGAAACAGCGGTGGGGGAATTGAAAAAAGATGTCTGTAGTGGCAACTTCCCGATGCCAGAAAAAATGAGTGCGGGACTGCAGGCCACGATCCGCAAATGCCTCGAGACAGATCGCCGTCGACGAATGACTGTACGACAAGCCCTCGGGAATGATCCTTGGTTGACAAACTATGGCAGATTGCCCTGCCCCATAATCGAAGGCCCAATGATGTCCGCATGTGGCGGTGACATGACAATATATAATAATATCACAGGCTTAGACCAAAGTTTGTCAGAGAGTAGAGAAAGAAGAAACCGGCGGCAGCATTTACGGAACATCGATCTGGGTATCATTGGTCCTGATTCTGATGCTCAAAACGTCCAAGATCCTGACCCTAACAGCAGTACTAATGATGATTTTGGCACAACCCATCAAAACCACGCCGGTGTTACTCAGCGCACTCTCATATTCCATCCCGTCAACTCATCCACTTACTTCACAACCCCTTCGTCCTCACATCCGTATTCCCCAGGATCAGCGACTCAGCATTTCCCTCACCGACACCCACACATCGAGTCCCTGCGAAACGAACTTCTGCACACCATCCGAACCACCATCCACCAACTCGGAATGCGTCCAGCCGAACGCTGGGAAACCATCTCGAACCGATTCCGATCACCCACTCTGTCTCCACTGCGCCCAAAAGAGCATTACAACCACAGCAACCAGCACCAGCCCTTTCAACTGCTGTCCTCCGTAGTCAGCCGGTGGACAAAAGACAGAGTCTATCTGGCGTACCTGCACAACCCAGGCTCCTCAAGCACCACGGCCTCGTCATCCTGGTCAAGTTCGGATCTATTGCCGTGTCCGATGCGAACAGAACGGGACCTGATGATCTTGCTGCAGCTCGCGTGTCAATTGATGGGGATCACTTATATGGAACAACAAAGTTCTATTACTAATAATAATAATAATAATAATAATAATAATAATAAAAGTAGTAGTACGAAAGCCAAAAAATCAACAACAACAACAACAGAAACGACAACTAAAATGGCGACTCAGCAGCTCCGGTGTGTCTTTACTCTCAGAGATACACCCATCGAAGCAAGCGAACATTCATTAATAAGTGATTGCCTACCCAACGATCTACCCACCAAAAAACTGTCGCTTCCTCTGCTGTCACACCTAACGTCTTCAATGACCACCTCGTTTTTTGGTCGCTCTCGGCAGAATCTTGATCCTTCGCCTATGATGAAACCTCAGAAACAAAAAGAAGGCACGGCCGAGTTCACGATACGGATTGAGTACCAGAAGCGAGCGCCGTGGTCCAAGAGCAGTAGTAATACAGGAGGGTATTTGTATGCCATCAGATTCTCTAAACTTAATGGTTCAACCACTGTGTTTAAAATGGCATCAGGTTGGGTTGCACGGGTACTTGGATTGACTGTCTGATATACATGTATCTAAAGAAAGGATATGGATAGCCACTCATTCACTTCCACGCATTACACTGTATGTGTGTATGTAGTTTAATAAGGTGTATTATATTGTATTGTATTGTATTGTATTGTAGTGTAGTGTAGTGTAGTGTACTGAGTGTCTGTGAGCCTTATTCTGTGTATATTATTTTCATAATAAAAACAAAATAAAGTAAAAAGCTTTACTCTCACTTGGTATTTCTATGTAGATATATTATATACATATTATATATATATATATATATATATACTTGAATTTGGATTTATTTATTTATTTATTTATTATTAGTATTGTACAAATCAGCAGAATTTTTGTTTTTTAAGCTTTGTTAATGTTAATGTTCTCTAATCCCTTTGCGATCGTACTGTTGTATCGCCCACGCAAGATCTCTTCGTCTGTCCAACCATTCAATGGTTCGTCTTCTGAGTCCTCGTCTTCTGAAGAGCTTCCATCATCACAAGTAGACTCCACACTAGAGTCATAACCACTTGTAGTTCCGCCTCCTCCTCCTCCACCACCACCACCACCATTACTATTAGTATTAGTAGTATTAGTAGTGGCAGTAGCAGTAGTAGTAGTGCTGTGTGTAATACTACTGCTACTATTGACAGTAGCACCACCACTACTAGTATTTGTGATATGATTGTGATTATGATTGTGACTGTGGTTGTGATTGTTACTGCGCTTTTGGAAATCTTCATCACCAAAGATAGCAAATACTTCATCATGGCTCATTTCAGAAGTACTGCTGCTGGTAGTAGAAGGTTGGTGGTTAGAGGAAGGTTTGCGGGATGTTGGTGATGTACGAGTAGAGGGTGATGTGCGTGCGGTAGAGCGTCCTGAGGTTGGCTTTGATGATGAGGATTGACGATGTGATTCGACTACTGCAAACGATTTTTGGCGTTGGCGCTTGTTCCAATGCAAACAATTGGATAATGAATTAAACCAGTCTGTAGCTTGATCATCTTTACAGACCTATAAGATTATTATTATTATTATTAAAGAAAAAAGATATTAACAAAAGAGAAATTATAATATATATATATGTATATATATATATATATATTTGTGTGTGTATCATTAATTCTTTTTCTTTTAAAAAAGAAAGAAAAACTTACAGTAGGAAATGGGTATTTTGAGGCTGTGACTTTTATGTGATCGCCCTCTACATTCAATTATTAAATGTCAATTATTTTGTTGTAAATACAGATACCCCTTCTTCTTCTTTATAATCTCTTTCAAAAAAAAAAAAAAACTTACGTCTTAGTTCTACACGACCCCGACCATCAAAACTGGCCCAGGCTGTGTTTCGTGAATTATAAGGTACACAGATCCGCAGTTCCATCGAGTCCGGAACAAGGGTGGGCCGGAAAGACAGGGTGTGAGGACAAATGGGAGTAATGAGAGTGGCACGAATCTCTGGGTGAGTCAGTGAGCCGCCAGCTGACAGTGAATATGCTGTGCTTCCGGTCGGTGTTGAGATGGCCAGTCCGTCTGCCTGGACGGTCGTGAGATGTTTGTCGTCTCCAAACAGTTCCAGGAGACTCATGTATGGGCTCGGACCACGATCGATGACCAGGTCGTTCAGGACATGGTATTGTTCGACCGGAATGGTCGTGAAGCAAGGAATCGGGCCATAGTCTGTCTCCTCCGCTTCTTCGGCGTCTTCTGAGGACGAGGATGCTGAAAATAATGGTGGTGTACATGACGTCTTGGATTGCTCATTTGTGGTCGTATCGATTGTAACAGGAGGCGGATTAGAGTTGTGATTGTTGTGATTTGAATTTGAGTTGCTATTTTTGCTGTGGCTCTTTGTGATTTTTGCAGACTTTCTCAAATCAGAAGATGATGTTGTGGTTGTGGTTGTGGTTGAATGTTTTGGCTTTCCATGATTGTCGTTATCGTTGTCATTGTCGCTCTCATTGCTGCAGTCATTGCCGCAGTTGCTGGGATTGTGGCGGCCGATGTCTTCGTCGTCTTCATCGATATCTTCGCCATCAACCTCGCCAAACTTTTTTAATGTCTTCTTGCGCGGCGTACACCATTCACCAACCGTAATTTTTCCTGTGATTGGGTTTCGCTTGACCTGGCGTAGACTGGGTGCGTGTCCGGTACCGTTGGCGTTCGTTTGACTGACATGTCTGTAGACAGTGCATGTCAAACGGCCCCTGAGGTTGATACGGACACCTTTTTCCATTGCGTGTGTAAGATAAGAGGCGTATTTTTCGAAATGAAAGGGTGTGAGGAATCCAAGGGATCCCAGATGAAAAGGGATTACGGGTGGGATAAAAGCTTGAAATAACCAAGATGCAAACAAGACCTATACATACATAAATCACATATATAAATAAATATACGTATATATATATAAAAATGATAATAATTTACATCATCCATAATTACAATTACAATCACAATCACACATAAAACACAAAACACAAACAAATTAACTCACTGTGCCATCACCGCCCAACTATAAAAGATAACCAGATAAAATATACAGATTGAGTGATTAGCTTAAACAATATTTTAGCTAGTGTATATATATATATATATATATATATATATATATATATATTACATATATACTACTTACAGTAACGATAAAATCAAACAGCTTTGGTTGAAGGGAGACCATCTCAGGTGTCCAGTATCGTAGCTTATCTACTCTCTCGGGATGCTTATTTAATTTCTTGCAAAACGTCTTGCAATCTCTTAGCTTATCATCGACATAACTATAATCACATAGATAGATAGATAGTAAGAATAAAGTAAATATACATATTCATACACGTACACACACATAAAAGAAGTATCTCGAATAACTCCTTTTCTTTTTCTTCTTCTTCTGTCAAGCCTTACACTGTAATCCCACTTGGTTGACCATATCGAGGTGTTTCTATCAACCAATCAGCCAATTCGCGTGTCATTCGAACAAGACTGATATCGTTGGGTTTGGTTATAATCAAGACTGACTGAGGGTTTTCCCAAGTGATTCTTGCTCTTCCTAAAGATATATAGATTTATTTAATAAGAATTGTCTATAGGTACATATATATATATATATATATTATTTATTTATTTATTTATTCATTTACCCATTTTCTTGGCTACTTGTCTTACGACTTCTGCTGTGTCAGAGAGATGAGATGCTTGAGTGTGTCGAGGTTTTGGTTGGACATGACGATTGGGTAGGCCATCGTGCAGAATGTGATCTGGTTGTGAATGAGATTGAGGATCGAATTGATTGACAGAGGTTTTGTTGACAGGCCAAGCTGCCTTTATTGTTCTATTTTGGGCCATCAGTAGTCAAAGTAATACAAAGTATAAACAAAATAAAAAAATAAAGTCAAGCCAATAAAAGGTAAGAGAAGTAGGAGGAAGAGGAAGAGGAAGAGGAGGAGGAGGAGGAGTAGTAGTAGGAGGAGGAGGAGGAGGAGTGAATATTTATATATATATATGTGTGTGTGTAAGTGTTTGTGTTTTTAAAAAAAAAAAAGGGAGAGAGAGAGAAAAGTACGGAATTGAACAAAGAAAAAAAAAAAAAAAAAGTCCAGTCTTTCTTTTAATATATATATATATAAAAAGGCCCTATACCTTGAAATATATAGATATACTTGAAAGCCTTTAATATTTTTGAAATCATAATCGTATCTTACTGTTACTACTATTACTTAATACTTATTATTTTCATTATAATTATAATTGTTATTTATTTATTTATTTATTATTCTTTTGCAGCCAAAAGTATATATATATATATAATATATAATATAAAAGATTAAGCGCTATTTAAATATAAATATTTATATAAGGTTGGGTACAAGGTAACAGGTACACAAAAAAAAACAAGCAACAACAAGAAGAAGGGTATGTAAAATAAAGGGTAGATTTGGTATATAGCTTAACAAGCAAAAAGAACAATATTTAGTATAGTCAATTGAATTTTATATGATGTTTCAAACTACCAAGCGTAATGCTGCTTAGTATGATGCCGTTCAATAAAAAGTACAAGCAAGACAATCAGATAATCAGATATATATATATATATATATATATCTGTCTATTTTAGCTCACTGTAATACATACCTAGAACCTAATAAATCTTAAAGACTAAAAAGAAAGAAAAGGCTTACTCATCGACTGCAAGCATGTCAAAAATAAAAATAAAAGAAGTTTGCATGAATGTATTAGGATTTAAGGTGATTATAGCTTGTGATGATACTCATTACAAAAGAATATATAAAAGTTTAAGCGGTAAGGACAAGTCAAATGAGCACCAAATATGAAGATGTATTGAAATGCACATAAAGTATGACTTGGCTGTATCGGTGAATAAGGGTAAAAGATATTACGGGGTTTATCTCTTATATATATATATATATATATTTGTGCACACAAACATAAACACAAACAGTTGTATCTATGTTAGCTGTGAAATCCACCTAAATATTTTTCAAACGGTCCTTTACATGATCGAATGTTTCAGATTTAATACGAAAGAAAAATCATTTATTGCGCTTAAATTGGTTTAATAGGTAAATAAATGTATCAATTTTTATTTTTATTTTTTTTTAGAAATACCTATAAAAAAAAAAGTTCAAGGCCTTGTGGGGGGGATATTCAAGTTTTTGAACACTTTGAAGATGAATTACAAGAGTAAAGAAAACTGGAAAAAAGAGGGTACATAAAAGGAAATGAAAGACACAATTAGTGTTACCAGGAATTTTACTTGTACCACATTGAAGAATATTAGTAGTAGCAGTAGAGAGAATTAGATAATACTAATTATTATTCTTGTTGTTATAAATTGATTCATCTTTCTTTTTCTTTTTTTTTGCCCACTACATATATTACTCTTTATATATATAAATGTAACCTTGTCAAAAGTCAAATACATGGGGGGCGTGGTTCATTGTTATTATGTATATAATACTATATAATATTGTACACCTTTACCCATAGATACATAGACATACATCTTGCTTTCACTTGTTTCTCAATTATCATTTGTCTGGTGCAAAATGGCGTATGAATCTGATTGAAAAAAAAATTATTAAAGAATAATAATAATAAAATAAAAAAAAACATGTTTCTTAACCAAATTTCATACAATTATACAAAAAATAAATAAATTGAGAACAGGGCACATTTTATTATATACAATACAATACAATTATATTTTATACACCCAAAACTGTGTGTTACATTGTTATGGGCGATCTTTGGAAGTTCTACAGAGCCAAATATATAATGAATAATGAATAATGAATAATAAAAGAATTGAAAATTAGATATTGGAATTAAGAATTAGAAGCAAGAAATAGGCAATTCGGCATTTATTATTATTATTATTAAAAGAAAAATATACAAGAAAGTAACAAGGTATTAAAAAGAAAGTGGTAAAATGCAAGTTTTTTTTTGTATGTAATATGATTAATGATTAATGGTAATGGTAGTGGTAATAGAGTGTATGGACGGGTTTAATTTAAAGTACTGTGGCTGAGATTGGGACAAGGTAACTAGAATCATCTTCATCGTCTGGAGTATTACTGGCCCATATGCTTCTTTTTGATGGGTGGGTTGATAATCGAGTGAAGAAGAGAGGACCTGCACACATGGTTGTATTGATTGATAGCCTTGGACGGTCCTTTTTGGAGATTTTGTGGGGCATTGGGATAGAGGATGGTAATGGCAGTAGTTGGCAATTTGTGGGCAGGGAGGTGGAGTCACTTGGTGTTTCTGGACTGGCCAGACTGTCTGGACTGGGGCTTTGGTGATTTGGATCGTTTGGATCGGTTGGGTTGGTAGGAGTGTAGGTTGGGATATCGACTGAGAGTTGGGGAAGAAGACGAGGATTGAGTTTGTAGAGTACGTGTGATTCAGCAGCTCGGTTGTAATCACTGGCTGAATAGGTGTAATAGATCACTGGTTGATCAATAAACCGGACTGATTTCGTTGACCGTGGCTTCTTTTTGATCATATCGTCTGTAGATAATTGGCGTTTATGAGTCATTCTTTCTATATATCGATTGATTGGTTGGTTGGTGCTGTGAAAAGAATAAAGAAAAGAAAAGAAGAAGTGTATTGGTTTCGACTAGCTGTAAAGAACAGAGGAAAGGGGAAAATATATAAATCAAAAAGGTATTTATATAAAAATAAAAATAAAAATAAAAATTTAGCTTGTATATAAATAGAAAAAAAAAAAAAAAAAAGATACATAGTAATAGTGATAGTAATGGCAATGGCAATAATAGTCGGCACTATAAATACATCCAAGGTTAAATTTGACGTTCTGTTTTGAAGATCAGTAAGTCAATTGCAGGCACCATTATTTCCATTTATGGAACTTGGTCGCCCATCTACTCTATTCCAAAGCTAAATAGCAACCATTTACACCCACACCAAGAAAGGGCCAAGATGGCATGGCATTTATATACATATACATAAAAAGGTATATCAAACTTAGGGAGATAAAACAAAATAAAAATATATAGATAGATTCTTATAAAGCCAATGTCCAGACTATTATTTCTGTATACAAAATGTGTGTCTGTTCACTAACTCAATATGTAGAAAGGTAGGACAAGAAGCCCAGGAACAAATATATTTAAATATAATTATATAATTATACACAAAAGATATAAATATATAAAGATATACAAGTATCGATTTTTAGAATATTGTAAAAATAACAATTGTAATTTTATTTATTTATTTGGCTTTATTTTTGGTTTGTTCTCTATATTCAACTACTAAGCCAAAGATGTATATATATATATATATATATATAAATCTAAATATATAATTTGATATACATATTAAGAAATAGAGCAAATACAATACAATACAATACAATACAATAGGGTAAAATAATCTGGGCCATTTTTCAAATATTCTATTATATTTGTAGTCCACTTGAATAGCTTTTATCAGCATAAACCCTTTGGACTTCTTTTGCTATGAAAGTAATAATAGTAGTAGTAGTAGTAGTAGTAGTAGGTATTCAAGAGGATAATAAAACTATTAGGAGTAAGCCATAGATTATAATAACCTTTCTCCTTTTCCTACCCCTTCCTTTATATGCCTAACAACTTCACTTGGATTGCATGGTTAATTGCCCATAAATGTAAATTGTGCTTTATATACATACATACATTATAGAGTAATGATAATGATAATATCCAAGTCATCTTTGTTTCTGAATCCGTGGAATTATGTATAAATACGACGAATAGCTGGAATATTCTAATTAATAGATCATTTCTCTTTATTTTTGTATATATTGCCTAATCCCAAGCTCATAAAACCAATACCACTATGGAGCTAGGTCAGCCATTATCACCATCCTGTTACACTCTTTCCGGAAATTATTGGTGCAATTCTCTGACAAAATTGTATAATCCTGTTGTGTTTCTTTATTTTCTTATTATTACTTTAGCATTCATAACACATTCAAAGAAATCAACATTCGTCAATACAACTACTATAAAAAACCTGACTAACTAATATATATTAAAATGCAAAAGAAATGCAAACCATAGATGCTAAATTGATGACAGTCGATGGCATTAAAGGTGTTGTATAAATCAAACCACACAACACCTCCCGTCCTCCGAAATAGTAAAAGAAGATAGAGTCCGACTAGCGTTAGAATCTTTGACTCATTACAAGGTAAAGAGAAAAAGAGGACGTAGTTAAGGTGGAAATAGATTAGTCTACACTTGTGATATTATTAGAAAATGATAATCAAGAGCAATTCTTCAACTTCTGATGTGGAAAGGCTATATATATACTTTTATATATACAACAATGACCACAAAGAACTTGAACCGACTGTAACCCTACTGAAGCTTAATGACGAATATGTTAACCCTATCATTCCCTTGTTTTCATACAATGCTCTTATTTATTAATCCTTTGATTGAAACCCCTTTTTTCTTCTTTTGTTATGACCAAACATAAAAACAGTACTCTCTCCTCTTTGACCTAGCTCAAGATAAGCTTGTCTACTTATAATAAAGCAGGTTAATACATACATTGATTCAACACAATCAAAGTCTTTATTTTATCTTGACTTATAAATACTAATAAAAAATGTATAGTAATTAAGCACAAACAGAATAAAATCTGTTTTTCTTTCTCTGATCTATAGTGTGCTGTAGATATTGCTTTTTAATATTTCCAAATTAATTTCAACTTGTTGTTGTTATTGTTGTACTCGAAATTAACTGATGATTTTAAATAAGAAAACAAACAACGAAAGAATAAGGTATGTAGATTTATACAATCAACCAGGCTTTATATGTAATATATCAATAGATAAAGAAATAAGAGAACCAGAATTTATGCACTACAAACATATACGCATAAATATAAATATATATATATATATATGCAACACCTGCGTAACGTAGTAGAACGGGTTATTTGCCCCAAATTTAATTTGGCTTATTTCTGTCAATTATTTGAAGAGTGAGGGGTGGGGCATTAACTCTTGCCAGCTTGTTAATTGTATATTGTATTGATTATTAGCATTATTATTTGCCCAAATAGAATACTTTTACATATACAAGAAATTATATGTATAAAAGGGTATCTATAAGGACATGTTGAAAATAATAATCAGTATTACAAATTATACAAATTATACAAATTATACAAATTTTATAAATATATTTTGGAGACCTATCACTGTTTTATTATCATTATCATTATTAGTTTAAACTAATAAAGAAAAGACAATATCATACTGATCATGAAATATATTCCCTCGGAAATGTAATGCAATTCAATTCAATTTAATTCAATTATACTACACACTATAAACTACACAGACAGGTTCATATTTAGCTAGCCTGTCTAGGGTCTTTATTTGAAACTAACAATAGTAAGAATATATACATATACCCTATATCAGAGGGAATGTAAAACGTTTATTTAATTTACTTGTCACAAAATCTCAGTCAAGTTATCACTCACTTGGCAAGCACTTGACAAGCACTTGATGAGCACTTGATGAGCACTTGATGAGTCTAGCCACCATCAGCCAAACTAGCCTTGACTTGCAATCTATTTATTTATTCATTTTTTTTATATAAGCAAATAGCAGAGTAAAAATTGGATAGGATAATAGAATCATAGATAATTAAGTAATCGTTTTTCTTTAAAATATTTGAAAATAGAAAATATATATATATATATATATATATATTAGCACGATAAATAATGTAGAATTACACAGTATACAATAGAAAGAAGACCTGGTCATTTCAATGACAGAAGCAGCTGCTCGTAGTTACCAATGAGCTAGTCCTATAAGCCAATATCAATGATAACAAAAAGAAAAGAAAAAAAAAACTTTGATTTCTAATTCCTAATAAATTGTATACATTAATTTTATTATGCTATAAATTTTCCTTGAAGATCTTGAAGCATTGTTTTTTTTTTCTTATATATATATATATATTATAGATTCCCCTCCTCCCTTCCCTTTTTATTTTTGTTCTATCTTAAACCTTGGCTTTTGAAGTATTTCAAAATGTGTTCAATTGGGATCGGATTCTGGGATTTTGTAATGACCAGTAGCCAAAACGCTGGATTTCTCCAACACAAGTCAATCTAGATTATTTCGTTTACCACGGAGGGGAAGGAAAGGAAAGGAGAGGAGAAGAGGAGAGGAAAGGAGAAGAAAGGAGAGGAGAAGGAAGATGTATATATATATATATATATATTTGTGTTATTTTTATAAACAGGCTTATAGCTTAATATTAAACTGTTGACCACCCTCTTTTTTTTTTTAAATAAATAATAATTACGATGGTAATGGTAACGGTAATAAAGCTAATTTATTTACCGTGGTAAAATTGATCGATCTTATGAGCTTGTGATATAGACAATGGTTTTTGAATATTTGTAAATAACAAGTACAATGGGATATATTTTATTTATAACGCTCTTTTGATTTTTTGGTTTCTTTTTTTTTTTTTTTTGATTTCCTTTGTATCATTCAAATGAGGAAATCAAAAAGAAAAGAAGAGAGGAGAAAAGAAGCAATTGATATTAGAAACTATCTATATAAAGGTAAGGATATTAAGAATTATTGTATAATATAGTATATATGTATATGTATGTATGAGATGGTGATGGTGATGGTGAGGTGGGTAAAGGTAGCGGTAATGGTAAAGGTTAAATGTAGTTAAATAAATAAATAAACAAACAAATAAATAAAAGACAAAATTGCATAGACATAGATAGAACAGATGAAAAGGAGAGTAACATAAGAGAAAGAGAGAATGAAGAAAACAGAAAACAGAAGACAGAAGACACAATTCTTTTGTTTTTTGTTTGTTTGTTTAAGAAATAGCACACGAGGCCTGCCCGGTACCTGCCATCGATGACTGGTCTTTGCTTAACCGCATGGTCCATTGGTCCTTGAACTTGTCGATCCATTCAGTGATCGTCAGTACTCGTTCACGCACCGAAGTCATGGCCAGCAACTTGGACTTTTCTTCTTCATCTAGAGGCATCATGTTGGCCACCCACCAGGTAAACACAACCCGGTCTCGGTTGGGGCCTCTGCCAACAGGTGGGTCCCCGAGAGCTGCCAGCCATTGCGAGAACCGATCGTTTGGTGTCGAGCGCTGATGCTCTAGTAATGATTCTACAAACGACGCCAACTGGTCCAGCAAGTCTTCGGTCGTTTCTTCTTCTTTTGATTTTGTGGAGATGGCCGCCGGAACAACCACCAGGGTTGGGGTCACTCGCTGAGGCTTTGGCTGCGCTGCAGTAACGCCTTGGAGATGCATCTGGAGCCACGGTGCCTTGGAGGTTGTCTGTATCTGAGGGTGAGCGCGTGAAGCCCATGACTGGCGCTGTCCGATACCCATCGCAGAAACCGTGGGGCGTACAATGGGAGCGGCGGCGGAAGCGGCGGCGGAAGCGGAAGCGGAAACAGAAGAATGCTGATGTTGAGGATGGTGAAGAGGAGTCCTGCTGTTGGGTAGGCCGGGACGAGCAATTGGCGAATAAGGGCGGGCAGCACCAACAGAGGGAGGCGCTACTGTTGTTCTAGGTGCTGGTCGTCCCATTGGAGAAAAAGGCATTGGGCGTTGTTGTTGAGGAATATTAGGGCGGTATGGCTGTGGAGTGCGGGGTGCGGTAGGTTGTATTGGTGCTTGTGATTGAGGTAGTGGTTGAGGTTGTTCTGGTTGTGGTTGTTGTAGGGATGCTTGATGTTCTTGCATTTGTTGCTGTAACTGCTGCTGCTGAAGCAATTGGGCTTCTCTTTGTTGTTTCAATTGTGTTTCTCTTTGCTGACGTGCCCGCATTGCTCCTGCGGTCATGATCTGACGCCGTTCTTTGGCCTGCTCTTGTTCGGCATCAATGTCATCTACACGTTCTACTTTTCCAACATGGTAGCCATCGACCAGCTCATGGCTCAAGACTCGAAACCGATGGGATCCGATGGCTTCTACGACCGAGCGTCCGTCAGGAAGAGTCTGTACATGTGTGAGTTCGAGCATTGTGCCGTATTCAAAGAATGGGGCCTGTGTTGCACTCGACACGTTAGGTTTTCTGCGTCGACTGAGGCACATGGCGAATCTACGTCGCTGTGAATCCATTATTCGGCGTAGCATGAGTTTGTACCGCGGTTCAAAAATATGTATCACACACCGATTGTGGGGAAAGGCAAGGGCGCCTGCAAGGATGGGGATCAAGTTGCTGTCGTCTTCCATCAGAACGTCTTCGTGACTGGTGTCGCTATAAAGCAGATAAACCCAGTCACAAAGGATTTTAGTGACAGGCGGTGCAGATGCTATGGGTTCTCTGCAGACTGGACAGGCACGCTGATGGTCGAGAGAGCGGACCAGACAGCCATGACAAAAAGTGTGGCCGCAAGAAGTAGTTGCGGGTTGACTGAATTGATTGCAGCAGATAATACATTCCATTTCACTTTCCAGATTCGACCGCAACTCATCAAGAGTTAATGTTAATGTAAGTATGCTGGCCTGCATTTGTTTGAGGGTAACGTTAATAAGGGAAGGAGCGGTATGGGAGCGTGTGCAGTCTGTGGATACGCATTTTCGGATCGAAGCTGTAGCGCAGGTATGGCAGACAGTGTAGCCACATGGTAAAGTTGTTGGCCGATCAAGATTCGATTGGCATGAGGGACATTTGTGCAGTTGTAAAATGAGAGACTCGGGTGTAATGAGGACGACTTTTGTACGTTTTGGTGTAATGAGTTCGTCCTCGTCGTCGATATCCACATCGTCGTGGGATCGCTTGGTGCTTCTAGGGAAGGCCTCCAATGTTGCTGATATTGTATGCCAGGTTGGCTAAAAGAAAAGGGTTTGAAAAGTAAAGAAGAAAGAGGGTAAGAAAGAAAAAGAAAAAGAAATAAAGAAATAAATAAGAAAAAGGAAATGAAATAGAATAGAATAGAATAGTAAAAGTATATATATATTTAGTGAAAAAAAAGAAAGACTTTTTTTTTTTTATATATTTAAAATTATATTATTATTTTTCCTTGATTTTTATATATATATTTATAAATGCATGTATGTATGAATTCAATTATTCAATTATTCAAATGCTCAAGTATAGTAAAGAGAGAGAAAATTATATGTAATTTTATAGTTGTTCTGAAAATTTATTGAATCAAAACGAATTGGAACAGGAATGGCTATGGGTGCAACCAACCTTATCCTCTTGCTGGTTTGCTTTTCATATATATTTATATATTATTTTAAAAGCCAGAAAAATAAAAAAAGGAAAAATAAATAAATAAAAACTTACAGATAGACGATCGTAAGTTTGTTTGATCATTGTGTCTTTAAGGTATAATATTAAGGAAAGGAATAGATGTGTAGTCAAGGAAGAAAGAAAGAAAAAGGAAAAGAAATCGTAAAGAAGTACACAATATTTGTGTCATTTATGTACTTGTACTTTGCAAGAGAAATCGACGAGAAATACGCACTAAACCACGCACGTACAGCAGATTTGTGTACATACATATTTTGTACAGATTTTATACAGATTATTATTATTTCGATCGATCTCTCTTTTTGTTCCTATTCAAGCCTCGGATCCCGTCTTTCCCCTTTCATCCCTTTGGATCGATCGAAGCACTTTTGGAGCATTATTATTATTATTATTATTATTATTGTATTCAGTTCTCTCTTCTTTCTATTTACCTTTTGTTCTCTTACAATATTTTGTACATTAAATCGTACAATTTTTTTTTTTTTTTTTGGTTTTTTTAAAAAAAATCTACATATTTATTACATACAATTTAATACATGAAAATATATTTATATATATATAATTTATAAATTTATATATTCATATATCTATATATCTACACAAGCACACAAGCACACACATTTATATTTATATATATATATATATATATATATATGCTCTTGGCTCCTAGACTGGGGGTTGAGCTGGTTTGGAGCCTTTCATTAGCTTGACCTCCTTGTGTCGATAGACAGGGTGGAGTTGTCGTTCAATGTAACTCGTAAATGTACTGTCACTTGTGCCAATAAATGTGTGTCCCTGTGCGGAAATCATTGCGTCCACCATTGGAATCAAATAAGACTCTAGGCGCACCTTTTCCTCAACAACCTCCACTCGGCGCAAATCATCGAGCTCATCCAAAAAGTCATCGAGCACAAATGTGCATGGAAAAAGCTTGAATATCTTTTGCAGGAGAGGATGTTTACGCGGGTTAGGGCAATCGGTTGCTATATAGACCACAGTTTTACAGAAATGTCTGGTGACCTCATTGCTTTCCCCGCAGCTCAACTGCGATTGCAGTCCAGGTGGCCGGTTCCCAAGCCTCTGTTTGATTTCAGCTGGATGGCTCACAGCGATCGGCTTAGGCTTGTCGGCGATCGTTTGGAATTCGCGGAGCTGCTTCACTTCATATTCGGTGTTCTCCATCCGGTCAAGATCGTGCTGAGGATCAAATGTCTTGACTTGATCGAGATCTAGGTCGGTAAACTCATCCACCAGCTGATGGAAAATATTGTCAATATTGATCGTAGCTCGCACCTTAAACAGTCCATCGCCAACTCTAATGTGCAGCCCAACAAACTGCTCGATTCCACCAAGCCGATCTACAATACGCTTGGCCGTATCAACCAGAACTGGATTACGGAAAATCATGTGCGTTCTAAAATGCCTTAATAATTCGGCATGTTCGGGAGTTTGTGCCAATACACGGTATGTTCCAAATACTGAGCTGAAGTGCAGAACTGGCTCCTCGATCGCAAGGAGGTCCGACACATCGATCCGGTGGACATACTTTGCCAGTCCTGTTGGTGAGTTAGGATCGTCAAAGACACGGAACTCATAAGCGGACGTATCCTTGATGAGGTGCACATCATCACTCGAAACATTCAAAGTCGAATGCACCCAATCAAGACTCAGGTCATCCCGGTACACAATCCGCACATAACGCTCAATCTCCTTCATGTCATAAAAGAAGGACCACGGCACACTCGTCCAAGTAAAGTAATTCAGGCATTCACTCGGAAACGGATCGTCATCCTTCAATTCAATGCAATGCTCCAAGCCACGCTTTGTCTGCAACAGCAAGCGCTCATAGAGTTTCTCAAAACGCAACCAGGGCATGGCGGGATTACCGAGAAACACAGGCGGCAGGAGTAATGTACGGTTGAGATAGGCAGCCAATAGCAATGCATTCTCTAATTCGATACGCTGATTGTGGAATCCAGAATGAGGCAAGTAGGCAATATATTTTTCATCTGGCGTAGGTTGGTGAGTTTCGAATGGCTTTGGATAATATACAGGAATAGGTTGGACTTTCTTTGTCGATTTCGACTGCTGTTGCCGAATAGAACCTGGAGAAATATCTAGGACAGGAGTTGTCTGATAGTTAATCAATAGCAAGTATGTCAATCCTAAACCAAGAGCAACGATAATGACAGTTATTCGCCGCCTTGGATTGATGAACATTGCCATGATGAGAGTTTCCTTTCTTTGAGCAAGAAATTAAAAGTTCGAAATAAATGTATTTTTTTTTAAAAAAAAAAAGAGTGAAAGTAAAAGTAAAAGATGACCTCCCACACGCGTATATAGACTATTCACGCGTGGTAGAATACCGGATTCTGAAAAAATAAAATAAAACGTATTATAAAATATTTATGTAAATACAAATGTATGTCCCGCTATTTCAAAAAAAAAAACGAAGATATTTTTTTCTTGTTCTTTTTGCGTCATTTTTTCATTTCGCTTGTGTAGTCCAAGTGAATTGAATTGAATTTTTTGTTGCTGTAGTGAAAACCTTTCTTTCATTGTTTGGTATACATGTTTGTGCATCTTTATTATTGTTCTATTGTCATGGTAAATATATATACATATACATATACATATACATATATGTATACTTGAATAAATTGCGTTCTTTACTGCTTGATCGGAAACAAATCTTATTGGGATATTATGCCTGCTTCTCCTTTTATATATATAATTTATATGAAATGTGGCGCAAAAATATTCAAGCCCCATACGAAGAGCGCAGTAAAATCAAGTGCAGAATCTAATTGTTTTATTTTTAGTTGTATATTTAGTATATAATGAAATCCTGAGTATATTCGACTCCTACAAAATACATACAAGACACTCATAGCATATATAAGGATATTAAAGTCTATAAGGGGGTTTCACCAGCTCGGGATGCTTGGCTGTGATGGATCTTCAAAAAAAAAAAATGAAAACCGAACATCCAAGAAAAAGATTAGATGTTCAAATGTCAGGACTTGGCCAAAATTTACAAAATTTTATATTTTATATACAATTGATGACAAAGCTCATATAAAAGCAAAAGTCAAAAATAAAACACAATCAGTCTATGTAAGAGTAGCTACCTTGATACCAAGTTAGAAAAGTCTAACCTACTTGTGGGGAATTCGGGCAGGGATAATATATTTATGGGTACTCTAATCAAGCATATTGTACATATGAATTTGGACGTATATGAGAGAAAGCATATCAACCAAGGAACATTAATGGTATTCAATAGTTCTTTTTTCAATATTGGCTAATTTGTTGGTGCTTAAACCCCCTAATATAGTAATAGTTATCACTAAAGAACCCTTGTAATATATATTTGATTGTTCAATTTTAATAATTCTGTTATATTTCATGCAAAAATAATGAAAGAAGAAAAAAGTTGAGTGGGGTATTATTTGTTTTCCTTCTTTCACTGATTTCATAATAGCCTAAATAGTAAGTTATCCAAGTAGACAGATCTTCTTCCAACTAGTTTTGTTTTTGTTTTACCCTCACAGTATTTTGGGTTAAAGAATCGAAAGAAAATAATCATGATGAGTTTGAACAAACTTTAAAATAATAGATAATATAAATATCTTTTTGTCTACGATCTTTGAAACTACCAAGAGACATCGTTGTCTTTCTAATATGCTGTATAAACACATTATATATTGAATAAGGTCTTTGATAAGGATAATAATAGTAATACTAGAAGGACCGGGGTCCCTTTCTTATGATAGGTACCCACATTGCCGCTCTTTGTGAATTAAGGCGGCAAATCATGTGTTAAATAAAGTTTTTTTTTCTGTCTCTTTGTTCCTATAAACAAGATCGAGTAATCGAGCAATCGAGTAACCAAGGTAAGATTTATATAAGATCGATGCTTACAGACATATATTTATATTTTATATACTAAATTTATCCTATTGTAATACAGACTCAAAAGAAGAAGATTAAGTAGCTTCTGATCATGGGAGTAGTTTATATGCCCACTAATTTAACTTGACTGAAGAAAGAAAAGAACAATTCCACCCTAATTTTTTTTTAAAAAAGGCTTCCCCTTTAAGATTACATGGTGAATTTAATCCACTGGTGGAGTGGGAGGTTGCATCTATCATCGTAGTGACGCAACTATAGAAATGACGTGAAGTGGCTAAATAACATTTTTTTGCCCTTTAACAAAATGGTCTTTTCTGCTTGTACATATTCTTCTTGTCACTAACTGAGCTAGCCTTTTACACCACATAGTTGCCGATCCTACCATACAGAACCTAACTTTACAACTATTCCCCATTCACTCCCCTGCACATAAACATCGACCAGACACTGATTTAATGTCGAAACAGATTCTAATGATTGAATACATGTCATCAAAATGGTCATTTAAATTGAGATTGGCTTAGATGCAAATGATCAACGCACACACACACACACACACACTCTCTCTCTCTCTCTTTTTTTTTTCACCGCTTGAGATCTTTGGAATAAACGTTGATTGTCCACCTCAGCAGAGACACCAAACCGAGCAATTATAAAGCCCCTCTCAGTGTAGTGTTCAGGGAGCAAGAATAGGACGAGCCAATGTAGGCAACCAACGTTAAATAAGTTACTGGCATTTAATGAGCAATATGAAGGCTACATAGGCCCAGATCAGCGACGCCCTGAACGTTAGCCTGAATTTCAAAATTAGCAAGCCAAATACATAGATTAGTTGATGTACCATATTTGACAACCAGAATAGACTTGGCTTTTTCATGCATCAGATATTGACTGAGATGGTAGCCTCACCATGCAAAGTAGAAAGTTTGTATTACAAATAAATAGTAGAAAAGGTCAATTTTTATTATTATTATTTAAGTGCAGTTGAGTATTTAATTTTACAATTTCTGATTAAGCGACATTTTATTTCATCGGTACGAGCGACATACTTCCTCACATCCGGGGCAGTTTTTTTATTAAAAAAAAGGAACTCCTTATTTATTTAAGCTTTTACCGACTTAAGCTCTTTTGCTTTGATTTTTTTTATATTTGGTCATAATGTCAAATTTAAAATGTCACCATTGTCCTGAAACTTTCACAACCAAAAGTAGACGTAACACACATACTATTGATTGTCATGTTTTGGATGTTAAAATTGGTAAGTGATTTTCCCAAAAGAAAAAGAAGCTCTATCTGGATCTAACAAACAATGTTGCCGATAACTTACACAGGTGGAAATATTTTTGAATGCAAAGAGGGTGAATTTCCTTGTCCTGCTTATCAAAAATATTTGAAGAATGCTGCAACATTGAAGATTCATTTGAAAAAAAAAAAAAAAAAAAAAAAAAAAAAAAAAAAAAAAAAACATCATTTATCTGGGGATTTCATCTTCAATTCAAAAAAAGCTAGCTGCCCATGACACACCTGGTATATAACAGTTCCGGAGATTGTTAACTTGCCAGGTTTATTAGCAAGAGGGAACCAGTGTTTGGTTACGGAGTCTGTTCTTCACTCTTGTGGCTTGTATACCACACACTTGACGTTGTAAGAAAACGTTCAACATCTCTTAGCCCTTTCATACATTCTTCTCTTAAAACCAGGCCGAACGCACATGGATATACCCGAACACATCACGTTTAACCAATGCGAAAATTTGCTGATATACATTCAAAAAAGTAACAGTATAATCGACCAGATGTTACCTTGTTCAACAAAAGAAAAACTTGAAGGAATTGTCCATAATTTGGTTTACAACGTATCAAACGTAAGCTCTTGCACGTTTTGAAAATAGATAATGTAAAAAGTAACAAACTGTTTAACCTCTTTAAAATATCGTCAGCGATTCTGGTCAATCTTCACGTCTCGTTGTATCATGGAAAATTGCAGCATTGATCGAAGAAGATCCAACATTTAATTCAACAAACAGGATTTTATTAGTAATAAGAAAGATGTAAGTTTTTTTTTTATTAAAAAAAAAGTAATAATACATATGAGCCTAACGCTTTCATAGAGCAGAGGTTCTTCCTCGGTTTATAATTGAAGATGGACCACAAGAAACAGAGCTGATTACCCAGTATCTTCACCCCGCTCTTGTACCTTTGTTTGAAAATATCGACGAGCGTATTCTTTTCCAATGGTAATGGGGTGTACCTGAAATTGATAAAAATGTAACAAAACTCAGCAATCAATCTCTAACTTAATTCCACATAATAGAGAGGGGGACAAATCAGGGAAATGTATATATAATCATCATATTTGACACACCAACTTCCAGAAAAATTCTTAACAGTACATAGTCATAATTGGGAATATTTGGAGTAAATTTAGTTAATTAGTTAGTTCATGTTACATTTAAATGGACACCGCGCCAATTCCATGAAATCAAATTTATGACAATGACCTGGCCTTTTGGGTTGTCTAGAAACAACAACAACGAAAAAGAAATGTGGTGCAATGCAATGCAATGTAATGTAATCGGTACGTGCGAACAGATATAAGTTAATTCGATTGAATATATGTTCATTCCGATCTTTGTTTAATATTTCTTTTTTGTCTGTCTGTCCATATCAGCTATATTAAAATAATACTAATGACAATTAGCAAGAAACAGACTAAAGAGTTCAATAATAATAATAATAATATCACTATATCAAGTTTTGACTATACCCAAAAAAAATTGAGTAAAAAATCAACAAACCCCTTCGCCTGGCTCACCGACCAGCCAGTGTCACTTCCATGATATATATGTATATATTGCCGCAGCTCATCTGCGGTAGATCCAACGATGTCTAAAAGTGCTCCAGGGCACAAAAACCCACCAATCAAATAACTTTTACCTGTACACACATCAGTTTCTCCCTCTTCCCCTGCCTTACCATGCGTTGGGTTATAAAGTTTGAAGTAAACTTGGCTAGGCTGAAGCGGAGAGGTTCTTGTTTTTATAATTTTTTTTTTAAAAAAAATATACCTTGTTATTCGTACCACATTCATTGTATATATATAAATTCTCGATCTTTCTGCATAATTGTGTCATTTGGGAACACACTGTAGTACGTCGATTTAAACACATATGTATATACATCGATCATACCTATCAAAATAGAAGATATCTATAAATCCTTAATTTTAATTGTTATAATTATATACATATATAATATTTGTAAATATTGACGCTATTCAAATTTTATTTCTTTTACATTAATGGTGCAGAACAATAGTAAACAATTGCTGAGCCCATATATCTATACTATGCATATAGCAATAATAATAATAATAATCGGCGGTGCTTTGAGAATAGAATATAAGAGAAGAGAAGAAAAATATTCGAATTTTATTTTGAGAAAGAGTATAATTTTTAGATTGTTCAAAAACAATCGAGCCTAACTATGTGCTGGTGTGTGCTGGTATTTAAAGCCCTGTTTTTTTTTGTATCAGTGATGGTAATAGAGATCTTCAACTGAATTGAATTTACCATCGATAGCTCCACATGATAGAATGGAGTATAGAGTATAGAATCGACACTCAAAATCTTGCTAAATTTCTTCTTTCTTTTTAGGAACAAAAACATATTATAATCAGGGTTGGCAAGGTTTATCTTAACTGAAGAATAATAGGCATATATTCTGTTGATATTTATATTATTACTTATTTCGTATTAAATAAGTCTAAACATAATTCGGCTTTAGTGTGTAATATAATTATCAATTCATAGACTCTCTTATATATATATAAAAGATTCTACTCATTTATTCTACAATCTGTAATGGACTTACAGAATCGATAATAATGTTAATACTAAATATTGATCGCTTTGACACCTCCTCTATCTCTTTCAACCATTAACCCCTAAAAGCAAAGTATATTACAGATATTTTTCTAATCAGTTAATAGAGACTTTTGTAGGTTAGAAACATGGGTTGTTGATTTTATTTTATTCATTCATTTAGGAGTACCCCTACATGTCTAAACCGTTAAAGCATCGATCTTACTATCACAAACACACAGCACCATCAAGATTATCGTTAATGTATTTAAAATTAGATGTGTATTGTTATCAACAAAAAGGTTACTTAATCTCTGGTTCAAATTACAGTTTAGTAGGTTTGGGTATCTCTTATATTTTTTTATAGAAAATAATAACAGAATTTTGCTGATATTTGGTCTATCAAATTTTAGTATGGAGTAATATAATATTTTCATCAAATACACATATATAATGTATAGACCGTCCAACGTTTAAAGTATATATATTAAAATAAAATAAAGTAAAATAAAAATGTAACTTTTGGATGATCTGTATTTCTACAATTGTTATATATTTATATAGATCTTAATCTCTTACAAATTCAACCATTAGCTCACAGTGTTCTGTGTGAGGGAACAGGTCGACAGAGATTGCCCGGGAAGGTTTAAATGGAGTTCCCAAGTATCGTTTAGATATTGGTCGACACAAGCTATGAAATACAAAAATAAATAAATAAATAAAATATATAGATATTCAGACTAAGATTTTTCTTATATTTACCCAATAAAGTTTGGTTGTGCCTGTTTGGCATCACAGCTTATATAAATCACTTTTTTGATTTGGGTGGATTCACGCAAAGCACGAATAACAGTTGAATGGACTCCATTTCTATATCATATATATTAAGGAAAATATCATTAGAGTCTGTAGCTATATTAAATTGTAAACCTAAAGCTGTTTTCTTTTTTACCTTGGAGGGTCCAATACAGCCACAACTTGTTCATTATTTGACTTTATGAGGAGGTCAATTTTATCCTCTATTTTACTAGCAAAATATTTTACATTGGATACACCTATACATGTATATATATACATTTCATAATTAACCATCAGCCCATCTCCCCACTTATATTTTCAAAAGAATAGCAATACAAATAGTAAGAATATTAAACAAGTTTACCATTCATTTCTGCATTGAAGTTGGCATCAACAATAGCTTCCGGAACCATATCAATACCAATAACTTGGTCTACTTTCTTGGCCATGGATATACCAATCGTACCGGTACCACAGCAAATATCCAGCACAGTGGTCTTCTTTGCTGAATCTATCTCACACCATTCAGCGCATTTTGAGTACAGAAGCTCCGTAGCAGGTGTGTTGATTTGAAAGAATGCATTATTAGAAATGCGAAACCTTTTTTTATATAGTAATAGTAGTAATATTAAGAAAGTGAGATTGCTTGATTTGATTTATTTGCCTCCCTTTCTTATTTTACTTACTTTGAGCCTAAAAGATCTTCATAGACATAACCATCACCAGTCAATACTTCTGTAGTGGCCTTTTCGTTCATTCCATTCGAAACACCATTCCATATCTGAAGTAAGATTGTCTTGATATTAACCTTTTCATTACTAGGGGTTTTAAGGTTGGTCAGGTAGTCTGCCAATTTGATCTTTTCTTTGGAAACCTGCTCTTCCGATAAGGTTTCGGTGTTCATTTGAACGACCACCATAACTAGACAAAGTACAAGTACAAATATATATATATTTAGCCAAAAATAATTATAATCATAATAGAACAGAATAAAAGGGATATAAATAATTTATGTATGCTTTAACGACCTACCATCTCCAGATTTCTGTGTCTTGGTTGTAAGCGCTCTCCAAACACCTTGTTTTGAAACTTTATCGTAGACATCGTATTCAGAAAATCGTATATAGTCCTTTTTGTTTTGACAAATATTATGAGAATTGTACACACACACACACATATATATATACATATATATATAATTCTTATATCTAATATAACTTACCTGTACAGATTTCACGATTGTCTTTGCTGTGTCAGGAACATTGAGACAATCAGCAGGGTCCAGGACAGATATAATTCCATCGCGATATAATCCAAGTTGGAAGCCGACACTCTTATTGCCTTCCAAGTCAGTTCCAATACTGAAATCGCATTTCGTACGATATCCATTAATTTCTGGAGAAGCAATAGGATCCAGGAACTTGCAAGGTTTGTTTTCACTGTTACAAAAATAATAATAATAATAAACATAACATTATTTGCTCATATTAATCTAATTATCACAGCAGTATATATTTTTAAAGAAATAAAGATATAATTGCATAAACTTACTGATCAAAAGCCCATGAAATTTGGGCCTTTCCTTCGTCACTGACATCTTTAAGTCTGGCAATTTCTTTCTTCAGTTTAAATATATGCTTTATCCCGGATTTGTTCTTTGTCTTTAGTTGTTCGTCATAAGGGATTCTATATATCCACACATAACAGAGAACAATAAATATTATTATTACTATTTCAAATACCAGCATATATATATATATATATATACGTATATTACTTGTATAGAGGGGTTACTTGATCAGCAAGTTTCTCTGCTGGTGTACGTGAATCATTCGAGAGTATCTCACTAGCCTCTTTTCTTTTGTCTTCGTGGCGTTTATTAAAGGCTTCTTCAGAAATACTAGAATACTCGGTTGCAATTGTGTTTTTTCTCAACTGAGTTCCTTCTAATTTCTGCATTGCTTCTCTTGCAGCTTCTTCAGTCTATAACATTATCATTGATTAATATATATATATATATATTTATATATCTAAAGGCTTTATTTAATTTACCTTGAAATTGATATAGGCATAGTCCCATCTAGGAGACTTTTTAAACTGTTTTACTCCCAATGACTTGAAAAGAGTAGAGACAGAGTTCATGTCTTTGGTGGGAAGGTTGAGTACTTTTACACGATGAATAAACCCAGAAGTCTCTAGAAGAGCTGCCTCTGCAGGAATGAGATTGGTTGCAATCCCCGATGCAGCAGATCCTGGTGTTTTTTTTTTAAAAGAAAAATAATGTACATAATGTATACATAGAAGATCAATGAAGATGCATGATGAGTACAATTATCTCAATCTAAATAATTATTATTATAGCAGCAGTTGTAATAGTGATATCCTTTATATATGTATATATATATGCATTTGTGTGTGTGTGTGTGTGTGTCTATAACCGAGACAGGCCATGACATACTTAATGCCAATGAATATCTTAGCATGATTCTAAACCTCACAACTTTAACTTTTTTTTTGAAAAAAAGTTAAAGTCAAAGTATTTCAATAAAAAACAAGTCCTTCCGTTCAAACTCTCCCTTCTCATTTTTATTTTAATATAAAAATTGGTGTAGACAGATAAAAAGTACAAAAAAAAGAGTAAAAATGTAAGCTGTATTATTGGATTAGAGTTTAAAGATATTTTGTCCTTATTAAACAACACTGATTGATTAGTCTTTTTCCATTGGCATTAGAATTGAGAAAAAGAGCATTTCTTTATGGGAATGATGTTCTGTAGCGTGCAAGATGTAGACGGACTCGCAATAAAAGGCTTTTACTTAATGACAAGCAAGGTATTATAAGTACAATTTTACCTAATATGTACTTGAGCTAATTTTGTACCTTTTTTTAAAGAAAGGTGCGGTCAGTCATAAATTAGTCTGATTGGTTAAGTTCAAGATGAATTCGTTTTGTCCCCCCCTCCCCTCTTTTTTTTGCCCTTTTTTTTTAACCTTTAGTCTGTCCACACCAGATATGAGTGATCCTGAGCGCCGTGACTTGTCTTTTTATATGGGGAAGTACAGAATCTCGCATTCAAAAATGAGAAAATAAAAAAAAAATTGAGATAGTAGAGAACCCGTTGGGACGTGATATTTTGTTAGACTGCTAAAAAAGAATTATTAGTGAAACCCAGTCAAAAAAAAAGAAAAAACTCAACCACAGTTGATGAAAACATAAGTACTGTGACAAACATAAGAGAGATACATCTTAATAAACTTGGCTTTCCAAGACTTATGCTCTTAAGTAGATATATAGAGAAGGCTCTTGACTATATTAGATTTATGTTCGAAGGTGAAAAAACAAGCTAAATTCTTAATAAAGACTTGGTGATGAAATGGCCTCCTTCAGTAAACTTTTACATATTTTCATTGGAATTTAAATCGCCGTGTAAAGCAAAAGTGAGTGAAAATTCTAAATTTTCACTCGACAACGGGTTCTCTAGTCTATCTTTTAAAAATAGAAGAAGAGGGCATAAACTTGTACCAATCTCCCATCAAAGTTGACGAATTTAGTAGAGGGTAAATTATTAAAAGTCTCAATATTTTTTACTGTACGTACATTAGGCTTTTATCTGTAACTGTACAACAATATATAAATATTATCATAATGTCATTGTCTTGACATTACGTATCAAATACTTGAAAGGTGGAGTTTCTCAAACTTAACCTGAAATTATCTCAAAAAAAGTTTTGATTTTTGATCTTTGAATGAGAAACTGTGCATGGTTGCTGGAAAGCACCTCTAATATGCCAGGGTAACAAGTTATATGAAACATGCTATTGTCCTTACTTTTGGTTTTCGGTAGTTACGAATGAAAAAAAAAAGACGAAAAAAAAATATCGTAACCCTCAAGATTACCGAAGCTTTCTTTTATAGTTGCAGATGTATTGGTTTGTTTAAAAGCTGATTTTGTAACAAATAAGCGTTTTGTTTGACGCAAATTTTTATCTGATTGAATGTGCAATATATGTGAATATATCACTACAAGTCCCATTTAGACCTCGTTATTTCACTTGTTACAAAACATAATTATCTCTCTTTTTCTCTTTTTTTACTTTATAGCTCTATCTCTCTATTTCTGTCTCCTATTTTTTTTAAAAAGAAAGCTTACATGAATACTATTCAAGTAAGACAGAAAAAAAAGAATAACAGTAAGAAATAAGAATCAAAAATAGAGAGAAAGCGAAAGAGAGAAAGAGAGAAAGAGAGAGAAAAAGAAGCAAGAGATATATGTCAAAAAAAAAAGAAAGGAAGAAATAAAGAAAGATTAGCTAAAAGGTAATACGTTAACAAAGAAAAAATATATGGAAGATGCAGGTTGACCAGAGAAAGAAAGATGAAATAAAGAAGAAAAATATATAATAAAGTAAAGTAATAAAGTAAAATATGGAAGTGGAATGCAAGAGTAAAAAAAAAATTGTGTGAATGATGCGTAAAGAAGCAAATGGTGTCTTCTTTTTCTTTGTCTCTGGCATTATCGTTGGATTGATCGCTTGGAAGCTCTTCTTTCGATATCCTTTGTCTGCATATATTCCTAATATATAAATATAAAATATGTTTAGTATGTAGTGCAAATTATAACTAGTCCATCATTTACTCGTCTTACCTTGAATTTAAAGGTAGGATCTTGGCGAACAAAGGGATGTACCAGAAGATCAGCCGCAGTAGGCCGTTCAACAGGGTTACTAAAAACATTTACAAGTTTAGTCATTAAGAAGAAAGCTACATTTGGATATACTCTAAATCCTCTTTTTTTTATATATCTATCTATTTATATTTACATGGTAAAGCATTGTTGGAGAAAATCGCGTGCATGCTCTGATATGTCTTTGGGTATGGGTGGTGCCTGGTGTTTTCCAAGCTATATATATATATTATCAATAGTAATTGTTAATAAGGGTCAAAATATTTGTGCCAGCAGCTAAACACCTAATACTTACGCTGTACAATGCTGCAAGTGTATTGAGATCAAGCCAAGGGTGGGAACCTGTCAACATTTCAATGACAGTACACCCAAGACTCCTGTGAGACAAAAGATAGATAGATAATTATTAGTTAGTTAGTTAGTTAGTTAGTTAGTTAGTTAACTCCCATCTAATTTTTTTTTAAAAAACTCTTCTTGAGATATGTTGAGAAAAATTACCAGATATCAATCTTTGCACTGTAGGGTGCTCTGTTTACAACTTCTGGTGCCATCCAAAATATGGTGCCTCTCATTATAGAGTTTTGTGCATTAGGATCGTATGCTTCGTCTTGCCCACTCAGCTTGGAAAGGCCAAAGTCAGTAATTTTGCAGACACCATTGTGATCAAGAAGAATATTCCCGGCTTTGATGTCCTATTTTCATTTTATCGACGCATTGATTAATTGACAAGAACGAATTTATATTAGAATTATTAATATCATTAATATTAAATAATAGAAAACTTACTCGATGTAAAACATTTCGGTCGTGGAGGTATTCAAGTCCCAAAAGAATTTGACGTGTAAAGAAGCGTACAAGTGGATCATCGAATTTGCCACTCTTGCTCAAACAGGTTGCAATACTACCACCAGGAACGTACTCAAGGAAGATATGTAAGTGTCCTTCTTCTTCATCTGCATCGTATCCAAGATATTGAACAACGTTGTCGTGCACCAAATTCTCGAGAAGAGCGATTTCCCGATAAAGCGAATCAACGTGGTTGCGCATTTCTGGATTGGCAAGTTCGGATTTGGTGGTCGGCAAGTCTACTTGTTTGACAGCAATCCACTCGCCGTCGGCTGCCAAGTTGAGAGCGTGGTAAACACGACCAAATGAACCCTTTCCAATCAACTCACCACGCATCCACTGCATTTTGGTAGGAACTAATAAATACATAAAAAAAGTAATACGCAAAAACAGAGGAAAGGTATAAGACTTTCTTTCTTTCTTTAAGAGAAAAAAATAATAATAATATAGCACAAAAATTGAGCCCCATCCCTCCCCACCATCCCTCCCACTCCCCCCTTCAATTTCTCTTCCTTTTTTCAAGACATGTTCCCACATTTCCTTCCCCTCCAAACCTGCCTAATTTGTCCATATAATTTCCGGATATGGCTTCTCGAAATAGTGTTTGTGCCTCAACCAGCTGTCCAGGTTTGACCTGTTCAACCTTTTGTCCCCACATTTTGGTACTTCGTCGTCGCAAGTTATTGCTTGCTCTGAGGGCAATCTTGGTCAACTGCCATTTGCGATGAGCTTCATTGGCCAGAACACGCACTGATTTTTTGGGTGCCAGGTTGCATCGTGCAGCAGGAGCGACTGAGGGAATGGCGTTAATGACGATCTCTTTGTCGAGATCGTATCCAGGGAGGTACTTGTCAATGTCACCAAACAACTTTTCTACCGTAGGTCTGGTAACCCAATCAGCATCATAACCAGCTCCACCTCCTCCACCGCCACTTCCACTTCCACTGCCACTTCCACTGCCACCGCTGACAGGTGTTTCACTTGAATTTTCGTTAAGTGTCGACTGGGGTGAATAAGCGCTGTCAACTAGGCTTGGGGGTGTCTGTGTATTAGATTGAAGTCCTGGTGAAGGTTGACTAGACGGAGATCCCGATTCGGCTAGTAGAGTAGGAGATACATCTATGTGAAGGTCTTGGTTTTGGAAGCCAACCGTGTGTCCTGTACGTCCTGGAGACGAACTCTTAGTATCATTGTTTAATTTCTTTTTTTGTAAGGCTTCCTCTCGTTCCTTTATCAATTGTCCTTCGGTTGGCCACAACAAGGTAGATTTGGAAGGCTGGGGAGTATTTGATGGCTGAACAGCCCAGAGAGATGGAGAAGGAGAGGGCGAGGGCGAGGGAGATGGAGATGGAGATGGAGAAGGATTGTATGAAGGTGCATCTGACGGCGGGGTAGCTCTAATGGATAGAGGTGGGGAAGTAGTTTGAGCAACATTGTTAGATGGATGGACAGCCCAAAGAGAGACTGGAGATGGCTGAGCAGATTGTCTAGGTGTTGTCACAGGCGACGCCTTTCCGCTATCTAATTGAGGATTCTGTACTCTTGGAGCCACAGCCCACAATGAAACAGCTTGTTTCGTAACGGGTGATTTTACGCTTTCAACAATAACAGGAGGAGGAGGAAGGGGATTAGTGGTTGCGTCGGTGATGAAAGTAGATGTTATGGTGGTGGGGTTTGTGGCGGTATTTGTTGTTGTGGTTGGTGTGTTTGTGGTAGTAATAGTAGCAGTAGAAGAAGCTGCGGTTGTTCTGTCTACAGCCTGTTGCATTTTTTTGGGTGGAATAGCCCATAGTGAAATCGATGGTTTCTTGACAGGTTCATCAGTTTCATGAATAGGTAATGGGGGAAGAGGTGTGCTGTTTCTATCTCTTGAAACACTCGATATTGGTTGTGGGCCTGGCTGTTTAGGTGGAATAGCCCACATTGAAGTGGGTGGTTTGTGGTCTGCAATGTTGATCGAGTTTCTTGTCGCAGTTCCATTGGTCCGTGCGGAGAGGGTCGATTGTGGTTTTGGTGCAGTTGGCCAAGGCGAAGAGGTAGATGATCTGCAGCTCTTTTCGGATGATGATGTCTGTGGGCGTGGTGGGATGTTGTTCCATGAGGTTTGTCTGGATTCTACACTAATATCAGTAGATTGACGAATCGGTTGCTGGCGAGGTTGAACAGCCCAAAGGGACGCGGGTGGCAATGCTTTTGTGAATTCGGGGAATACTTTTCCTGATGCTGATGCTGATGATGCTGATGATGATGGTAGGGTGTTATTATTGTTAGTATTATTGTTATTGTTATTATCTTCAAATGGGTTTGACACCAATGTGTTTGTTGCACTGGAAGTATTGTTGGTATTTATGGTAGTTGTGGTGGTTGAGGAGGATTGTCCTGGCGAGACAGAGTATTCAGTTGATGTAGATCTACCTGAAGATCGTTTGAGGTTGAGATTGTTGTTACTGTTGTTAAGATTAATATCAAAGCAGCTATATTCGTCGCGAGTATCGTCAATGGGGGATGTTGTCGTGGTGGTATTTGTGTATCTTTGGGGCTCAGATACGAAATGATTATTTTCTTGGCCTGATGCAGGATCAAGTATCTGCAATCGACTGACAGGGGAAGCGAGAGAATTTGGGCCAATATGCGGGCTCAGTCGATCTGGCTGCATATAATTTTGTTGTCGACGCTGAGGGTCGTGAATATCTGAGTACCCAGGCGGCCAATTGGCCTGTGTTGGAGATATTTCTGCGGCTGAATATGACGATTGGCTGTACTGTTGTTGTGGGTGTCGGTACACTTGTCTGTAATAGCCACAAATCGATGACAAATAAGAGAGAGAGTAAAAAGAGGAAAAAAAATACTAAAGAATAAAATAAAGTAAAGTAATAAAAAGAGTGCTTACCTTGGATATTGGTTGGATCCACCTGAGAGATCTCCACTCATTCTATCGCTATTGTAGTGAATCTCTAATGGCCGTACCAACACTCTGTCCTTGGAGGAACTATCCGATATCCGGCAGATATGAACAAGATCGCTATCTAACAGGGCAACATCTGTACTCACACGACCAAAAGCACGCACATACACACACACACACACCTTCACTTTAATCACCTTTTGCAAGATAGCATCCAATTGAATTTGATTTGACTTACCATGTCGATTGCCATTTTCATGAAAGAAGCTGTACTGTTCAGGTTCCCCTTTAAGGCCAATCTTTTTAAGAATCAAATGTTTAATGTGCTGAGCATCTTTTATGTCTGTCACCACTAAGCTAAAGAAGGTGTCTGAGTCCGTGGTAACCTGGATTCGTTGCTCGCGTGAGGATGGGGGCTGTGGCTGTGGCTGTGGATGCTCCTGCACCAAAGAAAGGAGGAGAAAGATTGAAAAAAAAACACAAAAACACAAAAACACACACACACACACAATTCGTTTAAAAGGATATAAAAAAATATAAAAAAAGCTCTATATATATGTATGTACTTGTCGCTGTTGGACTCTTAGCCCGGTCATCTTCCAGTTTGTTTCTTGGTCTCCAGATGACATGCGAGGACTTTTGGGACTGTGAATGCGATCTGGTGAAACATTTGATTGTCCAAAACGGCTGTTTACTCCAATAGCAGGAGTTCCAGGTATGTAATGATGGATCGGCCGACCTCTTCCAGAAGGACCTATTGGTCTTATCTGTGGTACATTGAGGGTTTTCATGATCTTCGAAATTTGCTCAGGTGTGGAAGATATCCGTTCTGGAATATATGGTCTTATCCGAGCATAGTCTGAGTCTAATGTACTTGGTGGTGGAAGAGGGCGTGCAGTTCCATACAAAGGAGTGGTTGAACTGCGTGGAGGGATAACTAGTCGAGGCTGTAGAAGAACTCTGGTCTGCATGGGATCATGATACCCTGTTTGTTCATGTGGTCCCGAAAATGACTCTAAAGAACCATCGGACGCCTGTTTATTGTATGTGTGTGAATGTTCTGATGTGGTTGGCGTATATATATATATATATGTATGTATACATTTGTGTTTGTGTGTCTCTGTATATATTATGTGTGCGTTTTTTTTTGGATGAAAGTTTTACCTGATTAGATTCATGTGGTTGCAATTTTTTAATGCTGTGCACCAATCGTCGTTTTTCGCTGTACGCCAAGGATGATCTGGGCACTTTGCTCAAGTCGCTGATGGTTAGTTGTAAGAAGCCCTTGCCATGAATCTTTCTTTCTACACATCAAGAATAGTAAAATGTGTGAGCCCTGTCATCTTGCTTATGGACATGCGTCTAAAAAAACCTGCCTTCAAAGAATGAGACGATGCCATCCCAACCGTTGTCTAGCAACCAACGAACCACCTTCTCCGTAGGCCAATCTTCCTGAGCGGATGGCATTGAATCTTGTGTCAAATTTTGATTAGGTGGAAATTGATTGTTTATTGAATATTCGCTTTCTAGTGCCATGTTATTGCTGCAGCACGCATAAGACAGCCGTCTGAAGTCAAGCAAGCAAGCGAAAAAAAAAAGCGGAAGGATATCCAATTGAGGAAGTGCTGGCTACGTGCACACCATCCTCAAATTGCAAGCATGCGTCATTTTAACGTGACTTGTGTCTCTGGCCAACCACCTGTCCCAACACTCTAAATGGCATACTTGGCCGAGGCCAAGGGTCTAATGGCTTAATACTTATTATTCGAGGAGGTGAAAAAAAGGAATCTTTTTGGTGCCCTACTCTCCCTTCACTACCAAAAAATTTCTTATGTTCTTTATCCCTTTCGTAACTTCAAGATCACCCGCACTGTGTCTCCAACAGAAATTGATCTGAACATCTTTCACATTAAAGGAAATTATGGTGACACGATAAATCGAATAAAATAATAGATTTACATTTACTTTTCAATTTACAATATATTTAGATCGAGCAAGTATGCATACAGCTGGTACCACACCATTTCATTGTCTTGCATGGTTTTCTGGCTAAACAATAGTATTAATTATACTGTATGCTGTAGTGACATATCAAGTGGGAAGAAAGGTACATTTTATTTTTTCTTTCTACAGCAAGTATTAGAGTTTCTTCCTGTCTTTCTTTATTTTCCCAAGGTTTATACAGATATAGTATAGATATTTAAAGATCACCAGGAGAAAGCAGAAACCTTTGTATGGTACTGCAAATCAAAAGAAGAGCCATTTCGCCATATTCGCTGCTTTGGTAACATTTTTTTTTCACTCTGGGTGAGGTTAAGAATGTTAGTTTATTTTTTTATTTTGTTTTATTATTGATTGCTGTCAACAGTAACAATAGCTGTCTCCTTGGCGCCAATATATGTAATACTTGTGTAGCATTTTTCTAATGCGAGGTACATGTGTCTACTAAATATCATGTCCCAAAAAAAGATATTGCTTTCTCTATCCTTAATAAGACGTATCGTACAATTGGATATCTTAAAGCGACAAATCCATGGCTTTGGTCCTTTAAAATTCTGAACTCTCGTTTTTCTTTTTATGAGTGATTATACTTTACTGATATACATGTATGTATATGTGTATGTATGTATATATGTATTTATGCTTATTACTTTATTCACAAGATCGATTATAAACATTATTATTATAGTAGTAGTCCCTTTTGTTATTTCTGGCATTATTTCTCTCTTTCTGTGGTATGGTATCGAGTGTATGTGGAATTCTCCAATCAAAGGAGTATATCATTTGTGCTTAGAAAGCCAAAAACGGTCTTTAGGGAGAGATTGGTCTATAATAAGTACTATTCTGAGCCACGCAACTTCTTAATCCCTGTGAGCTCTCTCTATCTCTCTCTCTCTCTTTTTTTACTCTTCCTTGTTCTTCCAATGTACTCTATCTTATCAGCCAAAGAATGTACAGTATCTGTCCTTCTATAGTAAGCTGTGACATTAAAAATGAAGTTGAAAAAGGCATGCAATAAAACTTAAAAAGGTGCCCAATACACTTGCAAAATAAACTCTTTTTTTTTGTTTTTTGTTTTTTCTTGCAAATCTAATTATAGACCCTGAGCAAAAAGGAAAAATCAGCATTAATTCCGACCATCTATGGAAATTAAACTTACATGTAATTCACCAATACTATGCCTTTTCACAAGCCTAGCTCTATATTCTCTTACTGTGGAGTAGCAAATTCATTTCAACTGTAACATCATAAATGGTAAGCTTCATTACAGTTATCAGCTATTGTGTTTAAATTCACTATGTACATATATTAATTAATCATCGTGTCAAATACGAAAAAAAAAACACAGTAAACCAAGCGAATGGTGAAGTTAACCATATATATATGTTGAAAAGAAGAATAAAAGATATTTTAGTGGGAGATTTTCTTATACATTTCTCAATTCTCCCCCTCTTTCTGTTTGCTATAGACAATTACTTATCTTTTGTGGGTATTTAGTTGGCTTGTTATGTGAATAGTTAGCATACAATTTGGGCTTAATAGACAAAAAGATTAATTGAAAGCATATTCATACTTTATCATTCTCAGGATTCACACAAGACAAATAGCTGGTGATGTTATTGATAAGAAATACAGAAAGAAAAAGAACAAAGATCGTGTGGACCAAATGTGTTCACACTCGGAAAATATTCGATACAATTTTAGTAGATGTGGCGTGTGGAGTCAAAAGAAAGACATTGAAATTTGTGAGCTTAAAAAAAACAAATTAGCAAAACCCTTACACCAAATGGACATGCGCTATTGTGCAGGTCAATTAGATACTTTAATATTTTTGTAGAATATAAGATCAAGCGTTGTACATAATACAACTCATACGACATACTAAAAGTTCCACTAAAAAAAAAACAAATATTATATAAAATGATACTTTAAAACTCTCCTTGAAAAAAAAAGCATCCCAATTAAAGTAACCATTATTTGAGCGACTATGAAGAAAGCTACTGCCTTACGAAATCCTTAAAGGTACAATAATATATGTATGTAGCCTTTTATGACTCAGGGATGGAACTGTCTAGGAGGAATTTAGATACTTACTTAATTTAATAGGACATTGGATACATAAGAAATAGACGGGATCTTTTTGTAAGTGTCTTACAGTATTGTACAATGATCCTTTTGATGTGACTAAAAGCAAGGGTCAAATTTAATAAGGCAAAGCCATAACTCCACAAACTAACCCTCACAACAGAAGCCAACGTAATTTCTTATGCAGATGTTTACAGATAGTACTTTCCAAAAATACAACATAATAATAACAATCAATCATCTTTGTTTGGAAAATTATAAAAATGGGCCATATTATCTATTAACTCACACCAATTTTGAGTGAGGATTTGTTTCATATACTATAAGATAAATATATCTTCTAACATCAATATAAGCATATATATATATATATATTCATGTATGTATTTATACTGTATGGCCTTTTGTAGTAATATAAAGTCTGTGAATACTATCTTGATTTATAATGTCTTTTTTTTGCGAATCATAAAATTAAGCTCACAGTGAAATCTACGTCGATTTACGTAAATATTGTATACATTTTTCAAATCATTTGTTTATTCAGTCCTTTATTCATTTATACTGATAATCAAAAGTCATCAAGTACATATATTTCTAATTCGCGAACTCTAAGTTAACTGTACGCGAAAGAGAGTTCTAAGTTATAGGGCTTCTTCTTTTTAGACAGCAACACAGTAGGCTCTACCAGGAGAAAGGTTGACACACTGATGGTCTCCTCGGCGGCGCAATCCCTGGTTGTATTTGTAAAACTGGTTCTCGGAAATATGGTTTCTTCTAGCAATTCCCCTGCAGCTATCATCCCGCTTAGCAACATAGTATCTTCTGCAATTGGGATCAGTATGAGGAGCAAGGTGAAGACCGCGAGTATTAGGACGACGATGATCGTTACGATCATCTTGGTGTCCACCGTGTTCCTTGCCGGGTTCATTGGATGGTCCTTTGCCATGGTCATTGGATGGTCCCTTGCCGTGTTCATTGGATGGTCCCTTGCCGTGTTCATTGGATGATCCTTTGCCGTGCTCATTGGATGATCCTTTGCCATGGTCATTGGATGGTCCCTTTCCGTGCTCTTCTCTCTTATGATGTTCGGGTTTGTGGTGCTTAATCGGTTCAGGCTTATGATGCTTGATAGGTTCAGGCTTGTGGTGCTTGATAGGTTTAGACTTATGATGCTTGATGGGCTCTGGCTTGTGGTGCTTTACGGGATGTTTGTCATGAGCATTTGATGGTCCTGCTTTACGTTTCTCAAGCTCAATGATATCAACATCTTCAGTAACGTCCACCTCCTTTCGCTTGTGGTGCTTGAAAGGCTTTGGCTTGTGGTGCTTAAATGGCTTTGGCTTGTGATGCTTGAAAGGCTTGTGCTTTTTGATTTCCTTAATTCCATGATGGTCTCCAAGACCTTTGGCACGTTTATGGAAGCCATGGTCTCTTCTGTCATCCCTTCCGTGATCTCTTCCATAATCTTCGCCATGGTTAGATCTGCGTCGGGGCTTGACACAATACGATCTTCCGGGAACAGGCTTGTTACAGTGTCTAGGATTACCACCAAGATTGTCATTCCATCTCTGAAGTTCTTGAACAGAGATTCCGTATTCGCGAGCAATTGAACCACAAGTATCCCGTCTAGAAGCTAAAAAAAAGTGTATAAATAAAGCCTTGTTAGATTATCTGATATAAAGCAAAGAAGAAAGTAGCATATTGCAAATACATACCAGCATGGCGTGTTGCACAGGAGTTTCCTGGAGAAGCCAGTACCATGCTACTCAACAAGAGAAGAGAGGCTGTAAAGAGGTTAAGTTTCATTGAATGATATGAGATGAGATTAGATGAGATATTGAAGGTGAATTGGTGATTGAAAGAGAAAAAATTGGTGTGCTTTATATATATACCTATGCATATGTCTAGAACTTCTTGTAGACTCAATAGAGCCCACAAAACCGGTTTACATCTTAAAATAGCCAAAAGAAAAAAAACTGAGAAGGACATCTTTCGAAGAATATGATAATATTGCTGCACCTATCAAGAAGTTCAATTAACCCACTCCTCGTTCAAATGGTAAGCTACAACAAGCTCCCCTTGTCTTTCCCCTGTCTATATACATATATGTATACATACTTTTGTGACAGATAAAAAATAAACTGTATTTGATAAAAAAAAAAGCTAATCCTCCTGGATCGCGATTACTTGTTTGTGTAGCTCTATTATTATTTTAAAGAAAAATGTATCTTTGTTTTGTACTCTGGTACACTTTGTACCACAGCTGTCAGATATAAGGAGTATAATATATGTTGGCATGGAAATTAAATTCTTCTTTTTTTTTCTTCAACTCGATTTCGTGCCAATGCGCAGATCAACAATGGTAAACTCATTATGAAGTGTTTATATTAAAAGCCGTGATAGTGCAGCATATATCTGCCCACATTATTAGTGAAGAAGAATGCCAAGACAGATTTACATAAATATTTACAAAGTTCGTCTTGTATTGACAGCCTCGCAGTTATTACTTATAAGTTTGTGTACATTACAAGATATAATTTTAGCCATATATGCTATGTAGCAATATACTAACTAATGTGCTTTAACTGCAATACTCAAGTGTATTAATTTTTTGCTTTATTCATTGCAATATATTGATCCTCTTTGGTGAAAAGCAAAAATCATAGATACTTTACAATTTAAAAAAAAAGGAGTATAATGTAACGCTTTCTTAAACGTATATGTGTGTATGATTCTGAACACTTTCGATTGAGAGCAATTGCCAACAATAGACATATTGGCAAAGTTTTCTTTTTTTTTTACTAGTTCACCTGTTTTTTTAAAATGTATTCTTAATAAATGGTTGGTATTACTATAGAATATTATCTTTGTATTGTCCTTATGTACAAAAGAGAATATTAATCTTCTTTAGTTGATTTTAATAAGTTTGATGTCAACTAACTTGAAGTATGTAAATTTTTGCCACCAACTACCGATCCAAAACAACATTTTGTTTTAATACATATATATCTATAGTCACACCAAGATTCAGTAGACTTCAGTAGTACTCCACTGCTTCTATTAGCATAATTAATTTAGAATAAAATGGCTATAAATAAATAAGAAACAAAAAAAAAAGAAAGGCGCATATTGATCTTGTAATAGTAATTAGGAGTATTTCGGCATTCTGTATTTGAAAAAAAAAGATGGTCTTGTTTAAAAGTTTGTCGGAAAAGCAGTAACTGTAACCATTTGAAAAATCCTGTATATAAACAAATAAAGTCAAGGAGTATCCCATTTTAGGATTCAATTGGTTTTTTTTTCTTTCTTTTGTATGATCTGAGAGTGTGCTCTAGTATACAGAGCACTGTATAAATATAGACTTTTTTCTTATTTTTCTTAATAAAACGAATAATAATAATAAGAAGCAAGAGAGAAAGAAAAAGATGTATTTTTATGACATGAAAGAAGAAGTCCATTTGTCATAAGTAATATTAATCTTCTTGTTTTAGAGAAGCTTTTATATAATACTAATACACTTCTATGTAACTATTACTGTATTTCTGACAGCCATAGCGCAAAAAATGAAAAAGAAAATAGTTATCTGATTGGATTTAAAACAAGACATGATAAAATGTTACACATTTGACGATCAGTTTTCAGACCTCGTGTAATAAGGTTCATATTTAATAAACCCCTTTCTTTGTAGCCTTGTACAGAGAGAGCGAGATTGCCGCCACTATCCGCTCAAATTGTTTGCTTCTTCTTTTTTTTTGGGGCCAAATACAGTTATTTCATTGGTCTTTATTTAAGACAAAGTGGTTACTTTAAAAGAGTTGATATTAACAAACGGGGAGCAGCCTCTTGGACTAAAGAGTGATAATATTGGCAAACTACTAAATAAAAGAATGTATTCTCTCAAAATATACCACACTATAAGACATTAATAAATACTAAACTTCCAGACATAAGAAAAAAAGCTGTCGATAAGGTAACGCACCTTGCGACCTTTTCTTTTATGGTTATTTCATAGTACCAGAAAATAGCAATGTCAATATTAATACCAACTATTGAGAGAGAGAGAGAGAAATAAAGTATAATAAACCTTTTCTATTATATATATATGAAGTATCCACTAATAATTTTTATGGATCTATTATATTGTGTGTATGTGTTTGATCAATCGGTATACTTTGATATTAAATAAAGAATACCCAAAAATCTCCTTACGTATATTACAAGAATGCTTTAGAAAGATATGATATGTTTGTGCCAGCAAAAAAGAAATCGAAGACACGCCCAACGTGTAACTACGGGTATTCTACCAGTATATTCTATGGTTATGCTACAAGTACGATACGAATATGAGATAAAATGCTTATGGACAATTTTGTTGGTAAAAATAAAGTACAGTCAGATCAAGACTATAGCAACATCTTTATTATTATGAACGAGAAATATCTGAAATTAGTGTGACTATCCGAACAAAAGTCAAATTGTATTATGGAGTAAAGTACTGCCTTGCAAAGTAAAATAAACTCTGATGTACGAAAAGCTTGAAAAGAGAGAGACTGAAAGAGAGAGAAAATGACTGTTAATATGTAGGGTAGATATCTTGACATAGTAGCTCCATGAAACCTCCATTAAATACTACAAAATAAACCGAATTTTTTAAGGAAATATTTATTTGCGTTTTTCTGGATCCTATACTGTTCACTATTAAGAGCTACGAACAATATTCGGTGTTATATGTAAAACGTTTTGATATTATCCTTGTAATAATCAAAACTCTATTATAGTTCCAAGAAATCAACAAGATGTTGACTGTATGTACTTATACTAACTCCAAGAGTTTCATCTATATATATATACCCCAAAGACTCTTGTTACCTATCATGATTGGTTGTTAAAAAGAAAGAATGAACGAATGAACGAATGAAAATAAAAAGGCCCACTGTGTAAAAACTTGGGCGGTCTTTTAGATATATGTGTGAATATATATACATTTGTATGATAGTTATTTACTTTATATTTTCATTTTTTTTGAAAGGTTTCTATATATGTGTGTGTGTGTATCTAGGACTTTCTGCTGTATCCAACAAAGTCGACAAATCGCTCAGTAGTCTTTTGAATTACTTCTGGATCTTTAACCACAATATTTCCAAGTAATGGCCACAGATGGACCTGTTCAGGTACTTGGACGAGAGTGACCTGAAGACCGTGTTTACGAGCCTTTTCTGCCAATAGACCTGCATCATCTAGTAAAACTTCGTGACCTCCGACCAGAATAAGCATGCGGTGAGGAAGAGCATCGGCAAGTGGAAGTGTTGTCGTAAAAAGCTTAAAGGCAGTCTCTGAATTGACTTGGGGCATGTCTTCAGGTATAAGATAGCTGTCCTCCATACGAGCCAATGCAACAGGGCGAATGTAATCATATGAAGCATTGTTTTGCCATGAGTTTCCTCCTGCCTCCAGTCCAGTGTAAGGCGATACACACACAATTCCATCTGGGCGATCTTCAGGTTGAGTACAGCTCAACAATGTATCCACAAGAGCAGCGACACCAGCATCGTCTGCACCCAAAACAATCTTGTGAGCCGGGACATTCATTGTGTACACGAGCCAGTCGTATGCTTGAGTAAGGTCCTGGATAACATCTTCAAACAAATGGTGTGGTCCATGTCCTAACAAGAAAAAAGAATTTATAGTTTAGAAATCAAAGAAAAATAAATTTTCAGCATACTTACTATACTTTGCTACAAAGAAAGTTGATGGAAGTCCCTTATCATCAAGTGCAGTCAGCCAGTTTATAAAAGTCGGTACATACAACAGGCCGAGATTAAATCTGAATCCACCACCTAAATAAATAAGTGTTTGCGATGAGTAACTTGCTTGTTTTTTTTCTTGTTTGACATAAAGGCGTTGTCGCTTACCTGGTACCCAGAATACTACGCGTGCACTGTTTTCCAAACGATCATCTAGCTCTTCTCGTTTCATGTCACGAATGTCTCTTCCAACCCAGAAGCCATGTTCTTCTGTCTTTACCCAAGTACTATCGTAGCCAAAGAATAACTTGGCTAATACATGAACAATCAGCCTAGCATTGTGTGTGGATGGGATGGTGAATGCGACTCGAAGGAGGCCAGTTGTGATCCAGGATCTAATTGACCAAAGAAAAGTCGACATCTTTTTTTTTATCTTTTTTCTTTGTAAAGATGCTCTTCAGAGATCGAGATTTGATATTCAGGTTATTTATTTAGCTGGAGCACAAGGATACTTTCCATATTGAATACCTAAAAAAATTGACTATATATAGTTCTTTGTGTAGCTCAAGAAGAATCCAATACACTTTTTTCATGATTTCTGGGAAATGTTCTTGGAACCATACACTACAATATATACAAATTTGTGGCAGGTTATAAGCTGAATAGTTTAGTGAATGTGCATATTAGAGAAAGGCGATGCAGTCCAAGCCTCAAAGAAGAGAGTTTATTCACCAAGCCGAATGTTATACCACCAAAAGAAAAGCAGCTGTGTTTTTTTTTGTTCAGCTTGATTCATAATATTAATCAAACTTCTCCTCCTGTATTCCTCTGATCTCATATAATAAAATAATAAGCATGGTATTTGTTTGATTTTTCTTTTAAAAAAATGGTGCGCTCATAAGCCAACTCATCAACTCTTGTCCATTATACAAACGAAATATAAGCCAGTTTGCTATCCAATCCGTTAAACCATCGGCGTAGGCGTAGGCGTAGGCTAAGTGAATTTTCAAATTTGTAAAAGTATTATAACGCCGATGCTTCATTTCCTTTTTAAAGCTATCCGTTGAAGATTTACCGGTTATTTAAGCCTCTAAAGCTGAACCTTATCCTCTGGATTCTTGAAGACATATCTATCTGGTATTTTTCAAATGCTATGGCATAGACTATATAAGGATGATTGTGGCTAGCATATATAATAATGTCAATTATAAATATAAATTAGTTTTTTGCAAAAATCATTATATGGGACATGATATCAGCTATTAACATAACACTTCAAAAAGTTCAGTATAAATAAGAGAATTTGTCTTTCATATTCTAGCTAAATTTCTTTTATTTCACATACTGCCCTCTTATATACAAGCAAGTACAGTCTTTACTACTCTCAACAACAATCTCATAACTAGTAAAAGGAAGTTAATCTTCAAAAATTACACTTTTCCATATGAAAAAGACAAGTAATCAACTGCGAGAAGTTTGCATGGTATAACATTAAAGCCAAAGAAAGAATATAGAAAGTAAACGACCAAAAATGAGCTTGCTTTAATACAAGAGTATCCGGACTTCTACACAACTGTTTGTCCAGAGTATCTGTCCTAAAGGATTGGGATACGATTATCAAAAGGGTAAACTCGTATGTTAAACTGTGTCTGCTATTTGGCTACATAATTTAAGATGCTATTCATACCTCTGCAAACTATTACTTGCGACAAAGTTTACGTATATGTTTTCTTAAGCGCATTATCGAAGTGGTAAACATATTAGGTTATTCTTTGGATATGCTTGTTTTAATAAATCAAGCTCAAATACAAGTAAACATAACATAAATCTTCTTGAATAGCAGTAAAACCTTGGATCCAAAGCATAGTATATATACAATATTAATATAGATACTTTATTGGACAATTATTCGTAAAAATGTATGTTAGCAAGGTCATTATGGTTGTTTTCTCTCTCCCATCACAACCATCGTCTCCCTATTCTAAGTCGATTAAGAATTTAAACACAGATACTAAAAGACTGCTACTTTTGGTAAAGGGTCTTTAAAGTCAGATAGAAAACTGAGGAAATTTTTATTTTTTCGTTTTGCTTTGAAGCAAAAAAGATAAAATTTCCTTTTTTAACGATACACATATCATTTCTTAACTTAACTTTAAATACACTTTGTAACTTCTTTAACACGAATTATATTAACTTTTATGCTATACAAGATAAACCATATAAGATTTGCATACCCTTATTTCTTTTTATTTTGCCCGTACTTTATCATTATCACGTGCTATATTTCTTTAAACACGCATTTCAACGATAAGGCTGAAAACAGCACTAAGAAAGCATGCGTGTTCGGTTATATACATATCTCACTTCTAGTATTTATTGTCTTTACTTGTGAGAATAAGATATAGAAATGTTTGAAAGGTTATAGCTAATTTATTTTTTGTGTCCCGTACTGCTTAGCTCTTACATATTTGATTTTTTAAATAAAACAATCTTATATGCACATTATATCTTATGAATTCACCCTCGATGAACAATGTATAAAACACGTCGGTTAAACAATGTAAAACTTACGGTAAATCATGAGTTCTCTATTTTTTTTTAGCAAGGAGTTTTGAAAGGCAAAGGCTAGGACGCTTCATTTTAATTATAAAAAAAAAAGATTTTTTTTGTTGGATGCAAAATTTATTTATTTTTTCTCTGACGTAAAATTTATTTAAAATAGCGAACGCCATTGTGAAAAATGCAGTATAAGAGTGAGCCGCGTGGCAAGAACAAGTTAAAGACACCCTCATCTCTGCCTTTCTCACTCTCACACCTGTTTGGTCTATTAATTCAATGAAAAAGAAGTACAAAACCAAGTTCCCTGTTGTAGGTGCCTCAATAATAACAACAATAATAATAGACTATTATTGTCTGCTACCTAGTTTTTTTTGTTTTGTTTTTATACTAATCCACGTATTATCTCTCATTCTTTTCTTTTCTCTCTTTTTTAGGCCCGCATCAAGAAGATCATGCAACTCGATGAGGATGTCGGAAAAGTAGCACAAGCAACACCTATTTTGATTTGTAAGTTTCGATGTAAAATCGTTGGTTACGAAATAAAAGATGCCCGAAGATTGTAGCTCATCCAGCTATTATTATTATTTTTATAGCCAAAGCGCTCGAACTGTTTATGCAGTCGCTGATAGATCAGGCCTGCCAAGAGACTCGAACTCGAAACGCAAAACGGTTATCTGCAGCACACTTGTAAGAATTATCTTTCGCATTCTTTTTATTATCTTCCTCTTTTTATTTTCTTTTTACCCATTTATTGACATTAAGTCAACATCGATGGAAACATAGAAAGTCAGAATATCTTCTTCTTCTTCTTAAAAAGATACAGTTTGGTTGATACCGTGTGAATCGATTGGATAGGAAAAAGACGATCGAAACAGTCGAACAGTTTGATTTTCTGAAAGAAGTGGTGGCAAATGTTCCCGATCCTTCAGCAATGACTACAGCCCCTCTAGTAGCATCAGACACTGCTGTAACACCAATGGAGGACGTCAAGGAAGAGGCTGTGACCCGGCCGTCAAGGAGTAGAAAAGCAAAGACAGCAGCAAAGGTTAAGCAGGAGGCAAAAGAAGAAGAAGACGAAGAAGACGAATGAACTCTTCTCCCCCCCAACCCCAAACTCCAATCACAACAGCAACAGCAACAGCAAACCCTTCTCTCCTTTCATTCTTCAGCATTAATCTCTCATCCTTCATCCCTCATCCGAACCAACAAAAAAAAAGAAAAACGCCTCCTCTCTCTCTCTATCTCTATCTCACACACTCTTTTTATTTTTGGATATTGTTGGCTCTCACATCACCCGCCCACGTACTGTAGATTTGTTCCTGAACCACGCCCTTTTTTTTATATTATATACACAGTATTTACTTTTAAAAATTTAGTGTTCACAGGTTGATTTGATTATATATATTATTATTATTATTTGGAGAAACTATTTTACTGGGAGAGCAATGGCGAAATTCCCGGATAACGTAAAAGGCATCCTGCAGTTTGGGAACGTTTTTTGTTGAATAGAAAGAATACGAAAATATTGACCGGGAAAAAGACACTACGATATTATGATATTAGAGTCAAGGGTTTAATTGGAGCCGGTGGATCAGCATAAATGAAAGGGGGTCAGATAGCGCCAGATATATGTATGTGTATGTATGTATATATATATATATGTGTGTGTGTATTTGCATGTATAATATAAGAAGAGATATATTTTTGCACCATACAAAGCGTACAATCATTTTATCAAAAATAATAAGGAACAGTACAATCAATGTGACAAGAGACAGCCAGATATTATATAGGATGTGCAAATATCTTATCCAAGCGTGTGTAATATTTATTTCCCTATTATTTTTCCATTCTTTAAGTAGGAAAAAAGGGCCTAAATCGGCAGATCATTTTGAAGTGGATGTTTGCTTTTATCAAGTCAAAATCAACCTTTTCACTCTTAAACTGGACATATTAACCATTCAAATACAAACCTACTAAACCCCCTCTCTTTCAAAAACAAAAACAAAAAAAAATTAGGCGTTTTGAACATACAATATTATAGGATAGGCTCAGTCTTTTATTTTTATTTTTTTGGTCTACAGAGATTGTGAAACAATTTTTAAATCATCTGCTCTAATGCGTAAAAGACTGATTTAAATACGAATACACATTCATTTAATCAACTCTTTTTGTCTTTATTTTATTTATTTATTTAATGGTCTTGCTTAATACAGCTTCTATGTAGAGTTATAAGGGGGTCTTTTTTTGTATAATTTAAGGAAATAGCAATTAAATGACCAATGCAAAGACTTATTAATTAAATCAACACAGAACTTGACAGTTGTTTAATGTAGTTAAGCACCGTCAATAATTGTATATATATTTTACTCTTGAGGATCTAAGAGGGAAAGAAAAAGAAGTAATCATTATGTAACCGGATCGGTATGTACTTTATATAGATAGATATATATATATATATATATATAGGCTGTTGAGCCTGTGATTATGCTTTGAATGCGAAGAAATATCTCAACAATAAAAAAAAAGAAAAGGTTAGATTAACTATGCTATATAATATACTGAATATAAGTACAGAAATAACTCTCTTAAGTTGAATAAAAACCATCTCTACTCAGCATGTTGTCGTTGTTAATGAGATAACTAATTGTAATGCAAAACAGAGAATGTCTGTTTAATTCAGACACTTTTTTTTTTACAAAAAAAAAACAAGTCTTGCTTTGTTTATGCTTGACGTGATTTGTTATAGTGACATGTGAATAATAATAACAAAGATTAGCTAATATCTGTTTATTTTCATTTCAGTTTTTACTTTATTTTTTGATTTCTCACTGTTATGTAAGCTGGTATTACACCAAGCCATACATTGGAGGTCATGATATCAACCTTCGCCTACTGGATGAGCAACAACAACAAAGAATATATGAGTTCTTAAAAGGTGAAATAAATATATACCAAGGTTTCATATACCTGTGATAACTTGGTTTGATGTATAGTATATGCTCTAACCGTAGGTACCCATTACTTTCAAACATGTACTTATCCTACCTGTCCTTGTGAAATTTTATGCTATTATGGTGTGGGACTTGTAGCAATTTCCAATCAAATTGTTATCGCTACCAAATAAAGTAAGTCTGACATCTAAATTGTGCCAAGGACTTTTAAATACCAAAACAATTATAGGGTTCTTATAATCATTTCAGCCAAAAAGAAAAAAAAAACTTACTTTGAAAACGAGTCCTTTCAGACAAAATTTCGATAGCCTAAAAAGGATATATCATACTTCTATAATGCAAATTATACTAAAAGTAGAAAGCCGGATATCCAGTATCCAAAAAAGTTCATATAACAACATGCAAATTTAAAGTATTCAAAAACAAAACAAAAAAAAAATATTGCTCAAGTTTACACATACACACACATCCCTCTCTCTTAATATTTTTTTAAAGCCACCAATAACGCCAGCTCTTAATTATAATAACCTTGATTTTATTTATTTATTTATTTATTTTGTTTTTGTTTTGATTCTTTTTTATTATTTGGTTGTTCTTTTTGTTTCTTCTTTCTATATATTTATTCTTGAATACTCGAGAAATGGTTTCTAGTAGAAGAAATACGACTGCTTCATTGTTTCTTTGGACTGGCCTTTTACTTTTTGCAGGCCTTTCCCTTGAACCTCTTCTTCGCATGCCTGCTTCTCTTTTTCTATACCACCCAATTCTTATGGTGGGTACAATGATATTTATTACCGAGGGTAAGCCGTCCGACTGTCACGTCCTTGCTCCACCCCTTTTCTCTCAATATTTTTTTTTTATATACATATCAAATTAAGGTATTGCATTACTTCAAGCCCCGACACTTCCTGCCTCTGCTCACAAACAACGAAAGACATGGCACGGTTATTTCCAAGCAATTGGATTGATTGTCATTGAAGCTGGATTTACGGCAATATATGTCACAAAGGATCGCAATAACAAACCTCATTTCTCTACGTAAGTTTATACAAAGATCCATATTAATAATAATATAATATAATATAATATAGTATATAGTATGAATTATCTTGTTCACCTAAAATCCAAAGCTAATATATATATAAATAAATAAATAAAAAGTATACATGGTCAGTTGGGTGTGATGTGTGTAATGTGGTTTACTGCGCAGGCTATCTTTGGATCGATCTTGGCTTATTTTCCTCGGCTGGTCGGGAACATTAGCCAAAAGAAACAGTATTGGAACTGGCACCGTCAGGGCGGCTATGTATTGCTGGGATTGATGTGGATTACTTCCCAGACAGGTGTTAGATCAACTTCCATGCTGGCTCTTCAAAGAGATCCAATTCTTATCAATTTTCATTGGTTGGCTCTTGGTCTTGTTTCTCTTGGTCTTTTACTACCCAGCACTTTGTAAGCTAACCGACTGGTGGTAAATAAATGAAATCTGTGTGTCTGGGTTCCTGTTCCTTGTGTTGTGTTGTGTATTACATATATATATATATACTGAAATAATAATACTTCTTGGACCATTATACTCAAAGTCCCTTTTTATATATTTAATCAATGACATACCCTACATTATGATCCATGCTATTTATTTTATAGAAAATGAATGACAATAGCTCTCAATGAATTTGACAGGTTTACTGCACAATCGCTGATCTAGTCAATTACTTTTTACCAGAAAACGTGTCTTGCCATTTCTCCTTCTTTATACTTATACATATATGTATGTCTATATAGATTACCTATAAGCCTGGTCATAAAAGGATCATCTCAATAATCCCTTTCTATATATCTAACTGAACAGTGAAAGTGAAGTATATATTGGTTATGTTTTGATAGCCAGAAAAAAAAAGAATATGTGGACAGATGGGATTATTCTTGTTACTTATTCTAAACTCAGTATTCACCTCCAAATATTCACTACTTTGCGTTCATTTTTTTATTAGTCTTTTCCTCCTTCCTTTTTACCTCTTGTTGTAGAGTCATTTGTGTCCTCTAGCCACACAAAACCCGGTCCAGCCTTTATTTACTGTCCTTTTTGACTTTATATTTCTATAGTTCTTAAAAAAACTCTCTCTCTCTCTCTCTCTCTTTCTCTTTATCTTTTTTAACATCAAACATGGACTTTGTAAACTCATTTTTTGGAAACAACAAATCTACGCCCAAGCCTCAGTCAACTCAACAACAACAACGCATCGTGCTGACATGGAAACAGAACAATTATGACATTCCACTCACTCACCTCCCGCGTTACTTCCATGAGGTCACTGTGGGTGATTTGAAAGAGATCAGTAAAAAGAAAACTGGAATTCCTGTAGCCGCAATGCGTTTAATTGCATCTGGAGGTTCGTTTGTTCATTCGTAACTGCAGAAAAAAAAAGTTCTCATTGACCCTGGGAATAAATTAACTAACTAACTATATATAGCATACATGAAGGACGATACAGCAACAATTAGTAGCTGCGGTATTCAACCCGGTTCGATTGTCATTATTGAAGGAGAGCGGCCAAATGTAAGTCATAAAAGAAAATTTTGCATGGGTTTATTACTGTATTGTATTTAACAAACAAATGATCTATTGTAGGAAGAGCAGGTTCGACAGACAGCATCTGGAAACCCCGAGGAATACGGATTAATTATACGAATCAACAAAGTTCTTGACAAGATTGGACTCGAATTGATCCATGAGGTGGACATGTTTGAGGCAATAATCGCCAGTCTGGAATATTTCGAAGATGAACATGAGAAGAAGAGACTTTATGATCAAGGAAGCCTTCTGTCAGAGCAATTGATGCAAGGCCTTATAACTCTGGATGGTGTTGACTGCCCTTCTCAATTTGATACTGCAAGACAGCGTAGACGTGAAGGAGTCCGGATTTCACAAGAATTGCTTGATCGCGTTGATTGTTCAAAAACAGCCTTCAAACTTTTGTGTATAAAACCATCCCTATAAAAAGTACAAAAAATTAAAAAAAATTAAAAAAGAAAGTATCCCTTAAATAATAAGAACTTTTCTATCGTTATATATTTCTCTCTCTTCTTCGTTCTTTGTATTCTAAAGAATTTTAGGACGGAACAAAAGAAAGAAAGGTCATATAGTCAAAGTATTGACGATCTTGAAGGGAGTTGTTATTGGTTGTGACATTTCTTCACACACATATAAATATGATAGACGTATGTTTTGTGATTCTTGATAAATGTAATATAATATATGGTCAAGTGAGGGGAGTAGATGATTTTAAAGAAAAATGATATGTACAGTACAGTAAGGTGCGGTATGAATAGCAATACAAGAGGAGGAGGAAGAAGAAAAATAAGAAACATTTTGTTTTGTTTGTTTTTAGTGGAAAACATTAGGGAGAATGTGTGAAAGATAGGTCATGTATACTGGTGGATGCTTTTGTGCGTGTGGTTTCACAAATCTACTATGCAGCTCAGTCTCTGTATAACACTCGGATATGCAGTCAGTCGGAAGTGAGGATGAGTTAGATGAGCTAGATGAACTAGATAAACTAGGTGAACCAGTTGAAACATATGCTTTCTGGCAGTGTAACAAAAGTTTTAGCATCCAAGCCGGACCAGGCCATTGGTATTTTGCTGATGATAGTGTTGCCATTGCAAGGAACAATGTGGCCAGGAGAATAACACACCAGGGGTGAGTTGCCATCCACGGTGAGATTAGACAACTAACGGATCTGCGACGGCCAGAATAAGTCGCAGTTAAAGAAAAGGTAAACAAGACACCGAATGAGGATCTGGCTTGTTTGATTCGTTCCAGGAGTGTTTGGGTGATTTGATGACTATTTACATTGAACTCGGTTGTGCTTTCGACTGGATGGTGTGTTGAGTTTTGTCGAGGATAGAACCGAGAAGCGTGGGCCAGTGGTTGTGGCGCAAAACGTTTGGGTGTATGACATGAATGTGAATTAGAGGAGTTGGGTTGATTTTGTTGATGTTGGTTTTTGAGGTGGTGATACAATGAAGGAGGGGCTGATTTTCGTTTGTTAGACTCACGTCTTCTGGAACTTCTGTCATCGGAATAGTATAATAATTGTATGCTCTCTTCCAGTTGCTCCAACGCAATATTTATTCTCTTCTTACTTTGAATGTAGCGTTCTTCTTGTGATTTCCATGCCAACCAGCACATGGGTGAAAAATGAACAATTGATACGTCAGACTCTTTCCACCGCACCATATTCTGCCGCTGCTCTTCGATATCAAATCTATCCAAACCATCGTGAACCTGGCAGGTTTTCTTGTTTGTAAAGAAATCATTACAGTCGTCTGATCCTATCGTTGGCGTTATTGGACTGCACGCATCTTCAAATCGATCAGTGATATTTTCATTGTCATTGTCATTAAGGGACGTGGTTGTGGAAGCTGTATCGTGGTTCACTTGAAGACTCGTCTGGGCTTCGAGTATCAACTGCTGTAATGATATATTGATTTTTTCCATTTTATCGTCGATAGTTTCTTCTTGTTCTTGGTCTTGGTCTTGTTCATCTTGTTCTGCTGTTGTTGGTGCATAATATGTAGTGTGTATATGGGGTTTGTGTGAATTCCTAAACAGTCTTGTGAGTGTATTGTTTGGCTGCTGCATATGTTGTCGTGGATCAAGTGTGTTGATAATAAGGGCTGTGGTATCATCACTAGACATTGTAAGAAGTATAAAAGGGATGTTGGTCTCTTTTTTCATATATATATATATATATATTCTAGCTTAAAACAATAATAAAAAGAGTGTCTTTCATCAGCTTAACATATAAATATATTTGTACCTCTTTCCAAAGCCTTCTCGTGAGGATGTAGAATGATTTTTATATTTGAATCTAAAGGTATTGGTGAAAGAAAGAAGGGATAGAGGAGATGAATTAAACCCAAATAATATTTCAAAGGAGAGAGAAGGGATGTAATGTAAAGAGTGAAAAAAAAGGGAGTCGATATTTATATGTATATATATTTTTTCGGTATTTTACTGATATTTATTGGGCTGAATCAATGGAATGATTTATTTTTATTTATTAAGAAAAAGAAATACCTTGGTACAGTCTCCTTGGGGAGGTCAGATATGATTTGTATGTTATAATCAAGAATATGTGTCAACAGGTTACTCTCCTTGAAGGCAGACATCTATTGATAACAAGTATGAGAAATATTCACTCACAAAGAAAGAAAAATGGGTTTTATGGATCACAATACCCTCTCAGTCCATCGTTTTGGTGGTTCATATGGTGGTGGTGGCAAAGAAGAATAATCGTACTCTGGAAAAGCTAATATATCAATTGGTGGAATACGAGACACGGAAAACATGTCAGAGGCAATCAAAGGAAATTGTATTGCCATTCTAACAGCGAAAATACAAAAATACAGTGAAAAAATAATAATACAAAAGAATAATAATAATAAAGAAGATGAAAAGAGAGCAAAAATAATAATAAAAGGAATATAAACCAAGTTGGTCAACCACTATTATTATTATTTTAAGAAAAATAAAATAAAGGGGGGGGGGGGAATGTTTAATATGCAGTGTCTAATAAAAGTGGCATGGTCAAGGGCAAAACAACAACAACAACAAAAAAAAACCTTGAATTGTATACTTGTTTGTTTGCATTTAAAGTATGTTAAATGCACTTGATTCAAAAACATTATGATCTGACAGAGATTGACCAAAAATGATTGCCAAGATATGCTTAAATATTTATTCTTCTTCTTCTTCTTCTTTAGCAAAGATCATCTCAACTCATTTGACCAACCCAATCTTAATACAAATTCTCTTTTTACCATCTAAAAATTTGATAAACATGGGTCTCTAAAAGGTCTATATATATTTTTCTGTTTCATCTTATGTATTTATTATATATATATATATACATATTTAAGGGCTATAAGATATGGTTTAATAGATAGACCTTAAAAACTGTTCAATTTAACACTTTGTAAGACTACATAAATCTCGATAGTCATAAAGATAAATACACTTAAACCCTGCAAGTGGGTGCATGGATATTAATATATTTGCCTAGAGCAAAAGGTATGTATGCATATAAAGAAAATCAATGCACTTAATCCTAAACATGGTCCTCTAGTTCTCGTGGCTTTCTTAATCTCGGCCCTGAATTAGTGTGCTCGGACTTGTTTGAAATAGTCAATCAGACAAGGACAAAAGTATTTCGAGATTGCATAATGTGATCAAGAATCATTATCAAAAGAGAAAAGAAGCTTCACGATCTCTGTTACACCATAATTGACATAAAAACTACAGAACCAACTCTGGTAAATGAACTATGTGTCCTCTTATCTCTTTCAGAAGGCTTTGAATAAAATAAAAATTAATAGACTTTCAAAGTCAAGGTATTTTAGAAAATCTACGGCGGAGGCTCCGGGTTTTATTTTATTTCATTTTATTTTATATTTTATTTTATTTTACGTTTTGGATATTACTAATGGTGAAAAGGTGTATATGTACCTATTTCTCAAAGAAGCATATTCTGATTTTATATATGCACATGACCAATTCAAGGCTTTTATGACTTAGAAGCTATATACTTGTTGGCACTCATTTTTATAATATTTTCTGCATGGGGCTTGGAGACCAATTAATGTTTAACTGTATTGTTAAGAAGATTAAATACAAGACCTTCTCTCCCTTGTACGTTTATACTTCATCGCATCTTAGAAAGCTTAATAACAGGCTGCTTATAAACAATAATACTACGCCTCCTTATACTCATATAAAAATATCCATATCTTCGGTCTTAATTTCTACCCACGAATGGTCTCACAAGAACTACACTGTATTCCAAGTCATGTCGCCGCTAAGCTGTCTGCTGAACAATGAGGTTTCCATTGTCTTATTTTTCTCCCAGACACGATCATTCTGTGTACCAAGTATTGATAAGCTACTTGCTTTCCCCGAGACTAAGGGATAGGATTGATAGACAGAATCCTTTAAAGGGAAAAAGCGCCAAAAGTAGATACAAGTGACAGGGCTGGTCTTTCACCTGCCTTGACCTTATATATAAAATAAAATAAAGTCGCATATACATGCATGTATATATGTATGTAGGTATGTTCTATGCTTGAATACTTATAATTCACATTATCGCTATCAGATTATTATTTTACCAGATTATTGACATTTGGTAGGCAAATGGCAATTAACAATCTTAGCTATGTAGAAATATTTCCACACACGCACAATCGGTACTACCAAGAAAAAGCTTATAAAAAAAAGCTGATCAGTACAAAGCTCTTATAAAAAAAAAGCGGTATAGCCAATCAGACTTCTTGGATTAATGACTGCTTCTCCTGCAACTCGGACTTATTTTATAAACCTCTTGTTGCTTCATAATCAACGCGCCTGTGTTCCTTTTTTTATTTTTATTTTTTATTTAAGACAAAAATATTCGTTACCCCTTTCTATCACATCTGTATTTTTAAATATATATATATATATATATATATAGAAGAGGAACATAATGGCCGGACAAGTACCTGGCTATAATGCCATCCCTTCAACTGATCCAGAATCTCCTGAAGCAACCGAGCAAACACCTCTTAACAACAGTAACAACAACTGGTGGAACCGTGTCCGCCCTTCTGGTCGACTGAGCTGTGCCCGTATTGGATATGTCTTGCTGGCCTTGACCGCCATCGCATTCACCGTCTCTGCTCTCTTGGTCAACTTCTTGCCTGCCAGCAATCCATCCTCTGTTCCAACTTCCCGTCTCGAAAACCCCGTCAAGCCTGGAATTTCTCAAGAAGCCCTCCAGGCCGGTCTTGAGCGTTGTAATGCACTCCAGAAACCCCGAAATATCCACAAGCCCGACGTCAATCGCACAAACCCCCGAGTACCAAAAGATACCAAGCCGGTTCTCTTACGCAATGCTGTGGTCTGGGACGGTCAAGGCGGTGTACAAGAAGGTGTCGACGTGTTTTTAAAGGATGGCGTAATCAAAGCCGTAGGACACGGAATCACAGCTGAGAAAGACACAAAGATCATTGATGTTGATGGTCGAATTGTGGGTCCCGGATTAGTAGATATGCACAGGTAAGAAAACATTTAAGAAAGAAAGAAAGAAAGAGAAAACAAAGATGTTTGGATATAGTGAAGAGGTTTGCTAATATATTGCTTGAAACCATAAAAAAAAAAGTCACTTGGGTGTCTATAGCTGGCCTGAATACGATGGAACCCAGGATACCAACGAAATGACAGAACCCTTGACACCATTTGTTCGTTCTCTAGATGCATTTAATCCTTCAGATAGTGCAATCAAAATTGTGGCCTCTGGTGGTGTAACATCTGTACTTGTACTTCCTGGATCCGGAAATATCATGGGTGGTGAGGCATTCGCATTCAAGCTAAGAGAAGTTTCGACCACTAGCAACGAAGACATGCTTATCCAGGCTGGAGAGCCCAAGGAAGACCAATGGCGCTGGATGAAGATGGCATGTGGAGAGAACCCCAAGCGTGTCTACGGTAACCAAGGGCTGGCTCCCATGACCCGCATGGGAGAAGCCTATCTTCTCCGTGAACGTCTCGAAAAAGCCCGCAAACTCAAGGAAGATCAAGAAGATTGGTGCAGTGCCGCACAGACCGTGTTTTCCAATGGAGGCCGTCTTGAGTCGCGTTTCCCTATCGACTTGAGATTAGAATCTCTTGTTAGCCTACTACGTGGTGATGTTTTGCTCAACATTCATTGCTATGAGACACACGACATCGAGGCTATGGTGCGCCATTCTCTTGAATTTAACTTTACCATCAGTGCTTTCCACCATGCTCTCGATGCTTACCGGGTCCCTGAAATTCTCAAGCGAGCAGCTAATAATATCACTGTAGCCACATTCGCCGATCATTGGGGTTATAAGAAAGAAGCTTTCCAGGCTAGTCCTCGCGCACCCAAGATCCTACTTGATGCCGGAATTCCTGTTGCACTCAAGAGTGACCACCCAGTATTGAACTCTCAGCACCTGATGTTTGAAGCTGCCAAGAGTGCTCACTATGGTTTATCTGCCCAGGAGGCTTTCAAGACCGTCACTTCGGTGCCTGCTAATGCTATGGGACTTGGTCATCGTATCGGATCACTCAAGGCTGGTTACGATGCCGACGTTGTTGTCTGGGACAGATCTCCTCTTGCCCTCGGTGCTACCCCACTTCAAGTGTTTGTTGATGGTGTTGCTTTGTTTGATGCCCCTGCCCTTGAAGAAGGAGCTAAAGAAGCTGTTAAGGCTCAAGAAATCACTCCCGAGCAGACTCCCCTCAAGACCCTCAAGAGCGAGAACGTTATGGAAGCTTCTGGTGCAAAGAACTTTATCCTGAAGAATGTCGGGCGTGTCTGGCGTGAAAACGATCTCGTCGATGTATCTGAAGTTGTCGTCACAGACGGAAAGATTGTGTGTGTCGCTCAAGATTGCACTGGCTCACTCGATGGTGTCGCCACTACCCAGAATTATCACACCATCGATCTTCAGGGTGGCTATGTTCTCCCTGTAAGTAATAGATCTTAGTCAAACAAAGTATTATGCAGCTGTATTTAACAACATTATTATTATTATTATTATTGGATAGGGACTTGTGGCTGTTGGATCCAGCCTTGGTCTTATTGAAATCGAGGCCGAGTCTTCGACTGGAGACGGTGTTGCAAAGCCTTCTACTTCACAAGATCCCAAAACTGTTCTTGAGGCATTCGATGGTCTTAAGTTTGGAACCCGTCATTTGGAGGAGGCTTACAAGGGTGGTATCTTGACTACCATTACTGCACCCATGTCTCAGAATGTTGTGGTTGGTGTTAGTGCAGCATTCAAGACAAATGCTGATTCCAGTAAGTTTGTGAAGATTATATTTTATTTATTTATAAAATGATTATATGAAGCTTTTCCAGTAACTCATACATACTGATTGTTTATGATTGATAGTGTTGTCTGAGGGTGCCATTGTTGCTCCCTTTGTAGCCCTTCATTTGCAAATCGGAGACAGTGTCAAGTCAAGCGAATTCCCAACCGTGTCTTCTCAGATTAGCTACATTCGTAAACTGTTTGCGGATAACAGCAAATCTGACAATTACTATGGAAAGGCTGCTCGCGGCGAGATTCCTTTGATTGTCTCAGTTAACAACAAGGACGAAATCGCATCTCTCATCCAACTCAAGAAGCAATATCTCTCTAGTGCAAAGATGTCTATCATGGGTGGTGCAGAGGCTCACTTGGTTGCTTCTCATCTGGCTGCTGCTGACATTGCTGTGATTTTACGTCCTGGCCTTTGCACCCCAGCAAACTTCGATTCAATCCATTGTCTTACTGGCGCACCTCTGACAAACGGAACCGCAGCTCACGTTCTCCACCAACACGGAGTAAAGATTGGTTTGGGTGTTTTGGACAACAGCTTGGCTCGCAACCTGGCGTGGGATGCTGGATGGTTGTCTGTAACATCTACTGAAAGTTACGGCTTGATCTCAGAGGCTCAGGCAGTCGGATTTATTACAACCAATTTATGGGATATCTTTGGTCTCCGTCAGGACGATCTCTTCACCAATGATTTTGTTGTCTGGTCCGGAAGTCCATTTGCTATGAACAGCCGCCCTGTGTTTAGCTATTCCCAACAGCAGGGTATCCACACAATCGTCTAAGTAAAAGACAGAAAAAAAAGATAAATAGCTACCATATTGTTTTTTTTTATATCTCTTTTTCTTTTACTCTTTGGTGTGACTCGACTTTAAACACACATACACACTAAATATATATATATATATATAAACCTGATAACCAAAAGAAATCCTTGTAATAAAATAAATGAACATTAAAAAAAAACTCAAACCCAATGAGTGTGAGCCAGGTGGCGGGCAGAGGGAAAAAAAGGGGGGAAATAGAAGCTGGTGAGAGGGGAGAAAATACGGTGTTTCTGGACGCATTTTTTTTCTTCTTTTTTTTTTTGAAAGGCCTTGTGTTCTTTATTCCTTATTGTATTCCAAGACTACTCACAAGGATGCGTTACAGTGCTGTTTGGTTATTCAGCCTGTTGAGTGCCTTGGTTTTACTGGCAGCCATGGTGGAGGCAGGTAGAGATTACTACCGCATTCTCGATGTTCCACGCGACGCGCCCAAGAGTCAGATCAAGAAGCATTACAAGAAATTGTCACGAGTGTACCATCCCGACAAGAATCCAGATGACAAGGAAGCTTCTGCCAAGTTTATGGAACTTGCTGATGGTAACATGCTTACTCAGATTCCTTTCAAAGTACATTAAGCTTACAATGATCATTAGCCTACAATGTACTTTCTGATGATGAAAAGCGACCCATCTATGACCGATACGGTGAGGAAGGATTGGAACAACACAAGTCTGGAAATGGAGGACATCACCAAAATCCTTTTGATATCTTTTCACACTTTTTTGGAGGTAAGTTTTTTTTGCTTTCTTTTGTTGAAGGTACAATTTTTTGTAAAGAACACCAATTAATTCAATTGGTGGTATTTGGATGAATAAGGTGGTCATCATGGACATGCTCAAGAACGAAAGGGCCCAAACATGCAGGTTGTACTTGAAGTATCATTGGAGGATCTGTACAATGGAGCAAATATCGAGGTGGATATCTCGAAGCAGGCTGTGTGTGATCATTGCCATGGTAGTGGTGCACGCCGATCGGAAGACATCGTAACCTGTCCTGTATGTTCCGGAAGAGGTGTAACTCTTGCTAGAATACAAATTGCACCTGGAATGGTTCAACAGATCCAGCAAACGTGTGATAAGTGTGGTGGTAAGGGCAAGACCATCAAAACTCCTTGCCCAGTATGTGCTGGTAAAAAGGTCCGACGAGCAAACGAGCAGTATTCTATTGATATTGATAAGGGAATGAGTGATGGCGCAACAGTGGTAAGAAAGACAATCAGCTTAAGCAAGATTATGCACATACAAACTTATGTGCATGTGTATGTGTTTGGGTTTGGGTTTGTTTATTAATTTGCGTCTAAAATAAACTTACTTTGCAGGTTTTGGATCAAGAAGGTGATGAGTATCCAGACACTATTCCTGGTGACATTATATTTGTTGTGTCTACTTTGCCTCACGCTGTGTTTGAAAGACGTGGTCAAGCCCTGTACACGAAGCAACACATCACTCTTACCGAGGCACTCACTGGCTTTGAAAAGACATTGAAGCACTTGGATGGCAGCACAGTGACACTCGCACGACAGGGCGTTACCCAATACGGCTTTGTGCAGACGATCAAGGGTCAAGGAATGCCACTCCACGAGAATCCTACGGAACATGGAGACCTCTTTGTGGAGTACAACGTTGTGTTTCCTACGCATATCGACCCCGAATTTGTTGAATGTAAGTTTCCGATTTTCAATACCAAGAAAAAAAAAATCCCAAATCTCACCTAAATCTTTATATAATTTTTTATAGTACTCCGCCAAGGAGCTCATTATGCACCAGCCAGCTTCGTACATCAAGAGCTTTAAAGTCATTTAATAATTTTATTATAGAATTCTAAAGATTTTCTTTTAGATATTTGTACGCTTATGTTTTTTTTTTCGTTGGTGCATAATGTAATATTCTTTTTCCTTTTGTCTCTTTCTATTTGATATGAGTATTTTAAATGATTGGAGTACATGTTGTGGGCCATGGTTATACAATTTGCTAATGAATCATAAGCACGGGCATATTTTATGAGTTTCTCAGAGTGTATGTATATATATATATATAAATTATTACTCAGACCACTTTGTAGTACGGTCTTACCAAAATTACAGTTGGGTACAGTCTTTGCCAAATTCATTCTAGATTGATAGTACACAATATATGTATATATATAATAGTTGCTAAAGACCTGAACTGGCCATAATAATCTGGATAGAAAATCTTCGGAAAAATTAACCGGAATATATCTGGCCGGCATGTCATAAAGGATGTTTGTCCAGCCAACGAGTGATTGAGAACCCGTTGGATATTGTGGTCTTTCACGATTTAGATTCAGTTTGGCTTGGCTTAACTTACTGGATATCTGTAAAACATCTCATTACACATAGATAGAACACAGAGAATCAATTGTTGCACGCATTTGGAAGTGATACCATTTATACCAAGTATCTTGTTCATCTGTATGCTGAAGACAAAGTTTTCGAACAATCTTGGGTGTGTTATTTATTTTTAAAAGAATAATGTTGGAAAAAAAAGATATACAATTTCCTCTGTATTCTGATAAAGGTTTTTTTTCAATTTAGCATGTTTGCGTAAAGAGCCCTATCTAACTATTATTACTAGTATTAAAGTTGAAGTTTTTGTAGAATTCACATGTCTTCTTAAATAACGTGTTTTCTGAACCCAACTTAAATAAAATTTGCAAATCCAAAGCTCTTATTCAAAAGCAATTACATCTATGTATAATATATCTAAGGTTTGTATATTTTATCAAGGCAGATAACTAGTACATTATGGTACCCCCGTTGATACTAATTACCGCTTGGAAGTGAATCCGCATACTGCTAACCAAGAGTCCTAGAAACTCTTTTAGTTTTGTTCAGTCCTCTTGCAATTCTACATCTAGATTGTCTAAAGTGGTAGTTGAGGCACTTACCTTATTACATAGCTGCCCTAGAGCACTCCTATACGCTCAATGGGATTCAGACCAGAATTTTGAGCCGGCTATAAGTCAAAACTAGCAATCTGGTAGGTTCTCTTCCACAATTTAGTAAATACCCCTATGTGGCAAATTACGCTGTTTTAATGAAGGATAGGATACTTTTTTTTTTTGACTTTCGAAGATGTCTTTAGGTCAAGGGTGGAAAGCTTATTCCAGGATATCAATAATTCTATCCTGGTTCACGTTTTTTGTGCTTGATAATCTTTAAAGATCCAAATCTTTCACTCCAAAAACAAGCGTCACCAAAAATCATAGCACTACCAGGACTCTACCTCACTATAGCAATAGTATTCATTTAAACATACCTTCTTTTCCCAAATCTTTGGAAAATACGCCATGTTCTATTGCTGCCCCCGAGAAGAAGTAGACCCCGTTTGACCACAACACATTGTTTCATTGTTCTTTATACCAGCCCATTCATATATTGACCCAATGAAATCTAGCCCTCTTATGCTTCTTTATCCAGTAAGCTCTGAATTGATTATACAATTTAAATGGATCCTCCGGAATAATACTTTTTCAATTGGTTTTGCATTCTCCCAACCATTTTTCTAAGTTCTCCAATTGATTTACTAGGCAAAAAAGATTGCCATGTATCTTGTATGTTTCTCCTTTTTTTGTAATTGCTTGTACACTTGACAATACCATGTCAACAAGCTATGTAAATCTTATGAAGAATAATATCGGATTTTCGAGAGTAGAAAATTCCGCTATACTTTTATTCTCTTTGTGACATATGAAATCTAAGGGTATTTTCTGGAATATATATATATATATTAAACATGTTTGTTTACTTGATGATTTTTGGGGGAGTTTTTTTTTAAAGAAATAAAATAATTTTTATTGTGAAATATACATATTTTATTTAACATTACTGTCCGTGACTGTATAAGGATGGGTCATGTCAAGCTTTGTAGGATATTATTTCTCTGTGAATACGACATTATATTTGTCGTTGAACGCAAGGATATTCTAGGCAACCCACGACTTTTATTTTTGCGAACCTGCAACTTCGGAGTTGGCTGAGAACGACACCAATTTTGGAAGTGTATTTGTATTTTTATACATCTTTAAATTTGAGGTTTCCCCAGACAACAGCGTTACATTCTATTCCAATATAGTCAGGTTTTTCTTTCCACTAGGAAATATTCAAGCTTGGGATAGTAGCAGGCTATCAAGATTCATGGTTGCTTTTTTGATTTCTTTTTTTTTAGTGTTCACAAATTGTTGGCCATAGCATCTGGTTTGTTACATCGTCTTCATCGGAACTACATCTCTCAAAGAAGCTTATCGAGTGGTAACTTTCTTTGTTCTTTCGGTTTCCGCTCTGTACACAAGATATAAATTGCTTTCCAAGCTTGTAAAGTTATATGTTTGAATACCTTCCTTTTGTCTGGCTCTACCTCAGTTTAGAACCATGTATCTCGTAGTACAATGTTTATCACATGTACTCCTATTACTGTTATTCTGAATATACTTTACACTATCATTGCTAGTCAATACGCTTACATTCTATATCATTAATTGTCAATTAAGCTTGAAAATCATCAAATAAATAACAGTGATAAAGGGCCTATTGATTAAGGTTTCTTTCTTTGTCCCTTTTTTTTATCTATCCAAATCTACAGACATATCTGAACCAAGCTTTTATTCTGTGTCCCATCTTGAACGTGTATATTCAAGTCGTTCAGAAGGACTGAGCTCAATTGATTATGTGCCACAAGTGATTCACAGACCTTGCTGAAGTACAAATGACTTGCCTGTCATTCCTATTGATTGTAATTCTCAGTTGTTTTCATTGAAGCATAATTATATGTACTTTCATATATTTTAAATGTTGATGGGCTTAAGGGGATGGGTAAACTTGATGGTAATTGTAAAAAAAAAGTTTCAATATAATGAAAGATTAACAATAGCCAAGTTAAATTGATTGATTAGACGTTATTCTTTTCGTTGTGTACATTTATTTTTAAGTATCTTCTCATTTAAGGTGCCTTGAACGGACTGTTACTAGTTATTTTCTCTCTCTGTTAATGGTACCTCAATGGTGGAACCTGAATCAAACAGTATAAAGTAGGTGTCCATTTCTCTATTCTGTGCTTACTTCAGAAAAAAGGAAACTTTCGAATCAATTTCTATCTCTCTTTCTTAACTTCCCTTCTCTAATATGCTTACTCCTGCCGCCGAAAACCCACTTCGCGAACAGGGCCTTCCTGCCCCCTCTCCAACTGGCTACAACAATGTACCTGCCTTCAACAAGCCAGTAGAACTTACAATCGAGGGTACCATTCCAGAGTGGGTAAATGGTGTCATGTACCGTGCAGGTAAATAAAAAAAAAACAATACATTGCGATATTAGATATGAAGCAGATCATTAAACAAGAATAAATCTTAAAAAAATAAAATAAAAGGTTCTGGCCGTTATAATCTTCTGCTTGAGAACGGCGACACATTCCACATCGGACATCCTTTTGATGGCCTTGCAATGTTGCACCGTTTTGAACTATCTGGTGAGACGCAGACTGTTCAGTACTCCTCACGCCACACCTCCCACGGAGTAGAACGTCGTATTCGAGAAAAGGATCCTACACTTCTCACTTTTGGTCCAGATCCCTGCAAGACTATCTTTGGCCGTATCCAGTCTGTCTACCACCACATCTCCAAGTTCGGCGCAAATGCACAGATCCAAGAAGGCGACCCGGAGTTCGATATGGTTAATGTTACCATCACACCAAACTTCCCGCTTGGTGAGCGGCTTGAGGCCGAGACAGGTGTTAAGCGCGGTGATGCTCTTGTTGTCAAGAGAGATGCCAACACACTTCAGTTGGTCGATAACAAAACCCTTAGTAAGTTCATTGCATAAAAGTCTGGTAGCCAAATTTACTTACCAAGCCTATAGAACCTATCAAGATGTTCACTTATGGTCATGTCAATGATAAGCTCCAGGGTCAGCTTTGCGCTTCTCACCACCAGTATGATGAAGAGACCGACGAATATGTCAACTTCACCGTCAGACTCGGTCCAATCCCTTCTTTCCAATCCTATACACTTGGTCCTTACTTGCCTACTCCCCCAGGCTCAAAAGAAAAGATGCCTGCCCCTCAGGTTCGCTTACACGAACCTATCTATCGTCATCTTGGTGCCTGGCGTACACTCGAACCTCTCAAACCTGCGTATATTCACTCCTTCAGCATGACAAAGAACTATATCATTGTTCCCAATTTCCCGTATTACTACAGTTTTGGCGGCATGTCGGCACTGTATTACTCTTGTGCCTATCAAACCTTCTATTGGGACGAAACTCGCCCCACTCTTTTCCACGTTGTTGACCGTAATACCGGTAGACATGTCGCTACATACGATGCTGACCCATGCTTTTCTTTCCACTCTGCAAATGCCTGGGATGAGGAGGTGGATCTCCCAGGAGGTGGTAAAGAGCGTGTGATTTACATGGACTACTGTGTATATGAAAACACCGATATTGTGGATGCTAGTTTCGATCTCGGTAAAACACCTACTGGATTTGATGCTTCCAAGGTCGAGCCTGCACGTTTCAAGATCAAGAGACACACTGATGATAAGAAGGATAACAGCATTTCTCCTTCGCAGCTTAGACGTTATCGCCTTGGAAATGTGCCTGTCAGCTCTAATGCTCCCGAAACTTCGCGCTGGTCGCCAAAGGGAATTACGGGCCTGCTTTCCGGTATCTTTGATTTCAACAAGCGTCGAGTGGCATCATATACAGTATTGGGCTCCGATATTGAGCTTCCTCGCTTCAATTCAAACTTCAACCTTCGCAAGTATCGCTATGTGTGGGGTGTATGTGAGTCAAAACATGCGCCATCTTATGCATCTGGTGCCGTTGTAAACGGTTTGATCAAACTTGATCTTGATAAGCCCACATTGTGCAAGAACACAGAGGAGGGAAGCTCAGCAAAAATTTGGGATGAGCCCGGCTGTTCTTGTTCCGAGCCCATTTTTGTCGCCCACCCTGAGCAAAGAGCAGAAGATGACGGTGTACTTATTTCAACTGTCAACACCACAACTCCCGATGGAAAGGAATCATGTTTCCTGCTCATTGTTGATGCTGCTACAATGGTTGAAGTGGGCCGCACCACTCTGGGTGCATTCACTGCCATGACCATTCACGGCAGTTTTGTTGATACCAACGGCAAAGGTGTTGCTGTTAACTAAAGGGCGCAAAGAATAAGCAGAAGAAAAAAAAAGTTCCCTATCCACTATCTATCATTTCCGTATTTTCGCATCTCTTCATTTCTAGCTTAAAAATATATTTTTTACGTATAAGAATTAGATGTTCTAATTCAATTCAATTCAGTTCAGTTCAGTTTAGTTCAGTTTAATTTAGTTCAATTCAATTCACCCCTCCAATACCACCCACCCACCCACAATTCAATTCAATTTAATTCAATAAAAAGTCGTACTTTTTGGTTTATTCAGCATGTTCAATTATCGTCGCATCAATCATATCCAAGGAAAACCGGCGCCATTTGTACCACGCCATTGCTTGTAATAAGCTATCGCTAAGATCGTCCTGCTTCTTTTCCTGCTTGTATGTCTCTAATATGTTATCGGGACACAATATATCTTGCTTTTTCTCGAGTAAAGTATTGACTAAAACCACACACGCCTTCTTTTTGCCATAATACCGCCGCAGACTTTCATCTGTCCATCCCTTAAGCGCTTCATCCCAGGTTTTATCAACTGCTGCACGTTGAATTGGTTCCATCAACATGATATTGGTGGTTCTAATTTCTTCAAGAGCATACCACATCATTGCTTCTATAGCATTGACTCTGATTGTAGACTCTAGCACACTATGTGCACCCCCTGACCGATATCTTTGTTGTTCAACAACCACAGCTCCTGCTTGGTTCATCAATGGTGCAATTTGGGAGTGTACAAATTGACGTATCAAGGGAGCTGTAATTGATGGATGAAATGACGGCAAAGCTAGATCAACGCGGATCCAGTTACGGATGGTGTTGGTACTGTCTAGATGACAAAAAGCCATGTTACGATAGCCAAGATCGAATGAGATTACAGAAGATGGAAGAGCTTTTTCACGAATATATTCTCCATGAACATTTCCATTGGTGATGATTCTTTCATAGTGATTCTGGAGACGGGTTACAAGTTCCTTCTTAAGTCCACTTGTGGCTAAGCCACTATGGTTCATGATCTCCTTGAGCTGGCGTCCTTTTTTGGTAGAAAGACTTATTGGGGATGAATTGAATGTGTTGATTCAAAGCTACCTTTGTGACACTAGTTGGAGTACACGTTCAGTGTGAATTGACCTCCTGAGCACCTGGCCCAACATTATGAATTAAAAAGCGAAAGAGAAAGAGATAAATAAAGGCAAAGGAGACAAGAATGTATATAGCGGCAAAGCAAGGCTCGATAATATCGTGTTATATTTTATTGACGTTAATTTAGAAGACGAGTGCGGCACCCTTGGTCTTCTTGTCACCACCCAACTCGAAGTGCTTGCAACGCTTGATGGAGAGCTGCATCTTGTACTTGCAGGCAGTGCACTCAAGACGGAGGACGATCTTCTTGGTGGTCTTGGCTTTCTTGTGGAAGACGGGCTTGGTCTGACCACCATAACCGGACTGCTTACGGTCGTAACGTCTCTTACCCTGGGCGAAGAGGGAAGCCTTACCGGCCTTGTACTGGGTAACCTTGTGGGGAGTGTGCTTCTTGCACTTACCGCCCTTGCAGAAGGTGTTTCTGGTCTTGGGGATGTTGACCTAAAGACATGTCAGTTCTCTATTGGACGTCTGGTTCTGGCTTGTTGAAGTTGGGTGTGGATGGATGGATGGATGGATGGGTGGTTATGTTGAGTGCTACTCACCATGGTTTAATCGAAGTAAGCCAAAAGAGAGGGAGTCTATCAAATGAGATGCCGCCTGGTTAACTACCTTCCCTTCCGGAGAGCACGGTGAGAGAGCCCTTGCTCAATTTGAACAGCCGACATTGATGTGACTTTAGCAACCTTAACGTCTTCCACTCCCCCCAAAAAAAAATATTTCTTTTTTCGATAGTCTTCTTGAACTGTCTATTTTATTATTGTTTTCACTTGTTTTTTTCTTTTCTTTCTCTTTATTTTACTATTATTATTGTTACTATAGTTTAACTATGAATTTCAATCACAATTCTGGTTGACGTGCTGCCAAATCAGCCTCATTAGCCAACAATGCAGCATCCCAGTAGTGTTCTACATGCCATTTAGATAGTTCTTCACGAGCCATCTTTTCACTCTCAAACGAACGCCAAGTGAACTTTTTGAATGCCTTATTTTTTACCTGTCCCTCCCACACCAAATAACATGCATTCTCCTCAGTCTCATCAACATCCATTGCCTCCAGTGGTCCATTCTTTGGTGGTGGCATATCGTTCCAATCAATTCGACGAAGCATCAACTTTTTGTATGCCTTGATACCCTTGGGTCCTCCTTCAACAATCACAAGGTTACACTTTGGATGTACAATCACCATACCGGATAATTGATTTTGTTGTGCATTCAATTCGATTTTGTAGCGAAGTTTAGGATGTGAACATTTTTTCACTCTATCATTCAACCGACGTTAGCATCAAGACCATTTTTTTTTAAAAAAAGAAATAATTATTGGATCAACTTACTTGAATACAGCAACCTCATTACTTATCTTTTGATCATTCTTGAGCTTGTTGGCAATCTTTGCTCGTCTTTCGGCAGGTGTCAATTTACGTTGCTCATTGGCTGTTTCGTGCTGTTTCTGTCTCAACTCCATCTCCTTGCGCACCTTAGCTTCAATCTTTGTGGGATCCTGTATTGCCTCATCACCGAGTACTCTCATCAAATTGCTAATCTTGACTAATCCAACTATTAGTTGACAGTTCCTTCCTTCTTTAAAAACTTACCCTTTGGTGGATCAGGAGGAAGTAAGCCGAGACGAATCTTATCTTGCTTCTCTTTCTGTGTTTCCTGGCGCTGCTGTCTTCGCAACTTCTTGCGCTCTTTCTTAGTGAGCATCAGAGAACGACTGACAGCTGGGCCCGTGAGTTCACTTGGTGGTTTAATGGGGATAGGATGATGAACATAGAGAGTAACCAATGCACCAAGGGAATCTGGATTCACAGGCTGAGTATCTAGATCACTGTATGTTTTGTTGGGCATAAAGGGAGCATCCCACCACTCAATAGCTGGTGGAGGCTCTTTCTGAAAACAGTATCAGACACCCACAATAACTGTATATATATATATATGTATTTATAGATATGTATACAAACACTTCAAATAAAACCCTCTTTTTTTTGTTTCTTACCTTGATGGCTTTATCGGAAATATCCAATTCAACTTCCATGCCTGCCTTTTTGACATTCTCAGAAATCTCTTGTTTCAATTTTTCCAATTGTGCTTTTGCTCTCTCCTGGTTGGCTTGTTGGATGTATTTTCCAGGTCTAACAAACTTTAGCGACCGTGCTCTACGTGAAACTGGGGCAGTCTTGGCAATCAAGGAAGGATCAAAATAAGGATTCTTTGTGGGGTCAGTGAGTTCTTCCGGTGGAGACTCAAGTTTCAGAACCTTGAGCTCTTTTTTCGGTGCAGCAGGGCGTGGGGCAGGCTAATTATACAAGATATTAAGTAAACATTTGATTTAAATCATATATATATGTACGTACTTTTGCTAATGCATTCTCACGCTTGGGTATGATGCCTCTGTCCAGCATGGCCTTCAAATCAAGATTACCAGACTCATCCAAAGCTACCTGAGGTCCATTTCCCCGTGTATCCACTACTGGGGTAACGCCACGAGCCTACAAAGTATATATATATATATATATAATTAAGTTTTGTTCTTCAGTACAATTAAACACCGCGTCGAGGAATTCAAGCAAGACGGATCGTCTTGATTCCAATAATTATTCCTTTCATTTTCTCTGCTCAATCATTCTTTTCTTATGTTTACCGCTGATGCAGGAGCATTTCCCATCCGAGCTTTTGTCTCGGCGATTCTCTTTTTAAGCTCTAACAAATTTAGTCCACCCGTGCTTGCTTCTGGTACAGGCTGAGGTATGTTTACTGGCAAAGGTGGTGGTCTCCATGAGCTTATACTATTTGGTACAGATACTGGAACTTTTGGTCGTGGTGGTGGTGCAGCTTTGGTTTGTGCGGCGGCCTTGCTCTGAAAAGAAGCCATCTTGGCTAGTACTTCGGCACGTCGCGCCGCAATCAGCTCGGCCATCTGTAAAACAATAATAATAACATAAAAGAAGGAAGGAGCATTGTTAACACTTTTTTTTCTAGAAAAAAAATATGCCTCATTAATGACCTGCCTTTTGCTGATCTGACATTGTGATGGAGTCAATGTGTCCTTTCTGAGACACAAAAAAAAGATAGCTTTTTGTGGCCTGGCTTTGTGTGAGAGCTCGTCTGATTGATAAAGACAACGTCACGATCATGTCTGTGACAGTCACACATAGCATTTGGTTTTGCATTTCAAGAAAGATGTAACTGAAATTTGTGTAAGAGTCAGATTTATTTACCGTTTATACTTCGGACACGATACTTTAGTAAAAACTCATATTTTCATATATGATAATAAAATAATAATAATTTTCTAATAAAATTTTGAAGTATAGGCCTTTCGTTGTTGTCTATTAGTTTTTTTTCTAGCTACATAAAAATATGTACCACCTTCTAATATATACTGAATTTTCACTGTACATTTGAAAACAAAAACAGATTTAGGAATTAAAGTAGGTAACATCTTACAAAGGTCTAAAGTTTTCATGCAATACCACTGAATTTTATAAAAAGAAAAAAATAAAGTTAGAAGCTCCTAGTAAAATCCACTTAAATCCAAGAAACCCCATACATTTTTTTTTCTTTAATTTGTATATCATTTACGGTGGATAATTTTAGGATTTGATTTATTTGAATTCTGCTTGACCTTTTGCAATTTAAGCTGTAGATATGTAATCCGGTGTAGCTTTAAAATACAAAGAATTATAAGGGGGACTCAATGACTTATTTTAAAAATGTTCTACTGCTATTATTATGCCAATTATTTAACTTACAAGCACCTACAAAGATAATGAACACTTCTTCTATTATGAATGCACAGGCGTAAGATTATATCAAATATCTAGAAATTTAAATATATTGAGTTGTGCCTTTTTGTTTTGTTCTGTGGACTCTGGCTGTATTCTTGCCTACGATGAATTGTTTGTCTTGTTATATACATTTTACTTTCTCGTTACTATTCTTTTGATTTGATTTCAAGTATTCGTTGTCGGTATTAATAATGAGCTGTGTATCATTAGCAGGTCCAGATTTTACATCTTTCCAGTATTAGAGTTTATGTTGGTGGGGGCCATCTACCATAAGCACTATGTCTTAATAAATGTTAAAACGGATACTAATATTTACTCAATTAAAAGTGTTAACAGCCAAATTACTTAACCATTTTCTGAAGGGTTTGTGTGTTATTCAATTGAAGGTTTTCATAACCTGGGTTACAGATCATTTTAATTAATAAACAACTGTAGATTACATGTCACATTTTTATCTTCTTTAAAAAAAGTGATAGGATTTCCGTAGATTGTACGACACTTTATTTTATTTATTTCTTGCGACATCGTTAGGGCAAAAGGTGTATAATGATTAGCAGAACGCATGACGTCATGAGCATTGGTGTAAGCTAACTATGACTAGCTGTAAAATGTAGAAAGTAAACAATCTTCACAACCATTCCATAATGAGCTTCCTCGAAAGCTTGAAATTTGAACCAGCTTGTTTGCTTGATCTCGATGTAATCGATCACCTTGAACAAACTTCGTACCACCCTGATGAGGCTGCCACACGCGAAAAACTTAAAAATCGCATTGAATATGCTGCCCACAGTGGCCCAGAATTATTTCTAGTCGCCAAAGACAAAGAAACCATTGTTGGCTTTGTATGCACCACACTCTCGCGTTCTGATCTTCTCACCGAGGAATCAATGGATGTTCACGATCCCGAAGGAAAAACCGTATGTCTTCACAGCGTCTGCGTTGCCCCTGAATATCGCAAGCGCGGTGTCGCCACACATCTTTTGAACACTTGGATTGGTATCCTCCGTCACCACAATGAGCTCCAGACCCCTAAGAAATATGAGCGTGTTGCTATCCTCAGCCGTCCTAACCTTTTGTCTCTTTATGGTTCTGTTGGATTCAAAAACCTTGGAAAGAGTGAGGTAGTTCATGGCCCTGAGCCTTGGTACGACTGCATTCTGGAGCTTTAATATTTAATTCAATATATAAAACAAAAATAATATAATATAATATAATATAATATCAAGTAAAAGAAAGTAAAATAAAACAAAACAAATTCAAGTCGAATTATTCGCTATCACTGTTTTTATCACTGTCGCTTGAGTGAAGATTAGTACCGTCCAGTACACCTGCAACCAAGTCACGGAAGAGTCCCATTGTAGGGAAGAGAGAATTTGTGTACTCCATATCATACCAATAGTTGATTGCAATAACGCCTTGGTCACCATTTTGAAGAACATGATGGAACCAGAGAGCTACAATTTTTTAAAAGAAAAATATACACGAGGAGAAAAAAAATGTAATAATTAGAGGATGTAGTATTTAAAAAGAGTAAAAACTTTGTAACTTGTTATACTTTACCTGGTAGATAAAGCATATCTCCTTCCTGTACAGTAATTATCAAGGGTTTGGCATGTCTGAAACGCGGAAATCTGGTGTAATCCGGTGAGAGAGGATCGACTGGGATCCATGGTGTCTTAGTGGGAGGATGTATAGGGACCAACTCTAGGCTTCCGGTCGTAGAGTTTGGTTCATAAACAGCACCGGGATATATGGATTCTAGTTTAATGATTTGAGGTAAAAACATCGTTCGTTTATATATGTATTAACTGATATATATTCTTATAAAACAAGAGTGGATATGTAATACTTACCATGCATACAATAGTACTCGGAAGGTGGAAAGAGTACAAACGTCTTTTCACCACGAATCACAGCATAACAATTCTCATAAGGGTCCTTGTGAAGTGAGGTAGTGCTTCCACTATCACCAAACCAGAAATTAACTGCGTCTGGTTGCTTGCCTTTAAACCACAGATATACATGAGTACTTGATTAATACAAGAATGGTTAAACGCATAGGATGCAAAACTAGTAAGAATAGTAAATTACCAAGGGCTTCGCTGCACCAGTCAATATGCGGTGCTACATCTTTCTCTAGAGGTGAAAACTCTGCTGGTAAACTTCCATTCTGTAGAGATATATAATGCTTGTTTGGGCTATTCTCTTTGCCTTCTATGGTGTCAATAAATCTATCGAAAGGCATGACCTTTTCATAAGGCATAGCAAAATACTCTTTCCCGGTGATTTTATCAAGAGTCACTGCATCTGCGTATCTAATGTACCCACCGACCCACAGATACGCATAAATACACGCAGATATAAAAGTAAAAGCAAAAAGATGAAAGCTTGAGTCAGTCTTCTAGTGATAAGCTTTGAATATCAATGTCTACCCGTTAGGGGTGACTATTCAATAAAAAAATAATGAATTATTGTGTCTCAAATCAAAATTGCCAGATCAAGAAACTTACTCGCAACAGTAATAGGTACTTTGCCCATAGTTGAACGCAGGTATTGGTTGGTCCATTTGGTCCGAGCCGGCCAGTCATCAAATGCCCCTTTACATAATAAACAATTTTTTTATAAAAAAAATTGGTCCAAAAATGCGAAAGAGGAGGAACAGTTGTTTGTTACCTTTGATAATAGCGGGACGATTGGGATGTACGCTGGTCCGTAAGAACTCTAGTGGAGTAGGTGGTTTTTGGTAGACATGCACATAACTACCGCACATTTCTACAGTGCAAAACAATATACACATGTTGATATAAAGTTGTAATATATGAACATTCGCCTTTCATACGTTTACCTTGATACTCCTTGACATATCTCACAAAGCTTTCTTCTATAGTTGGTTGCATTATCGGAGAGTGAGGAATGAGGAGGGAAAGGAGTGCGGCCCATCAAATAGAAATTGGTATCGGGTCCGGGAGCTTTTTGACCTCAGACATGACTTGTCTGCCAAGCCACGAATGGCAAGCAACACACACAACAGTGCTGACCGGGCAATCCACCATTCTGTCTCTTTCCCTTTCACCGTTAATCTCATCGTTTCATCATGGTAAGAACAAGCTACTGATGAAGCATTAAATCGACGTGTGAATAGATGGATGGATGGATGAACTAATATTTGGATGTGCATTTTTTAGGGCTGCGTTAGAACCAAGACTGTCAAGAAGGCTTCCCGTGTCTTGATCGAGAAGTACTACCCCCGTCTCACTCTCGACTTCCAGACCAACAAGAGAATCCTTGACGAGGTTGCCATCATCCAGTCCAAGCGCCTCCGCAACAAGATTGCCGGTTTCACCACCCACTTGATGAAGCGCATTTCCAAGGGTCCCGTCCGCGGTATTTCCTTCAAGTTGCAGGAGGAGGAGCGTGAGCGCAAGGATAACTACGTTCCCGAGTTCTCTGCCCTCGATACCTCCGTCATTGAGGTCGACCCCGAGACCGAGGTAACTATCGAAGAAGAATTAGAAAACCGAAAAGTTTGTGTGGTTATGTATACGTGTGCGAGACTTTGGCTGTCGTGCGGAAGCATGAAAACTTGGTTATTTTTTGTTTGGCCTTTTGTCCCAAACTATCAAATCTTTTTTGTTTTTTGTTTCTTTTATCAGCTTTTGCGATCTCTTTCTATATTTATGTATTTGTTGCTTTTGCTTGCTTCATAAATGAAATGAAATGAAAAGAAGATGGGGCAATGGTCAAACAAAAAAAACAATACCTATTTTCTTTCTGTGCGCGCGGTGGATCTTTCGATGGCCATACTATATCACATTGACTTGAAGGTGTCAAGATTCCGCCGCGCACAACACAACCTTAACACCATTTTTCTTTACTCTACTTTTAGGAATTGCTCAAGTCTCTCAACTTCGAGAACCTTGCTGGTGTCCGCGTTACCAACCCCATTGCCAACGTTGACTTCAAGCCCCGTCGTCGCGACCAGGCTCGTGGTCCCCGTAAGCCCCGTGCTGAGGGTGCTGAGGTCCAGGCTTAAAGCTCTTTCATTATTTGGGATTTCGAGTCCTTGATCTTCGGGTTCCAATTAACCCAATAAAATGTTCATAGCCGAATCTTTGATTTTTTTTTACATATTTTACTGCATATGTCTATTTTTTAAAGTGATGTAAAGAAATGTAATAGAAATATTTTGATGGCTGTTATTTAGTAATTATAAAATCCGAGTATCCGGATTATAGGCAGGAAGCTACTGGTTTCACAACATGTGTATCGGTTCTGTGTCTGTATCTTGATAATTCACACATGTCTTCCGAGAACGGGATGAACGGAATGTAATCTGAAGGGAAAGAATAGATTATGGTATATCGAGTTGGGCAATTTGAACAATTGAATTATAGCACTGAAAGTTAAATTTGAGTTTGTATTGAAAGTAGAAATAAGCTATTAAGTCATATATATATTATATATTGTGGGCCTATTGTTCTTGCCTTTAGTAACTATTTATCTATATATGTATATATATCTATATGTGTGTGTACTTGTGTACGTATATTTGTAATTGTACCCTTTTAAAACAATTCTTGTTGGACTTAGCTATGATCGTTCACTGGGTTAAATGTACCTCCAGTAAAGAATATCTTTCACTGCGCTTCATTTACCATTCCCGGAGATAAAAAATAAACGAGTTTACTATGAAGCGATGTTTCAATCGGCTTATCTTTGGAAATATTGAGGTACTTTGTACACTTGCTTCTGTTAGTATTTAACATGGGCCATATAATCATACTTGCCAATACAGAGTCGAGATCATTGGATACATGGCCTGATGATGGGCCTAATACAAAATAGAAAATGATAAATTTAGAGCCATTTATACTGGATAAGTTTTAGGTTTACACCAAAGGGGGTTTCTTTTGAATGTCATGTGATTCAATACGTTTATCCAGTATATATAGTACTTGGATAAATAATTCTGTTTCTTCTTTGAATATATAGATCAGATATTCTGATCATTTATTCTTAAAGAGGTACAATATCTTGAAGTACAAAAAGATAACAGATTTTGACTATCGCGATTGATAAGACCATACCCTGTCCCATTTGTGGTACACAAAATCAGCTGAACCAGCCAAAGCGCATAACGGTCTCAAAAATATCCAGTGAAATAAAGCTGTCAGCAAAACCTATAATTCGTACTAGGTGTATATCTGCAATATCATTGGCCAGAGAGGGTATCACAGCCGACAGCAAACCAACAGTATATGCAGAGCCAAAATAAGAAATATAACCAAATTCTGCTTATAAAAACCACTTCGCTCTGTTTATCCATTATCCACACTTCTTTTTCTCACAATGACTTTTACAATTGAGCCTATTAAACCTACTGCCGCCCAGTTTGGCGTTGACTTTGGTGCCATGATCAATGACCTTGACTTGGAGAAATTGACTGGTAAAATAATTTCTTTATTTCTTTATTTTATTTCTTTATTTTATTTTATATTATATTAACCCCCCCTCTATCTAAACATTATCTGATAGACCATGATTTTGCCAAGCTTGAGGAAGCTGTTTATACTTATCAAGTCGTTGTAATCCGTAACCAGAGCCATCTCACTCCTGAAACACAGTATAAAATCACAAAGATGTTTGACCCTGCAATGGATACTTATGGCCACGGTGGAATGCACCGCGCAAAGGCCTCTGTGATCGCCAGAGACTTGTCCCCTCTTCCCAAAGTACCACAAGTGCAACTATTGGGCAATGGTCTGATCAAGAACTACCAGGGAATTTCCGAGAAGTTGCTTGTTCATCCCAACCATCGCGTCTTTCACCAAACACAACTGAGTACTGAGGAAGAAGCAGCCGGTAAGACCCGATTCTACAGATGGCACATGGATGCCGCTCTTTACAGACTCAACCCACCAAAGGTTACCTCTCTCTTTGGATTTAAGAACCCCGTAAGTATAAAAGCTTTGTGATAAAGAGAACAATATATGTATATAATTACTTGCGCGCTAACAAGACTATATGCATTCTTTTTTTTTCTTATTTAGGGTACTCGTCGTCAAACACTTCAATACGACGATGGGTCCAACTCTGAGATTGATGTTCAGTTGGGTACCACTGCTTGTAAGTTAATAAAAGAAAATGATCAAGTTGCTCTCAAGATTCTAAACATGAAACTGTATCGAATAGTCATCTCCGGACAAAGAGCATTCGAGATCTTGTCCCCTGAATTAAAAGACTTTTGCTTCCGCACAAAGGTCCAATATGCCCCTCATCCCTATCTCTGGATGTCCAAGGCTCGATCCCGTTCAACTGGTCTTGGTATGGTTTCTGAAGGCAAGGAACTCTCTGTTGATGAACTCCCTCCTATTGACGAGAAGGATATCAAGATCTACCCCATGGTAATTTAACACAAAGCAAAAAAATATATATCGCAAAATCAAATTCTTACGACCTGCTGCGTATAGTTGTGGAAAAACCCTGTTACAAACAAGATCCATCTTCAAGTCCACCCCTCGGCTGTACAGGATCTTATTACAGATGGAAAGCGAGTGGGTGATTTGACCAAGGTTCGCGAGATCCTTTGGAATATCCAGCGTCCTTCAATTAACCCCGAGAACGTCTATGCTCACGAGTGGAAGGATGGCGATCTGGTTATCTTCCACAACCGTGGTGTACTCCACAGTGTTGTAGGCTGTTTGACACCTGATGATATCCGTATCTTCCAACAGTGCAACATGGCAAGTTCTGATGAACCTATTCCAGTAACCAAGGAAGATTTTGCACCCTATGCTACAGTCAAGGCTTAAAAATACTTCTCCCCAAGAAAAATAAATAATCTCCCTCCAATTACTTGTAAAACTTCTTCCTTTTTTTTCATATACCATTTCCAATTCAATAACAACACAAACTCATATATAAAATAAATAAATAAGAAAGCAATAAAAATAAATTCAAATAAATAGACGTAAATTAAACTCCTTTGGGTATAACTACGGTGATTGTATCTGCAGATTGTCCCCACTGTACTCGCTTATTTACAAATACAGCATACCAGGTAGTCAGAGCAATAAACGACAGAATACAGCCAGCCAGTGACATGAGCACATCTATTCATTGATAACCTCTCCTTGTTCTTAGTCAAGGTACCCCTTTTTTGTTTGTTTTTTTTTTGTTTATTATTTTTATGTGTATATATTCTTTATTATAATTCCACGCAGACTTTCTTGGTTTCTTACACTTTCGAAGGGCAGGTGGAGCTGTTGATTTGCGACACATGGTGAAAAAGTACATGACATTTACCAGCCAGAGGAAAGGGAGAAAGGCAAACCCACCATAGAACATCTTTTTGCTAATGGTTATTAGCTCATCATTGCTCATCTTGTCTAGCTTTGGCATCTTGAATTTTATATATATATATATATACAGGCGTATTCTTTTGAATTGAGAAAAAAAATACAATAGAAAAATGAAGGAATAGTAATTATACCTTTATTTTGTATTTGCACAGCAATTGTAGCTTTTCATTTGTCAATATTTTAGATGTCCGAGACTTATAGTAGTAACCGTTTTTCGATACACATTTTTTATTCGATCTCTTACCAATACAAAAAAGGGCATTGGCCTCCTTTTTTTCCTTTGGATCACATAAATATCTACTCTTCCATACGGCTTTATTATGTCTATCTATGTAGTCTATCTACATTCATAATGATTATTTCTATTACTAATACTGCTGATGTACTGTTGAAAGAATTAATTTATTCTAATGGGAAGTTGTGGAGTGTAGTCACTAAAATCGTGTCCTGATTAGTTTTTCCTCTATTGCTAATATTCATAGAGGGTTGCCAATTGAGCACTGCGCCTAGTATTCTACAATTAGACTGCCAACTGTGTAGGATCAAGTATAGTTATTACTGTTAATTATTATTATTTTTTATTGAAAATCGGGGTCTACGTCAGAAACAATTATAATATAAAAAAAAAAGACTTGTAATTTTAATGGCCTTGTCATTTTGACACGTAGCGGTCGAAAGGTGGAGGAAGTCAAAATTAGCGGAACCCAAATTCATCTGCCTGTAATTATATACACACACATACACGCACTAATTAGCCTCAGGGGCAAAATGAAAAGAGTGAACAAGCCAATTATATATATATATATATATACAGATATTTCCCTTTTGACTTGCTCTTCTTCCTTTTCCTTTTCTAAAAAAAAAGAAAAACTTCAATTTAAATTATGGAAAGCACCAAGGAAGCTGGGCTCTTCATTGCATATGGAGCCCTCATGTCAATGGCTCTCGTTCCCATCTATGTGGGTTCTATCGCCTCTCTCAAGACAATGAAACGACCCGAAAACGCACAGAAGTCCAAGAAATCTCTCTCTCCTCTCGATGACTCGGATGATGAAGATGTTGGTGCAGACACACTTACAACCAACGATGCTTTGATGTTCCCCATCATCGCTTCCGGTGTTCTCTTTTCGCTTTACATGATGTATCGTTATTTGGACGAACGTTACCTGAACTACGGTATTACCGCCTATTTCTCAATTGTTGGTTGTGCAGCCATGACAAAAACAGGTTTGATGGTAGCAAAGGCTGTAACTCCCCTCAGCCTCTTGAAGAATGTTGACAAGTATAAGGTTTCTTTGAGCAAGGGAGGAAAACGTAAGTTAATAAAATATCCCCGCATTTTTATGTGTTGATCCCAATGCTATATTGATTCTAACGGTGTATGTGTGTGTGTGTGTGTGTGCGTGTGTTTGTTCATTAGGCTTGAACCATCTCAGCTTCACTGTGGTCCACATTGGTCTTGCTGTCCTTTCTATTTTAATGACCATCTACTATGGCATCACAAAGAACTGGGTGGCTTCCAATCTTTTTGGTCTTTCTTTCTCAGTCAATGCTCTTACCTTGTTGTCCCTGGGATCATTCACCACCGGCATGAGCCTTTTGGCTGGTCTGTTCTTTTATGATATCTTTTGGGTGTTTGGCACAGATGTCATGGTGAGTGTTGCCAAGAACTTTGATGCCCCTATCAAGGTACTCTGGCCCAGAGATGCCATCGCCTACTTCCTGGGTGATCCTACCGCCATTGGATTCACTATGCTTGGATTAGGTGATATTGTTATTCCTGGTAAGAATATAGTTTCTCTTGGTATAGAATATCAGTGCACGACAAGATTATAATGAGTTGTACGCAGTTAATAAATACTAAAATATCTTGTTTGTACTTTATTATTGTTATTTCTTGTCTCTAGGTGCTTTTGTTGCTCTTTGCCTCCATTTTGATCGCCACATGGCCTGGAAGCGTAATCCCGTCGGTGATTTCCGTTCCACTGATTTCCCCAAGCCATACTTCATTGCCTGCTTCGTAGCTTACATTGCCGGTCTGGCAACCACCATGGCTGTCATGCATATTTTCCATGCTGCTCAGCCTGCCCTGCTTTACCTTTCACCTGCCTGTATCATTTCTGCTTTACTGACTGCTGCTGTACGTGGTGAAATCAAAGAACTCTTTAGCTTCTCGGACGAAGAGACTGAAGAAGAGAAGGAAAAGAAGTCAAAGACCAAGGAAGTCAAGGAGGCCAAGGAAGAAAAGAAAGAGGAAGAGAAAACAACTGTTGTAGAGACTGTTGAAATTGAAACCGACAGTGTTAGTGAGATGAACGTTGTAGTATCAGAGTCTGAAGAGGAAACTGTTGTTGTTAAGTCTCCAAAGTCCGGAGGAAAGAAGAAGAAGGGAGGAAAGAGAAAGTAAAAAAAAAAGTTAGACGAGTGCTTGGTTTTCATTCACTTCATTTTTCACTTATCTATCTATCTTTATATCTCTCATTGCATTTGTTACATAAATCTTCTCAGATAAAGGGTCCATTTTCACCTTCATACTCTTACTGTATAATTGGTTATATTGTGTTGAATGTATTACAATTGAAGAATTGTTTATACAAGCTTCTTTTTACTTTATTTTATTTTATTTTATTTTTGCCTAAACTGCAACATTATTACGTCGATGAAGAGGAAGATGTCTCTGACTTGATCATTCGCTCCACTCTAAGTCTGTCTTCTTCTTCTTTAGCCATTTCCTTGGCAATAGTTTTTGCTTCTGATGCAGCTAGCATTTGATCTACGGAACCAATGGTGAGAAATGTAAAGTTCAGGAAAAAATAAAACAAAACAAAACAATAACAACAAGGATGACAAAAATAGACGTACAGTAATTGCTCTTGATCAACAAAAGCTCCATCGCACCACCAAGTCCAACACCCAGTCCGAATATCTTGCCATAGAATTGTACCAAACTCATGTTCAGAGATGTAGATGAGAGAGATGTGACTGTACAACAAACCTGGTGTTGTTTACAGTTCATCACTTTGGGGGAGTTCTGGGTTAGTTACTTGGACCCTTGGTAGTTCATATTTTGCACGTCATGCTACCACACACACACACACATATATATATATACATATATACATATATATATGTTCAAATAATTATTTATTTAAGTTGTAAAAAGAACAAGTACAAATAGAGTATCATAAAGTAGAGTTTTCAGAAACAGACTCCTCTAGCACTTCTCGGGTCTCTCTTGCGCGAGCCTCTCTAATCGTATCACGTTTTTGACGTTCTTTTTCTCGAGAATCCTGAAGTCTACGATATTTACTTGTCTTGATAAACTTTGGAACTGAGTCAGACGCCATAAGTCTGCAAATGTGCTCGTCCACTCGATCAAACCACTTGAGCATCATTCGCAGACTCTGAGAAGCACTAGATGTGGATATGAGAATGGTTGGTTTGATCTGTCCAGGCATGTAAGTGGGCACAACCGTCACTACCGACGATACAAGTCGTGCCATCTCCTGTCTAAGAGAATGCTCGACGTTGAGTTCAGAAGGTGCACTAGGAGCAAGATAGGTGACCCAAATGTTATACGCGTCTTCGACCAAGTCTTTCTGATTCTGTGATGGTAATGCTGGGCTTTGACTACGGCATTTTCGTTTGAGAGACTCATAATCAATCCAGAAATCCAGATTCTCCTCACAGAAGTTAGCCCTGAGAAAATCTTTAAAGAGTGATCGACATTGGGGATCATCAAGAATTAGACGAAGACGTGCCAGATTGCCTTCTTTATGATCAATAATTGTTGCTGTCAATATCGAAGATTTCTGAACGGGAATTCCAATAGATGTCATTGTAGGGAGAGGAGCAGCAGCACCAGAAGCAACAGCTGGGGGATGAATGGACGAAGAAGTAGTGTGAGTGATGACTACAGACTCGGGATCTTGAGAAAGGATTTCTCGCAGGGAAGTTGGCTGACTTTCTGTATCGGGATCCACTAGGAGTTTACTGGAGATTGACTGAAGCGAAAGTGATTTTGATAGTTTGCTAATGGTTTCCAGCCCTTCTTTATTTTTGCTTTTTTCTGCCTCTTCTTTTTTTACGTGCGAGTCTTTATTTTTTGATTCAGACTCGATGCTCAGAGACTTCTCATTGAGGATCTGCTTGCCTTTGTCGGTTACAAGCAAAAGTGTCGCTTTGGAGACCTTGATGAATGCACCTGATAAACGGTGATCCTGGAATTCAAGCCAGCCATATCGTATAAATGAATTGGCAATGACTTCAGCTTCGTCGCGTGAAGATACGGTGCTGTAGTCTACTAACCAATCACAACACATCTGAGACGAAAATACGGTACGGATTGTGTTGGCTGTTTTAGGTATAATCTCACGGCGACTCTTGGAAAGTGTCAGGAGGTAATTGCTCAGTAATTGGACCCGGGAGTCCTCGGCACAAGTTTGGAGAGACATATTAAAAGGGGCGGCTGATTGGCCAGACGAAGAAGTAGTAGAACTTGATGATACGGATGAATTTGAAGAGGTGCTTGAAGTGGTTTTTGGTGGTACTGGAGAACTGTGGTTTCCTGGCTGATCCAGCTCCCCTTCGAGCGGTAAGAGGGAAAGCATGACTCGAAACACAATCGATAGATTTTGTCGACTAAGAATGAGTTCATCATCTTCTGCTTGTCTTTCTAACCGCACGAGTTGAATGGGATCCAATTGCCCAAAGTGCTTGCGCATTGATGTCATATCAGCTCCTGTACGTACACAAAAGTCTTGAAGCACACATAGTCCTTTGGGAGTTAGTTGCCAGAGTCCTTTTTCTCTAAATACTCGATTGTGACTATCTACGGCATTTTCTATAAGATGGCAGGTGTGAAACTGCTGGCAAAGTGCCTTGGCCATATCGCGTGCCATGTTGAATGTAGTTGTGGTTGTGGTCCAGAGTTGCTTTGTGGTGTCATTTGGATCTGAGGCGCGCTGGGTGTGTGAAAAACGAAGAGAACCAAGAGCTTGAAGAGCATCCTCAGATGAGAATGTGTTTGTGTAGTTTCTGAACAGGTAGCGATGGTTGTCAATTGGAATTTGGACAATCAATGCGCTGAATAGATCATGAATATCCTGTAAGAACCTTTTGTAAGTAACAAAAAATAAAATAAAAAATATCTTCTAACTCTAGTTCGTCTTTCTTTCATTCTTTCATTATCTTGTTTTTTTTTTATCTTGAACAAAGTTTTACCTTTAGAAACGGTCGGCCATCCATAGTAAACTTCATCATAGAAGTATATGCTTGCTGAGATATATTTGAGTGCATTATATAAAATTAAATAAATAGAAAGATGAAAGAAATCGACGGAATTTGGTTTGTATTGGTTTTTAGACATATGCTTATATACAGGTTATAGGGTGGAATGGTGATAGGACACCTATAAAAGGAGGAAATGAACGAGAAGATATCACATAAGATTTCTTTCTTTCAATGCTCAATATATATATATAAAGGGGGGAGGAGAAAATACGTTGTTAAGGCCAGTTAAATGATAAGTCACAGTTGGTAAGGTAAGATAGGGTAAGTTTGGTAGGGAGGGCGAGCACAGTCAGCTCCCCCGTGCTGACAAGAATAGAAAGCGATAATATATTTGCTTGTAAATAATAATAATAACAATAATGTTACATAAAGATCATTGTCGGTTCAAGAATTGAATTATTGCGCTTTGACTTTTAAGTCTTTTAAGAGGTGCTAAGTTCCGAGTAAAGGCGAACAATGACAGGCTGCAGGGCATGTTTGTTATTTTCTTCTGATACTCAAATGAAAATGTGCAAAGGCACATGTACAAAGAGGTTTTTATTTTTTATTTGCTTGCATGAAAAAAAAAGTATGTATAACTATATCCAAGTAGTACAAGCCCCATTACAACCCCTTGTACGTTCCAAATGAACACAAAGAGAAGCATGATAGTATTGGTACTTGTAAACTTAATTGTCTATTGCCCGTCAGATCAAGGGGTGGTAGGTGAGGGATGGAGAGCGTTCTCATTTTACTTATCTAACAAGAAGTTGGTTGCCTTCTCGAGGTCCTGGTCATAACGGTCCAGCGCGTCCTTTGCTTCCTTCTCAGCGAAGCCCATCTTCATCAGCTCTTCTTTATGGCTCAAGGGCTTCTGCACAACCGGGCTTGCTGAAAAGGCATCTTCGAATCCGTCTTTCACGGCGTTTTTTGTTCCAGTTGTATCTGTAGTGGGTTGAACACCGAAGATGGAATCCCACTCCTCTGGCTCCTTTGCCTTGAAGTCTGACGAGTCAAAGCTAAACTTGTTTTTCGACTCGTTAGACTCCCCTTTTTTATCCTTTTGTGAGTCAAAATCAGCAAAAGCATCCTCAAAGTCATCAAAGTCGTGCTCGTTTGCCTTTGCCTCAACAATCTTGGCATCTGACAGGTCTCCAACCATAAATGCGCTATCAAAATCATCATCATAATTATCGCCACCAAAAGAAGAGCTTATACGTTTGTTGTTCGAAGGTGTAGGCGCGGTTGGTGCAGCGGTACCAAAGGCATCATCAAATGAATCACCGAAGTTGAGCGAAGCCATGTTTTCGGTTACTTTATCTTCGGTTGTTGGTGGTGGTACTTGAGCTGTCAAGTTCTTCTCCTCCTTTATCTCTCCTGCAGAAGTAGTGGGTGGCGGTGGGGGTGGACGTGACTTTTTGGTGGGTGGCCCCGGAATTGCTCTTGATCCCTGACCTTCCAAATTTTGTTGGGATTTTGCTTGAGGAGGAGGAGGAGGGGCAGTACGAGTATTCTTTGGGGCAGTAGCAGCTGGAGCTGTATTGTCACCCGTCATTGGTGATGCACCAAATGGATCCAAGTCTTGGCCTTTGCGGACTTCTTCGTTTTCAGATTCTTCACTCTCTGAAGCTTCTTCGGCTTCACTTTGCTCTGACTCAGAAGAATATTCTTCCACATATTTTGATCCGGCTGCTGCCAAATCGCCAAATACATCGTCAAAGTCAACGGCTTCCGAAGGGGTTTCGGGTTCTCGTGGTACAGAAGAAAAGTCAAACGATCTGTTGTTTTGGTCAGGACTTGTTGCCACAGATGATGAGGGACTATCACGTTCAAAGGAAAAGAGGGATGGTGCATCTTGAGCAGGCAGATGCATTCTAGGCTCCTCGCGGGGGGTTTCTACCGCTGCCTCTATTTTTGCCTCTGTCTCTCCCTCCTTTGATGCCACGTTTTTGGCAGCCTTTGCTCGCAATCGGTCAAGTTTATTAGTCAACTTGAGGGTTTCTTCCTGAATTGCATGCACTTGTCGTCTCAGTCCCTCACTTTCGGCACGTCCGTCATTGAGTGAATTCTTGAGCTGTTCAATGTTTTTGTTGGCGTCATCGAGCTCTTTTTGAGCTTCATCGTGGGATTGTTTTACGCTGATCCATCCAGGTTCTTCTTCTTTTATTATTGCCTGGAGAGAGTCCAGTGCCTCTTGCTCAGTGCCCTGAGCTTCCCTTATTTGCGTTGTGTGTTCGATAGTTTCCTTTTTCTGTCCCAATAGCTGGGTCAATGATTGCTCAGCATTAACCTTTTGTTGCTTCACGTCTTCGGTGGCTTGCTTGAGAGAGAAAATCTGGTTCTGGAGTTGATTAACCTGGTTTGTTTCTTCCGTTAATTGTTCGTCATTTCCAAAGTCACCCAGCAAATCTTGATCCTCTGTAATAATATATGTGATAAATATTTTACGTTCTTGTTACTGTTACGGTTGTTCTTCTTGCTATATATGAATATATTTACCTTGAACAGGTTGGAATGGGTCAACAGCAGCTGGTGCTGGCGCTGACATATTTGGTACTTCTAAAGAGGTTTGTCGCTGGGCTCCAGGGAATTGTGGCACACTAGGGCTAGGAGGTATCAAGGTCGATGGGAGGGTTGGTGGCAAAGGATCACCCCGGAGGCGTTTGTGTATTAAATGCATCGCAATAGCGAACTCATCGCGAGTCAATTGACCGGATCTCTGCGTGTCAGCTATGTCCCATATGTGAGCCAGGTCAGCATCAGGCAGCTGCGAGTTTTTGAAGAATTCGACGGCTTCCTTTCCCTGCAATACACCTGCATGGCGAACATCCAGCTTGTCAAAGAATGCGTCAGATTGGGTTTTTTCTTGAGCAGTAACATCCCAGGGGGTAGGTTGTGTGGTGGCTGCAAAGGCCATGTTTCCGAGCGAGTCGATGGTTCTTGCTCTCTGTGGAGGGGTCATTGCTGCTGCCATTTGTCGAGCCACGGGTGTACTTGGTGCAAAGCTCTGTACAGGAGAAGACATGTATCCCTCTGTTCTTAATGAACCTACAATTGGTGCCTGTGACCCGGCAGCCGAACTGTAAACCTGAGGAGGCAATTGAGCTGGTAAGGTAGTCAATGAACCATCCATAAGTTTTGCGACGTAGTGCATTGCAATCGCAAATTCGGTTGCGTTCAAGCTTCCTGACTTGCGTACATCTGCAAGATTCCTATTGTTGTTATTATTGTTATTATGAGAAAGAAGGAAGAAAGGAAGAATTGAAGGGGTAGGGGTAGGGAAGAGAAGGAGTGGTTTGGTTATTACCATATTTGCCCTAAAACATCAGTTGGAAGCTTGGACTTTACAAGAATGTTGCGTGCTGTTTCTGCATCCATGGTGCCTCTAACTGTATCTTGAGCACGGAATATCGAAATGTATTTTTCCCGTTCGGCTGGCTTTATGGTGTCTACGTTGGAATTTACGGATGTCTGCTTCTGCACAACAGGGCTAGGAGGTACACTGAGCTTGATACCTTCGAATTGAGGTAAAGGAACGGCTATATATATATATATATGTTGTTGTTGTAACAATAAAATTATTTGGTAAATATATATATATATATATAATATTGTGATTTTTTTATTGGTATATTGGTGAACTTACGTGTTGCAAAGATGGGGTCACTAACTTCTCTGCCATGTTGTGCACATGCAATCAATTTAAGGGCAATGGAGAATGTTTCTGGTGTGAGATATCCCAAGTTGTCCTTGTCTGCAGCTTCCCAGATCTAATGGTATCAAAGTTAATAATGACTGAAATAATAATATAAATGACGAAAATAATAATAATAAATAGTAATAGAAGCTCTTCTTCTTTTTGTTCTTATTCTGAATCTCGTCTAATGTTCTTACTTCAGATAATATCTGATGAGGTACACCTGAGGTGGCAAAAAACCTAACGGCTTCTTGACCAGTAATAATGCCTGGGTTGCTAACGCTAATAATATTGAAGAGCTGGCCATATGCGAGTTTTTCTTTTGGCGTTAAAAGGGATTCCCAAGAAGTAGATGACATTTGAGTATTTTAATGGGTAATAAAGATCGGGTTATTGGTTGAAGGTGATATTATAAGGTATATTCCTCACTCCCCCCCTCCCTCTCACTCACTTTTCCTTCGTCCCCCCCAAAAAAGAAGAAAAGATTGTTTCTTATTGGGTATAAATTAACCTCTTACGAGCGCAAAAAAAAATCGTGAAGGAAACCCAACCTTGCTCAGCATGGGTGATTGCTTGATAGGCATTCTTGCCACTCTAAGTGGTTTTCCAAATAAAGAAATATGACGCTGCTGAGTTACTGAGCTGGAGTACGAGAAAGAGGCACAATGAACTTTTTCGTGACCACTACACGCATTGTTGGTGCAAAATAAGCAGCGTTTTTTTTTTAATTATTTCTCCAACTCGGTAACTTACACCCTAAATTAAAACAATGTACATACACAGAATATGGTGAATTGATAATCTGTTTCAAGAGCAACAATCAATTATATATTCATATTCATTTATATATTAAACATTAGTATGAATAAACCGTAAATTCGGTAAATTCATTTGTGGAGTCTACAATATGTGGGTAAGTAGGAGTGGGCAATAAAATAAGCAGCGATGATACCTCAGTATTCTTTTAATTCAAAACCAAAGGAGAACAAGAGATATATACTTCTCAAAATGTTTTTATTATGAAAGATATATATACATATATATATATATGAAATTATACATTATGAAATATACATAAATGTGCCACATTAAATTCAAATAACCATGAAAGCTTTAAAAACTGGAAAGGTTTCACAAATATTCACTTCATCGCGTATCACCAAATTGGGAGTAGCAGTTCGCGTTTAAACGCGAACTTTCGCGTCTCTATATATTTCTGTCTTTAAAAAAAAAAAAAAGGCTGTCCTATTTCTTGTCTGTTTGCTGTCAGACCAGACAAGAGACCTCTTTAGTCTTTCTGTCTTTCTGTCTGTCTGTCTTTTTCTTTTTTCTTTTTTTTTACTATTTGCCCTGTACATTATTATTATTATTATTTCAAAAAGAAAAGGCAAACTTGTAAAATAATACATTCTTTTATACATACACATACACACAAAAAGAAGAAATTCATTCTTTCTAAGCGCATCAACCCTATATTTTAATTACAGTCGTAATTGATTGTACCATTATTATCATGTCGGCCATGGATACCTCGGACGATGAGCAGTTCTTCATCAGCAGCCCTATTCCCACCACTGCAGCCACACCTAATGTAGCAACACCAAAGACCCCATCTAAACCTTACGATCTATCTGATTCCGAAGACGATGACAATCTTGACACAAACAGCAGACTCGATAGCTTGAATATCTCTAGCACTTTAAAAAACATGCTCCGTTACTCAAACTTTAATGCCGTTGACGATGATGACGATGACGATGAAGACGACAATATCAAAAAATATGATAACTCGTTGTTTGCCACACCTTCTATTTTGAAAACTCCAGGTGCTCTTGAAAGCCTGATTCCCAAAAAAGATGCAGCTCAACCAAATCGACGATTGACTAAAAAGACTTTTGGAACAAAATCACTCCTTGCAGATAAATCTTTTGATAAATCTTTAAATAATGATGATAATGAGAATGAAAATGAGAATGATAATAAAAGCGATAATAATGATAACCAAAGACCGCAAAAAATAAAAAAGACCAGAAAGAAAAAATCCGTTTTACCAAAAAAAAAGTCTGGAAATGCTGAATTCAAAGCTATTCTCGCAAAAGTTATGCAAAATAATGCGTCGAGTTCAGGAACAGAATCTGAAGGAGAAAAGGAGGCAAAGGCTCTACTTGAGAAAAAGGCCGTTCCGAACCTTAAAAAGAAAGCCAGGACACTGAAACCTAAAAAGAAAACTCCAGAGCAAGCTGAAAAAGAACAATCTCAAAAGTTGAAGAAGGCGGTTGAAAAGAGACTCGCCAAAGGAAAAATGAAAGCAGTACAAGACAATCAAGATAACTCACACGCAAACGCGGTTGAAGATGAAGATGAAGATGGATCATTGTTTATCTCTACAGAACCTGGACAAGTCGAACCTCTGGATTCTATTATGAAACTTTTGAAAAAGAAGCCAAACAAGGCAAACAATGAACAGCTAGAACCCGACCTCCCACATACCGCAGGAGCATCAAATTTTCTGTTTCTCGATAGCGATGATGATGAAAGTGAAAATGAAAATGAAAATAAAAGACGATCGGGCCAAAAGAAAAAGAGTCTTTCCAAGAAAGCAATTCTGGAAATGCGTCGTGAGGCTGAACGATCCCACAGATCTATTGAAGTTAAACTTCAACCAAAATTCAAAAAGAAGACATTTTCCAGTTTCTTTGACTTGATTGATAATCAATCAAAAAATCAATCTCGGTTGGATGAAAGGTAAACACTTTATATAATACAATATGTGATACTAACTTGCTCTTTAAAATATAGTATCGGACAAGATAGCCTTAAAGAAAAAGAATCAAATCTTACCCCCAATTCCACCAAATTACCAAACCACCGAGAACCTCAAAATACTTACAGTGACAGTGACAGCGATCTTGAAATCATCGGTGGACCCAAATCAACACCCAACCACCTGCTTCTTTCACCTCAAAGGAACCCTGTTTCAACCATGGCTTGGTCGCCTGTCCACAACTCTCGTACAACCCACCGAGATTTAAATAAACAGCTCCAAGAACGTATCGCGAGAGAGATGCTGGAACGTCGAAAGCAAATGGAAGAAAAGGCTCGTGCACGTGGATCATACACAAGTCCAGAAGAAAGAGCAAAACAGATATTAGAGAGAGAGAGAGAAGCGGCAAGGATCAAAATGGAAGTTGATAAACACTTTATGAAAAATACCGGTGCGAATAATGAAAGAGACGAAGACGAAGATGAAAATGACGGAGATTACGAAGAAGAAGGAGAAGAAGGCGATAAGAAACTGAGAGACGGTTATGCAGTTGACGAAGATATGGATGAAATTCAATATTCAGGCGAAGAGGAAGAAGAAGAAGATGATGATGAGGAGGAGGAGGAAGGGAGAAACGGCGACGTCGAGGGCGACGACGGTGATGATGAGAATGAACTAGACGAAGACGCTGTAGGGATAAGCAAGAATACAAGAACGACTGGCTTTGATGCTGCAAACTCTTCTGACGAAGAAGAGAGTGTATTGCCCAATAGAAATAGAAAAAGAAGACGAAACAACAAAAATATTCTTATGGACGATGATGAAGTTCAGGAACAAATTACAGCGCCAAAAAAGCCAGAGCCAAAGAATTCTATTACAAACTTTTTTAATAACCAAAAGGTAATGTTATGTATTTATATATTTTCTAATTAGTCAAATAATTAAACAATTGGCTTTCTTTTCTAGACAAAAACGGCTTTGTCTTCTGATGCTGCAGATACTGAAGGTCTGGACAAAGATTTGTCCAAGGGTGCTACTAAACCCCTTTCTCGTTTGGTTAAACGCACTATTGAACTGGATTCAAGTGATACCGAAATGAATATCGAACAAGAGAATGAAGACGATGAAGATAGTAATGAGCAGAACATAGCTATTTTCAAACCCAAAAAGATTGTGCCTAAGAGCACATTATCCGCAAAGGGGCCAAAAGAAAAGAGCGAATACGTTGAAGAAGAAGCTCAAGAAAGTGAAGATGAGTTCTATGGTCAGGGCGGTCCAGAAGCAGACGAGAATGATGAGAATCTGGATGAGTATGAACAAGATGGACTTTTGGTCGAGCGTAATGAAGAAACCGATCAAATGGACGAAGCAACATTGAGAGCTGTTTTCAAGTATGTGAAATTATGTGAAATATAAATCAGGACAGAGTATTGATATATTCTTAATAGCAAAGACATGGAGGAAAGAGACAAAAACATGACTCAGCGCTTGATGAATGACATTACAGGAGGTGGTCTAAGAAGAAGACTTGCTGCTAAAGAAGCTGGTTTGATGCTAGAAGATTATGACTTTTATGACGATGATGATATGGATCTTGTGGCTATTCGTCGAGCAGCTTCTGCAAAACGACGCAAGATGCTTCAAGAAGGAGGGAATCAACTAGAAGCACTTGGTATGGATTATTATGCTTTTCTTTTTCTTTCTCTCTCTCTCTTTATATACATATATATATATATATAATTTGGTTAAAAGGAATTTCTTTTTATTAATGAACTGGTTTTTTTTTCTTTAAAACTTGTGTTTTGTAGCCAAGGATCCAAAAACTGCTGCATTTGCCAAAGCAGCTATGCCGTTATTAAAGGACGAAGAGATGCTTCTGCTCAGCGATGGAGAAGAAGAAGAGCCTGAAGAACCGAAAAAGGACAAGAAAACTAATCATTTGGGATCAGAAGATGAGGAATCAGAAGACGAGGAGACCAATGAGGACAAGAATGTGGATGTCATTGAAGGAGAATATGATGGAAATGAACTTTTTAGAGCCAAAGTAAGATATGAAATCAATATATATATACTCTAAAATTCACTAATTATTTATTTATTTATTATTATTAGCGTGCCAATATATTGGCCACATCAGGGTTCTCAGAAGGACTTGGTGATAACGACGATTTGTTCTTGAACAGAGGTTATGGTGGATCTAAAGATGATGTTGACGACTGGACTGTTCGTTTTTCAGCACAAGTTCAGATTGAGACGAAACGGTCTGGAGTTAATGCAATAGAAGTAACTGACCGAACAAAGTCTTTATTCAAGAACCCGAGCAAATTAGAAAAGTTCCATGGCTTACTATCTGAAGCCAATGGTGTGATTGGTGGTTCTTCTGATACAGGAGGGCGAAAAGGTTTTGGTGCTCCTCAACAGAAAGAGAGGGTAATTTCTTTTAATATATATTTATATCAAGATGAGAAGAAAGAGTTGATTTAACCAAAATTTATCATTGTTATCTTTATATATCTTGTAGGGCTTTGTTAACACCTTGGGGCCTACAAAAGATGAGTCTGCCAAACCGCAAGAAAAGAGAAAGAAACGACTCTTGGGTATCTTGGGACGTGCTGGATCTTTTA